AGCCCTTCGAGCTCATTCACTCTGATGTGAAGTCGTTTCCCATCGACTCCTACCATAAGTATAGGTACTACATCCTGTACTATGACGACTACACTTCCAACGCGTGGACAGTGAATCTGCGCAACAAGAGTGCTGCGATCACGGCCACGCGCCAATTCTTAGCCATGGCCAAAAACCAGTACGGCAAGAAGGTTAAGAAGTGGATGTCAGATGCTGGGGGAGAATACAAGTCTGAAGCGTTCGACAAAATGCTGAAAGACGAGGGTATCCAGATCCTGCAAAGTTCGCCGCACACTCCTCAGGAGAATGGCAGAGCTGAGCGACTCAACAGGACTATAATGGACAAAGCTGAGGCCATGCGCCATGAAGCGTGTCTACCTGAATCCTGGTGGGAATTTGCGGTTGAGCACGCTGTTCATCTCTACAACAGGACACCTGTCCGACGTCTCAAATGGCGTACCCCCTATGAGATGTTAAATGGCGAGGCTCCCAGCATCAAGCACCTAAGAATTTTTGGGTGCGGCGCATATGTATTCATACCGAAAGACGTGCGTCAGAATACACTATCTCGGAAATCTGAGTTAATGGTGTACCTCGGGGTTGCCCCTGGTGGGCATGGGGCGCGATTCATGCGCAGCCCTAATAATGTGCTTTACACCTCATCGAACGCTCTGTTTGATGAACTCATGTTCCCAAAATGCCCGGACATGAAACGGCGAGGCAACACTAGGTTGCAATCTGCACCTAGACCTGACCAAGCGGGTCGCCAACCCACTTCTCAGGAGAATTATGATGACGATGACAACGATCATCCCTCTCATCACCTTCCAAAGGGAGCGGACAATGAGCGTGACGATGCTCAGGAGCAGCCTAGGGCGCCCAGTCCAGTTCCGCCGCCTCAACCTCCGGAAGAGCCAGCGCGCGATGATGCGCCGCGGCGCTCAGGGAGAGAGCGGAAGCCAGTAACCCGCCCAGGGAATGTCTATGGGGAGAAACGGACCCCCGTAGAAATATACAAAGAGATCGAAAAGAAGGGGCAATGGAAAAAGATTGTAGGAGAAGAGCCGGGTAGCTCCCGCTCTCAACCACAGTCAAGGCAGCAACCGGTTCCCGGACCTAGTTCTGCGCCTGATCCACAGCCAGACCAACCTTCTGGATCCTCCTCGGGCTCTGACGACGACGAAGTCGAAGAGTTACTCATGGCACAACTATGCCGGGAAGGGGGAGTAGGATTGGTTAACATGCTGCTTGCAAAAGCGCTACCACTAGTTGACCAAGATTCTCTGAAGTCCAGCGTACGCGAATGGACATTCCGTGATATCTCGAAGCTACCTAAAGAGGAGCAAGAGAAGTGGAAAGCTGCGTGTCGCGAAGAGTTAGAGGCTCTGCGCAAGCGTGGTGTTTATGAGTTGGTTGACCGTCCTAAAGGACGTAGGGTTACCAAAAACCGCTGGGTCTTCGACGTCAAAACTGACGGTCGAAAGAAGGCTAGACTAGTCGCAAAAGGCTACTCCCAGATTGAAGGCCTCGATTACGATCAGGTTTTCTCTCCAGTCGTTCGCTTTGAGACCGTGCGCCTTATACTCGCGCTAGCTGCGCTCGAGGGCATGCACATCTCCGGACTCGATGTCCGTAATGCGTACCTCTATGGTAAACTCGACGAGGAGATTTACATGGAGCAGCCTGAAGGCTTTAAAGTCAAAGGCCAAGAGCACAGAGTCCTCCGGCTATTGCGTGCTCTCTATGGACTCAAACAGGCAGGGTTAGCGTGGTGGCGCACCCTTAATGAGTCTCTCAAGGAACTCGGCTTTACACGCCTTGTATCCGACGCCGGAATTTTCATCTACAAGACGAAAGACGGACGTTTCGTCCTAGTCATAGTCTATGTGGATGATGCCCTATTTTGTGGCAAAGACAAGGCCCTTGTAGCCAAACTCAAGAACCGCTTCATGAAGAAGTGGGAGTGTCGCGACCTAGGCGACGTCAAGGAGTTCCTGCGTATGCGCATTACTCGGAAAGGCGACGAGATTCATCTCGACCAAACTGCCTACCTTGAGACTGTGCTGCAGCGCTGTGGCATGCAGAATGCAAAATCTGCGCCTACTCCACTCCCTGCGGGTTACAAACCTGAGCCGCACACTGGCCCGGTTGATCCTGCGCTTCGAAGCCGGTATCAGACCGACATCGGCTCCTTGCTATATATCATGCTCGGAACTCGACCTGACATCTGCTTTGCCGTGACTAAACTCGCGCAACAAGCTGCGAATCCGTCACAGGACCACTTGGATAAAGCGCTATATATCTGCCGCTACCTCGTGGGTACCAAGTCCTATGCGCTTGTATACAGCGGCAAATCTGGACAAGGTGTCTCGGCATGCACAGACTCTGACTGGGCCAATGACCCAGAAATGAGACGGTCTCAGAGTGGCTACTTTATGAAGTTGGCGAACGGAGTGTTCAGTTGGCTGTCTCGACGGCAAAAGACGGTTGCACTATCTTCAACTGAGGCTGAATACATGTCGCTCAGCGACTGTAGCCGCCAAGTTGTCTGGGTTAAGATGCTCCTCAAGGAGATCGGTTACCTACTTGGCGCACTCCCTATCTGCTCGGATAACCAAGGAGCAGCGATATTCATCGGCTCCAACCCTGTAACTGAGAGGCGGTCGAAGCACATCGACATACGCTACCATTACATCAGGGAACTGATTGAGGAGAAGCAAGTCGAGCTCTTCTACATCAGTACGGATGAAAATCCAGCAGACCTGTTCACCAAGAACTTAGGCCGTGTCAAATTCCTTAAGTTTAGAGGAATGCTCGGACTTAGATTCTATGAATTGTCCTAGAGCACCATTGGCAGCGTTATGCGCCTACTACGCTTATGTGAGTCTAGGACGCACTAAGCAAGGGGGAGTGTTGAACTAGGAAGGCGCCTACCGGGCTGCCGGGTTCAATCACAGGCCGGACCGGTTCTATGGGAAGCTCCGGGTCCGTGATGTCATCTATGATGTCATCTGTGTGTTATCACATGGCTACGCCACTTACCTTGTATGTCGTGGGAACGTACTATACAGTAGCTTAGATAAGCGGTCTCCTCATGTATATAAGGACCCCAGTAGCGTAGCTCAATCCCCAGTACCTTCAGTCAAAGTACTTGCGTGTGCATCAAGCATCAGCAACCTTGCAGGTAAGTTGTGAGGGCGCACCACTGCGTGGAGCTGCCTGCTCAACAATAGCATCCACCGGGCCCTCGACCGCCACTTCCTCCTCGACATCGATCATCCTCCAGGCAGACACCACGGCTCTCGGCTGACCGCACGTCAAGAGACTCGCGCTGTCCCAACAAACGCGCGAGAGCGATCAGCGACTGGTTAGCTGGACTGCCGCCAGTCCAGTTAACAGAGTCTGACGACGTGGAGAACGGTATAAGAGCATCCCCTTCTTCCTCTCTGGCTCAACCTTCGGGCTCTCACCCCCCTCCGCCCCCCCCCCTTCGAGCCGGGAGGCCTCCCTCTCCCACGTGGTATCCCAGTCCGGATCTTTGCAGGCTTGGGGACACGCAAAACGGCCGCGCGCCTCGAGATGCGCCCGATGCACACGCAAGTTCCTCGACGCGCGACGAGACCACCAGGGACGCGGCGGACTCGGATCGACGCGGGAAGGAGGTAGAGGTGCAGGAGAAGGAAGCAGAGCGAGATGTGGTTGAAGAGCGAGAGGAGGAGGAAGGGTGCAGCGAGCAGAGCAAGCACGAGCACGTACGCTCGATATCCGAAGGTATGCCCTCACAGGATGCAACCCTCTCGCTGCTGCCTCTCCCTGTACCCACGCCGCTCCCTGTGCACGCGCCAAACGGTGTATCGGCGCACGGAATGTACCGGCCTACGCACCACCGCAACTGGCGTGCCCTTCAACAGCCACCTCAGCCTTGATCATGCTCGACTGGGCAACTCGGGACACACACCCCTCGAATCCAACAACCTCCACTTGTCCTGCGGCTGTGGCGGCGCGCAACCAAGCCGCGCGGCCCAGGACTCACGCGACGTGCGCGCAAGTCTGGCGCCGAGAAACAGGGCCCAGCAGAGCGCGGAGAACGCGGAGCGAGGAGGCTGCAAGAAGCACAGGAATGAGGAGGAAGCTCAGGACCGTGGTAGTACAGGTAAGCACGGCGGGTCGAAGCTCGAAGGTGCGCCCTCATCAGATGTGTACCTCTCGCTGCCACCTCTCACTGAACCTGCGCCAGCAGGCGCATTGACAAACGCGAAACTCGCTGTGGGTGCTGCTGGTCACGCAGACTGCATGTATGCGCTCCGGGACCGCTCGATCGTCGTACCTGCCCTAATGTGGGACGATACGGCGGACGCGCACCACTGCACGTCCGCAGTGTGCCTCCGGTAGCAGCACTAGCAGGTGCAGTGACGGCCACGGAGCTCGTCGTGCTCTGTGCTCATTGCAAAAATCGTGCGCATATCCATAGGCACGATTCGAACGTTGTTTCCCTCTTTTGGCGTGGCGACATGGCTGGTGGGCACAGCCGCACGTCCGCCGTGCCCTACATCTTTACGGACGTACGCAATCAGCATCAACGCTGAACTCACCGCTCCACGCACCCGCTGCTTACCATGAAGATCGCGTGCACGTCCAATAGGACGACTCCAGTACCCCGGACGTAACATCACTGCTCGTCCGGACACGGTCGAGTCGACAGGTCAAGCCTCGCTTTACCGCAGCGCAGCACTCAACTGTCGACTGCGAGATGGTGCGGTGGACATGTACGAATGTTCTGTGATACAATGACGATAGTATACAATGACCATAGCAATTTATAATGACAGTACAGTAATGCTACTGATGGAAACAACATTTCCACGCGTGCACTAACCTCAAGTTTTTTTGGTCTGTGTCCGCAAGGCATTCGCACCAATTTGCGGGCCATTCGCCGCGAAAGGCGCGCCACACCGATTTGGCGCCAATTCGCGCCACATTCGGGCAGGGGTGGTTTCCTGATGACTTACGCCTACGCCCCGGGTCCTGATCTTAGGTTCATTGAGAACTGCTTCACAGTCTCTGCTCAAGGTATGTACAGCGACTTAATCTGTCGTCCATACTCGTGCATTATCGAGATACTAAGCACTGTCATTTCAACCACCGCATAGCACTCTGCTTCTACAATTTCTGTCTGACGTTCACGCGCGAAGTACAGTTCATGTGGAAACTCAAGCCCTCTGTCGGCTCGGTTCTGTTCTTTACCCTGCGCTATACTGCACCCTGCAACATTTTCCCCGTCATATTGGGTTATTTATCCCATGGAGTCTGGCAAAGTCAGCTGGTGAGTATGTTGCACATGGTTGTTTGCGCACCTGCCCTGGAACACTGCTAACAGATCGGACGCGCACGTCTTGGTTGTTGAATAGAGGTGAGTGGTTGCGTTGGTAAACGCGACGAAGTCGGGCTGATAGCTGGCACGCCGGCTTCATTACAGTTGCACAGTCATGGCGCGTCTGCAGATGACGGGCGACGTACTCGTCTTGACGAGCGGCGCGAGTGAGTGTCTTAGTTCGGTCTCTGCGAATGTCTGTAACACTGACCAGAACCCGTCCAGTCTTCGCGGCTCTGCGCATCTACGCTCTCTCGCGGAAAAATAAATGGAATTTTGGAGTCACACTCCTCTTGGGTCTGATAAATCCTGTACTAACTACGGTGCGTACAAGTTACATGCTTCGGGGTGTGGCAGACTTACGTCTGTGGCCCGACGGTATACCGGCAGTACACGTTCGTCCTGACCACACCCTACCTTGCGCACCTCGCGCCAGGGCATCAGAATTGCAATGCCGACTCGCAGCTCATGGTAGACATGTGCGTGACTCCAACCGTCCTACACGATCTCTGCCATGCCCATAACTGACTCCGCGCGACTTATAGCTGTGGGTCACGACAGCGGTTCAAGTCAATTTATATTGATGGTATTCCTCGTTGTGCAGGGATGATGGCGGGTCGTGGATCTGCAGTCGTCTGTGACGCCGTTGCACTGGTCCTCACCTGGCTGGGTATAAAGCATTTGGTGAGTATGAGGAATAGGTCCGACGGTTCCCAGCCGGGTATCGGGAATATGTCAATAGTTCTCATGGCTGATAGTGCGTGTCCTTCTAATATCTTTTGGCTGAGGGCTAACAAGATCCGTCGTCGGGTATTATAGCTGCAGTATACTTTGGGTGAGTTACGTGGTCAAGATTTGTAACCCTGTTCGCTAAGCCAAGTGACGCCAGTTTCCTGACTGTCATCAACTTAATAGGCATTGCGTTTCGCAAGGCAAGGCCTCGCATTCTGCACACACTGCGGCACAATGCTAAGCATCACTCCTATTAGAACCTGAACGCCATGTCCACCTGGACCGCAATGTACGTCCTCTCATAAGACTGTGTTGTTTACAGCCCCGCCTTACCTAGTATGTCCTCTACCTACAGCATGACGTCAATTCTACTCTGCCGCCTTATGCTCGATCTTCATCAGGCAAACTTCGAGAACTGCCAGGGCGGGTCACATATCTCGCATACAATTGCGACGATGATATTCAGGCGCTTCAAGTTTCCTCCCGGGATGGAAGGACGCGTAGATCAAGAACTTGAAGATTTGCCCGAAACTGAAGAGAACGAACACGGGGATGAGATGTTGCAGATGGCTTGAATGGCCTGTTAGAGTTCATTAGCTGTTGTATTCGCTGGGCAGTAATGCAGTTCGTTCCCAGCCGCTCAGTGCGATCTTAGTATAAAGGGGTGGTCAATGGCCTACCTCGAGATGTATTCTGGCGCCAGGACGTCTCGAGCATACGGAAACGATGTTGCCTTTACATATGGAAGGCTTATAGACACAAACGCTCGCAAGTTGCTCTGACTCTAAGCTCTCGAGCCTATGTATGCAGCACATGTCACGTGCATTACATAAAAATGTCGTCTCGGCGCTCAAGCGCTCACTGCCACTGTGCCAGTGCTCCGGTCACTGAGGCGCTCCGAAAGCTCACTACCGTATTCGCGCAGTCTGCGTCGTTCATGCGACGGTAATGTCATTCCTTGGGGAACGGTATGCGAGGTGGACAGATACAGTATGAGGTGCAAGAAAGCCTAATGGGATTGGACTGCAGAGCGATATCCGCACTGCGCAGTCGCGTTCGCATTCGATGCCGTCGCCGTATTCGTCCTTACGTGGCTGAGCATAAAGCAAGCATAAAGCGTACTCTGGTGCGCCTGAGTCTTGGTATGAATGATACCCAACAGGGACGCCGCATAGTGTCGGGTACGGGGTTGGTTGTCCTGATGAGAGACAGTACGTATCCCATTCTCTGACGCGGCCTGCACAGTGACCAATGATACATGTAACATTTCTAGCTGCGATCTTATTCATGTAACCCAATCCATGGCAGATGATTCCATCTCTGTCACTTAGTATTGATATTTCAGATTGTTGACCGTCATCAACGCCTTAGGATGGTCAATGTACTGGACATCGCCGTCAAAATTTACCCAGTCTGGAGTAATTCCTTTGTGCTGCGTCCGCTCTTTGCGCAGAGCCACTGATCGTCTGCTCAATAGGTTGGAAACGACGTGCCCACTCGATCCGCAGTGCGTCTTGTCGCAACCTATCATTCACGCATTATTTCTTAACCTTCTCATATAGATGATGACTTAGCCGACGCGCCTACTGCTTCACTCGCACCAAGCAGACCCAAATAACTGCGACGGTGGGACATACATCTCGCAGATCTTCTCCATAATATTCGAGAGTCCTACAAATATACTAGAAGGGACCGATGCATACGCCGTGACGAGAGCTCGCGTCCGAAGCGGAGGAGGGCGAGAGTACAGAGTAGGTGTTGATGCTGGCTAACCCCCCTCAGGACGACTAGGGTATGCGCTGTTGTCCGTATTTCGATGGATCTGAGTAAAGATTGCAGGGTATCAATACGGGTCATTTGTAGGACTGGCGGGAGTGAGAACTGATCCCGCGCTCTTCTGTTGACTCTTCCTTTGTTCCGAACGGATGCTGATACTACAGGCCTCGATTCACAGCCCAATATTATGCAGTTCGGTCGTCAATAACGGCAATACATCCTCTGGTTAGTGATCACGACAACATTCATCGTTCGACTTTGATAGCTTAGGCAGATTGTGATGTTTACAACGGAGTGTTACTGCGGCTGATATACAACAGGACAAACGCTTGTTCAAGATAAATTACCACGTTCGCGGTACACTCGGATCGACGCCGTTGCACCCGCCAGTTTCAGCGCATCGACCAGCAGCCTGGGAGCTGCAGTGCCCGCTAGCAAGATTGCACCATTCCGAGCATCACAGAGCTCGAGCATGCGTATTCCTCTCTTGCAATCTACTCCCCGCTAGTGCAAAGATCACACTATATTCTCCTCGACGATGTCGGACGACCTGGACATCACGGTGACTGTATCACAAGAGCGAGTGATCCCATTACTTGACATATGCGTTATTAATCCACTCTTCAGCTTCCTTGGAAATTGCTTGATCGTCTCTGCTCAAGGTGTGCCTATCGAATACCATTGGGCAGTCACTTACTAACGACGACACTTACCGTAACTCAACCACTGACATAGCGCTCTGCTGCTATGATTTCTTCCTGACATTCGTGTCTGAGGCGCGTTTCATGTGGACCGTCAAGCCCTCCATTGGATCGGTTCTCTTCTTCAGCCTGCGCTACCCCATGCTGTGCAACATCATCGCAGTTGTCCTCAATTACCTGTTCTCAGGAAATTGGCAGGACTCAAAGGTGAGTCCCGTAGTGTGACCCCACATACATTAGCTATCACGACGCAACGATGACCGGTCCATTTGCAGAGGTAAGGTACAGTCATCCGTGTGTCAATGTCGAACTGACCGTCAAACAACCCGAACCATAGTTGCACGGTCATAATGCGGCTGCAGATAGTAGGAGACATCTTGATTTTGACGAGTTCTGCCAGTGAGTGCTAAAACTGCGTCCCAAATTTTCGTTATACTGACTCTGACTCGGAGTCTTCACCGCCACACGAATTTATGCTGTCTCTGGACGAAGCAAGTGGCGCGGCTGGCTCATACTTCTCTTGGGTGTGATCAACCCAATTATGGCCATGGTGCGTCACATAGGCATGCGTAATCTTCAGGAAAACCAACACGCGGACTGAATCTATGTCAAGTACACACTCATACTCTACAAGCCCTACCTCGCGCGCATCGCGCCCCATTACCAAACCTGCGATATCAACATGTCTTCTCCGAAGGATATGTGCGATGGCCCATGGTTTTCTCAAGGATTGAACACGCACTGACATTGAACTCCACAGATGTGCGTGACGCTTCGGCTCATATGCCGGTTGTCCGTGGTACCGGCTGCTTGTTCATGGTAGGACACCTATATAGGGATGATGTGCGCACGAGCTTCAGCGATGATCTTCGACGCCGTCGCGCTGCTTTTCACCTGGCTAAGCATCAGGCATTTGGTGAACGCGGGTCGTCAGGCGGACATCTCAGAAGTAGATTCCTCCCCCATGGACCTGGAGAACATGTCCATTGTTCTCATGAAGGACAGTGAGTAATACAAATCTTTGACGTGACGCCCGCACTGAGTACAGCTACGGTCGTTTTAGCTGTGATCTACTTCGGGTACATTCGTTGTCAAACAGTATGACTCTCGTCACTGAGAAGAGAAATCGCAGCTTTCTGTCTGTGATCAACGCGTCGGGAATTGCATGTCCCAAGGCAGGTCTCCCGTTTCCTCCAGAGGGCATGCACTTACCTCTCCGATCGTGCCACTAGTTCATCAATGCCGCGTCTACCTGGAGCGCAGTGTACGTCTTCCACGCAACTCCGTGCTTAGTTCAGCCTCATGATCTGCTGTTGTGCATCCGCAATAGCATGTCGTCCATCTTGCTCGGTCGTCTTATGCTCGACCATCAGTAGAAGTCCGATTTTGCTAACCGTTGCTAACCGTTGCTGACACGCTGACGGTGTGGAAGAGAAAGCCGGCCGAGGGCTAGACCGGCGCACACCGCGTCATAGATATGTCACATTTCCTTCTTGATCGTTCAGAGCTTCCGGTTCTTCTTCTTGACTCATGCATTTCGCGACAGACAGTTATACATTACGACCACGATCCAATACTGTACCGACTCGACACTACCGACGCGACTGAGGCGAACTGGAAGGCAAAGGCGAAAGACTCACCGTAGGACGAAGGCGGGTCGACGAGTAGAGTGCCGCACCTGTGGGGGCCAGGTCGCGAACGTCAATAGCACCGCTCGTCCGCTGTCAGCCCCGTACCGAGACAACGGTCCGCCGTCAATGCCGGAAGGGGGACCAACGTACGTCGACACCCGGGCGGGTGCTCCAGATTCGTTCCATACGGTACATCCAAATTAGGTATTATTCTTTCCCAATCCGGCAGTCGATTGCTGGTACTTCACATATCACGTTTCCATTCGAACCAGTCACGCGTTCCTTCTGTGTCCAACGCTCTCTCCTAGTTTTTTACACTTCTCTGGTGCTTCGGTCTCGCACTGTATTTGTAGAGGGCCACGTCGCCCGTTCTCGCCAGTGAATCTTACCCCCCCCATCTTCTCCCTTCTCGCTTACGCGCGCTTCCAGGTTAGGCACGGACGAGCGACTCGACGTCGCGCGTGCACCTCAAGTCGAGCCAAAGTCGAGTAGTCGAGTCGATCAGTTAAGTATCCATTCGTATCCGCGCGGCCCCATTACTCTACACAGAACATCACCTGCCGTCCAGTCCCCAGCCCGATCGCCCGTAACTAGACTCGCCTCAAACGCCTGCTTCAGGAGATCGTGTTGTGTGTGTTGGTCGTCGACGCGCACGTATTCTCTCCGACAAGTGGTGACCACCGCAGGGGTTTCATTGCACACAGGTACGTGTGCAGAGTCTCGGGTGCGCTAATTGTTCTATTTCAGGACGGCGCCCAAGAAAGAACCGAAAAGCGCGACCAGCGCACCGCGACCCAACACAGGCGAACCATCTCGAGGACGCCCAGAACTTCGCCGTACTACTCGATTAGCTACTGACGTTTCGCTAGAACGAGCAGCATCCCGGAAAGGCAAGCAACGACAGAAGAACCCTAAGATCGACAAGGACGTCGATCAGGAACTAGATATCTCGGTTCTCCCTACGTCATCCGCAGACGTACTCACCCCGCTAAGCACTTTCTCGTTTACCTCACTCTCCTCGTTCCCCTCAGGCTCAGTCACGCCAACCACTCCAAAAACACCATTCACACCGGTGTTTACTCCCGCGGTTTCCCCTATATCCCAGTACCAGGATCCTACTGACAAACAATCCGCAGACATGTCAGCGCCAGGAGCAATGTCCGACTCAACCGTTCTGATCGCACCACCACCGTCTCGTATCGCGATGCCACCACCAACTTCGAAATACTCGCCCCGGTTTGACGGCAAGCGTCTCCGGAGCTTCCTCAACGTGTTCGAGAACCTAGCTAACGCTGCGATGCTTTCGGACAGCGAGAAGTGTCGCATGGTGCTCGAGTATTGCACCGAAGAGGTAAGCGTCATGCTCTCATGCATGACTCAATTCGCAGGTAGCGATTGGGCGAAGGCCAAGGAAAGGATGGTATTCTGTTTCGGCGAAGGTACAGTCAAGGACAAGGGCTCGGCTGACAAGCTCCGGGCATTCAGCAAGAAGTACAGAAAGAAGCATACGATCCGGAACTTGGACGGATACTATAAGTACTTACACGGGTTTCTCAAGTGCGCAGGTAACCAGATCGAGTTGGGCGGGATCACCGAGGCGGAGCACGATTATCTGTTCTTCCGTGGACTGAATTCACGCGTCAGACAGGCGATCGTACCGAAGCTTGAGAAGGCGATGGGCAAGACACCCACCCACAAGGAGCCAGCGCCCTTTGAACAGTGCGCGAACGAGGTCCGCAATTATTTTACTGATAACGATTACCACAGAGACGCGCTAGATTCATCAAGTGACGAATCTGAAGACAGTGATTCGTCAGACGACGAGTCTGATGATGATACTGACTCTTCTGATAGTGACAGTGACGACGACAAGAAGAGGAAAAAGAAGAAGAAGGTCAGCAAGAAGGCCGACAAGAAGAAGGGCAAGAAGAGAGGTAAGCGTACGAAAGATAAGGACGAGGTTGACGAATTAGCGGAACGACTCGATAAGTTGCTTGCGGCGCGGCACGCAACGACGACGCCGAATTCGACAGCACAAGCCACGGCAAGTGCGGCGCAACACGGACAGCCTGCGCGATGCTGTTACATGTGTGACAAGGAAGAAGGTAAGGATTTGGACCATCGAATCGGCATGGGTCATTGCGGCTTCACCAAGAAGTGGATTGCGGATGGTACGATCATGTATAGTCCGCAGGGTAGACTGACATACGCAGATGGATCCGACCTGCCTAACGGGCGAGGCGTCCCGGGCGGCATATCCACGCTAATCCAACAGCGGATCGATCAACTCAAGGGAAAAACGCGCGACTCGCCGCCACACATGGCGTGCAGCTCAATCGAAGTACTGCGCGACAATGAGCCGGTACTCAGCGGTGACGTCTATGCCCTCTCATCTGAAGACGTTTACTCGTGTCCGGTTACCAGATCGCAAGGGAGAGCCCTAGACTCGCCCTCGGATTCGCCCGCGGCAGGGCCGAGCTTGCCCAAGAAAGTGCGTTTCGATTATAAGCACTCAAGTACTGACGAGCCGGAGGGTGGCTCGACTCGAAAGTCACCCCCTCCCACTCAGGTTCGGCAGCCCGCGGAGCCGACACGGTTCACTAAGGACAAGGCTAAGGCAGCCGAGGGAGCGAAGACGGACCCGCCGAAGATCAACACAGAGCAAGGGTGGAGAGATCGTGAGGCACAGAAGAAGCAACAACGGAAGACCAACCCGGGCGATTATGCAGGTCAGACACGGTCAGACAGGACTAACGTGCGCTTCACGTCAGACATTCAAGACATGGTTTCCGCCGACCAGGTTATGGAGAAGGCGCTCAATACAATGCTTACGATCCCACTAAAAACGCTCATAGCAATGTCGCCCGAAATGCAGAAGCGCTTCGCAACCATGACGAAGACTCGGCGCGAGGTCCACGCGATGATGGTAGAGGAGGTAAGCGAGGACGACGACGCTAATAGCGATGCAGGAGCAGCGGACGACAAGGCAAGCTCAGTCGGAGCGGCATCTGTTACGATCCGCGACGAAGAACACCTCGCGCAAGTTATCGACAGCTACGCGGCGGCACTGGCGATCGGGCGGCGACGGTTCGTCGCGATGGCATGCGGGCTCGTGCAGGGCAAGTTCGGAACAGAACCGGTAACGTACCTCATTGACTCGGGTTCGGAGCTTAACTTGATCGCACAACGAGTGTACGAGCAAGCTGGTGTGGAGCTCGACGGTGATGGGTCGAGGTGGACGCTTCGGGGCATACACGGAGCTCCTGTATCGCTCGTTGGATGTTGCAGGGACGCGCCGGTTGAGGTGAATGGCGTCAGGTTCGATCACCATTTCTTCGTGCACCCGCAGGAGCTCGGTAGGCATGATGCAATACTGGGGCAGCCATGGCTGCAGTGGTTCTCGTCGCGCCTCGAGTACGCACGTAGTGGAGGGCAGGACCTCGTAGTCTTCCCTGACGGGGACGTTGAGAACGTGCCAATGCGAATCCGAATTGCGGGGCTGTCAGACCGACGGAACGTGGACAAGCTGGTCCAGTCGGTGGAAGTGGTAGAGGGTTTTTAGGAGGGGACGCGTGTACCGAGCTGGCCCCGTCGTTTGCGGGGCAAGCGTCCCTAGAAATCCCTCGGCTCGGGAGAACGATACAGGCTTTGGCCGGTGATCGAAAGTTCTTGGACTCGGATAACGTGCATGCGCTCGCGCAATTGAATCCGCCTCACGCGTTTGATACGCTTCTCCGTTCGGTTTTCTTCTCTTCACCCGATTGCAAGCAGCCAGTTCGCTCATCTTGGACAGATCGTGCACTCATTCAATATGAAGCTTCGGCGGGTGCGGCACGACGATACAAACCAGTTGCGCGCAAGGTAAGACCCGTCCCTACGTATATGCCTAATCCATCAGCACAGAAGCTCGTTCCTATCGAAGTTCCAACACCGCCTCCGTTGCCGACGAACCCATCACCACGCGCAGTATTCGTGCCGACGCAGCAGCTGACTCAGGACCGCCTGGATGCAATCCTCAAGACCATTCCGGACGGGTTCCTCACAAATGCAGAAACGGACCTCATGGTGCACGTCCTCGACATTAATCAGCGGGCACTCGCGTGGACTGAAGAGGAGCGAGGTACGTTCTCACCGAAGTATTTCCCGGACTACGAGATTCCTGTTATAGAACACGTACCGTGGATGCGACCGCCGATCAAGGTACCGAAGGCCCTTGAAGATAAGGTACGAATGGTCGTGCAGGACCAGATTGATGCAGGGAACTACGAATATTCGACGGCATCGTACCGGGCAGCCTCATTCCCAGTACTGAAGAAGAACGGCGAGCCCAGAATGGTCATCAACCTCGAAGATCTCAACGCGGTTACAATTCGCGACTCGGCGTTACCTCCGCGAGCGGACGACTTCGCTGAGAGCTTCGTTGGCCATCAAGTATACGCGATACTCGATCTGTTCTCTGGCTACAACGGCATTCGGCTACATGAAGGATCGCGCGACCTGACGACGTTCCATTCGGTATGCGGCGCGCTTCGAAATGCGACGATGCCACAGGGCTTCACAAACGCGATGCAATGCTTCATGCGATGGATCCTGCATGTACTCGGGCCTATGTATCCTGTACTCGCTGACGCCTTTGTAGACGATAATGGAGTGAAGGGGCCTACGTCACGGTACAATGACGAACCTATCGAAGGCAATCAGGATATCCGCCGCTTCATATACGAGTTTGCGACCACGCTGAACATGTTGTTTCACAGGTTCCGCGAGGCAGGCGTGACGGCTTCGGGGGCGAAGCTAATTCTTGCTACCCCTAAGGTACAGATCGTCGGCTCGGTAGTCTCTGCTAACGGATGGGAACCAGAGCACGGCCTCGTCAACAAGATACTCAAGTGGCCATACTGCGAATCAGTCAGCGAGGTCCGCGGGTTTCTCGGCACTGCAGGCGTCGGACGGCGATGGATCAAGAATTTCTCGCTAATTGCTAAGCCGCTCTCAGCCTTGTGCCGTGTTACTGACGCCCCGTTCGAATTCGGCGTGGTAGAACGACGGGCTATGGACGAACTCAAAGCACTGATCACGCGCGCTCCGGTACTCAGGAAGATCGACTACCCTCTTGCAGCGACGATCGTTCGGGCTCCACGAACATCGGATCACGGACTCGTCGTCCTCGCGGTCGACTCGTCGATCCACGGAGCAGGGTGGGTCATATATCAGTATAACGAGACTGACAAACATCCAGCTATATTCGGATCGTGCACGTTCAACGCGGTTGAATCAAGATATTCGCAGCCCAAAGCTGAGCTGTACGGAGCGTTTCGAGCGATCAAAGAATGCCGACACCGCGTATGGGGCGTCCACTTCCGACTCGACGTCGATGCAAGTTACCTCAAGCAGATGATACACGAACCGGACCTGCCAAACGCGCCCATGACGCGATGGGTATCGTATATACAGTTGTTTGACTTCGAGCTAAACCATGTGCCCGCAGCGAAGCACAAAGCTGAAGACGGTTTATCACGCCGACCACCTGCGGACGATGACTCGAGCGAATCGGATGGAGAAGACGAGCTCGACCGTCATATAGGTTCCGTCGGCGGTCAACTCAGCCCAAAGCGCTTCAACGTATTCGCCCTCGCAATGGCCGAGCAACACCGCTCAACAACGGCAGAGGCCCAGGTCGGGTTCGACTACGAGATATCCGCGGGCGGCATCGCGCAGGTGGCAACGGTCGTCAACATGGGTGAGTTTGAGTCGCACAAGGCTAACCGTATAGCAGAATGGGTCCACCTTATCGGCAGTGCGGTCATGGCCGGGAACGCTCGGCCGCACAACGCGAACATCGTCGACTTCATCTATCCGCGATGGTATACGTATCATCAACGCCTTTATCCAGCTATCCCTCAGTGCGGACCTAATTGGGACAGTTCACAGAACAATCCGCGAACCGGGCGCGAGTACTGGGCACCAATCGAAGAACCAGGCAACATGAGCCCGTTCCATCCGAGTTTGCTGCGAAACGAGGACGACGCGACGTACATCGGCAACGAATTCATGGTGCGTAGCTTCGCACGCGAACAGGAAGCTGAGTTTCTCGTAGGCGACGAAGTCGTGACGCTCGCGTATACTGAGTATCGACCAGCGTACATTATCTCCGAGCTAACCACCCCAGATCAACTCGACGCGATACAAGACCACGTCGACAAGGCTAACCGCCGGCATGGGTCGCATTGGCAGGCCGGCAGCACAACCTGGGATGCGCATCCGGAAGAGACGAGGATGCGTTACGCGTACATGCCGCCGCCAACGGGCATGCATGACATTCGGTGCGCTTCGCACGAGCATAAAGGAGCTGACACGTCTTCCACCCAGTTGTTCGAAGAGATCAAGAAGTACATAAGCGACGGGACGCTCCCTGAACGATGCGTACTGGACCGAAACGAACTGAAGAACTTGAAGCGACGCGCTCAGGGCTTCATCGTGCACGATGACCGTCTGTGGAAGACCAGCAAGCGTGATGTGCCGCGGTTAGTGGTGTTCGATGAAGGTAGGCGACGGGAATTGATCGCGGAGGCTCACAATGATTGCGGACATCGTGGTCGCGATCCGACGTATACGAAGCTTGCGGACAGGTACTACTGGCCGTCCATGTACGACGAGATCGCGTTCTTCGTACGGTCATGCAACAGCTGTCAGTACCGGTCGCGGACGCGCACGATTACGCCACTCAGCATCACGCTCGCACCGTCGATCCTTAGGCGATGGGTCTTCGACACAGTATACATGCCGAAGGGGGAGCATGGCGAGAAGTACCTACTCCATGGATCGGATGCGCTCGGCAAGTGGGTCGAGGCATGGGCGGTAAGAAAGAACAACTCGCGCACTTGGGCTGATTTTCTATGGATGATTATCTGCCGCTTCGGTTGCTTACCGATAGTCGGGTGCGACGGTGGACCGGAATTCAAAGGGGCGGTGCGTATATTGCTTGAAGAGCACGGCGTCGCGATCATCCTCAGTACGCCATATCACCCTCAAGGCAACGGTATAGCGGAACGTGACGGGCAAACACTGATGCGGGTTCTTCTTCGATCCAGCGGAGACAAGCCTCAACGATGGCCGCGGCACCTTGGGGCGGCGTTGTTGGCGATTAGGACGACGGTATCGCGCGCAACGGGATTTACGCCCTATTTCCTGCTCTACGGCAAGCATTGTCTGTTCCCTTTCGATCTTACTGACAGGACGTGGTACAAGCTCGCGTGGGACGAAGTCAAGACAACCGAGGACTTGCTCGCCATCCGTGTACAACAGATCGAGCGTCGCGACAAGGTGCTCGGAGAGGCGACAGAACACCTCCGGCAAAGCCGACAGCGGGCGATCGACGACTTCATGCGCAAGTACGCCCGGCAGATCGAGCTCGGCGACTACGCGCCCGGGACATGGGTCGTCGTCCACGAGACGTGGCTCGATGCGCAGCACGGCAATAAGGGCGCGCTCCGTTGGGCAGGGCCGTACATAGTCCACGAGCGGTATCCCTCTGGTTCTTACTGCATCCGCGAGCTTGATGGCACCGTCCTGAAGGAGCATGTCGCGGCGAGTCGCTTACGACTTTTCTTCTACAGGGCAGACCATCAAACAATGTCTACGGTACTCGCACTCGACCCTGCAGACGACCCGCGCCTGGAAGACGTACCGCACTATATGTGGAGGACGAGCTGCGGAACGCTCGGACTTCTGAAGCAGAACGCGGCGGAGCTACCGGAGGGTGTGTGGGACGTTATCGACACGCGGAGGTGGGACATGGCGGGCGCGTACGAAATGACGAACGCAGTGGAGATGCTCGCTCTCGTTGGCCAGTACTACACGCCGTGGTGCTAGGGCGGTCTTGAGGTCAAGACTATAGTCACCCCCTCTTGTGGAAGAGAAAGCCGGCCGAGGGCTAGACCGGCGCACACCGCGTCATAGATATGTCACATTTCCTTCTTGATCGTTCAGAGCTTCCGGTTCTTCTTCTTGACTCATGCATTTCGCGACAGACAGTTATACATTACGACCACGATCCAATACTGTACCGACTCGACACTACCGACGCGACTGAGGCGAACTGGAAGGCAAAGGCGAAAGACTCACCGTAGGACGAAGGCGGGTCGACGAGTAGAGTGCCGCACCTGTGGGGGCCAGGTCGCGAACGTCAATAGCACCGCTCGTCCGCTGTCAGCCCCGTACCGAGACAACGGTCCGCCGTCAATGCCGGAAGGGGGACCAACGTACGTCGACACCCGGGCGGGTGCTCCAGATTCGTTCCATACGGTACATCCAAATTAGGTATTATTCTTTCCCAATCCGGCAGTCGATTGCTGGTACTTCACATATCACGTTTCCATTCGAACCAGTCACGCGTTCCTTCTGTGTCCAACGCTCTCTCCTAGTTTTTTACACTTCCCTGGTGCTTCGGTCTCGCACTGTATTTGTAGAGGGCCACGTCGCCCGTTCTCGCCAGTGAATCTTACCCCCCCCATCTTCTCCCTTCTCGCTTACGCGCGCTTCCAGGTTAGGCACGGACGAGCGACTCGACGTCGCGCGTGCACCTCAAGTCGAGCCAAAGTCGAGTAGTCGAGTCGATCAGTTAAGTATCCATTCGTATCCGCGCGGCCCCATTACTCTACACAGAACATCACCTGCCGTCCAGTCCCCAGCCCGATCGCCCGTAACTAGACTCGCCTCAAACGCCTGCTTCAGGAGATCGTGTTGTGTGTGTTGGTCGTCGACGCGCACGTATTCTCTCCGACAACGGATGCTAACGCCAAAGCGTTAGATAGTGTCAGCGTGTCACTCAATGCTCACATCCGTTAGCTGTTAGCAAAAAGTGCATTTTGCTAACAGCCTGTGACGGCCGTTGACAGAGTTACTGAAGCCTGACGCGATTGGCAAACCATTATCATAGCTTAAAGACATATTACATTCTTCTATCTAACTATCGAAGTCTGCTCTTTAACCCGCATCATCCGCACCGACCACATACTGCTTGCCAGGCCCATAGGCTGCGATGATCCTATCCTCGTTCGTCTTGTAACACTGCCGGATCATCGCTCTGTAGTGCACACCGAGCACGTCGCTATTCCTCAACCCGGCGCTCTCGACCTGACTTGAGGATCGTCGTCAGATCCGAGATCGTCGAGGAGAGCTGATGCGAGATGTCCGAGAACGCGGCTTGTGCGTGTGCGGGGAGGGCCGTGGTTGTTGCACGCACTGGATGCAGCTCTGTGAGCATCGTGTTGGATAAGGTGTGCACTGGAAACGAGGGGTGGCAAGATATCGTGTCAGCCGCGCTTGGAGTGACTGACTCGGAAGAACCGGTGCGTACCTTTCGTTGGGCGGTGTCGTAGCTCGCGCGATTGTGGAGAGGTCGTGTGCTGTCTTGGAGGCACGCTTGACGAGCATGTTGTGTGTCTTGAGCTGGTTAAGTTGCCTTGTGGAGTACGTGCGCAGCTGGTCGGAGAGCTCCCTCGAGAGGGCGTAGGCGCGCTAGTACTGATACTTGGTCCCCGGGGACGCAGGCTCTGCAGTGCCGTTTGCAGAGGGGTGGATCCGGTGAACCGCGACTTAGAAGTAGTCGACAATGAGTGCGAAGCGCTGTAAAGGCCCGGGAGTCAGGCATGGCATGATTGCCGGTACATAGGAGATACGCATCTGGTCGATACCCTCTGCGACGTTCGCAACGAGGCTCTTCACCCGCGCCTCGATGGTCTTGTTCGCAAGGTCCTTCGCGTTGTTGCTGCGGGCCTTGAGGTCCTTGACGATGTCCTCCGGTGTCGTCTTGAACGGGTACGGGTACCTGCTCTCGACCGCACCGCACCAAGCCCAACATTGGCGTACTCGTCCGCGCAGAGAAGCAGTGGGGAGCAGCGGCGCGAAGCGGCGCCGGAGGGGCTCTGCGTACCCGAGCGCGGACTTGGACACGGTCGTGGCGGTGGTGTAGGGCTGGCAGGTGTACGTGATTGTTGGGCGCTGAGGGAGGACGAGACGAAAGTGTTGAACTTCAACTGTTTTAGGTGTTATCACACGGGATAGGACTTATCCTTACCCGTTATGGACTTATGTTCTACTATGCTACATATTACGTACATTCTTTTCGGATTTGATCCAGACCTGTAGCACATGATTAGATCTAGACCCTGATGGAACATTCCACCGCTTTCCATCATGTTCCAGCACATTCCTTGATTGCATCGTATTGCATCATTGAGCACATCGCTGTTCCAGTCCTTTCCATGACATTCCATTCATGGTGCAATATCGCCTCATCCTTGTGTATTCGCTCATTGCACCATATCGCTCCGTTATGACTCTACGCTGTTACGCTTACTGTACGATCATGTGATGGCTCTCTCATGTGTATATATACTGGGCTGGATACGCCCTAGAATGTAACGGTCTCTCCTCTCGTCTTAACGCCTCTGAGTCTTCCCTCTCAGCTCTTAAGAGATCTGTTGTAAGTCCTCCTTTACTACAGTGCTCTTTGTGCTTCTGTAGTATTCTTTTGTAGCCTTGCCTCAGGCTAGCCACAACACTCCTTGTTCATCAGGTTATGAGCCCTGGTCACTGACCAGCTCCCTGTACAGTGCGCACTACTGTTGTTTAAAAGTCCTACTTCTTCAAGGAGTAAGTTAGGCACCGTTTGCTGTCCTTTTGGACTGAGTTTGACGTCTCAAGGACACAGTGCCCAAGGCCTTGTCAGAGCGTCTCTCCAGGGTAGCTCGAAAGAGCGATTTTAAAGTTTATCCTCCGGCCAAACCTGAGAGAAAGGTTGGTCCGACGCCGACACTATCTACCTCTGATCTTCGGATCTAACGTTTTCTTGATCCCAGTCCCATCCGCTCCCAGTTCGCCCCACCTCTGCCTCCACCTCTGCACCTAAGCCTTTGGCTGAACGTCTCTCTGCGCCTCGTCCTCTCCCTGACTTCAAGCGAAAGTCCGCTGAAGACGCCAAGGGTATCCTTCTCAAGAAGGTACACGCCACTGCCGATCGTTTCCAAGCGATCTTCGACAAGAAACACCTCTTCGATCGTCTCGACGGCGAATCTCAGAAGGCTCTTCATCGTCTCGCCGACCAACTCAATTGGGTCGACGACAACATCGACAAGGTCTCTACCTGGTCGAAGGAGCAGCGCGAGAGAATTTCGTGGGCTTGCAAGCAGGTTGGGCGCGTCGAGTTTTCGACGGATACAGAGTCGCTTGCTCGTAGGTACCGCAAGGTAGCCAGGGAGCTTACGCTAGTCTCTGACGGCGGATATCTGGACTGGATCGCTTTGTAGAACTTTGGTCGGCGTACCAATACGTTTATATACCTGGAATATTAGTTTGTTAAGCATCACATTGTGGCTTCGTCTGAGCATCACTCGGACATCAGCGAACATAGTAGTGGTGAAACACCCTACGATTGTACCGGTCATCATCATCTATTTGATTATCAGGAAGTCTACGACTATCACTATCGTCCTGAGGAAGCTGAGTGGAACGCTTGCGACGAAAACCACTGTCCTCATCGTTACGACGTTCCTGATTACACACCGCCAGGTAACACTTGGGGTGGCATACCGGTTGCTTCCTGGCAGGAAGATTTTATATTCGCTAACTCGTTTTCGGAGGCATCTTCTCCTCCTGGTCCTGAACACGTTGCAAGGCTACCGTCGCCAAGCAGCACCGTTTACTCTCCTCTCACTCCCCTCTCTGAAGTTTCGTTTGAGGCTCCCCTAGAGCCAATTGTTTTTGAGTCCGAAGAATTTAACGAGTTTATTCTTCTGACAACCACCATGGGAGACGTCAAGCCCGACGCTATTCCCGTGCTTGCCCAAGCGTCTCAGTACGCTAATTGGTCGGCTGCCATGCGCGGCTACCTCACGTTTATAGAAGCCTGGCCTGCTATTGCTCCGGGTACCACCACAGATGCCAATTATGGCAAGATGAACTCCCGCGCTCAAGGTGTACTCCTGATGCGCACGGAGAGGAACATTCATCACCACCTCCTGAAGGAAGATGGGGAAACCCTGAAGACCGCAAAGGAGATGTGGGACGCCCTTAAAACGGCGTTTGGTACTCCGGATGCGGCCTATTCCTGGTCGCTGTTTTGCTCGCTCATCAAGTCGCCTGAAATGTCGGACTCTAAGCCCCTTCACGACCAGACGAACAAAATTGTAACTCGTCTGAAGGAAGTCGTTGCTGGAGGGATCAAGCTTGACGAGTCGACGCAGGCTCTGATTCTCCTGTCCAAGGTGCCGGAGACCTACCAGACCATGGTCTCTGCACTCATGGCGACCACGAAGTTGACCGATCTGAAGATCGAGACGGTCGTCAACAAAATCTTGGCCGAGGAATCTCTTCGACGGTCCGGCATGGGACAGTCCGCGTCGAAATCTTCGCAGATTAAGCGGAAGTCGAAGGTTCCCTGTCCGACTTGTGGAGGTCCTCACGGCGAGGAGAACTGTTGGACCAAGTACCCTCATCTGCGCCCCAAGGGCAATAAGTCGGGGGGAAAGGGCAAAGGCAAAGGCAAGGGCAAGGGTAAATCGGACTCGAATGGACATTCTTCGCATACGGTATCTACGTCAGATGGTGCTTCTTCTGGACAGTCGTCAAATGTTGTACAAGTAGATGCGAGCTCTGCGGGCTCCGCTCAATTGACTTCTTCTTTCTATGTTGCGGATCACTCCGCTGAGACTGAGGGAAAGATGACTGACTGGATAATGGATTCTGGTGCGTCTATGACGATCACAAATGATGTGTCTGATTTCTGGGACTACCACGAGTATCGTGTCCCTATCATTTTTAAGACGGCCGGAGCTGCTACCATAAAAGCACTTGGAGAAGGTACCATTAAGGGAGTTTGTTTGGTTAACGGAAGGCGAGTTCCAACGACGATTACGAACGTCGCCTATATTCCATATGCGTCTGGTCGTTTGTTTTCAACCGGATGTATTGAGAGGACGAACTATTGTTTGGTTCAAGGATCAGGACGGATGGTCATCTATGACCGCAAGTTTGAACATGGGCAAAAGACGCAGAACATCGGCAACGCCATCTTGCAGGCGGACTATATGCCGGTGAACAATTTGTATCTGCTGTTCTTGGAGATTTTGAGCCGCAAGTCCGCAAGGACTGTTTCATCGTCAGATTGGAAACTCTGGCATCGACGTTTAGGGCATCCTTCTAAGGAAGCTCTTGAGAAACTGCCTAGCCATACGAAAGGTGTTGATTCAATCGGAGACGAGGACAAGTCTCCGTGTGAAGGCTGTCAGTGGGGTAAATCACATCGTACCCCGTTCCCTCCATCGGACAAGAGAGCTTCCAGGCCTCTTGAACTTGTTCACACCGATGAAGATGGTCCTATGCGTACGGCCTCTGTGCCGAATGGTTTCAAATACTTCATATCTTTCTTGGATGACTATAGCAGTCTTGGACGTGCCTATTATCTTAAGCAGAAGTCTGAATCGCTCCGAGTGTTTGAGGATTTCAGGGCATGGGCTGAGAATGTTACCAAGGAAAAGATTAAAGTAGTACGCTCGGATCGTGGGGGGGAATACACTTCTGACGCTTTCACTGCCCGTCTTAAGTCATATGGTATTGAACACCAGAAGACGGTTGCCGGCTCACCTCAGCAAAATGGGAGAGCTGAACGTTGGAATCGCACCATCGTTGAGAAGGCTATGTCTATGCTACATCAAGCTGGACTAAGTCATGGTTTTTGGCAACTGGCAGTCGACACCGCGGTTCATATTTATAATCGCCAGCCTATGCGCCGCTTGAAGTGGCAATGCCCCATTACTCTCTGGGACGGCACAATCCCGGATGTTTCCTACTTTAGAGTTTTTGGGTGCAAGGTGTTTGTGCATGTGCCGAAAGAACAGAGATCTGGGAAGCTCGACAAGAAGGCAGTCGAGATGATCTTTGTTGGCTATGAGCAGGGTTCAAAGGGCTATCGTTTTTGGAACCCAGCCACTCGAGGGATTGTTGTGTCTCGTGATGTGACCTTCGATGAAGAGACGTTTCCGGCACGGAAAGATTTAGGCCATGACCCGAAGTCCCTGGGTCCGCCGCAGTTTGATCCTTCGGATTTGGAACCGGAGGATGTAGACAAACCTCTACCTGTACCTGTACCCGCAGACGACGAACCTGAAGAACCAGAAGATCAACCTGAGCCAGTGGGAGTAAATCCGCCTGAGCAGCCGCGTCCTGATCCTGTTCCTCCTCCTCAGCCTCAGTATCAAAGGCCTCGGAGAGATGGTGCTGGGAGAAATCCCGCTAGGAACAGAGACAACGTTTACGGAGATGAACCTCCAGCTTCAATTGATAAACGCACAGATACCCAAGGGAATCAGCGTCATGAAGCAGAAGTTTTGATGATGGCGCGCGCTGTTGCGGAAGCAAACCATGGTGTACCTCAGAGTCATTCTGAAGCCATGAAGTCTCCTGACAAACACAAATGGCATGGTGCGGAGAAGTCTGAGTACGACTCTCTGATCGAGAACAAGACATGGATTCTGGTTCCGCGACCTAAGAACAGAAAGGTCATTAAGAATCGTTGGGTTTATACGATCAAGCACGATGGTCGTTATAAGGCTCGTGTAGTAGCCAAGGGTTTCACCCAAGTTTGGGGTCAGGATTACCACGAGACCTTCTCCCCGGTTGCACGATTTGAGTCGGTGCGATACTTACTCGCGCACGCAGCCCTTGAGGATTGGGAGATTGAGTCGATGGACGTCAAGACAGCGTTTCTCAACGGTGATCTTGATGAGGAGATCTACATGGAACAACCTGAAGGCTGGGTTGTACCAGGCAAGGAGGACCACGTTTGTCTTCTCTTGAAGGCGATTTACGGACTTAAGCAGGCTTCACGCCAATGGAATGCTAAGATCCATACGTCTCTCCTAGGGCTTGGTTTTACGCGCACCTATTCGGATGCAGGTGTATACGTTTATACCCGTGAATCTGGAGATCACACTTGTGTCGTCATTCTATATGTCGACGACTTGTTGCTCTTGGGCGACTCTAAGCCCTTCATTGACTCGGTCAAAGAGCGCTTGTCGCGTGAATACCAGATGACGGATTTAGGAGCAGTCCAACGTTTCCTAGGTCTTAGAATACGTCGAGAGCGTTCTACACGCAAGCTCTTCGTGGACCAGGAAGACTATTTGGAGACTGTCCTAGAACGTTTTGGCATGAGCAACTGCAAAGAAGCTCGTACACCATTGCCAGCAGGCGCAAACTTGCTGAGCAGTACTGAGACTGCTACCGAAGAGTTTAGGACGAAGTACCAGAGCATTATTGGCAGTATCATGTACGCCATGCTAGGTACCAGGCCAGACATCGCTTTTGCGGTCACGCGATTGGCCAAGTTTTCTTCAAACCCATCTAAGGAGCATATGCGTTTGGCTTTCTATGTTCTGCGCTACTTGCAAGGAACGAAGCGTTTTGCACTCTGTTATGATGGCGGCAGTAACTCTGGTCTGATTGCCTACTCAGACTCAGATTGGGCCGAAGACCGCGACGATAGGCATTCGACAAGCGGCTTCATCTTCATGATGGCCAATTGTGTCATTTCCTGGGCGTCAAGACGTCAGCCGACTGTTTCTCTGTCTTCTACTGAAGCAGAATACAAGGCCGCCTCAGACACTTGTCGTCAGATGGCTTGGCTTCGTCATTTTGGCGAGGAGCTTGGAGACAACATGTCAAGTCCTACTCCTCTATGTCTAGACAACCAAGGAAGTATCTTCCTTTCGGTGAATCCTGTTGTGGACCGCCGAACCAAGCACATAGAGATCAGATATCACTATATACGCGAATTCTACGAGCGTGGTGAAACTGAAATCTATTTCGTCGCGAGCGAAGACCAGCTTGCAGACTGTTTGACCAAGAACGTTCCTCTCAAAGCTATTGAGAAGTTCAGGTCGTCTTCTGGCATGCTTGTAGCATCTTGAACAAGTGGGAGTGTTGAACTTCAACTGTTTTAGGTGTTATCACACGGGATAGGACTTATCCTTACCCGTTATGGACTTATGTTCTACTATGCTACATATTACGTACATTCTTTTCGGATTTGATCCAGACCTGTAGCACATGATTAGATCTAGACCCTGATGGAACATTCCACCGCTTTCCATCATGTTCCAGCACATTCCTTGATTGCATCGTATTGCATCATTGAGCACATCGCTGTTCCAGTCCTTTCCATGACATTCCATTCATGGTGCAATATCGCCTCATCCTTGTGTATTCGCTCATTGCACCATATCGCTCCGTTATGACTCTACGCTGTTACGCTTACTGTACGATCATGTGATGGCTCTCTCATGTGTATATATACTGGGCTGGATACGCCCTAGAATGTAACGGTCTCTCCTCTCGTCTTAACGCCTCTGAGTCTTCCCTCTCAGCTCTTAAGAGATCTGTTGTAAGTCCTCCTTTACTACAGTGCTCTTTGTGCTTCTGTAGTATTCTTTTGTAGCCTTGCCTCAGGCTAGCCACAACACTCCTTGTTCATCAGAAAGGGATGGACACGACGCGCGAGATGATGGTGAGCTGGGGCGTGCGGGTCGTCTCCTGAGTTGCTGCATCATCGTGAGCGATGTTGACCAGAGTGTAGGTAGTGTAGAGTGCGATGAGGGTAACAGCCGCGACAGGCCGTGCGAGCGCTCCCGCGGTTTAGGGCAAGCACCGGTTGCACTTGACACGAGTGCGTCGCGCCCTCCCTCGTAGCGCAACACACCAAGCACCCATCCTCTCCTTATATCTCTACCGACGCCTGATAATTGCCCGCTGCACACCTCGCTCTCCCGTCTGCACGCACGCTTTCTGACGACGCCCGCTTTCTGACGACGCCCGCTTTCTGACGACGCCCGCTCGCTCTCTGCTCCTGCATGCATGCATGTTGCCAGCACGACCCATAATGTGCGCGCACCCCCATCGCCGATCCTCTCACCCACTGACGCATGCCTCAATTATAGCATCACGGACGTCCTGGCCACACTCACTTCCCCGACCGAAGCATACTACTCATCTGACTGGGCCCTTCAACACCATATCAGACCGCAGCACTTCACGACCCATCATCACTGCACACCGTGTCCGCCTCCACCTCCTTCCAGCCCGCCTTCGCAGCGCAGCAGCCCTCCCCGCGCGCCCTCCATATAGCCACTGCCGTGGCAGGCGCACACGCACCCGAGCCCGAGGAACAGACCGCCCGCCCCTTGCACTCGCGCGGGCAGCACGGGCTGCTTGCGGACGCGGAGGGGGATCCCTCGCACAGCGAGCATGGCTCGGACGCCGCTGCGCTTGTGTTCCGGTTCGAGGTGTTTGGCCAGCCGGTGCGGAATTTGAAGAACTTCGAGGAGGGCGTGTTCAGTGGCCTCCTCAAGCCAGGCATGGACGCGTGTCTTGAGGAGCCCAAGGTGAGCACCGTTAGTGTGTCAATGCGCCAAGCCCCGCCACAACACCGCCCTCAAGACGACCACAAGGTAGTGCGCCTTCTCCGCGCATCTCGCAACCGCCTGGCCCGGTTGGTGTGCCTCGGACAGGCGAAGAATGCCGCACCCGCGTCTGCACTCAAGGCGAGCCTGAGCAACACGGACACCCGGTCTCTCACGCCGCACAAACGCGCTTCTTGAAAAACGGCGAGCCCATCGGGCATGAAGCACACACGCCAGCTGCACCGAAGCTGGAGATGCACCTGCACGCGCCGCAGTTCTACAAACCCGGGTAGGAACCGTTCTCGGAGGAGGAGGGAGGAGGGACACTACCAACTCCGCCGGTGAGTATACACCCGCACACAACCCGTACCTGCTTCGGCGGGTCTTTACCTGGGCGGGTGCGTTTGTTAGGTTTATTAGTTATACACACAGTACCAGTACACAATGTGTAGCATACACGGAAATGAGATCTATTGCCAGAGCATTGAGCACGGAATCGGAAAAATGGGAGCCACAGCAGTGACGCTTGCTAACGCGCTGACGGTTGTGTGAACTGTTATGGCTACGTAACGACTATCTAGCGACGCGATCGCCGCATCTTCCCAACCTTCTAAAATGCGACGGGTCTTGCTAACGAGTGACACGCTGACACTATGTAAAATCGGAATTTTAGCAACCGTTACGGCCCGTCACAGCCCGTAACCGAAATCAGAGAAGTTCTGATGACCTCCATCAAGCGAAAACGCAACACATCGACAGCGGGACAAGTATCTCATGTACGATGATCTTCGATAACCGTTCCAACGACCCGAATAGTTCCGCACAGTTATCCGATTATTCATGCTTGGAGGAGAGTGGCGTTGATTGTACGTGAATAGCTAATATCCCGGGAGAAAGGTGCACGGCGGTGGCATACCAAGGTAGTAATTCTGGGTTGTGCCAATCATGGACCGATATCGAGGACATCATCTGAACTAGTAGACGGATCGACTGGCTTGGACAATGAGGATACATCTGTAACGACGGTATTGTAGAACTGCTGAAGTAGCCGTAGGACGAAATATCGATGGAGCGTGACATATACCCTGTTGTATTGTGATACCGAGCGCGAGAGGGACGTGTGAGCTACCTGCGTACTACAATGTAAGCGAGTGAACGATACTTCCCGAGTCGGGCACTGATCGGACGGTGTCTTTGTGTGTGAAAGAGGAGCAGAAGAGTCTGGACGAAGTCGTTGATCACTCATCGATCAGCAGCCTGCAGAGTAGGCGCATCTACCTACCCATCTCATGGACACCACGCTCCAAAACAAGGTCACTTTCTTGGAGGCCCTCCGAGTCATTCGATGTGCGAGTCGAGCGGATCCTGTGCATCGGTCTCCGACGTGAACGTGATGAACACGAGCGTGGTGTCTATGTATGCATGAGACATTTGCGGACAGGCTCGAGAAATCTGACCCGTAGCCATTCAAGTCGGTGTCAATACTAGCCATGGCCAGGCGATCTGTGGAGGTCGAGTATAAGGCGTGAGACATCACTGGAGAGGAGGGTCGTGAGAGAAGGATAATGGGCGAGCGGGCTTGGGGACGGAGCGGATGAGACGAACATAGCGGCCCATGCGCTTATGACGATGATATATTGCAACACCAGGAGAAGGTCAGTCACGGCGTCCGAGGTGAGGCGAGTATAAGTCGGCACGAACGGCAGACCGGCGCGCATGGCCTATGGTGTTCAAAAATGGCAACAGAGTCACAATTGAACGATTTGGTGACGGCGACGAGTAGCGGTGAACAGATTGGCATACTATGTAAGCGGCGCTGCGCAGCAAGTCCATGCAATCTGTATCTGTGTATCAGTTACCGTAGCCCACCTGATTCTCGGAGTAGAATCAGACTTACTCGGAAATCTACTCTGCCCTAGCTCTGCCTCGAGCTCCACTAACAGACTATCCTTTACTACGGAAGGTAGAACGATGAAGATTGAGCATAAACGATGGTCGCATTTCTGTGATAGTACAATGCTAGTCAGTTCCACCGTGACTTCAGACCTACAGTTGGCCGAGAGACACTTACGTCGCGTTCACTGCGTTCAAGACGTATTCTCTGTCACATCGGCGTTGTCAACGGCAGCTTCAGAGAACCAGCGGAGGTATAGCTCACCCAGTACTGACGTCGGGCAGCGCGAATGTCACCGAGCCGGCGGAGGTCTCAACAACCGCGACGAGCGCATAGCTTCTCTGCGAGATATCGAAAGCTTGCAGCGTCAAGGTGAAATTAGCGGGATCTCCGGGCTGGGACTGCCAGCCCTCGGTGACCGTCTCCCCTGGTGTCCAGCCGTCAGGCGGGGGCGCATCGAGCCCAAGCGCGTTTGCGGCCGACACAGCCATGAGCAACGAGCTAAACGGGCTGAGCGTAAGTAATCGAAGACTTGAGCCAGACGTTACGCACCCGAGGATGAGCTTCATTTTGCGCGAGAAGAGAGAACTAGAAGGTCCGGGTCAGTACGTGTTGTAGTTTGATGTTCGACCCGCATAATCGAGCTCTCTTAAATACGCACAAGCCTGGCGTTCCAGTAGTTGGCGACTTGAGTCCGGCGTGGGCGAGAGGACGTCAAGAACGTTTGATGTGAGGTGATCTGAGCACCGCCTCGATAGCAGACAGAATCCTGTTGCCGCGGTGATTCCGTTCGACAGTGGTCGTAGTCGCACGGGCGAGAGGCCGCCTGAGACCGCGCGAACCTCGACCCTGCTGGCACTGATGGCAGTATACTATCTACAGTACCAGAGCTGAATGGAGCCTTGAAACACTTGTATCCGCAACTTGCTGACCTGCATTGAGATACGATACAACCATTAGCTGGCGGAACACAACCAGCAGCCGCCAAAAGCAGCACCAGTCTCAGTTCCTTCGGGACGACGTCGGTTGAATGGTACCGTCGGCGTCACCCGTACGTAGGTCCGTCATTCTAGTAGCGGAAGCATACTCCACACTACAGGGCTCACTTACATGCCTCTCTGTCGGGTGGACAGCTCGCGACTATAGCATATAGTCCGACAACATGGAAGTTACTAACCTCAGGTGGAGCATGTTGGGATATCTGGGTCGCTGACGGATTTCCTTCAAGTTGTGTGACTGCCAATTAGTCAGAATTCGGCAGAAGCTGCATAGTAGTTTGTCGCACATATCACCAGCCCACAAACTTTTGACAGAACGCTCGTCTTGGACGCATCCGAGGTCGTGCGCTAGCTCGGACTCGGAGGAGGCCAGCGCGCGCTTTCTCCGCAACGCCTCTTGAACCACTCGGTGTCCTCGAAGCCCGGACCGGCAGCCTTGTGATGTTCTTCAAATGCGCAGTGCGGCTGGATCGCCGTAGCATCGTTACGCAACAGGGAAACTTGACCAGGATGTGGATCACATTGAAAGTGAACCGCGCTGCGTCCGCGCAATCGACTCTACGAACGGCTAAGACGCCGTCACGGTCACGTGGCAGGCCCCGCGAGCGTGACAATGACATCACGCGCCTGGTCGGCGCTTATGAGCGGTTGAGCCTGCGCAGCTTGAGCTGGCCCACAGTGGCGAAGTCAATGTAGCTTATGCGCAACCACAGTACAGTAACATGAGTCGTGCACCTTGCAGTACTCAATCCAGCCAAGGTAGAGACAATGAGGCTTCTCATTAGTTCGTTACATTTAAGCAATGTGTACAGCGCGCCGTACGTAGGCTATTCTTACGGATTGAATACTACTACAACATTGAAGGTCATGCCAGCCATTCTAGTATACACCTACTCGTACAGCGTCTTCTTTTTAGGCCGCGCAATCGGAGAGGAGGGATGGAGGGGGGTGGATATCAGAGGGGGTGCCACGCGGCAGGTGTGCGCATCTACTCGCGTATCTTAAGGACAATGCGGCCGACGATCTCGCCCTTCTCGAGGCTCTCGTACGTCTCGAGGAGCGAGTCGAGATTGCGGGTCTCGTAGTAGCACTTGACCTTGCCGCGGGCGGCGATGTCGAGCGCCTCGCGCGCGTCCTGACGGTTGCTGCAAGCCATCAGCGGCCGTCAGTACCTACAGCGGAGGGAGTAGCTTACCCAACGTAGGAGCCGTAGATGCTGATGCTCTTCGTAACGGTGAAGAAGATGTCCGCGCTGAGGGAGGCGTGTGCGGGGAGGCCGACGACCATGAGGTTCCCGCCGAGGCGGAGGTAGTCGACGGCCTGCGCGTACGCGGAGCTGTTCGCGGCGGTGACGATCGCGGCGTGCGGGCCCTGCCCGTCCGTCGCCGCGCGGATGTCCGCGACGATGTCCTTGCTCTCGCGGAAGTCGACCCACGCCTCCGCGCCGAGCTTCTTCACGAGCTCGCGCTTCTCCGCGCCCGTATCTAGAGCGAGCCGTTAGCCTTGCGCGCGTGAGGGTGGGGTGGACGGGACGCACCGACGGCGAGGACGCGGAGGCCCATGGCGGTCGCGTACTGGACGGCAAGGTGGCCGAGGCCTCCGCCGGCACCCGGGATGGCGACCCAGTCGCCGATGTGGGTGTGCGAGTACTTGAGGGCGCGGTAGACGGTGACGCCGGCGCAGAGGATGGAGGCGGCCTCGTACGAGTCGAGGGCGTCGGGGATGGGGGTGACATGGCTCGTCCAGGAGACAACGTACTGCTGGAACGTGCCGTCGGTCGTGAACCCGCTCAGCTGCTGGTTCGGGCAGCCTGTGCGGGTGGCGGTCAGCGCTTAGTCGATGCGGGGGAGGTGACGTCATGGCTCACTCTGCTCAAGGCCCTTCCTGCAGAGCTCGCAGTCGAGGCACGAGTACGCGAGCCATTTGATCCCGACGCGGTCCCCGAGCTTCACGGGCGGGCTCTGCGTGTGCTCGCCGATGGCGACGACGGTGCCGACACCCTGCGGCGGACGCCAGTCAGCGGTGGTGGACCAGGAAGCAGGAGACTCACCTCGTGGCCACCAATCAGGGGAAGCTTGGCCTTGAGCGGCCAGTCGCCCTTGCGCGCATGCAGGTCGGTGTGGCAGACACCGGTGCACTCGAGGCGGACGAGGCACTCGCCCGGTGCGAGGTCCTTGGGCTGGCGGACGGGGTGGTCGGGGACAATCTTGAGAGGGGAGTCGGGGCCTTCGACGATCGCCGCCTTCTGCGTCTTCGGGATCTCGAACTGGGGAGACATGGCAGCTGATGTCGAGTAGAGGCGAGCGGTGGGAGAAGAGAAGTGTTGATTGGAGTGAGGCGGTTGGAGGAGTTGATGGAGAAGGGGGCTCGTATATATACTGGCCGTGTCGGGTCGGGCCGCGTGCAGAGAGGAGGTGTGGGGAGGAGCGAGGGGGACGGCGAGTGCGCGAGTGGCTGTCCGCGATGGACTTGCTGAGCCCGCTTCCGGCCGGCCTGGAGTAGTGCAACGCGCTGCCCGCGGCGACCTGGGCGTCCGTCCAGCCCACAAGACCCGCCTCCGGAGCATCGTCAGTCGAACGTAGCCTGGTCTTCCGAGCGTTCTGGAGCCTGTCTCCGCGCGTGAGATGCACGAGTGTCCTAGGAAGGCGTGGACCTGCCTGATGACCCTTATGGCCGCTTTTGTACTGCATACAGGGCACCGGCCATTCTGGACGCGCCATATCAACTACGCTCGCGTCTGGCTCGCGGTGGCGGCGGCGGATGCAGCGAGGGCAGTCGAGCCGCGGCCCAGCGGTCTGCGCGAAGTCGAGTCGCGTCTCGCCCATATTAGGCAACTCACGTATTGGCTCGCGCGTCCGCTGATCCTCTCCCACTGCAGAGCCTCCTCGCTCCTCTCCCTTGGCCACCAGCTTAACCAGCTTAGACTCGTTTGCAGAGCTCACAGGGTGTTCGCGACGAGGTCCAGTGCGCTCCCGCTTGCTTAGCTGCCCAGCGTTCGGAATATGTCGGCGCACCACAGCCTGTGGTCCGACTTCTAGTGCCCTTGTGCGGATTGTCTCCCCCTGACGCGTACGTCGCCCAATTGCTCCATATAGTGACGAGTATTCCGTGGGCATTCGACTCAGGTACGCTTTATTTGACGACTTACACGTTTGCGGCGTGTTCCTTATCAATTAGAGTCTGCTTCCGCCGACGAGCTGCATTGGCAATATTTACAAATTCAGAGCTGGTATCGCGGCTCGTGTCCCAGTTCACATCATCTATACCTCGAGTCTCAACATGAGTAGAATGAAGAACGACTAAAAAGAGACGTATACGCCGAGCCTTTTCGATTCTTCGCGTGCCCCTCGAAACCAGTACTACTACTCGCGCTGGGGCATTGCCAATGCAAGAGGACAAGGGACCACGTCTGTCTGAGGCATTTTCAAACGACGAATGCCTCATCGATATCCGCACCTTCCCACCCAATCCTCGCGCCGTGCCTCCGCATCCCATACAGTATCACAATCCGTAATTTCACGCAGCTTCTGTTATCCATCGACGCCCTTCTGCGCCGTGCCACCGGGCGCCCCCTCCTCTCTGCACCAGGCTTCGAAGGACGGAGACGTCGTGCCCGGGGGGACACGGGACGGTCGCTCGAGCCTGCTGACCAGATCCAAGAGCGTACTCACTCCTACTTAGTGTGCTCGAGGATGCGCATGCGGAGGAAATGGGCGCTGTGCTCGCGAGCTCCACCAGGGCGTCCGAGGTCGCCCGGGGCCGGGACTGCCTTGCGAAGAGACGGAGCACCGCGTTCTCGAGACAGAAGGGAACGAGTTCGCCCGCGAAGGGCTGAGCTAGGATCTGCCTGAACTACGATCCTAAATTTGCTCCACAGGCGAGCGTCATCATAGGTGTGCGTACACGGCGTCGCGTCGGGACCCGGACAGCACAGTATGTGGGGAGCGCAGGTTGAACGGAATGCTGATGAGGCCTGTGTTTTCCGCGTAAGTACTCGATGCGTACTTTGTACTTCGTACATAGCGTTCCTGCCAGATCAATTGGTCTATGTCAAACTGGCGTTGGACACATGTATATGTGTCTACCACGTGGTTCTTTCGAGCATGAGTATATTACTATATAACTCGCGCGCCAAGGGCGATCGATCATCGCTATTTGTAGGAGGAGGAGGAGGAGGAATTCATTGACCACTGCGCGATCCTCAGGAGGAGCTGGTCCAGCCACCGCACGCGGCGCGTATCGACTCACCTTGACGGCGACAGCGCTTGGACAGCGCTCACTACTAGTACTACACTGTGTTACTAGTACTACACTGTGTAGTACACTACCCGATCGCTACTACTCTTACGTACACCGCGTACGACGGCCCCCATGCCGCCGACAATCGAGTCGACCTGGTCCACGTGCTCCCGCCCTCCCGAGCCCACCGACGGCCACCAGTACACGTACAGGCTCGAGCCACGGCAACATCTCGTCCGCGCTCTGCAATGGACCATGCAGCCGCTATATCTCCTGAAGTGGTACGTCTGCTCGAGGAGCCATGCTTTGCTGCACGCATCTGATGCTATGGGGGCAGATTATGAATGCTCCTTGTGACGTGGGCGCCCTGGTTGGCGGTTCCTTTGCAGCGAACGATGCCGAGAGCGATATGCGACTCAGATATGACTTGGCTGACCCCGCATGCATTACCAGTGCCAGGGATTGCTGGGCCCCCGTGGGTGTGGAAGACGCAAGTGCTCTTATGCTCTCCGCTCGCACTCCCGGCCAAGGCGGCCACGACTTCATGTTAAGTGCGTGCGGTTTACGATACGTTTCTGCCACACCATGCATCACACTGCAGCGGGTTTTGTTGACATCGGTGTCTCACAGCGCCGTCGCTTTTATCTTCCGTAGAGAGTAATGCAAGCTGTTCAGACGACAAGGAAGAGGGAGAAATAAGTGACGATGAAGAAGACGTCCGACAGTCTGGGACTGAGCAGCCGGTTGCTAAGGTGTTGCATGGTAAGGTTCATTGTGTCTTACATGTTTGTCACTCATCTAGAAAGCGATGAGCAGGCTTTCCCTATCACATGAATGTGAACAAGCAACAGCAATTAAACATTGCAAGTCCTTTCTATCCCTTGTGAGCATGTTGTCCTCGTGTATAGACTCCTTCACACCTTGTCTCGCCCAGTGCTACATCCCATGATGGGATGCCGCAAAGTTCCAGCAGCACAACGCTTCCTCCACTTCCTTCCGCGAATAAGCCTAACAAACGGAGGCGGACGGGAGCGGGATCCATGGAGCGGTTCAGACAGCGCCGCAAGATCAAATTGAAAGATAGCGACAAGAAAGAGCGGCGGCGGCTTGCGCGTCTGCAGGACCGCCTTGCGGCTGCTGGGACGACGGTGACCGTGCTCTCCGAGTCTGTGGACATGATTTAGGGTATGATATACATAACACTGCACTCTATATAGAACACCGGAATCCGTAGAGATGGCATGCGAAGCACCTACCATAGGCTGCACGCAATGGCCATGCGGCGCCGGTTGAAACGTTGACGTGCAACATGCTACTGTCAGGTTACTCGAAGATGTCCGTGGCATACCTCCCCCGGATCGCGCGCTGGAACATCTCGTCGGCCGCCGTGTCATCGAGGTTCTGCGCCTCCTTAATGACTTTGGTCAAGACCTCTTTGATGCCCTGCGCGATCTTGCGAGACCCGCAGGTGTAGAACTAATACATTCAACGACCACGATTAGCTTCAGATCTCCCGGTGTGTAATGTCATCGAGAGCTGACCTTAGCCTGGGCGTTGTACGCCTCCCGGACCTCCTCGCGGTCGAGCCACGCACGGCTATTAAGAACACAGTCAGCCCTTGCTTCACGAAAGTGAGATACCCGAATACTGACTCATGCACGTATCTGCATCCCTTCGACTCTTCCGTAGCCCTCGAGAACGCCGGCCTCACGTCCACAATGCCCAGCTCCTGCCACTCCTTCAGGTCCGTCTCCCCATACAGGAAGTCCTCGCCAGGCCTCCTGCATCCAAAGAACAACAGACTCTTCGCGACCTCTCGCCCCGCCTTCCGCTGCATCGCGCGCTCCTGCAAGAATCCGCGCATCGGCGCGAGCCCCGAGCCCGCCGCGAAAAGGACCATCGGCACGGCAGGGTCCGTAGGCGGGTGGAACGCCGCGCTGCTCGCGCGCACAGCGAGCTGCACGCGGTCGCCCTGCCTTAGGCCCGCAAGGAACGTCGACGCCACGCCGAGGAACGGGTCCTTGCGCCCCGCGCGCGAAGGCGCGTCTACCACGCTCACGGTAAGGGTCACGTGCGACGGGTTCCAGAGCGGCGAGGACGAGATGGAGTACTGCCGGATGCGCATGGCGGGGAGCATCTGGAGGTAGGTCGGGAAGGGCAAGCCGAGCGCGGGGTGGTCCTCGAGGATGTCGAGCACGCTGAGGCGCGCGTTGAGGACCTTGTCGGTGTAGGCGGCGGAGAGCGCCTGGAGCGCCTCGGCGGGCGCGTTTTCTGCTGATTGGAGGATGCGCAGGTCGCGCGTGGTCGCGGGCTGCGAGAGCTCGACGTATCCGGACAGAAGGGTTTGGACGGTGATGGGGCGGTCGACTGGGAGGGGCGTGGGCCCACTGGAAGACAGGACAATCTGCATGCAAGTGAGATGGGGTTGTGGAAGACGAAAATAAGGATCAAACCTCCTGCTCTGGAGACAGCCCAAATCGAGCGATAACCCTGTGCACGTCTCGCGGTGGGTTTGAGGGCAGACTAATCAACGTACACATGAGCATGACCGGACACTGACAATACGATGACACTCACATGGCGAGGTAGTCGCCAGCCCTATACGACATGCCCTCTGGCAACTCAAACTCTACAGACGCAGTCAGAAATGAGGAATTGTGACGCACAAGAGTCAACATACCAATATGCCTCTTCGTAGGAGCCTCCGGCAGAGTGAGCAGCGTGTTCTCCACAACCGTACCAAGCGCAGCATCCGGCTGACGCAAGGCCGAAGCTCGATACGTGCCCTCATCCACCGTCTTCACCTCCAATCCACCCACAAGGCCAGCCTCCGCATCCTCTACCGCAGCAGTCCCATACTCCTACGCGCTCATCAGCAAACACGTCCTACCTTCCGAATGCACCTGACAGCGCACCTTAGCCAGCGTCTCCCACAATCCTGCCTCCCACTCATCAAACGTCTCGAAGAACTCTCCCGCACTCGCATCACCCGCCCCGCACGCTACGAGCCTCCGCGCGCCTCGCTCCTCCAGGCGGGCGTCGATCACCGTGGGGATGCGCTGGTACGTCTGCACCCAGTCGCGGTTCCCACAGCCGAAGACAGCGAAGCGCACGTTCGCGAGCTCGGAGCCCTTAAGGTTGGAGAGCCAGTCGACGAAGTGTGCGGCGTTGTCTGCGGGCTCACCTGGCAGCGGCAGAGAACGTTAGAGTTGAGTGAAGTGTAGGGTGAACAGGGCAAGCGGGGACGAACCCTCGAAGGACGCGGTGATGATCACGACGGGGCCGTCTGTGGGGAGCTTGCCTGCAAATGAGTCGAGCGTGCCCATACTCGCGCGGAAACCTGTATGAGGGACATCAATTATTACTGTCCGCGCACAACAATACGTCACGGAACACACACGCACCCCTCGCAGCAGCATCATTCACCACCCTCTGCGCAAACGTCTCGCTCGTCCCCGTATTCGAGCCATACAGCACATACACCGGCTGCTTCGCGCCTGCACTCCCGCTCCGCTCCACCGCTGCCTGCCCCGGCACCTTCGACCCGCCGCGTCCCTGGAGGAACGCCGACCCGCGGGTGGTGATGGGGCGCGCGACGGGGTGGCCCCTGTCCTTGCGGGGCGCGACGCGGATGCGGAAGTCCTTCGGCTTGATCGTGAGCGTCTGCTTGATGGCGAGCTCGTACGACGGGTCGTCCATCATCACGTCGAACCGCTGGAAAATGAGCGCCGTGATCAGCAGCATTTCTTGCAGCGCGAAAGCGCGGCCCTGTGTACGTGTGGAGAGTCAGCGATGGTGACCGACGTGGGGGAGAGGAGGCGTACGATGCAGGCACGCATGCCGAAGCCGAAGGGCTGCCAGGCGTTTGACTAGGGAGAACGGGGATGAGCCTGAGTGTACTCTGAGCCTACAAACGACACATCACCTACAGGCAGCGCCTCGAACTTGCCACCCAGCATCCGCTCCGGGTTGAACTCCTCCGCCTGTACATACACGGCGTCAGCACGGTCCCAATATGATCGCGCTCATCAGGCGGCGAACGCACATCTTCGCCCCAGACCTTGGGGTCCCTAAGTGCCTGCGCCGTGAGGACGGCGACAGTCTGCCCCTTCTTGACGGCATACTTGCCCCCGCCGATCGTGGTGTCCTCCGACGCCTCGACGCTGCGCATCGGCGCCGCGGGGCCCATGCGCAGCGACTCGCGGAGACACGCTGCATTACACGAGCCGCCAGGTCAGCGGTATTCTGGAAAGCGCGACATATATGGGTATGGGCGCACCGTTGAGGTACGGCAGCTTGTGGAGGTCCCCGACTTGTGGGGGCTCGTCGCCGAGGACTTCGTCGAGCTCTTCGCGGAGCTTGCGCATGACCTCGGGCTTCTTGAGGATGAAGTACATAGAGAAGGAGAGGGTCGCTTCGTGTCCGCGTCCCGCCCGTCAGTATACATGGCACCCAGCATTGGAATGGATAGACGTACATGAGGTAGTCTCGTGTCCTATAAAAATGATTAGTTCCGTGGGGAGGACAGACTCGGAGGGAACGTAGCGTACCGGCGATGAGGAACGTGAGGAGCTGTGTTGGAGTGAGTCATGACGCGCATATATCCGGCGCATACTGGCAGCTCTGTACGTACATTATTCTTGATATTTTCATCGGACAGACTCTTCCCTGTCTTCGGGTCCTTGCCCAACAACATCCGATTCAGCAGGTCGTTCTTATCGGTCGGGTTCGCCTTCCGATCCGCAATAACTAGGTCACAAAGCACAGTCAGCACGAGCGTAGTAGATGCCATAGAAGCCGGACGCGCGCACTTTCGTTGGCGAGGTCCGCCATGGTCTTGATGTCCTGCTCGTACTTGGCGTTGTAGCCCAACATATTTGTCACGAGCGACGGCCGGAAGGCGCGCTGCCCAGACTCGACGAGGAAGTCTACCATTGCCTCGACGAAAGGCGGGCTCGAGTCCTATATGGATGCAGCAGCGTATACGATATCAGTGCTCGGAGACATCCACTGAGCGTCAGCACAGACCCTGTAGAACGAGTTCAATCTGGACCATAGTTAGCGAAGGTGCTGAAGGGAGGGACTGCTATGTGCGATTTACCTGTAAGACATGGAGCAGAGGGCGATTGTGTCGAAGGTGAGCCGGGTGAAATCCTCGGCAGGGTTAATGGCTACGCTTGGACCGAAGCTGAGGCGCTCATTGAATGAAATTCAGACTGCAAGAGGTTTAGAGATGATGCGCCAACTGACCGTTCCCACTTCAAGACGAGTTGCTCCGCGATGTCGTACATGTCGTCGAACATCTCTCGGACAGCTGCTGTTCCAAATGCAGGCATGAGGAGGCGGTCTAACGAGAGCTGTGTTGTGAGGAACGTCTGGCAGCTGATGAGAGTAACGCTGAGCTTACGAGCCAGCTCCCAGTTCTCTTCGCCTGGTTGAGCCTGGACAGATGTGTATCCTGAGCACAATACACAGTACGCGTACGGCGTGGGGACATCACTCACAGTGAACAGGCCATCCCCCACACCATTCCTCACTTGCGCGAGAGCACCACCGGTGGGGTTCTTGACGAACCGCTTGTCGTCGCAGATATCAGTCATGAGCTCATACGTACTGACCACGAGAAGTGACCGGGCTATACGCGTCCGCTTTCAGTCCTCCCTGTGTTCCCGTCATGTATAGCACACACTCACAGAACTGCAGCAACTCATAGACCTCTCCATACTGCTTCGAGAGCAGGATGAAGGAGCGTAGCGGCACCTCCTTCTCGATCTGGGTAACATGGCCGAAGAATGGTAGGGATGGCGGACAAGGAATCGGCGTGGTCATGTTGGCCACAGTTAACGAAGTGTCGTCCGGTCCAACTGTGCAGAGAGATTCGACCGTATCGTCGTCACTGCAAGTGTGCCCGGGCCGTACAGATATAGGCCATCGCACGGGCTGTGTCCGGCTGTTGCACCATGCGCGACTCTTCCATCCGAGTCTGTGCGCAGGTTTGCCCGTGATATTCCATGTATGATGCCGCGAATGAGTGGTCGCGGAGTCTGTTGGGATGCGAAAGCCGACGGCGACGATGCCATTGCCAACGCTCGCCCGCTGCGCTGGGACTGGCGTGCCTGCTCACCTGGACGGGCAGAAAGCGCCGGTCGCCGAGGCCTTTGTCGACGTGCGGAAACAATGAGGGAATGAGGCTGATCTCAACGGCCAGCGGGTCCGAGCAGGATCAATTGAATCACCGGTGCGATCAGAGGTGCATGCCCAATGTATGCCCGTCCATTGCCCGAGAGTGCCCGTCGCCATGCTGTTTCCAAGTCCGGGCTTCACGGACACCGAGTTATATAAAACGGTCGCCGTGATACTCACTAAGTTCCCGTGTTCACGAGAGAGTGGTGAGCAAGTGGTGAGCGCGTTGGACGCTTGGCACACGCGGTCGGATGCGTCGAAGACCTCTGACCGACAACTTGAACTGGACGGAAGTCACTTCTTTTCTTGCTTGCTCGACTCGCCCATCATGCCAATTGATCTTGAACCTCGAAGTGCACACTCGACTGTATCTCGTTCGTCTGCAGTGCCGGAACTGGAAGAGGAGACTCGAAGTAGGCGAAATTTTTGACAATGAGTCTGACAGTGACAGTGAGAAGAGCGCGTCGCTAGTGTCAGTGATCGCCGAGAAATGCCAGTGGCTGGTAGATCTGAGATTCATCTCAGATATAATCGGTTGCATTGTGGCTGCTACCCGATGTCTCCCGGGCCGGTGTGACGGACTACAGGCTCTTTCCAGCTTCGAATACTGTATGCCGCCGTACGCCTTCACTCGCCAATACTTATTTCTCCTGAGCGAGGCAAATATTGCTACTGCTAGCTGGCGGTCGGTAGCGCGGCTGATACATGGGCGTTGACTTGGTTAGGCAAGAACCTAGTATATATGCAGATGAAGAGCCCACGTAGGCTCGCGCTCCGCCTCGGCGACGCGTCCGTTGTAAAGATATGCAAGTAGACTCTCTTCAAGGTGACGAGCTGCGCATTGCGAAGTCACCAGACGGGAGGTGATTGACTCCGCGAGCATGGATGTCGCAACTCAGCTTAGTCTTCAAATTCATCCTCGTCGTCCTCCCCATCCTCCTCCTGCTAAGCGGTAAGTGCTTGCTAAACGACGACGTCACGCGGGCATATGAGCACCATTTGACGTCCTCAGACGCGAATGTTGACGCTGGGCAGAACTTGTTGAGCAGTTTGTATACCGGACTGTGTGACTCACTTCCACGAGACTACCCTGTTGTGTGTAGCTTCCGAAGCTGTATCGATTCACTGCCTCCATGTGAGCCGGATAACTCGCAATTGAGTGATGGTCGAATGGATGCGCGTTACGAACCGGTTTCAGCTCAGAGATGCGGCAGCATGGATTCACGCCACCGCTGAGATCCTGCAGCTGACGGCCTCCTTCCCCACTGCCCAGCCCTCCGTTGGAGTCAACGACACAGAGACCACATTGACACGGACGAATCGATGTGACAAACGAGCAGAACTGGAAGAGCAGAATTCGTGAGAAGAGATGGAGGAAGAGGTGCATCAGAAACCCATGCGGAGCGGGAGCAGCACGTCGGTGTGGCGTCGCGCGAACTAGCCAACGTCTCCCGCAATAACCGAGCTGGGCATCACCTCCCTCCTTCCTTTCACCCACGACGCCCATTGCCAACGCGCCGGCTGTCTATCTCTGTCGACGAATCTCAGTGTCGTGCACTGACGGCGCACTACGTATCAGTCTGTCAGTCTATCAACATATGCCCCGCGGGCTGGCGCTCTACGCCCTTGTGGCGTCCATAGGCCTCCCCCGCTCGACGTCCGTGTCTGCGTACTCCTGGTCCTTCACAAACACCCCGCAGCAATGCCAGAACATATCACTGTCACTGACTGGCTCGGGAACAGGGCCGTACTCTGTGTTGGTCATTCCGTTTGGCCCGTCACCGCTCGCGAACAATACAGAGGTCCGAAGGATATTTGAGGTGCAGTTCAGTGGGACGGAGACGAGTTTTCAATTGGCGTACCCGGAGGATTCGCAGTTTGTCGCAGTGGTGAGTCCTCCTTCCAGTTTGGCATAGTGGTTGTGGGTGAGCGTGGCGAGGGCATCCGCCGATCTGCTATATACTGCGGCAAAGTACGCAGCGACTACGCAAGAGTCAAGTGGGCCGCAATCCATTGCATTAATATGGCGGATGCACCGACAATATATATGCGGAAACGGCAGATGACCGCAGCTCCGGCCTCAGGCGGCCTGTCAGTCGTGGTGGAGCATCCCTATCTGCTGCCCACGCAGGGACATCTCGGCCGCAGCCTGCCTGAGCGCAGCGGTCGGCCTGCATCCGCGTTAGGCATAACATCTCTATACCACCCGCGCATCTCAGTTGCCGACTGCCGTACATACATGACACAATGGCCAACTGAATACCCTTCTCTATACAGGTGAGCGATAGCACGGGCTTCGGCTCGGGCGGGACGAGTGTAGCTGCGACAGTACAGTCAAGTAGCGATTCAAGCTGCTACAACCCCGCGCAAGAGGTGTCACCAGAATTCGCGTTCAGTATCGTGCCCGCGAACCAGATCGTGGAGTGTTCGCCGACAAGGATATGGTGGGATCCTGCAAATGTGCAAGGGTGCGTGTCGACTCTCCGCTGAAGTCCTCCAACATCTAACATCCCGCCAGGACACCAAGCTTCCAAGGCATCATTCCGGGCGGGCAGTCCTTCTCCATCCCGGAGTCAAGCTTCTCCACCGTAGCCGAACAGGGTTATGGCTTCACCTGGACGCCGTCCGTGCGCATCGGAACGACCGTCCTGCTTGTCGGTGGCGACAACCGTGGTGCGGGCACAGGCGGGTCTGGCCTCTATATCGTCTCGCAGGGGCCCTCACAAGACTGCTTAAATACAAACTCGCCGAGCTCGACGCCCGGCAGCCCTGCGGGAGGTAGCTACCCCACCAGTACAAACGGCGCAGGAACGGGCGGGACTGGATCGGGCTCTTCCAGCGGGTGAGCTTTCCTCTCATTGTACCATCGCACGCACACGCTGACTGGGCTGACCCGTTCTTCGCCGACACTGCAGCCACAGCAACACCGGCGCAATCGTCGGCGGGGTAGTCGGCGGAGTCGTCGGGTTCCTCCTCGCACTCGCCCTCGTCGGGCTTCTCCTCTGGCGCCGGCGGCGCAACCAGCCCAAAGCGCGCCGCGTCGACCTGCTCCAAGCCAACTCGGACGAAGATGGGGTCGGGGTCGGGGTCGGGGTCGGCGGCGGCGATCAGCTCCCGCGGTACTACGAGCCCGAGCCGTTCCTCCTGCCCGAGCCCGAGCCCTCCGTCACGACACAGCAGATGTCCGAGTTCGGCGGCGGGCGCAGGGCGAGCGGGAGCACCGCGGGCTTCCTCGCGGCGGGCGCGGGCAGGCCCGGGACGCCCTCGTCGACGACGCGCACGGGCAAGAGTGCGGCGCAGCCGAGCTTGAGGCCGGTGAATATCGTGCAGCACGAGGACGCGGGTCCGCCGCCGGGCGAGGACGACGAGGACGAGGAGCCGGAGACGGTCGAGCTCCCGCCGGCGTACACGAACTTGAAGAACGCGTCACGGCCCAGGGAGGAGGGCGCCACGCACGAGGAGTCCCCGCCGCCGGTGGAGGCGTAAAACCGGTGAGGGGTTGGCGGGTTGGTGTGGACTGGACTGGCGCTTACTGTATCATCGTTGCCTTTGTGCGCCGATATCCTAATGGCTTCTCGCATCGCGCGTCATTTCCGTTTCTTGCATTGCGTTTATGAACCGGATGGAATGGAACGCTCTGGTGCATGCCTACTTATATACCTTCGTTTTCTGCGCGTCTCCTGAGCCCGACTCGAGGACTGTCTTTTACGTGCTGTTGTTTGCGTCTCCGCGTCTTATATCTTGGTATTATTCCCTCGTTCGCAGGTACTGCCTGCCAATTTGCGTTGTATTGCTAGCTTGTTGGAATGAATGACAAGCGACGATCATGCATACTACTCGTTCAGCCTGCCTTCCCACTGTAACAAACGTATCCACGCCGCCGGACACAGTACTCCTCGGGCACGTCGTTCGACTGCCAGCGGGAATACGCAGTACGCTGCGGATGCGCTATGTATTCCGACACTGGTGCATGTGTCCTCTTCTGAATCATGGCGTGTGATTTGCATGGGATGCAACTTGAAGTGCGGTGACGGTCGTGCGAGTACACTGCCTGCATGAGCATCAACATGACACTGTCCGAACCTTACGGAATTATCTCAGCGCAAAGTCAAAACCTCGCTTCCTGGGGCCTACAGCCGTATGGTGTGTTTTTAGTTTTTGTTCAAAAAGCATCCAACTGATATTGCACTGTCTTTCGCAAAGGTACGTCACAGCATTAAGGAGCAAGTCTCAAGGTCCGCCCCAGCTCTCCTCGGAGCCTGACAGAAACATACTCCCTACTACGAAATGTAGAACGGTACTGTCTGAGCGTAAATGACATTCTCGTCTCTGTACAAAGAACGCAGTCATTTCACAAGGTAGATAACAGGGGGAGAGACACTAACGTCACGTTCACCGCGTTCAAGACGTACTCCCTGTCATACCAACGTCGTCAATGGTAGCTTCATAAAAGCCCTAGACGGACGGACAACTCACCCAGCTTTTACGTCGGGCAGCGCGAATGTCACCGAGCTAGCAGAAGTCTCAACAATTGCGACGAGGGCATAACTTTGCTCCGAATCGTAGGCTTGCAGCGTCAAGGTGAACCTAGCAGGATCACCAGACTGGGATTGCCAGCGCTGGGTGACCGTCTCCCCCGGTGCCCAGCCGGAAGGCGGGGGTCCATAGAGCAGAAGCGCGTTTGCGGCGGATACAGCCAGGAATAACGAGCTGCATGAAATAAGCATACGCAATCGGACGTCTCTGGTGGAGACGTTACACACCTGAGAAAGAGCTTCATTTTGTGCGCGAGGATAGAAGGCCTGGGTCTGCTCTTACCTGGTACTCGACCTACTTTGACCTCTCTTATATACATGCCGGCCTAGGACTCGAGAGTAGGTGAGATGAGTCCGGCGTGTGTAGGACGTCAAGGACGCTTGATGTGAGATGATGAGCGCCACCCAGATGGGCAGCCGAGCCCTTTTCACCGCCGCCATAATACCGTTCGACAGTAGCGATAGTCACACGTTGGAGAGGCCGCCTGAGACCGCGGAAGCCTCGATCCTGTTGGCAGCTTCAGAATTGAGTGGTCCTTGTGTCCTGTCCACAGCCGCATTGAGATACGGCACGGACGGTGGCTAGCGGACGTCACGACTGCCCAGGAGATCAGCATTCAAGAAAAATGTTATGCACTGTATGGAGGATCACCGGTGTCAATCACTTTGGGACGGCAAATACTAGTAAGTCTGTCAAAGAATCAAAATTCGGCGAGAAGGTCCAAGGTAGTGAGACACATACCGACCTAATTACTAGTGCCATATCGGTGAGTTCATCCTGGTGCTTCCGCAACGCGCAGCTCGTCGCCTTGAAGAGAGTCTACTTGCATACTTGCACGCGTCGTCGATGCGGAGCGCGAGCCTACGTTGGCTCTTCATCTGCATAGCTTCTTGTCTACCCAGTTCAACGCCCGTTCAAGACCTATCAGACCGCCCTCCTCCTCTCAAGAAGGTCGCGTTCAAGGTCTGCCTAGGGGAGACTATTCATAGTTCTGTTAGTCTAAGTACAGTGTTCGAAGCTGGAAAGAGCCTCGTTGAATCAAAGCTCGGTTGCCGAGTGGTACGTCTTTGCTCTGTTACAGTGCTGCAAGTGCTGCTAGACCTGCGACCTCTTCATCACTCCACAGATGTATTCTCCCGGGTAGCGTGTGGAGACCTATCGAACCTGTCAGCCGTAGCGAGTATGGTCGAGTTCGGGTCCAGCATGCGATCGTCGCTAGTCCCCCGCAAGGTCCAGCCGTCTCTCCTCGAGTCCCCACGGTGCTCTGAATCCTGAGTGGTCAAAGCCAGCGCGTCTTGTTCACGCCTGATTGTGCGCAGAACGAAGACGAGGGGACGGAATGTATGCGAGAGGCTCGTCGATGGGCTGCAGAACGAATAGTTCCTGGTGACGCCGTCGCTGTATTCTGACGACATGACTTCCGAGTCCGTGATGACGGCGCGCAGGTCGAGCATGAGGCGTGAGAGGAGGATGGATGTGAGTCTGGGATGATAGTCCGTGAATGGGAAGCGACATTACATGTCACAGAAAGCGGTAGACACATTTCAGCGAGAGGTTCTCGGTCTAGGCATGAGACGTACATGGCAGTCCACGTGCTTATGACGATGATGAATTGCTAAGAGGGCGAGAGAAGTCATTAAGTGTGCTATGGGTCAGGCGAGTGCGCGAAGGTACCGACCGTTAGGCGTGCGGCGGCAAGACCCAGAGCCATGACGTTCAACGCGAACAGGAATCTGCGCCAACAGGATGTCATATTTGTCGGAAGGTACGAGTTGATTGGACGTACCCAAAGTAAATTGCCGCTGTAATGAAATGAGATATTGTGCAGCCTGAAGAACGGGGGCACGATACTCACTATCCCTCATCACGACGAGGATGGTTGCCGGGGTCCCCAACGCCGCTGCAGGGCGGGCGGCCATCCATGTCAAGCAGAAGACGAGACCGTCGCAGGCTACGGACGACGCGCGTGCGGCCATCATCCCTAAACCGACATGTCAGGCTGGTGCATCCATCAAAGTGCGACGGGGTTTACACCTATATTTCACGATGTGAAGATGATCGTGAACATAGGACGTTGGCGGGACTCACCAGTTGGTTGCGAAGGCATCTTGTATGTAGCAGAACTGGTATGAAGGTGTGATCTGGGCTAGGATCGGCTGGGAGTTGACGAAGGTGTACTATTGAGTGAACATGAGAAACTTGATCAGTGCATGCGGCCGAACCACGACTCCTATTACCCACCGTTGATATGATGGGTGCGATGAGGCCTAAACCTAAAGTGGTGGCGAACAAATACATGTTTCCATGAACCAGCGCATATATGCGCAATGCCGTGAACACTGCGAATTCTCGGGTGAAGTGCGATAGTAGTTGCGAAGATTGCCACTTTGTTTACGTGCAGAAGCCGACAATATCAACACGTCTCCTGCCATCTCAAGGCGAATGACAATCACGCAGCTTCTCACTTATCATCAGCGCCACAACTATCCCACAGAGAGCCTCTGCGAACCTCTGCGAGTGGATAAGGTTAGAGTAAATGGCATCGATTATATTGCCTCGACCTACACGTGTGCTTTGCCAACTCGGCCAATGGAAGTAGCCCAATGCTACAAATATAGTGTTGAACACCGCCAGATAGCGGAACGCGTAGAACAGGGCGGAGGCCAGGGATAGCTTTCTTGACCATACGTATTTGACTTCGCTAGCGAAGGTGAGACAGTAGTCATAGCAGCAGAGAACTGTGGTAGAACAGTGAGTTATGGCATCGGTACATGCGACATATGCATACTAGCATTGAGAACGTACTTTGTGCAGCGAGGACCAAGGAGTTCACTAAACGGCTGGGTTCAATCTACTGGTCAGCGCGAGCCGCCACGGTGTGTGGATTTGGAGACGGACTCTGCCTCAAGTATCTTGCCACGGTGCTGTCCATTGACGGCCGCGCAGCGAGATAAAAGGAAGAGTGTGCACCTGTTGAGGGCTATGTTCTGGCCAGAGCCGGTAGGGGACGCAGTTGACGCGCGACAGGCATATGCATTGTGCATGAAGCAAGCGGGCGCATACTTATATGCGCTGGAGTCTGTTGGTAACCCGGAGGCGAGACACACCGGCTTCTATGTGATGAGATAAAGTTTCTTCTTCGGGACACTGAATGATAAGTATAAGAATAATGAGCGACGGCGAGCTGGGAAGGAAGTGCTATCAGTGGTGGATGCTCCCGGTATGGGAGAAAGCATACCGTATGGTTGCTCATCTTCTACGACTTCGCATGTGAAAAGGCTGAGGACTTCAGACTGTAGACACATGTACAGACGGCGACCTTCATCGGACAAGCCCCCGAGAGCCTCGTATTGGCCTCGTAGCCGCGACGAGTGCTGCTAAGGGCCTAAGGCTACACATCGTCAAGCTTCTCGTGGGTTACGCAGCCGTGGCCCGATCAACACGTGTAGCCCACACTGCGGCTAGATGGAAACCTCTCCTGGACCTCCTCCTCCTCCTATGTACACCGGACGTTCAGCTCGCCCAGCGATTGATGGGCCTGGTCACTATAACATTAATGGGCGCGAACGAAGAAGCACAAGGGCTCGAGACTAGACAGTAGACTCGGACTGCCTGGAACGACATTTACTAGTAAGTAGTAGGCTTGGCACGTGCCACCTGACCTCCTTCTCCGGTATCACCACCAACCTGAATTTGAGGATTATCTCCTCGACAAGGTCACAGTCACTGCCATGTACAAGTGGAAATGACAATGCCACCTTGACACTACATTACCTGCATGAACTTTGTCACCAGATGTCGCCTCGCCACGGATGATGAGGTGCAGAAAAGGCTGAGGCAGACACCGTGACTTGTGCACACGCCTGTCGAGCCCACGGTCATCGCATCTTGATCGCATCCGAAGGTTGCAACCAAGTTGCAACGCTACGTAGTCCTTCTGAGCGATACGAACTAGAACGCCGTGCCCGAAGACTGCTGTGGGAGACAGCGAACATCATCCGATCTCGTTGGTGCCGTATAATGCCCGACGATTCGGACTCGAATTCTACTCCCATTCGTACGTGAAGAGGCACGTCAGCACGATCCCAATGGTCAAATCAATAGTCATGATCAGCAATGAAGTATTGTCGAAGTAGTATAGCACCCTGTTCATATTTACTTACCTATGTAGTAGTTGCAGTACTACCCTGCACAGGTCGAACGACCAGGAATCGCCGAACGCGAAGAGTCATAGCTATAGCTATGCCGAAGGGATTTAGCACTGGCAACGACGCTCACTCGATAGTACGACGCCTCCTATCGCCAGAAGACCTGCAGTTAACGCAATGTTCCCATACATCCACGCGGCTAGTAATCCAACGGTTCTCGACCATATGCGCCTGTGCCTTCCTACAGGCCGCGAGGGAAACGGCTTGATTTGCGTTAGCCCTTGTCTCGTGGGATGCAGTTTCCGAGTCTGAGTATTACAAAAGGTTCAGTGATCCTGAGCGAGGAGATACTCGGTCGAACTAGAATAGCTGGGGTTCGGGTCAGCGCAGAGTGTGGGGGCATGCAGGCTCGATGCGGACTCTTGCGCAACAAATCCTGCAGCGGCATTGGGGTCCAGACCGGCTAACATCATTGCGTCAGTGAGGGTTACACCGAGTGGCACTGACGAAGATCAGGGGCACTGAGGGAACCGTGCGGAGCATATATACCGTGACAGATGAGTTCGTCAAGATAGCGATGATACGGTCCACCTTTGTCAGGTTCCGACGTCACGCATCTATGCATGAGATGCCAATGAGATGCATTGACGGAATCGCACCGGATGCGCTGCAATTACATCTCGTCTTCCGATGAGGACGCACGCGCCGCTACACTGGGATGCGCAGAGCCGCTCATCATGTCCGTACAATCGTGGTCGCGACGGCGAGGCAGTCAGTCCTTGCGCGACCCGCAGCCTCGGTGCGAGTCTGCGTGGTGAGGGCTGGCGAATTGGCCGAAAGCAGGGATGATGGGATGAGCGGTGCAACGGCGCCGGTGGATGTTGCCAGGGGAATGCGCCGACCAGTGCATTGGACTACTAGCGCCTTGAAGGAGCAGGATTGCGAGGTTTCTGCTCGCTTGCTATGATCCAGGTGTTCCCAGCCACCGCTCGAGAGTTGATCGTCACGCAGCCACATCCTCGCGAGGGCCCGGTCTCATTTCTGTTTTATGCCTCTGCTTCTCCGTTATCATCGTACAACGTAAAGCTCTGCCTCTCCGTGCGTCGTTCAGCGTCTCGATTCTGAGTCACCAGCTCCAGCGCAATCTCTTCAGGCGGTTCGCGAGTTGATACTGCGGCACCACGCTGGCTGAAGATCAGGGAGCCGAGCGTTCCGGAGAGGCTGGTTGAGCGGCTCCGGAATGTGGTGCTGCTCGAGTCTGTGGGCAGGAGATCCGAGAGGGCGGCGCGGAGGTCGAGCATAAGGCGCGAGAGGAGCACGGATGTGAGGCTGAGCAGGGAGATTAGGAGTGTGGTCAGCAAGGGGGGCTTTGTGTTCCGAGTCAAGGACGGGACGAACATTGCGGTCCATGTGTTCACGACGACGATGAACTGTGCACAGCGTGATGATGTTATGACGGGGTCATGATGGGGCGTGTGCGGGGCGTACTGACTGTGAGGTGCACTGCGGCAATTCCTATGGCGAGGACGTTCAACACGAATAGAAACCTGGAGCAAGAAGATGGTCGTCAACTATGACCGCTGCCGGAGCGATTGCCGGGGCCTCGCCAGAGTCCCAAATATCACGCACCCAAAATAGATCGCAGCTATGCATACGGACACCACATTCGATGTCGCAGTCAGCCGGAATTATATGAACGGTTTCAAGACAATAGTACGTACTATCCCGCATGAGGACTGCCCTCGATCCACCGAGCACCGTTGCGCGGCGCGTGCCCGACCAAGTCATGCCCATGACAAAGCCATCGAAGACCAGAGAAGATGCGCGCGCACCCATCATCCCTATACTCAGGTCTCAATTATCTACGACCTGCAACGTATGCAATCGTACCACTTACACCTATGAATTGACAAGTTCGGATTATGTCAGTTGCGTGAATATTTTTCCTCTCAATGAAGCACAACGTACAAATTAGTAACGTTCGCGGTTTCGATATAACACACCGAGTTCCCGGGCATGATCTCGTATAGATACGGCTGAGACAGGACAAAGGAATACTTTGTCCGGGACGATCAGTGTGACCCTGGTAAATCGCTGGAGGTAATGTACCGCTTACAGTCGATATTATCGGAGCTATTAGACCCAAGCCTAGAGTGAAGGCAAACAGGTACATGCTCTTGTGGAACAGCGCATATACGCGCATAGCCGTGAACACTGCCGTATGATAAATCGTTAGTGGGAATACAGTACGGAAGATCGCAAAGGGTGCGACTTACACGCAGACGTCGTCAATATCAGAATATCGCCTGCCATTTCGAACCGGATGATAATAACACAGCTAACCGCAGTATGTACTAAGCATCACAATAAGCGCGACGGACCCGTTCGTTGCTGACCTCTGTTCAGTGAACGTGTTCAGCCGGGCGCAAGGTGGGGTTTCTACCAGAAGGCACTTACGTGTTGAGTCTGCCAATCTCGCCATGGGAAATACCCCATTGCTACGAAAATAGTGTTCAGGATTGCGGCATAGCGAAATGTGTAGAACAGGGCAGAGGCCAAGGAGAATTTCCTTGACCACACATGCCGAACTTCGCTGGTGAAGGTCAGACAGTAGTCATAGCAGCACAGGACTACAGCGAGGGAGTTAAAACTAGGCAGCTAGAATGGATTCTGCGTTTACCCTGTGCAGCAAGGACAAGATTATTGAGCAATCGGCTGTACGCTTCGTCAGCGCCACGTATAGAAGGCTGAAGGATCGGTGACCCACTCTTCCTCAACAAGACTGGCTGGACTCTCGGCCATCGGCACTTGCGCTATGTGTGAGATGCGGACAAGGGAGATGGGGGTATGGTGAGAGGCAGCAGCGCACAGTAGCGTCTCGCAGAATCCACAGATTAGAGTTTACGGCAAGTTGCAGCGAGTAGAGTCATAATATGTACATGAGAAACGTGTTCGCAGCATAAGGCGAGCCGTATCTTGAGCTAGGGCCAGAGTCTGTCTTCCCCGTGACCGGGAGCGCGAACAACAAGTAGCGAGGATGAACTAGATAGGGCGTGAAGATCAATGTCAGCAGTAGACGCTAACAGAAGCAAGGAAAACCGTGACACCTCTTCCGTGCTCAGCGGGCACTTCGAGTCGTATGTTCAGAGGCGTATCGTGGCTCACCAAACGAAATGGTCTCTTCCGGGGCGTATAGGCGAGATATAGCATATAGAGACATGTAGGCGAGCGGGAGACGTCCGGCGTATCAGCTGCCATGACATGCGTGGCGGCGCAATTTGCTTCATCTAGACAGCTGTCAATTGAAGAAGGGATGCACCCACGATGAGCACATGTAGGGCAGGAGTACACAACGAGTGGTTCAGCATACGTTACGGGTGGTCCCTCGCTGCAACGTAATATTCAATATTCTTGCCCCGGGCCTTTGAGTAGGCGTACCCACACCGAGAGGACCAGACTCGATCGAGAGAAGGGCGTATATGGGTCTTGAGTTAGCTCCTGTCAGACAATGTCGTAATGGTATCAGCTACCGCGGCGAGGCGATTCCAGGAAAACAAAAGGATAGTATCTCCAGGTAGTACTAGCTCGTACAACCTGGCGGACAAAAGCGCCTCCGGCTACATCATGCATTGTCAGTGGTACCCAGTAGCCACATTACGGCATCACGAGATAGATCTCCTGTGCACACCTGTGGTGCCCGGGTTTGTGAATACTGCGGCCTGCCAGAAGTTGATATGAAGGCAATAGCCGTTGTACCGTGACTCCGGACGCTTTGGCCCTTGGCGGCCGCCGGGTCTGAGCGGCATGACATGGAGACCAATTGGAGGCCGCATGTATTGAATATCCTGTAAAGTGTGTGACGCATAGCGTCCCGTACCACACCGCAGGCTGCGACCTGAGCTCTAGAAGTTTTCGCTGACACTGCGTCACGGTGCCTGTTACTATTCGGCGAGTAGGTACATTCCGAGCCTAACTGACAGCCTGAGAGACGGCAGGCGCCGCCAGGAGGTCATCATGTTCCCAAAGAGAATGATGACTTACTCACCATCGGCGTATCGCGATAGACCTCATGATTCAAAGCATATAAGTAGTGGCAGCCGCAACTTGAAGTGGCGGCAGCGTCTTTGGGGGCTGGCCAGCGAGAAGCCCTCACAATCCCCGCTCAATGCAGCGATGATAGATCGCGTGTACATGAGCGTACCTGTCGTGCGATAGCGCTGTTCAAGTCAGAATCGTTCCAAGCTGAGCAAAAGTACCAGGAGCGGTGATGTGGTTCACGTTCAAGCAATTTTGGTTGCTCTCAAATGCGGGCGCTTAGAATTTCGGCATGACGCTACTTATCATGCATACTAGTAATACTACTGTAAACAACCAGGCCTCCGAGTACTACTCAGTACTAGTGACGTTTGAGGGGAAGCCGAGGGTCCTCATGCTTGCATTGTCGCGTCGACAAGCTTTCGGCATGATTGAATGAGTTCGCGGTTTGCTTCGAAACGCAGAAGCGAACTTGGTTTTTGTATTATGTGGGAGGATGATGATTAAGAGCCCAGCGCGTCGCGGATACTTTAGTGCATAATACTACAGCGTGGTGTGGTGCGGGTGCGGTTACGAGTGTGGGAGGTGCGGGTCCGAGGGTGACGGTGTAATATCATCGGTATGTGGGATATAGTAGTTCAAGGGGAGTAGTATTCGACACAGTCAAACCAGATGCAAAGCGAAGATTTACAGCGAAGTCGTCCATCCAAAGCGTTATAATTACATCCTGATCTGGATTGAAGATCGCGGGCCCCGAGCCTTCGCGTGCCCGGGCGTGGGGGCGGGGTGGGACGCTTAGGCCGAGGCCTTCTCGTCCGACGACGAGCTGCTGTCATGGACGAGCGTCGGGCGCTCGGATAGGATTGAGAGCTTGCCAGGGGCATCGTCGTGCTCGTCGTGTCGTACCTCGTCTGCAGCGGTCTCGCCGCCCGCAATGACCCGCGCACTCAGGTCCTCGCCGTCGAAGAGTGCCGCAGTCTCCTCGAGCGTCCGGTTCTTCGTCTCGACGATGAACAGGTAGCAGAAAACCAGCTGGAAGAAGAGCCAGCAGCAGTAGAAGATCTGTGGGAACAGACAGTCAAGGTCAAGAGGACCAGGGAGAAAAGGTCGTTGGACGCACGTAGTACTTCCACTCAATGCTCTGCAGTGCGATCGGGTTGACGTACTGGTTGAAGATGAGCGCGAGCGAGACGACGAAGTTGAACACATTGAAGCCCTTCGCACGGATCGAGAATGGCAGGATCTCGACCGTGTACGACACAATGAGAGGTGTGAAGGCGATGCTAGTAGACACATCAGCATGAGCCGTGATAAATAAAAGTAGATATACTTACTCGTAAGCCGCGTAGAACAGAAAGATGAAGGCGATTACAGCGTGCCCTGCAGCAGCGGTCCCGTGCAGCGCATACTCCGCGGAGCAGATCGTCTGCCCGGTGAAGAAGACGACCATGCCAGCGCACGAGATCAGGAAGAGCGTCCGCCGTCCAGCAGAGTCGACGAGGAACGACGCGAAGACAGCCCAGCATAGGTTCCAGATGGCGAGGATGCTGATGAGACAGATCATTGTCAGCACAACATAACGGGCAACCCGGAGTGCGAAAGGCGTACCCAGTGATGAGAAGCTGAGTGGTACTGTCCGTGATGCCGATGGTGTCGAAGACCTTGTTAAGATAGAACGAGACAAGACCATTGCCTGACCATTGCGAGAACCACGCAATCGCGACGATTAGCATCATCCGCTTCCTGTTGCCAGGTGTCTTCACGAGAGCCTTCCACCCGACATTCACAGCATCTGCATAAAATAGCCTATTGAGACGCCATGGATTGCAACAACGGCAGCCCACTCACTGTCGCGGTCCAGATTGATAGCTGCCTTTATCTCTTCGAACTCGTACACAACGAGCGGGTCTTGCTCATCGCCATTTGCATGGTAGTACGCGAGTGTCTGGAGCGCCTGTGCCTCCTTGCCTTTGGACATGAGCCAACGGGGACTCTCCGGAGCAAGAAGGACCAAGAAGAACTGGAATGCAGACGGGAGGCCCTGCAGAAGCGAGGGAATACGCCATGACCAGCTTCCGGGAATACTTTCTGTGCCATATGAGACCCAGGAAGCGCTGGAGACGAGCTCTGTCAATACATGCGCACCGCGTCGGTAATCTGAAGAACGCACATAATGTTACCTGTGTACCACAATGAGTTGTACAGCGAGGTGACAGGAGCACGGTATGTCGGATAGGATATCTCCGTGACGAGCATAGGCGCCGCATTCGCTGCAAATGTCAGGCCGAAGCCAACGCAGAACCTGTGCTCTCAATTAGCATTTTCACAGAAGGGGACTCAGAAAAGGCGCATACCGGGCTCCAATAAACATGTTTAGGTTATACGAGGCAGTCTGGATCCCGACTCCTACGAGCATGATAGTTGCACCGATCCAAATGGTTGTCCGCCGGCCCAGGCCATCGGACAAATACGGCGCGAAGGGGTAGCCGGCCAGAGAACCAATGTTCTGGGAAGACGGAAGACATAGTCAAATGGCTGATCCAGTAAGCTCAGAGCTAGAAACTGACCTGAATGGCGTTCAAGATACCGAGCTTACCTCCAGTCGGCGTGCCGAAGTATTTTTCCCATTGGGGCATCGATTGAAAACTGTTCATGAGACTGTTATCGAATCCATTGGTGGACGACGTGATGAGCCTGCGGTAAGCATACGACCGGTCAGTGTTGGCTCCATGCAGACCGTGCCGACGCCAGCTCACAGAAGCAGAATCCAAAGGTGGAGGTAGATAAGGCTGAATATCGGACCAACAAGCATGTAAGCGCGCTGGAGCACCCATATCTACGAAGCAACCACATACCGCCGGTTGTTGTACCATGTCCGCTTCGGATCGACCAAGTGCGCGAGGTGCGCGTTCCCACCGACGTTGGCAATTGCTCCGCCCGCCATGGTGTCGCGCGTGAGGTGTCGGTTTCGTAAGGCGTTAGAAGTGGAGAAGTGAAAGAGCGACGATGATAACGAGCGTGGGTAGGCTTTATAGTTCTCTGTACAACTCCGTCAGACGCACTCGACAGTGTTCCCCTTGCGTGCGTCCCGGTGGTTGTTGGTCACACCGCAAGTCCAGACGCCTCGTTTCCCCGGAGGATTCCCCGTGTCAGGAAGACATGTCTCGCGTAGATTCCCCGCAGCTCCCCGGCTTCTGTACGATCCCGCAGACCCATTGGTCCGCTTGCAGATTTGCGATGCCACTTCATTTATATCTAGCCGGCACGTCCGACTGCTCAGCGAACTAGGCACCGAAGGCAGAGATCAACATTGCACGCTCCCCTGAAATTACTGTAGACACGTCTCACCTGTCGTAGACAACTCACAGGGCACCGACGTCAGTATCGGAACCTCGTCAGACCATGCCCCGTCGACGTCCGGACCCGAGTTGAGCCTTGCCAGTCTAGCACTGAATACTCTGGAACGGCCGTCCGAGCAGAGTGCTGAGAGACCGTCAGCCTGGCCGCCGAGCTCGGGCCGCCGTCGCTCGCTGGCGCGCAGCGTGAACCATAGTGGCGGTGATCGCCATGAGTCTCTCCGAGTCTTGGGCACACCGCCCGTGGGCCCGCGGTCGTGTCTAGCAGCGAGCATAGGCAGTGCGTGTCCCACGTAGTGAAAACTGTCGAGGCTGGACGTTGGCTGGACGCATTCACTTTCCTGCCTCAATTGGTGCCCTAGCCGCAGCGTGGCTACCAAAGGGAAGAGCGCTGCAGGTGCAGGACCGCGCCGAACTCGCCGAATACATACCTATCAATGTCCTTTGCCCATGGGTACATTGATTGCGGGGATATTGCGGGGAATGCGGAGCCCCACATTCCTACTCGGTGGTTTGAATGGCTGTCAATGGTACTTGCTCTGTTCCTCCTTCGGCCGGGGTCAGCGAATGTCCCTTTTCCCATGGTTCACCTCATGTGTGTATGTTACGGCCGACGCCTGCAACCATCACGCTACCGTGTAGGAATGGTAAGAACGCCATTTCGGACCGAAGTATACCGTACTAGTAGGAACGCACCACACTGACAATGCCGTCAAGTAGCCAGAGTTGCCGGCGGCATTCCAGACGATAGATGTTACCAGTGGTTCTCAGAGTTCAATACCGGGTATAGAGCGATCAAGCATGCAATGTCCGCGTCGTACACCCTTGCAAGACGACGAAGAAGGTTCGTCAGGAGGGGAATTCGCTTTCAGTTGAGTTTATATATGCGCTACGTCGGACGAAGCTAAGAGCCGTCCAATGCGCATCGTGACCCGCTCATATGCTGATCCAAGCTCTGTGTACCTGATTTGAATTGCCCATCTTTGGCATGAAGCCCTGGCGTTCTCTGGGTCATGCGCTCACTTCAAGTTGCGTTGATGGCGGTTACTCGCCGTGCTTGGCTTCGTGGACGTAATCCCCCATCAGTGGACTCACAGTATTTCCAACACCACAACATCTAGAGAACCAATTGACATCCTTTCCTACAGTGCGGTCGAGCGCGAAGCAACGTTGCAGTGGTCTATTTCTTAGTGCATGAACAAAGCATTCCGATGTAAATATTAGAAGGACTATGAATGAGTGTGCAGTTGCGAACTTGAATGCTAACGAGGTGTCAAGGTAGATCCAAAAGATATCATGATGTAATGAGCGTCCCAAGCCTACGAGCAGTCGCAGACAAAAAGTAATGTAGCCGTTCCTACTACCGGTGCAGGTTACCCGGCATGCTCGGCGGTGACGAGCTCAGTTGCGTCGAGTTCTCCCATACGTGGCTCGGGCTGATGGGATTCGGCCCAGGGGTATCCGGGCTAGGTGCTCGCTCCTCTACCACCAGCTCAGGCCGCTTCTTCCTACCGAAGCCCCAGCTGCTAGCGAGATTAGCGAGAGTACTCCGTGCTGTCACACCGGCTGTAGAACCAGCAGTGACTCCTGCGGAAACCCCGATCAAAGGTGAAGCAGCACTGACAGAGGCAGGCATAGCTGTGGAGGGGCGCGGTACATGGTAAGAGGTCGTCCTCCGTCGATGTGCCATCAAGCTTGCAATGCCTTCAGTCGGTGAGCCCTCTGGGGAAGGCGTGACCGAGCCTGGGCGGGCGGCGCTCAACGTACCAGAAACGTCTGACAAGGGCGACGCGGCCTGCTCTGAAATAGCAGTGGTCGCGACTGCCTTCGCTACAGATGAAGTGGCGCCGAACGGTATGCGGCCCGCCGAGAATTTCGAAGACGTCGACACTCGCGACGCCCTCGAGCCGGGTCGCAATGAGGATGAGCGCTGCCCGATTGAGCTTCGAGGCACGGAGCCTGTCTGGGTCGGGGACGGAGGCGGTTGCGGTGACGCTGCAGGTGATGGTAGCTTTGCCTCCGGGGGAGGCTTCTGGGCCACGGGTGTACTCTCCTGCTCCAATGACAATTCGGGCGGCTGTGCTTGGGCCAGCAGACGGGAAAGCGAGGACGGGCCTGCAGTCGGAGAGGAATTGACACGAGGACGGATGGGGAAAAGCCGTGAATTAGGGGGCCGCGTGGCGCTGAAGGAGTCCTCGACCTCGTTTTCTGGAGGACCAGCTGGAACGGACAGAGTGCTGGCTTCCGGGATCGGCGGACTTGGCAGGGGAGGGCTCGTCGACTCCTTCACCTCGGTGGAAACCTTCCTCGCTGAGTCTCTTCGCTTCGATGGATAGGCTGGCTGTGTCCAATCCTCCACCTCCAGCATGTAATACTTGACGCCATCGCCGAGGCCGTATGGATTGGTGCTCGGATCCTACGATAATCATAGCCGTCAGCAATCTGTGGCCTCGTTGGCCGGCGGTGACTATGCTCACCTTGTGATCGACCACGCGCTCGGTGATCGATGTAATCCTCGCGACGATCCACTCCCTCGTCTTGAGCTGCTCGGCAAGGTGACCGGTAGCCTGAAGGAAATAATGCGGGAAAGAGACTAGAGCACACCGCAGGAGAAACCTCGGGGCATCAGCAACCCGCCCACCGAGATGAGAGAATGGACTCGACGCACCGTTGAACGCAGCCCACGGTTTAGACACACTATTCCGTGTCGGGAGAAACAAAGCGAGGTCACCCTTCGCAAAGTTCCTGAACGAGATCTTCCCCTTCGCCCGCTCGCGATACTCCTTGCATTGTTTCTGCCATTTTCGTATGGTCGATCCTGCCTTGTTGATCGCCTCCAGGAAGTGGTCATGGTCGAATGCGCGAAGGGCTTCAAGTGCAGTAGCAGGGTCAGACGGGTCAATGTGTGATGGCTCTATGTGAAGAAGGCTGAGAATACTGAGTCGCCCTGGGCTGATGGCAGAGTCAGTGAGAGCGGCACTATTCGAAGCCTTGTTGGCCACGGGATGGGAAGCCATGGCTTGGGCAGCCGCGAGTGCCTTTATGTGAGATTCCCGGAAGGCAAGCGCCACGTCTAGCAGCTGAGCAACTAGGCGGCTGCTGTTCTCCAGTCGCTGCTCATACTCCGACTGCGATACCCTACCGACCCTCAGGTCCTCGCGCAGGACGTGTTCGATATGTTGAGCCTCCCTGAGGTTGTGCTCCACACGCTGCAGTTCTTCGCGCAAGCCAACAGCGTCCGCTTGAGCCATCTCCGCTTGGGCACGCACATCTTTCAGCTGTCGCCCCGCATCCTCCAAGGCAACCTTGAGTTCAGAGAATTGGTGCTCCAGCACGGCCCGGTCGCCGTCAGCCTCCGCAATATGGTCGCGTATGACGCGGTCATGCTCAGTTGCTTGAATGCGCAGTAGCCGGTCCTTCTCCCTTGCTGCCTCAGCCAGAGAGCGCTTGACCTCGTCACTCTCAGTGCGCGCCTCCCTGATCTGTGCCTCTAGGTCCTCTCCGCGAGCTCGGGCCTCTTCTAGCCTCCTCAGCGAGGACGTCTGCTCCTCCAGGAGCTTGTTTAGTCTGTCGGAGTTTTGCTTCTCGATGGCCTTGACATGCTTGAACTCTGCCCGCACCTGGGCAAGCTCCTGTCGCGCAATCTCGGCTGCTTTAGCCTGTTCAGTGGCTTCCGAGAGGGCTCGGGAGAGTACATCGCGGTGTCGGTTAGCATCGGATGAGAGGTCGCCGTTGCGCTCCTCAAGGATGCGCCTGGACGTGGTTTCGCTCTCCAACTGTGCCTTGGCAGAGTGAAGGTCACGTTCGAGATGATCGCGTGCCGCCGACTCTGCTTGTAGTGAAGACCGCAGTTCCGCCAGTTCGTGCTCTAGAGCCTGGCGCTCGTTCTGGAACGAGAGTTCTCGCTGCGCCTGTGCTTCACGCAACTCCTGTACCTGGATCTCGAGGTCAATATCCTCCTCGGTAGCTGTACAGGGAAGTAAGTTGAGCCAAGGGTGAGGTCTCAGCGCCGTAAGGGAACTCACAACGCCGCCTATGGTTCGTCAATCGGGATGCTGACAGCACTGGGACCCAGACACAAGTCAACGTCAGCTGCGCTCACACAAATGAATGGGTCGAAGAGCCTCACATGACCGTTCCGCGATGCGATCGAAGCCCGACTCGAGGCTGTCCATCTTGCCAACCAGTCTGTCCAAACTCGCGCGGGCTTCCCGCACGGAGCTCACCGCGGACGGGTCCTGTGAAGCTTCCGCGAAATGATCCAGGTCATCGAGCACATGTAGGAGATCTGCCTCATTGGCTATTAACATCATCCATGACTGGCCAGTGTAATGGTCTCACCGTCGATGTCCGGACGCTCCAGCGAGTATGGTAGGTCAAGAGGCCCAGTGGGAGAGAAATCGATGGTGGGGACAGGGTCATCCATACCCCGCGTCTCGAAAGGTAATTGACCATGCACGTCTCCGCGGTACAGCTGTCTTCGCTTCCGCTCGCTTGCTCTATGACAATGTCAGTGGAGTTACGCGGAGAATATTGCAAGTCACTGACGAAAGCTTAGCCATGACCTCGAGAATGCTCTGAGCACGTTGATAAAAGAAACGCGCTGTGACACAGATAAGAACAGGCTCCTAGCGAGATCGTGGGGTGACATACCAAACTCTTTTCTTCTAACGATCTCGATGACTGTGGCGCCATATGCATACAACATACTGTGAAGCCGTTGTATGTGCGAGAAACTCGTCTTCGCTTTGAGGCCACCCTGAAGTGACGTCAATAATTGCCGTAGTTCGATCAGTTCATGGTTCAATGCGCTGATCTGCCGGAGGGCGAGGATGCAACCCTCTGTATGTGAGTTCTGTGAAATGGGCGTCACTTCACGGTGAATGAAGATACAAGTGCACACAAAGGTGCCGGGACGCACTTTGAGAGTCGCCATGGTTTCCACTTGACCACGCAGTACCGCGTCACAATGACGAAGGTCTGAGAATGATAGGTTATGTGACGTGCAGTTGCACAGACAGATCCTACTCACCGTGGACGGCCTTCTCGAACTGCGAGCTCGGTACTTCATTCCGTAGTCAACACAACGGGCGCTTGACATGACAAACATCACTCACTTTGTTGTGCCGAGTGATACTCTGCAATGCCATCCAACGCTTCTTGTGCTCTCTTGACGCAAATTTCTGCCTCTTCTAGCGGGCTGCAGGTAAAGCTCACCTATCAAGCACCTAGACCCTTTCTCGCTGACGTACCTTTGCTGATTGACAAACTCCCGAACCTCATGTGCGCCATCGTTCAGCCTCGACATGACCTCTTGTGACTGCTGCAGTCGCTCCTTGAGATCATCTTTCCAGAACCATTAACGTCAGCCGAAGAGTCAGGGTAAGGGGCCGCCCTCACGACCACTTACCGTGGGTCCGTATGCAGCTATCCGCGACCTGACGCATCTTCACCCTGCTCACGTAGTCTCCCAACGTTCGGCTGCGCTCGCCCACATTCATCGCCTTTCTCATCGCAAGACTAACGAACTCCTTGTGCACATGCACTCGCGCTACGATCTCCAGGTCTGCATCCAGACCACCGAGCAGGGCAGCCTGTCTGTCGACCTCGCGCTGCGCTGCAGCAGTCACGCCTTCAGAGACGTCGGCGATGGCGAGAACATGGAGATCCAGTACGCCCGAAGCGATGCGTATGGCGGAGTGCTGGTAATGCATGGAGGCGAGAGTCCGCTGGACTTGGTCATGGTGTTGACGAGCGGCGTGCTCGTACGAAGTGGCCAGCTGGGATATACGAAATGGAGGCGTAGATGATATTGTATCTGAAATTCATTGAGCATGTATCGCGCATACCGTGTTCACGTACGTACCTTCCACTGGAGGTTGTAGTGTTGGCTCTTCCTGAAGCTCGGACAGCACCTCCTGCATGTCCAAGTCCAGGTAGCGCTTATTGAACACATAGATAGTCTGGATAGCACACTGCATATTCATATCGCTCTTGAAAAAAGCAAAAGCTATATACGCACTTGGTCCTCAACTCCAGCAATATCCCGCACATTATCTTTAGTCAACCGTCTCCCGTCCGAAAGATATGCGAGCCCGTCTCCTTGGTAGATTCCTGCCTTCTCCTCTAACAGTCGCTCCAGGTTGACCTCCCTAGATGCGTTTCAATAAGCGTCGTGCTTCCTGACCTCCTGTGAGATGCCTCACCTCTCCAGGTCCCATACCGAATCCGCGAGCTGTTCAAGCACTCATCAGCCACTTGAGCTACGAAGGCACCCGCATTGCGCACGTCAACGGTTTTTCCATCCTCCGCTCTGCATAGTTGGATCATGGCTCGAGAATCTTGTCCTCGATGCGTTGGTGGTCAGAGAGGAACATGCGTAGTAGCTCGATCCAGGCAGCGTGGGCGGGACTGCCGCCCGGACGATCGCTACTTACATGTCCTCACGTGCCGTACGCACGCAGGTAAGACGCCCATAATAGGACATCGAGGTCGTCGAAGTCAACCTCCAACGTTCCAACTCCCAAGTCATCTCTCATTGCGATTCCTAGTTCTGCCAGTCATGACAGTCTCCTTCTTCGTGCTCGAATGGTTTCAACAACTGAACTTACTCCGGCAATGAAACAGGTGTCGAAGCTCAAGAAGTCCCGCTCACATTCGGATGTATACTGAGTAACGCGCACAGTCATGCTTCACTGTACGGTCGTTAACATCTCATCTATTTCGGGTTTCCAGTGACTTGCCGTACGCTGTCTCGTCAATTAGGGTCTGATATTTGCGGGCCACATAGGCTGTCTGCAGTGTCGTACTGGTGCCGGTGTGGGGTGTTTTAGTAAACATGATACCTGAAGGTTCGTCCACACATCCATTGATACGATGAAAGTATCCTTGCGGCACGAGGAGCCTGTGTGCTGAAACTCATATCGGGTGCAATTCCAGTGGCTGTATGCGGGCCTCCAGGGATTGTGCGTGCTTCTGCCCCGGCCTCGGAGATCTCAGTACTCGGCCAGTCGCCAGAAGGTCGCAACACGTTGCCAACAGTCGTCCTCTACTGGCACTGACCTCGCGCGCTCCGTGCTCTTCAGTACCCATTGAACCCCGGACCCTGTCTATCCTTCCGCATGCCTCTTCCCTAGGCCGGCGAACGTCCATTTCGTGCCCTTCTACGTACGGGGGCTCTCTCGCGTCTCTTCCTGCGAAGCGGGTATGCCAAGATTAAAGGTCGGAAGCCCCCCGCTTCCTACGGACTTCTGCAATACATCGCGGCCCGCTGACCAACGCTGCCGCCGTTCCGCTGTCCTTCCCTGTGGTGTGCCAGCCATTTGGGGGTCTGTTCAGTCTTTTACTGGTCGACCTGGTCTAGAAGTGACACGACCCTGTCTGTCTGCGTGCGCCACAAATTCACCGGAGCGAAAACGGGCGACAGATGTCCGATTGGCATTCCGACGGCGCATGGCCAGTCTCCTCGTCCTTCCGAAGCTACGTCCAAATGCCACAGGCAGCACTATCCGCTATCTCGCAACGCCAAATGCCAATCACTCCGTCAATCAGAAACCAGATCACCGGAGCGTGTGGGTACTTGCTCGCCACCACCTGCCAGTTGCCACCACGCAGCGCGATATCGATCTGTGCAAGCTGGTCGGCGCGGTACCGGTGTGTGTCGCGTGGCACGAGGCGGATAGCATGGCCGTAACTTTGTCTTGGTTCTGTTCGGTCTTGGTCAGCGCAATGAACGCGAGTGGACGTCGGCTGCGGCCAAGCGGCGTGTGTGGCTCGGCGAGTACGATATCGATCGTATATCCGCCATCGCTACATACATGGCACATTGTGGATCAAAGCTTGGCCTCAACGCTGCCCCTGGTCTCCGTAGATCGACTGTGCCTCGTGTCTACGCAGCGGTGCAGGCATATACGCCTGAACTTGCGATTATCGGGCGCGTGCCAACGTCCCGACACGCGAAAACCAATTTGCTCAGTTGACCACGGCCGGTGTAGCTGGTAGGCCTATCGAGAACGTTCGTTCCGACACGTTTTGTTCGTGTCTCAAGGCCTACTGGGTCCTCGACTTGCATGGGCTACCACGGAAGATCTCTTTACGCCCCAAGCTAGCATTGCTCGTTGGCAGCGCGGGTTCAGCGCAGCCATCGGCATTCAGTCCAGAAAACAGAGTTGGCCGAAACTCGCGCCCGTTCGCAGCAGTTCTACTTTGCAATTGTCTGTCAGGGCACGCGGGCCCGCGGAATATATTACGGGAGTGCGGACTCGCGCTGACACTGGCAGGGCACAATGCAAAAAGAATTCGGACAGGGTCTGACATCGCTTCCGACCGCAGTGTGTATGATATGTGGCGTCTTCCTGCCTTCGAAGTTCGAGCTTCTTCGCGGCGCCGTACGAGCTCGCACGCACGGAAGACTCCAGACCAACCGCGGACGAGGTCGGTGCTAACTTCTTCGATTGTATTGGATGATCCCTGACTACACTGACATTCGTAAGATGACCATATGCCACCTTCGCGCGCACATGCAATCTATCTATCTGTTCTCGACGCTTCCTCAAATCTGCTGGGACACCTAGAACAAGGCGCAGGTGAGACCAATCCCCGCGTTCGATGTTATCTCGGGGAGCCCAGGCATTCGCCGCAATAGGGATAGGTCTGTGGCTGGTCTGTGGTCTGGCTGGCTGACAGACAGGAGCAGGACGTTCATTGGAGGAGGCGAGCCCCAGCTCGGTTCACGTCTAGGCGAAATAATAAGCATTTTAACTTTCTGCCGCCTCTCAAGAACGCCGGCCAATCGGGACGCGAGCATGAAGAGATCAAGATCGCCGGGCGGGGCCGCGGCCTGGCCGACGAGAGCAGAGTCCGGTCGAAATCCGATTCTGCTCGGACCCCGACTGCGATCATAATTAAGTATTTAAATGAACGCAATGCAGACGGTTCCGGCACGCTGTATGGCCGAGAGGAAACGCGGTCAGCGGGTGCACTGGGTGCGGTGACAGCTGGGGCAGATGAAATATCGTGGGCGAAGACATACATCGACAGAAGGGCCAGCCCACCGCTATTTCATCCTGTTACCGGTACTCCATGCAGACGCGAGCTCCCGCGAAGTCGGAGGAACACGACATGAGAACCACACACGGACTCACCGAACATCGTGGAAGGGGCAGCCGCGGTGGGTGTGGTACAGATGCCAGCTGTACTGGGACGCTCGGGCGACACGCGCGGGGGCTGATGCAGCTGCGGCGTACCACCCGGTGATCCAGACTCTCTGGGCCATTCGACGAAAGTCGCCGGGCGGACGCACGCCGCTGCTACCTTACGGTAGGTGGACAGTCAGGCTGATGGTTACTCATTCATGACTGTGCTGTTCTAGTCCGTTCCATTAGGACGTATACTGATTTGCGAATAGGAGTAATGCATCGTTCATGCACTAGGACATACCAAGGCAAGCTCAGTTGGCCGTGTGGATAGTGCCAGAAGATAACTCGGAATGTTGCAGTGCTTGCGCTCGGCCGAGCCTGCGGTGATCCAGAACAGTTGATCGGAGTCGTACCGGATGCACAAACGTGGCCTCCTGAGCCTGGGCTGTTGCTGTGCTTCCTGGTCACCGCAGCGATCAAAAGACAAATGTAGAAGAGCGAAGGCTGGACAGGATGCAGCGTGAAGACCGCGTACGGCCGCGCGGCTGCTCGAGCCGATGGTGTGTAAACGAAACGAGGCGCAAGTGGACAATGGGACGAGCAACGAGGTCGGCAAAGTGTACGTACAGGCCGCAAATACCGCATTGTGTGCGAAGCGGGCGACAGGACATCGAATGGGCAGCGTACACGCCGTGCGACGAGGAGATGAAACGGGCGGGAGCCGGGCGTGCGTCAAGTTGTTTTCGTGATACTCGGACTCCACCGTGGGCCGTGGCCTGGGCGAGAAGGGCTGGTGTGGCTCCACAACGCCCTGGACGTGGGGATGGCCTGGGCTGTCGACTGGCTCCTCGCGGGCGGGCGAGGGCAAGCGCCCACTGTTTTGCCGCCTCAATTTGGCAAGGCGCCGCGCCCCGCAGCCGCCTCGGCCAATCACCATGGCGCTGGCGGCGAGCGTTCGCAGTGGCGCCTCGCCCCTGGCGATGCCAGCGGTGTCCCTGGATGGTCCCCAAATTTTTGCGGCTTGGTGGGAGAGTGTTTGTGCTTGGTGGAAGGGCGGTTGATCGCGACGCGCGCTGCCACTCCGCGAGGCAGCCTGTGGACAATGCATCGCCGGACCACGGACTGGTGACCAGTGTGTACAACGTCACCGCCGTGTTATCGATGTGTATGTGCGTCCGCATTCGCTCGCCACGACCACGGTGCACGGGCCACGGGCAGCGCAGTGGGCTATCGCGATGCCCGGGACCGCCCGCGCAGGCTGATTGGCCCGCGGGGAGCCTCGCTGAGCAGCGGCCGGGGAGCGGCGGGGCGCGAATGGCAGGCGCGCGGGGATTGGCGCGGAGATCGAACGGTGGGGCGGGAAGGGTTGCCGGACGTCATGGGGATGCACGAAGAAAGGGTAGTCTTATGTCATCACCTGCCCGTCCACACAGCTCCGTCTCACTACACCCGGCGTCTTCCCTCCTCGCTATAAATCTCCTGGTAACCATGATTCCCCGATAAAGAAAGCCCCATAGCCCCCGTCCTTATATTCTCCCTCCCCGCTCATTCCGAGCCACTATCCCTCCTCCGAAACCTCCTCCGTCTTCCCCAGCACCCTCTCATCCCTGCACGCCTCCTCCGCCATGCCCGGTCTCGTCAGCGATGCAACCCGCATCTGGGAGGTCAGCATCTACTGGGCCCTGCACTCGCAGTGCGGGGTCTGGGACCCGAAGGGAAAGGGCGTCGACATCTGGGAGTGCATACGGCCTCGTGAGTACTCTCTGTTCTGTCCTCCGCAGGACGACCTGACACGGACGGTGCTCGCAGACAACTCTACTCCAGGTACTCAGGTATGTACCGTTACGCGAGATACAATCCTCGGACCGCATCTAATCTCGGACCATCTACAGCCTCCCAACTCGACCTACTGGCGATACGTCGCGCGTCGATGACCCGCCAGCACCCGCCGGTCGGACCGCTAGGCCGTGCACAGGTCCGAATCCACCCCCTCCGTCCTCGGTGCCTCCTCGGCCACCCTCGACCACAACAACCCAGCCGGCGCGTCGTCCACCCACCACGCACGCCAATCACCATCGCCCGTGCTCGTAGCCCGCTCAACGTTGTACAGTCTCGTTGCGGTGCGCCTCACACCTCCCCGAGTGCTCCCTGCCTCCGGGCGTATCTCCGGGACACGCCCGGCCTCGCTGTGCAAGGCTGAGCTCGCTCGCTGGGCGCTGCGCGATCCCAGTCTCTTGTCTATCAACACCCCATCTTCCGGGGCGTGATGCTGCGCGACCCGTAGCAACGACCCCGTCTGTCAAGACTCATCATGAGCCATCATATGTTTCGTCATCTGCCCGCGGATATTATTGCATCTTTTCTCTCATCGCTCGTCTTCGCTCCCATCCACTCGCCTTCTTGGTCTCGCCCCCGGTCTCCGTCTAATCTCATGATCGCCTGCTTATCTCCGTCTGCCCGGGATTGTGGTCCGCTATGTATTCTCGCGCCTGCGTTTCGTGTTCTTCCTTTCTTCTCCTTGCCACTACCGTATCTCCCTTTGTCCAGCCTAGCCTCGCACTACGGCCGGAGCAAAGCGTTAGTAATCATCTAGTATGTACCCTCATTGTCCGCGTACGTCCCGAGTTTGCGTGCCCCTGCTGTCTAGCTGTCCCCATCGTAGCATACACACCGCACTAGTCCTGTGCTTGCAATCTGACATGAACAATCCACGAATGTTACGCCCACATCACTGCTCACCCGAGCGCCCGCGCCACTGTTCGTCTGCACCGTGTGTTCGTGTCCGAGATCGCGCCCTCTATCAAGTTGTCAGCAACTTCCCTTCCCTGGGCGCGAGGGCCTCCATTCACTTAGAGGTGGGCTTCCCGTATGTTTGGAAATTGGTGTGGCTGGCTTATCGCGCGCCCGTTCGCAGCAACTGCCCAGACCAGCCCGCAGGGCTGCCGGCATCCACTGCCACGTCGAAGTCCGAACCTCCTAGCCTTCCTTCGCCATGCACGTCATCGCTATGGACCCTGCACCCGCAGGTGGCAGCTGGCGGCAGTGGGAAGGCGCGAACTCTGGAAGCTCCCGGCGAAGCCCCAGGCTCGAACGAACTGCCACGAGCGCAGGGCTGCTAGTGGCTGCCCCGCGAGGGCCCTGCCGGCAGCAGGTCCCTGAAGCTGGCACCTGCGCCGCAGCGCCGGCTCGCGCGGACAATCGAGAACATGCGAACCGCGGTCCTCCCTGCACGGCTTCCTAGACACTACGCCCAGCTGGGCTCCTGCAGCCTGCAGAGACGTCCGGACCTCTGCGAACTCTCGGACGTCCGACGGCCCATGCGCCGCGCGAAGCCGGCAGGTTGGCTGACGCCTCCGAGTCCTTGCGCTGACAGTGACAGCACCCCGGATCGAGCTCGACGCCCCCTTCCGTCCTTCCGCCTTGGCTCCCAATTCAGTGCGCGATGGTGTGGCAGCGAGTGATAGAGTAGACGCGGGATGGACGCGCCGGCCACGTAAAGCTGCGGCAGGCGCGGGCGCGGGGACAGGTAGGTCGCTCCCCAGTCTGGGTGAGCCCAGCAGCTGATCACCCTTTCTTCGCCCGGAGAAGCACGCGCGAGCCGGGCGGGCGGGACGGGTGATTGACCAGGTCTGTGTGCGCGAACAGACTCAGCAGCTATCGCCGTGACTCTCCCTTGCTCACAGAATGATCCCCTGCACTAGAAGCCCGCCATGCGTGGCAGATGTACGCGTAGGTTACGGTGTGCGTTTGCATGCGTGCACGATCGTGGCGCTTGTGCGAGAGGGCGATGTAACCAAAGATGTGATGCATCTTTGCTACAATGATCTGAGGTTCGACCGGCGCAGGCACTCTGCATGCACTACACTAGACGTGTAGAGAATAGAGTTATTCATAATACGGTTTGCGCCCCAAAAGCAATGTCGCGCGGTCTACAGCCCGAACTCGGGCATGCGACGCTGTGATACCGGAAAGTGTAGACGTGTCAGGCAAAGTAATCAATCGGAACTGTGTGCAGCTGCTGGTACGGTGGGATCGTAACGGCAGGAAGCTGGTAGACGGATCCTCCGCTCAGGAAGGTTCGTGTGCGCGTAACGTGTCCCTGTGCAGCAGTTGATCATCCAGAGTCAGCGGGGTTGTAAGTAAGACGTACGTAGCTATAGGTCATTGAATTGGTGGCCGCATGCAGATTCAGAGCTCGAGCCGTTTTGGGTCGAGTGAATGAACCGGATCTAGATGAGCTCCGGTGTCTGTCAGTGCCGTCATTCACAAGTCCTTCACGCCGTGAAGGCTGTGATCACCGGACACCGACAGTCAACGTAGGTGTAAGTAGTCGTAGTAGGACACGCCAACTTGAGCGGAATTGTTACAGACCTTCGCTGATCCGAGGGTGGTGAAGACTGTTGATTTCAACTTCCAGTCCGCAGTGTCCCGTCGTGTCGTCAGTGTCCGTGCAAAGCTCCCGCGGATCTTGCTCCCAGGACAGAAGCAAGCCAACGAGGGCAGCCCAGAGCTCCGCACCCTCGTTCCTTTCGCAGAGTCTACCCAGCGCTCTTTAGGCTCGGCGTCGGGATCCACCTCGCAAAATAAGCACGGTGGTCTTCGTCAAAACAATCTAGACCACTCCACTAGGGTCGGATTGCGAGTAGACCGGGCCGCTCAGTACCAAATTGACTTCGGACGCGGCGCCTGCCCCGCGTTAGGGGGATCTAGGGCTGGGCTAATATTAGCGCACACGTATTTAGCCAGATGAGATGATGGCCGCGCGCGAGCTTGAGTCCGAGCCTGAGCCCCGCAATCGGGCTCAGAGTCAGACGCGCTGCACATATTAGAGGGAACAGAATGCAATGGACAAGATTGGCTGGGGCCCATACGTAACTGATCTGGCAGCCTCGGTCGCTCATGCGTCTGGCAGGAGTCATGGCGCCTCTGCACAAAGCCTCCGAGTGCGCTGACAGACCTGCGAGCTCGAATGTGGAGTCTGGGGTAGGTTGTGCGCGTGGCTGGCCGTAAGCTCTCGTAATCCGGGGAGAGGAGTGCGCGAAGCGGGGAGAATCCGCGGTGGCAGGGAAGGACGAGCTCAGAATCAAGAATCGAAGTGGGTGCGAGGGAGAAGCGGCGTGCGCCGGTGCGGAGACTAGAACGCGAACGCGAACGGTACGTCGTATCAGGCCACTGTGGGCCCGTACACGCTCAGGGTACTTCATAGCCTGAGCTTGCTAGACGGTAGCCTAGACCTCATCGATGCTCGCCACAGGAGAGGAGCTGAGTTCGCCAAAGAGCCGGTACCGTCGTGGAATCCGCAAGTGGAGTCGAAGCCTGAGTTTTCTACCACGGGCAGCGAAGATACAAGGAAGGCGCGCACGAGCAGACGGATATACTCGCTTGTGCCTAGGGATCTAGACACCGCGGCGCACAGCTGATCTTGCGGCCGGCGCCTTGCGGTCCTGCGGGTGAGCTGGCGCGCGAGCCTAGGGCAGTTAGGAGCGTGGGGTGTCCATAACGTACTATTGTGCATCACGAGGATGTATGTCATTAGCACTCTCAGCGGCGTAGCGCACACATGGGGCCCGAATTGCGAGCTCACCAGTAAAAAGGGTCCGGCTGGCCCTCGGAAATGAACCCGCGCTTACGAGCCAATTCCCCTGGGCAGCGTGGTTCGTCACTCGGGTGACCGCTCTTGCACGTCTGGGATCCGTAACGTCCGTGTGCGGACACCTCGATCGTGATCGCATTCAACGGTTGGGAGGTCCGAGTGAAACGTAAGTGAATGAGCGAGGGATGTACGGTAGGCTTGAGCTTGATTCGGACTGATCCTTGGACCCGCTCGTACATGCCGTTGACGGACCGCGTCCTGTTGAGTCAACGATGACGCTACCTGTACAACAGAGTAGATGCTATACCCAGGTACGAGCCCGCTGCAGTGATAGCATAAGACGCCGTAGACAATGGTTCACTGTAGCTTCCTAGTCTATCCACACATCCGCGGGTACCTAGAAAAGAGAGCATAGTGGCACTTCCAGTCGCACGAGAGTAACTTACCTTAGATGGAGATCAACAGCACCAGCGCACGTTATTCGTAGAACCTCCAGCACGGGTGTATGCGTCACACTCCGCAACGTGTCGACGGCGAAGGCAGAACAAATCACTGACGTAGTGCCAACCGTGGAAGGACGCCCACAGCGTGGCTAGCGTATGAGATCGTCCCTACTTGAGGTTTTCTCGTGCTTCGAGCCGCCAATTGATAGCGAGGGCGCAGCGTATGTCAACGGGTGACAGAAGGCATGTGCACTAGCTGTATTCTAGATCTTTGATAAGGAGGAGTCGCCAAGAGAGCCCCGAACGTGAGAGGGAGGTTGCGGAAGGTGGATGAGTGAATTTGTTCTGTACGACTTCACAGTGGCGAGGCTTCACCTGACGAACAGTGGACGCGCAGCTGATAGGATAATCTGAGTAGCATTGACCTGCACCGGGGTGTCGCTGCTCCATCGTCCCTGCTCAAGGTTATAGAGCGCATGACGCAACGATGGAATGTGCGCACGAAGAAGCAGTGGACGCGCTTGAGGAGCTCAAACAGCAGAGAAACGGCGCTACCGACGCAGGTAGCTATGCTCCATACTCCTGACCCCGACAACGTAATTTAGCCTCGCGGAGTCGGGGAAACATATCAACTGAACGAAGTCGTATGCGTCAGTGGCAAGATGTTCGCAGAATCCAGAAGTTACCGGGAGCACTTGTAGCTGCGCATAGCCCCGAGAAAGGCACTGCCTCAGGGATGGAAGAGGCATTTGGACGTGCGTTTGTATCGCTATTAGCTAGAATGCTGCACTTCTCCGCCAGTCATCTGACATGGGCAATCGGAGCCAGTATCAACAGGATGTTACATGCGGCGGAGCTCACCTCTACTAGGAAACAGAAGAAACATCCCGCGACATCGCATGTCATCACTGCACCGACATGCGCAAGGATGTCAGCCCCGAGTAGACCAAAAGCGGATATTCCGCTCAACGCCAACAGAGATGCTCGATCTCGTTGCCAGAGACCGCAGGAAGGTGTTCGCCAGTGTTGTGCGGTCTGTTCGCAGCGTTCGAGCGTCTTGTTCCGTCAAGTAGTCTGAGATAGAACTGTCAAGAAGACCCTAACCGTGTACGCCGAACTTCAACGTCACGGGAGAAGCAGAAGTACGATGATAATGAAAGGTGCATATATAGTGCATGTCAGACACGGCGATCCGAGGTCGATCCGTCTGCAGAGCCTCCGCGTCCACGCTTCCGTGCTATCAACAATTTGAATGGCTTGTTGAGAGACAGCCGAACGTGAGCCACCTCAGGCCACCAGCCTTAGCGAAGGATCAGCCGGCCATGCACGGAGGGCCGATGGCGGGAGGCCGCTGCTAGCAATGGGTACATCGCTCCGTAAGCTGGATGGCAGCGGATATGTATTATTGGACACACCTCAGGCAACTTTAGACGAAGACCCTCTCCGAGGGGATCAACGAACCACATGTGGCGAGACTGCCGAGTCCCAAAGTAGTCAGTCGTAAGACGATGGTGTATTTGGCCTCCTGACCTAGCAGGTGATAAGGTAGAAGGAAAAGACATGCGCACCATCAGAACGTGTATGAAAGAGACCAATGGATGCAGTGCACCTGAAAGTTCTCTGTCCAGAGTCCAGACAAGGTTGGTGATTGTATTCGACACGTTGAACGAGAATACGATTGAGTTCAACGGGGAGTATCGGCGTTCTTTGTGGTTCCCTTCGACGTGTATCACCCCGAGGCTGATACTGACGGCCGCGTTTGCTGAACCGAGTTTCTAGCTCAAACCTTGTTGAAGGGAAGCTCGACATTCGACATCAGTTTGCCATTCAAGCGTGCACATGTCCGTTTTTGGCGCGTGTATAACTACTTCTGGGAAGACGACGATCCCTAGTATTAGGAATAGGGAGCAACATGAGACTACGTGGCAAAGGTTCAACATTCAACATACGAGCCGTGCTGATCGTCAGGCCACTTACAGAAGAGCTACTGGGTTTACTGACATACATCAAGCCTCCCTGTTGCTATACGGTCGCTTGTGGCGTGAATGTCGATGAGGAGGTCATAGCATGGTCGTCAGTATTCGTTCCCGGTGAACGACCGGCGTTTACAAAAGTGATTTGAACATGGTTTCCTTATGCAGCAGTATTGTCGAATTAGGCAAGTACTGTTCCACCCACCTTAGATATGTCTGAAGGGCTACGAGGTTATTCACGCGCGCGGGTGGCACAAAGACGTTCTGTGAGACGATAGGCTTGCCGCGACGCGAAGACACAGGAAGTTTTCTAGTCGGCAAGGTGGTGCCACTGGATGGCGCCTGGGATGAGTTGAATAAGCGCCCTTAATATGCGGACTTTGCCGCTGTAACCTCCGCGTTGGCAGACTCAGCGTGTCACCATGAACACTCCTCAAAGTCAGGTTCGCCTCGTGCTTCTGCCCAGACAGTTTTCAGTCTAACAATCACCTTCGTATCTCTTCAATGGTCTCTAAATGCTCATGTGGTGCTCATCAGCTGATTGGCTGGGGTTCCTTGATCGCGGCTGCGGGCGTGAGCTATTACTATGCTCGCCAGAACATAAACGAACGTCGCAAAGCACAGGAGTTCGCCGGAGCCAGGCCGTCGGAGAAGCTGGACTGTACGTGGCTGCGTAGTGCTATACTGCTCTCTGCTGACACAGTTGTTCGCACAGGGCGTGCGCGGATCGCTCAGCAAGAGCAGAAAGCAGCTGCAGGCGAAGGTTCGAGTTCTACGCCAGCCGCAGGACAGGTAGACCCCTCGAAAAGCGGTGGACCGTCTGCCCCGAAGTAGCGCTGCCGTCCACATCACTGACTGCTAACTCGGATGAGTGTGGAATTAGACGGAGGGCGAGCTATGACAACGGGTGCTGCTGTCTAAACTTTCTCACTATATGCGCTGGAAACGAAGGCTCGGGCATGTTGCTGGATAATTATACTACAAGATGTCATGGTGACGCAGGTGAGTGACTGAATAAGACGCTGCAATCATAATGTTTGGAGAAGCACGCACGAACGATTCGTCAACGTCGCACACTCGGTGCGTCTCGTATCCTCCCGCACCGCGCGGTCAGTCATGCAGCCGCTCTCGACCCGGAGGCGTCGTGCATCCAAACGTCCGCACACTATACCCTGGTCAATGTCTTGCCTAGAACATGGCCACTGTGGTTAGTATTGCAATTACCAATGTGGTCCCCGAGCTGGATCATCCAACCTGGAAGATGGAAGCGTTACGCCACTGATTATCCAACATGTCTTCCGCTCGTGGCTGCCATACTCGCGAGGTACGAACTAGATGCCCACCTAGCTGCTCGCTGAAGAATGGAGTAATCAGACAGAACGCTAGACCGGCCACATTCGTGCTATGCCTGACACATGCTACATGATGCGGGTCAGCGACATCAGTATTGGCATCTGGTGTGCTCTCAGAGCTTCAAAGCTTCGACCCGGAGTCGAGTTTATTCTCGATAGATGCCCCAGTGGATTTCGCGTCGGCCAACGTATAGGCAAATCAAACGTTCGAAAACGCTGAGAAATGCCTCAAGTAATGTCTGCACATTACGATGAAACCCAAACACCAGCGCCCTGGATTCTGCGCTACCAGTCGGCACTATCACGGCTTCGCCAAGCTCGACGTAAGCCGAACAGGGCGGGTACATCTAACCTTATCTGTCGGACACGCTCGGTGGACAGCAATGATGGTGAAATGCGAGTGTCCACCTCTACAAATACTCACCACTCGTAGAGTCCAGCAAGCTGGCTGTGTGTACACTCCTTTTCCACTGTCGACCTCATTGCATGGAAGCATTTCAAACCGCCCCTTCAGACTTAGGCCTAGAACGCTCACGAAGAGGTCCACAACGCCCTGTATTTATTTCCTCACGTCGGCGACGTCCTTTCCCATGTCCCTCACATCCACCGCACTTGTTGGGGACGAGTAAGTCGTCTAACCCTGACGCGTATACGGTGGACTCGCTCAAACCGTACCACCTCACAGCCGCTTTCTGAATTATATGTGCTACGCAGCGACGGGTGAGTCGCCCTTCCATCACACATCAGGCGGTCGTTCACGGAGCAGTGAAATTCCAGCATTATGCTGTTACGACTATTGCTTGACATTCGAGCGCGAGGTCGTGCTTATGTGGAGGGACAAGTTAACTGCAGCATCCGCGCTATTCTACGCGTTGAGATACGCGGCATTGCTGAACACCATCCTCATCTTGCTGGGCTACCTATCTTGGCCGGGCTGGCAGACTGCACACGTGCGTATATTGGATATGCACCTTGATACTGACCATCGTTCAACGGGGCATTATAAATAGAGGTCGGTCTGATGTATCTTTTGTGGACGCCGTTCAGTGCTGATTGTTCGCAACCGTAAAAGCTGCATGATCATCATGCGTCTGCAGATGGCCGGCGACGTGCTGATCTTGACCTGTGTAGCGGGTAAGTCTCGAGAAGAATGAATGTATGCGCCTAGTCTGAACAAGTTCATGTGCAGCTTTCGCCACCATGCGCATATATGCCCTCTTTCGTCGCAGTTGGGCCCTGTCTTACCTGATTCTCGCGCTTAGCCTGGTCAACCCGGCGATATCAATGGTCGGATTTTGCGCCAGATTGTATTCTATGCGTTTCTCTGACGATCTGATTTTCAGTACACCTTCATCATCTCTACACCCATCTTGTTGCAGGTCACTCCTACGTATCAGACGTGCAGCATTGATACGCCATATGCCTCCAATCTGTACGTCAATTCAGACCCGACTATGGCGGTGTCTTATGACGAGCAGTTGTAGGTGCACGGATCGCTCGCATTCAGTATGCTTGTTCATCTCGCACGCCCAGGGATGATGGGCGCTAGAGCGTCGGCTGTGGTCTCCGATTCTCTCGTCCTGTTCCTGACGTGGAGGGGAACCAGACACGTTGCCGCATCCGAGTTGAGGACAATTCTTATGTCCCATAGTAAGTCTCGCATCTGGTATGCCACGAGAAGGTCGTTGACTCAAGTGTCTGCACTGCCAGCCGCGGTCTACTTCGGGTACGACAATTTTGCGTGGGGCATCGAGCATATCTTTGACCAATTCCATCGTCATCCATCTTTGACAGGTTCCTGTTCCTTCTGAACTTTGGTGGAATATGTATCGCCATTGCTCAGCTGCTGGTAAGTGGACAATCCAGTGAAGATGTGCAGTCCTCACGATGATCTTCTGTCAATGACCTTCCAACAGTTCATCGACGCCATCTCGACTTTGACTGCTGTGTGGGTCCGAATCACGATGTCACGCGTCCACTCGTCTGACTGCGCTTCCAACAACCATCAGATTGACTTCCGTATTCCTATCCAGGCTCATGCTTGACCTGCGTTTGGTAGTCCAAAAAGATGATCAATGGACGGACACACCTATGCTGAGTACCGTTGAGACGCTAGTTCTCTCGCAAGAACATGGATGGATTGGTGCAATGGAACTTTCCCGCAGCAATCAATGTGGGTCCGACCCGTGAGACGAAAGGTGAGTGCTTGAGCCACCATTCGACTGTGCGACTTACATCTCGCTGGTGTAGATAATGGCGTATACCGCTTACACAGCATGTACGGCCTTTGTCCGCACGCAAGTTTCGTCTCGCGGGACGGCTTTGCAGGCTGCCAGGCCCCTGGCGCCCTACGGGCCCAACGCTCCACAAAAAAAAACAAGACTCGTCTCGCGGCAAATGAGCGACACAACTTGCAAAATAATTGCCGTGAATCACCGATGAGTTCGACCGGTTATATATAGAGGCCCCGACGATAGTCGGACCAAGGTTACAGATAGCATGTAGGACACAGGACAGGGCAAAGGATACAAGGACGATAACATCAGAAGAACACTATGTACGGAACTCAACGAGTAGGACGATTGTGAGAGTAGGACGCTGATGATGGTTCAATGATTGACTGCATCCAAATGAATGGAAACGCTGAAGTCGGGTATCTCGATGATTAGGGTAACAACTGTAGCGTGGCGAAGTCTGCAAGAGGGGACAAGCCTGACTCAAGATGACCACCCTTGCTCCTGCGACACGTCTCTTCACGCCCGTGATCATACACATGGCCAGCGGCTGTCCCCCCGAGCTGCATCTCATTATTGAGAGGGTCATCGCGCTGTAAACCCAATCCTCATGAGTCAAGACCGGCGCCTACCGCTGCGTGACGGCACGTACCTCTGAAGCGTCCTCGTCCGGCCCAAAGAGGTCATCGCTCCAGGACGACAATTGGTTTCGGTCGCACTCCATGCTATCTGCGTCGCTAGATCTCGAAGGGCCCGGACTGAGTTCGGGCGTAGACAACGGATCGGTGACATCGCGTGGACCTCCGAACCCGAGGTCGATGTCAAAGGCGCCGGCTTGGACGGGAGGTATGAGTGCGCTCGAAGGTCGCGGTGCTTTCATCCGATTGCCGACAAGTGAGTGCGGCGTGAGGCGGTCGAATGGATCTCCGGCGGCTGCCGTGAGGGGCACGGAGAAACTACCTGGTGCCGCTTTCGTTGGTAGAGGCGCAGCACTCGGCGTAGGAGACATATGCATGGCGAATTCAGGACTTTGCTCAACCTTCTCTTCGGAGGGAGCCGCCAGGCTCGAGGATGGCTCGAAGGTCTTGATCTCGGAGAACTCTCTAGCACGGGCTTCAGCAGCCTCCTTGGCCCGTTCCACAATACGCCCGTTCCTGCCGATCCCTGCGGCAAACCACCTGAGTTTGACTTGTGTGGAGTACATCATATCTGCACACTCACCTCTCTTCCAATCCAATGTAGTCTGGCCCCAATGCCACTTCAGGTGAATTGCGAGGCCGTTCGGAAGTTTGAATGTGCGCGGACATAATGGGCACCTATGTAGTAGCTCTCTTTGGTCTTTCGCCAGTACGTCAGCATACATTGTATTCGATCCAGTTTTGGACTTACTGGTATTCACCTCCTCGTCCTCGTCATCGTCTATCACGATGATCTCAGGCTGTGTGGCCGGTACTCCGCCCTCAACGTCGCTGTCCGAACGACCCTCTCTGCCACCAGCGCCTGCATGGCCGACTTGCGTCGTCCCCTCGCCATAGGCAGTTCCACATGCCTCTTCGCTCTTCCCCATGACACCCTCCGTACTTGTCTCCCCGAAGCCCACAGCACCTCCCTGTAATTGCTCATCCGAGTACCACTCATGGTCCTCCTCGTACCTCCGCAGCACCCCAATCCGTCTCCTTACCGGTACCATCTTCTTGGACTGTTTCAGCTGGCGGAACATCGTGGACCATGCAGCTTCATCAGCGACGGGCGCCTGCGCCTGCGGGCTAGGGTGTATGCTGGAGCCCGCTACCGCTTCCGCTTGATGAGATGTTTCCGGCGATTCTGGTGCAGTCGGGAGAGGGGCGAACGATGGAGGGGCAGCCTCCGGGGACGGCAGTGGGACTGGCTGGAGGCGCGGTCCGAGTGCCTGAGGGGGAGATGGGGACGAGAATTCATTCGCGGTCGAGGAAGCGTTACTCTGAACAGTCTGCAGAGCGTGGATGCCAGTCTCGCCCGCGAAAAGAGGTGCAGTTGGGGGATTCAAGGCAGACAGATAATCAGGTGTCCGCCGGAGAGATTCTCGAGAAGTTGCAGACGTCATAGATTTGCCCGACAGCGAGATCACAGGCAGATCACCCGAGCGATTTTCTGGAAACTGCGAAGGCTGGACAGAAAGCATGGACGACGGTTCGCCAGACGTATACACAGGGTTGACGATCTGCAGGCGCGAAGAAGACTTCATGGTGTCGATAATGGGTCTGCTGCTCGAGAACACATTATGTTGCAGCGGCCCCCCGCGTGTCTGCGAACTGGCTGCCTGAGCACATTGAACAGGCGTTGGTCCGCGGCCGGGGGTAGAAAGGTCAAGACCAAGTACACCAGTTTCCCGACCGAGTTCCTGTCGGCGCAAGCTCTCAGCATTGAGGACCCATTGAGGTAGCACGCCAACCCTCGGCGTATTGAACACAGCAGGATCCACGGGAACGAGGCGAAGCTGTGTCCTCTCACTTCGACTCCCCTCCACGCGCACTTCCGGGGTATCTACACCAGCAAAGAGATCCAGACTGGGAACGTCGGAGGTTGCCGCGAGTGTCGCCGGATCCAGATTCAGATCGTGCCCCAAAGATGTACCAGTGGTAAAGTCTGATGATACATGCGCCTCGAGCTCAGTGAGAGGTAGCAGGTGCGCCGCCAGATCCAGCATGTCCAGCTCCAAGGAGTTCGCAGTAGGCACTAGTTCAGACGGGTCCGCGGGAGTTGAGGTGTGCGCGTGCGAAGTCGCCAAGTAGTCTTCCAAGCCGAGCATACACGCCGCCGAGTCAGGCATGAGGTCGTCCATGTCCCAGTCGAGCAGTGCCAGTCCAGGTAAATGCGTCTCCAAATCGAGCGAGGGGTCCCCGTTTGCGGCGGAAGTGTCCCAGCCAGATCCGATGTTGAACATATGCGCCTCCAACGCGGCTATCTGCTCCTCAGTGAGTGCCCCGCCCGAGAGCATGGCTTCGACAGCTGCGTCCATCTCGGACTCGGCCAAGTTGCTGATTAATTCGATTTGCGATTGCTGTGGTCTCGGTTCGAGGAAAGAGATCGAAGGTGGCAATGCATCGCCGGCTTGATCGTCGTTTATGCTTGGAGCAACAAAGGGTCCAGGAGGGGCGTTAATGAGCAAGTCGCTAGTGTCCAGGTCATGGATCCGAAGGTGCCCAGGTGCCATCTCGACGTCTCCCGCGTCTTGCGCGTCGCCGGTCTTCGCTACAACGTTCGGCGCAGGATCCCCGCTGGCGTCTTCCGAAAGAGTGTCGTCGGGATTTTCGTAGTGGGCGCCGCCACCCCGAGATTGCATACGAATCGTCTCTGAGAGCGCTTCGTCGTCCGTCGATCCGCTCCACAATACCCTGAGACTCTCTAGGCCAGCATCCTGGCCCCAATGTTCGCATCTTCCTTGCTCGTCTTCCCACCGAAGGATTCCGTGCGGCTCAGCCACAGAGTCCCCTTGTACATCACCTCGCGCCGGCTCCTCAGTCTCGCCAGCCACTTCCTTCCGAGGAGACTCGGCGACTGGCGAAGAGCATCGCGACTCCTCAAGGTTCTCTCCAGCAACCTCCATAAGCGAATACTCGTCACTCTGCTCTTCGCCCTCCGGCCGAGGATCTTTGCTTGTCACGACGTTGACTTCGGGGTCAGATAATCCGTCCACTTCTCCTCGGGCTGGCTCTTGCCTCTCCGCATCTACTTCCACCAGAGATGGCTGGGGTAGCGTAGGGAGGCTATCTGGCTCCCCGCGTTCGTGTACGTCATCGCACCGTGGACGCTTCCGACTCTCCTCCTCGCCATCTGGCTGCCCTTGCGCTGGCATCGCACTGGGGGCGCTCTCATTCGCGTTCACAGGCGCCTCGGGCTCGTCCTCAGACTCCGGCGTCGGGGGCCTCAGCACCTCGCGTTTCCTCGCGGACTTCGACTTTGCCCGCTTCTGCGTTGAACTCCTGCGCCGGCTTGTCTTTTTCGGAGGCCGCGAAGCCTTCGTAGGGCCGCCATCCGCGTCGCCGTAGGATGTATGCGCGACATCCGAGGCGGGCTGAGACTCTCCAGCGTCCATCTCGACGTCTTCGCAGGTCGCCGTCGTGGGTGTCCCCCCGCTCGCGTGCGACCCCGCGCCGCCGAGCCCGCGGGACGCGCGCTTGCGCTTGAGGGGCTTGCTCGTCGCTGAGGGTGGCTTGGCATGGTCGTCGTCTGCGGCCATGCCCGTCTCCGCGTCTTGCCTGGCATCGGAGACGTGCGGGCCTGGCTTCTCGGGAGATGGTGCGTTCTCGTCCGCTGGGGCATCGCTTCTACGCGCGCGGCGGGTACGCGGTGGGGGATGCGCTGCGACGATGCTGCGCAGGGCCTTGGCGGCGGCCTGCCGCATCGGACGGCCACGAATGGAGAGGGTATGGTCGATGGGTACGAGAACGTCGCTAGATTTCTCAGGAGTCGCCACGGGAGCATCACTATCGTTCTCTGGAGGGGCTTCATGGGTCGCTGAGGAACCAGCAGCGAGAGCGGAGGCGGGAGGCGCCTCAACCTTCTGCTGCGCCCTAGCGATTCCGTCGGATGCGTTCCGAGGCTCTGGATTGGTGGTCAGGTTCTAGCGGACGAAAGTATCGCATCGCAGGCCTACCTTCGGGTTTCGCATGTTTGCCTATTTTCAACCTCTCGTACCCAAGGGCGGCTTCCTCTCCGTCTTCGATATGCCAACATAGCTCCATAGGCACGAGATCTGCGGGGGAGCCCTCGGCGACTGATTGTATGCGCGTTTCTGGGGTTCCCGTCCGCGTTGAGGTACTCGGAGAGGGCAGCGCCGTAGTCTGGATGAACGGTGACGCGGTACTGAAGGTCGTCTGCATGTGGGATGCGGTGGTAGGGATCGAGAGACCGCGGAGTTGGTCCCGACGACCGACGGCGTGGGCGCCGGCGTTTGGCACGACGTTCTCTGGAACCAGGTCTCGCGTGGAGGTGTCTGAATGCGCGTGCTGCTGCCGCGGGGGAGGTGCCCGGCGAGTGACAACGCCGTTGTCGAGAAAGACGACGTTCTGGCTGGGAGCGGCACGATGGAAGGGGGCCTTCCTGCGAGGCTGCTTGTGGGTCTTCCTGATTGACGTTGACGCGGATGCCATTGATGTGAAAGCCTGAGAGTCGCCAATAATCAATTGCTACGGTCCGCTACGCGGGTAAGAGACGTACGGGGTATTTGAACTCAACGTGGAGTCGCTCGGAAGAGGTGTCGACAGTATTTGTCCCGCATTCAGCCACTCACGGCGCCCATCGGCGGGGGGTACTTGAGGCCCGGAGATGCAGCTGTGGAGAAAACAGTGCGCGACGTCAAACGGCCCTGCGGCAGTACGTTACATCTGTGAAGGGGTCTGCGCGGCAGGGAATGGTCACAGGCGTCGAGGCGATCGCAGGAACATCGGCGATCGAGCTACTCGCATGTCCAGCGTGTGGCGAGGTGAGTAGGTGGTCTTCGTGCGCCGCCCTCGGGCAAATTTGAACGCAACGAACAACCGTGACCTCAGCCTCTGGGCCAGCTCTCGAGCCGTTGCATAGCAGATGTGCGCCGTCAGGGGGCGATACGTACGTATCATATATACGTTGCGCGACAGTGCTCTGCGTTTTAGCATATGCGTCCGTCGGAGCCCCCAGCTTCACACCTGTCATAACGCTCTCAGTTTTGACAGTAGACAGCGTGAATTACGATGTCGGCGTGTACAGACCTCATAAAATGTCACTCGCCAAGACAGCGACTGTCGAAGGCTCCAAGCCGGGCGAAGATGATGGACAGCAAACAATTGAATCATGGTACAAAGATTGGTACCGGTGCCGGTGTGTCAATTTTGCAAGTGCCCAGGTGCGACGCAGTCGCTGCGTCACGATCACGGTAAATTAAAAATAGCAAAAAGCTAGCAACTCCTGGTTTCGATCCAGGGACTTCAGGGTATCGAGTCACGTGACTATGAGCCCTGCACGCTTCCACTGCGTCAAGTTGCTATGCAGGATTGTAGCCTTTGTGGGTACAACATTGGCTCAAGAAGCGTGCTTTTCTGACTACAACCTCCAGCTCCCGCGCGATTCTGCGTGCCACCACTGCGTCATGCTTCCCGACTGTCATCGTCAAAACTGGCAACGCCCTCATTGATGTCAACACTGCTGTGCGCCTCCCCTAGTGAAGTCGGCATATCACATCGCTGCCGTATTATGTACAATGGCGCAATGCAAATTGCAGAAACATCGAAGCGCCGCGGCGCAAAAAACCTGCCCATCATGTCCATGGCAAAGGAACCGTACGGCACTGAAGTCGGAACATCGTGATGCAGCGTTGAGCGCGGTACACTTGACAAAGAATCCGAGTAGATACATCGGACACGATGCATGATGATAGTGACTGCCAGCGAGGTGCCGACTGACAGCTTCGTTGTGCTACGCCGGGCAGCATATGGCATAGCATGACTCTCACCGACGTGACTTCTGCGCGTTGCGCAAGGACTGCCTCGCTCAATCTCGTCGCCGCGACCACGATTGCATGTGTCATGAACGTCGTAGGTGTCTCTCAGCGCATGCAGGAGTGCATCTAGTGTGGGTCCGCGAAAGCGTCTCGCGCGCACTTATGATACATGCGTAGGTATCGGAACCTGGCAAAAGCGAAACATCTCGGGCATGATGGTATGCCATCAAGATGGGGCGGTTCAAGATAGGACTCTCCGAGTCACGGCATTTTTGATCCAAGATGGTCCACGCGCAGCTCGAAGACGTAAGTACATAGCCCCAGCTACCGTCGCCGTCGGATTACAGCCGTTTTCAAAACTATGCGGAATCGCGAAAAAACGAAAACGCGCCTCGGGCGCTGGCTAGCGCCCCGAGCCTTTGATTAGATTAGATATGCCGTGTCCCGCGCGTTAGGGTACTCGGTCACTTGAGGCTTGAGAGAGAAATTCGCATCCATTTCTCGCACAATTTACGCCAGTCGAGAGCCACTACCGAGACGAGGATAATGCCACACTTTTCAGCCAAAATGACGATGTCGTTGTTGAGTAATGGATGGCTGACCACGGTGTCTGGCCGAGATCCCGGCCCGATAATACAGTAGTCTATATCAGGAAGTAATCACGTTATGTCTCGTGTCTCTGCGAGCGATGTACTGCAGGTCTAGTAATACGGTGTAAACAAGTTTGTTGGGTGTTTCTGGAGCTTCTATGACTATTTAATTATGCTGAAAACCTCTCGCTAGCTTGATCAAAGTCATCCGGGAGCATAATGAACAAGATCTTCCCGAGTAAGTTGACTTTCGGTGTAGAGGCCACTGACACTCGTATCGCTACGGAACATATGCCCATTGATATAAAAACGTATCTATATGCCCCTAAATTACCATAGTGGCAGACACTCACGCGACGTACATGTTGAGCTATTGGCTACCGGTGAAAGTGCAGCAGCCGCGACTTTGTCAGCCTGCTGACTGAAGTGACATTTCTCGATTCGGCTGCTATCTAATCTAATCAAAGGCTCGGGGCGCTAGCCAGCGCCCGAGGCGCGTTTTCGTTTTTTCGCGATTCCGCATAGTTTTGAAAACGGCTGTAATATCCTTGACTACCAAAGCCCAAGCCAAAGTTCTCTATTGTCACGGTCTATTGCCTACCATTACTGCGGTGCCTTTGAACACCGCTCGTAACGGCACACGACCATTCTGCGCCAAGGCCCAAGACGAAGTGCTGTACAATTGAGAGCCGGTCCCAACAACCATCGAGTCGTAACTTGACAAAGAGACAGGTACGTGGCGCATGATGGTCATTGGCCCTCCACTGCCCGGTAGTAGTGGCAAGACGGTTGACTGATAGTTCTCACAGTGGCATACATGTAGAGCCTCACTTCGTTGATGCTCGAAGCCTGCTCTCGAAGTGGTCCACTACATATAGGCTATGCGACCAGGCTCCGCAAATACATGAGTTCGACGAACACGCTTATTTGTGACTCCCACCGACAATCGCAATCATGTCTATCCAGGCGGGGACAGAAGCCAGTTTCGCTCGGGTAGAGTGAGTCGTCACAGCTGCAGTCGAGCTGCAATCATCATTGCGACTCACGCGCTGACCCCGAACTCCAGCCGTTTCAATCAGTCTCTCCTCCTCGCCTCACAAGGTACGCTTTGAACAGTATGTGCATATCTGTATGCCCTTTATAACAACTCGTTTCTCGTAGTCCTATGCTGCTATGATTATTGTCTACGTCTTGCGCTACCCAGCGGTGTTGAACATCACACTCGAAGTACTTGCTTTCTATTCTAAGGGGAGTTGGCAGACTCCGAATGTAAGCGTCTTTAGCAAAAGCGGCATCTTCATCTCACTCACTATTCGCAGAGGTAAGCGATGCCTCAGGTCTTGAGCACTGGAAACCGTACCGTGATATATCACTGGCGGAAAGCTGTAGACTCATTCTTCGCATCGAAATGGCCGCCGATATTCTGATTCTGATGGCTGCTGCAGGTGAGTACTCATCGATCTCTCTCGTTCCCTGGCCAATGTCGTGGTATCCTCCAACCCCGCAGTGTTCGCGACGCTGCGCATCTACGCACTCCTCCATGGGAGCAAGTCTTTATCAGCCGTCACCTTAAGCTTGGGCCTCATGGCCCCCATCATATCAAGTGTGAGTGTTATAGGTCTTGTGCGATATGCGGACTTCAATATGACAGTCATCCGCCGATCTTTAGTATGTGTTTGTCAACACACACCCTATCAGTTCCGAAATCACACCCGGGGAGGTGATCTGCTACACCGAGACCTCATACGCCGCTAACCTGTAGGTCCTGTTTGTGGTCCGCTTTGCGTCACATCTGAGCTGACTGTGTAAGTTGTGAGTACGTTCGAGACGACGTGACGCACGTAGGGATGACATGTTAGCTTAGGGATGTTGGGTGCACGCACATCAGCCGTGGTCTTCGACTGCTTCGTCTTCGGTTTGACCTGGATAGCTTCTCGTCCTCTGGCAGCCCTCGGACACTCAACAACCATGGCAGTCATGATGAAGGACAGTACGTGTTTTGGCCACGTATAGGGTTTCGCGCCAATTGACTTAGAGATGGAAACGCTCTCGCATAGCCGCAACTTACTTTGGGTACGTGATACGACTTTTGAGACGTGGACGGGCAGCGGAGGGTAAGCTGCCGCTCCGAGTACTCATCGGCTCGTTTGTAGACTCCTGTTTGTATTGAACGTTGTTGCTATCACCTTCACCGCAGCTCACATCACTGTGAGTGGCGAAAAACATCAGATTCATTGACAAATCGAGAACCGACGCTCTCTTCTGCTGCAGCAATTTTTATACATCACATCCGCATGGACCGCAATGTCAGTGTCGTCTCTTATGTTCCAGAACTTTGAACGTTGATCGATGATCTTTGACACATGCCGACGCGATGCTCTCTGTACGTTGTGATCTTGCACAGGCTCACGTCCGTCCTCCTTTCGCGCCTAATGCTCGATCTGCGTGCGACTACCACGAATCACCTGCACTCGAATACTTGCCGCGAATCTACGAGCCTATCGCTCGCATTCAGCACGGTCCTGTTCGCCCCGGACACAGACACAGATGCACATGGAGGGATCAACCACGATGTAGCGTCGGAGAGAGCGAGTTGGACCGACTTGGATGTACCTATCGCGGCAGACCTGTAGTTGCATCCCAACCACCTAGGCGCGTAGTATGACCATCACTTCTTATCCGACCCACCAAGGTAGCAATACAAACGCATCGTACCTGCGATGGAGGAGGCCGCCGTGCAATCCAGAATTACGTCTAACGATTTCGTGAATCATAACAAGCTGGTAGTACATACAGGGCATCAGACGTCTATCGTGTCTTGTGTGGGGTAGAAATGGGTAGTAAATGTTACACTTCATGGAATCGACGCCTGCTATTATGCGGCACGGAGCCCAGACATGGGTTTCAGTTCTTGGATACGCTCGGGTACGCACAGAGCTGCCAGAGTGGATCTCCACGGACCACAGCGCACGACCGCCGCCGTATCGCTCCGAACGGGCATGGTGGGGTTGTGCAACATGACCGCGATGGATGCCACAGAGACCTCAGCCCCTCGTATGTTCTCGTTATTCCGGAGGTACGGTCGCTACTTCTTGATCAATGACTGCGGCATCCGTGCCAGTGTGGGTGCTCATCCAAATCGGCGAGATTCCCGTGTCTAGTTCGATAGTTTCGTGGCTCTCCCCGTCTAGCGTGGCAGGTTCGGAGCCACCTTGGGTACTAGTCGTCCCTGACCTGTCCGACCCTAAAGGACCGGCGTCTCTCAGGTCAAGCGTCAGGCGCGTAAGCAGCACGGAGGTCAAACTGCGACCATCGGAATGAGCAAGTGGGCATGACGGTGACTGAGACAAGTGACGACACTCACATAGTCGACCAAAGCTGCCAGACTTCGATGAACTGATACAGGGTCTTTAGGTAGTGAGGACGACGCGAGCGTAATTGCGAAGACATACCTCGCATGTGCAATATAAGCCACCGATCGTGATGTTCATGTGCCCAGTCGCTATACCGGTGATGTTGACGATACAGAGCAAACTACATGAAATTCAGTACAAATACCGTGCACTATTGACAGCGTGCGACCCACGTAAAGTACAGTAGTGCTGACCTTGAGCTTCAGCATTAATTCTGAATGAAATAAGGAATCGAGCGTACTGTCTCGGAGCATGATATCCGTAACCATCCTGCCCCTCGAAGTGACCGACGTGCGGGTCTTGATTCGAAATGTTTTGAACGCTGTGAGCACCATCACCAAGCCGTCGGAGAGCAGCGCTGCCGCCCGTGCGCCCATCATGACTACAAGAGTATCCTCAGCCCCATGTCATAGCTAGCCGAAACGCGGCAAGAAACAGTGCGCCCACGTACTCCTAGAATTCAGATTTCAACACCTAGCATTCAGAATAGTCGAATGGGAGACAGACCAATCAACGTCATCGGTGGCATCACCTCCCGCCGTTCCTATGGTGCAGACTTGGTATCCGAGGAAGCCACTCACGACAGGGGTGGAGTATGAGAAGACAAACTGCGTGGCAATGTCATTCATTTTGCTCGAGTCCCAAGGAGAGCTGAACAAACGATGAGGACTTACGACGACGATGAACGGATAAATCAAGCCGAGAAGAAGGACGGCGATGGCTATCCAGCGATTTCGATCGAAAACTGCATAGATACGTAAGGACGCGAAGACTACGGTCCCACGGGTTAGCATTGTGCATGAGTGACGGCGAGAATGGTACTCACCAGCAGCGCTGGTCAGGATAATCGCCGCAAAGGCAACTTGGGTGCGCAGCAGGATCGCGCAGCTGTAAGAGGATTCATTTAATTGATATTGACTGCGATACGGAGCAAGCAATGCGACTGCGAACCTCTGCGAACAGTCGATACCCAAGTCAGAGCAGGCACCCTCTCAAGCTCAAGCAACGTGCTTACCGCGTTAGACTGCCAACTCCGCCACGTGATGCGGCTGAGCAGTTCTATGACGGTGTTCAGGACCGCGGGGTAGCGTAAACCGTAGAAGAGTATCGTAACGAGCGATTGCTCGCTCTTCCATATAAGGTCGATTTCACGACCTAGTGTCAGGCACCAGTCGTAACAGCATAGGGCTACAAAGGGGGATCAATGAGATACGTAGCGATAGGAAGAATGAACGCTCCCTTACTCGTCGCGGAGAAGTAGAGAAAGTTCTCAAAGTAGTAATAAAACCTGAAGAACCTGGGCGTGGCGTTGGTTGTCAGCTCGTCGCGTGCCACGGATTGACACGTGCCAAGAACATACACTTCAGCTTGCGTCGCCTCCGCTGGTGTCAGCGCGAGACCCATTCGAGCGACCATGGCTCAGGCAGAGAGACCCTTAACACATTCCGCCGTCTCCCAGGGCACGAGCGTCGATAGTTAAAGAGTAGCGTCGATGGCGACATCCCAACAACTTGAACGCTCCTTGCGCTGGTCTTCCTATTGGCCAAGAAGAGGCTTTTGATAGCCGGAGGTACATTGCGATCAATGCGTCCTTCAAGTCGACCCTGCTGAGAGCAGCTCGGACCGAACCTTACGTTCCGTTCTGAATCTGCAAACCAATCTTCCATTCCCTTGTATGTTTAAAGTAGATATTCACGTCTAATCACAAGTGCGTACGAGTACAATGCTTGGTTGGCCGCTCGTTAATTCACTTGTACGACGCAAGGTGAGGAGTCAAGGCTCTCCTCGAATCCCCTCATCTCCGTCACACCGAAGTCAAGGCTGCATGCTACAGTCCATAGAAGACTTAGGTCCGTTGATTGCAAGTATAGACCATACTGCGAGGAACTGAGGTGCATTAAGTACATATGGGGATCACGGAGGAAGTACGCACAGCCACCATGGCCCAATTCCGCGGCGGCGTCGATGTTACAGGATGTTACCCACTTCGCCGGCACCCCGATGCCCACTTTGTCTATATTGGATGCGATGAATTCGGATGTTCGAACTATGTTTGCCGATCATTTATCCACTTGTTCCAGGAATCAACTACGCACCCGACGTCATTGCCACCCTGCTGAGGTTTGAGGTTTCGGAGCCATCTTCATTGAGCACGCTCGTTCGCGGGAAAGTCAGAGTTACACAGCGCGTAGCAAGCGCAGATATGGTACAAGGGAAGCATGTTCATTGCGGACTGGGTCATGTCGAGCTTCAATCCTCCTCCCAGGCCATGACGGCCATCTCGGGAAACCTCCTCCAAAGGGCCGCCTCATCGGAGGTCTCTTTTCCTGGGAGCTGGAACACAATCATGGGAAGGCACCGGAACAGACCCTCGTACACGCGCGCAGAGCATTTATCGGGCTTGTTGACGATCGCTTTGCCGTTGAACTTCGGGACGCGTTTGCCGTGAGGAGGGGTGCACTCGAGCATGAACGCCATCCTGTCGCGTTCTTCAGGTGTGAGTCTAGCCACCGTCCAGATCCAGAACATGCGTATCATGCTCAGCAGTGTCTGCTGGGAGGCGCTCCGGACGGCGGGGGAGAATTCAAATCCAGGAGAGACCGCGAACTCTGGTGGGGTAGTCAGTCACCTTGCGAGACCAGAAAGATTGGTAGGACGCACCAGCGAGCTTTGCGCGCGCTTCTACAAGCGACGATGTGTCTGGTGGCCCAGGATCACCACGCCTACGGGCCCGTGCACCCGTCGTGAATCTCGCCGTCAAGACCTCAACTTCGTCCACGAATGCACGCATCCGCGCAACCTCCTCCTCCAGCCCTTCCGGGACGGTCATTGAGGTCCCTGACACGTCCCTGTCCTCGGTCGGGTGACATACGCCCTTGTGTGTCGGCCAATCAGCAAGTTGACATTCTGCGCTCTGCGGTGTCTTAGCACATGTGCGCGTGAGATGGCTGAATGAGCGACTCACACAGTATCTGACAGAGAGGCACCGTGAGCAGCGCTTGGTGCCCGCAGCTTTTGAGCAGATTGCGCAAGACTGTTCCGTAGTGTCGCTCATGGTGAATGAAGTGGGGAATACGACGCGTCGGGCATTGCCGGTGCTTCTCACCCTCGATTGAAAACGGACTCGTGCACCGTTAACCGAGCTACTGCAGTATCGTCTGCTAGTGTATTCGCTCTGACTTGGAGACTTCATCCACTGGATACATAACACGTACTATACGACTTCGACAATAGGAGCAGCGCGTAGCTTTCGTAGTGTACACTCGATGCCATTACGTGGAGGCTCAGTCAGAACGAAGGCGTAATTACTCAAGCTCAAGGTGATTGTCCAACGTCCGGCGGCGAGACGATAGTGATCCCAACCCACCGCAAAGGCACAGACGTCAAGCTTGCCGATAATGCACCAACGGTAAGTACTTCGCACTGATACGCCACCGTGACCCAAGCTGGACACGCCGAAGTCGCCACGACACGTCAGAACCTAGCTCGGTGCAGATAGAGGGTTCTCGCCGTTTTGACACACGGTCATACGGAATGACTACCAGGCTGCGACTTTGAACCGGCAACTCATCTTCCGAGACGACGTATCCTCTTTGATGGGATGTCTGCGCACAGCTATCATGGTTGTCCACGTCAAACGACAGGACAGCGAACGCTCTGTAAAGCGGCTAGGATGAGCGGCATGGATGTGCGGCGCGCCCATCATGACCTCGAATTTAGGATGTCAGCGAATCTTACCCCCACGGATATCGGCAAGGCACGCACTCTTCGGCCTCTTCATTCCTTCCCTAGTAATCGCTGCAGGACCCGCGTGGGATGAGCGCGTCGAAACGTTCTGTGGGTATCACCATTTGTCCAGATACGTTGGTCTCGACACTAGTGCTCTCAAAGACAGCGCCGATGCCCCAACTTGGCACGTCCTCAGGAATAACGGGTCCTTAGTACGTCGAATAGAGATATTTGACAGTGGCCACAGTACTTACTAACACCGATGCATTGCGGTAGCCTGACCTTGAAACCACTCGGCGGAAAGCACAATGTCAACTTTGTGTAACAGTAACGAGGTCGAGTGATTTGCCTCATCAACTTCGCTCCCTTTTTCGAAGACATGAGCACGATGGGTCCGCATAGTGTGTACTGGTGCAGGCATTGACCTGATGCGGCTTGGATTACCGCAGAGTCACGCCGCCCCAGTCCACGAGCAGATTCACGGTGTTGAGTCCTGGTTGATGAGTCTCGACGGTGGTGGACAGCAGTTGGGCACACTGACAGAGTGAGCGACGCCATTGAAACTGGAGTCAACTAGGCCGGTCAGTAAGCATTGAAATCCAAAAGCGCATACGGACTCACGGAGACCCGGTTGCTTGACAGGCTGTCCAGTATGTTAGTACCCATCACGCTTGTAACAGGCCGCGGGGCGAGCTATGGTCACGCAAGACGGGAGGAAGCGAGAACGGACACGGAGAGACGCGGTACGTACGAGCGAGCTACTGGAGGAGGAAAGGCAAGGGCTACCGTTGTACATACAGCCTGAGGGCAGCGCGAGTCATTGCCAGTGTGTCTGTGGGCGCCAAGTGGGCGCTGGCTTGCCCAACACGATGTGACAGCTCACGGGACTTCTGTCACGGTGGTGACATTGACACCGGCAGGACAGTGCCAGCGGCGAGCGCCTCAGTCTCCACTGTCCAGCCTGCGAGACGCGTCGACGGTCTCCGGGTCTTGGACCGGGTTGTATCATTATGGCCTCACTTGGTTATGGCAGTACTCAGCTGTCGTATACATGCCTACTCGCAACTCGAGTTGCCATTGCTGTTTTCAAGATATGTCTTAGGCTCGCACGCAGTTCACGCGAATGACCTGATCGGTTGCCAGCTTGTAAGTTGTAACTCATGGGGCTCCGACTCATCCACTTTCCAAGGAGTCTCACAGCCGGTGAGTCCGATGTTCCTACGATTCACGAATACCTTATCTATCTGGATATACAGGTTCTATCCCGTTTGCGTACCTGTGAAAATTGTACGTGTTCTATGCCCGGACGCCGGAGCACTGCAGAGCATCGGTCCTGGTGCGCACGGCGGTATACTACACAGGTACCAGCAGGCTACCCGAGCATCGTCATGGAAAGTTTGCACCGAAGTGAAGGAAACAGCACGGAAGGGTTAACAACGTTAATGACCGCCAGGTGACCGTTGAGCGCGAGCTCATCCAGGGCTACTCTCACCCGCGGCTGCTTCGCCGCCTGGCAGGCGATGTATAGAGCGCGAAATGTAATGGGATTTTTGCTCAGCTCACGCAGTCGCTTTTACAGGCCAAATGGCTCCGGACCTGAAATCTCCCGATGAGCAGAGGCATGTCGGAACGCGCGCGCCCGGGAGGACGCGCAGCGAATCTGCAGTGCGTAGCCAAAGATATTGAGTGTCGGCACCAGCCACAACCCGCTTCGCAAATATATCTGACGTGAGTGTCTCTGCCTAGCCAGCCATGGACCCAACACTCACTGTCCCCTCTTCTCGCTCGCTACATTGTACTCATTGTAGGTGCCCTCGCAGATGCCTCCTGTGATGATGCGCCCCGCTAGGACGCCAGTACGCAGGGCAAAGAACCTTAGTATCTCGGGCACAAGCGCCTGCGGACGGGGATGCTCGACGTACGAGACAACAAAATGCGCTAAAGCTTCGCGGGGCACTGGCAGCCCCCGCAGTCGCTCACATGTGGACGGGGACGTGCGCTGAGAGACGGGGATGCAGGGGCGAAACTGATCAGGCGCAAGAGCCGGGCTGTGAGTCCCGGTCAGGCAAGCCGATTGACACCTTCCGCCACAGGCAGGCCATTCTCCTTGACTATGAATAATCGTCCGGAGAACGTGCCTGCGATGGGCACTCGCATTGTACTGGTATCTGCATTGCGGCGGCTATTGGTAGATGGTCAGCAGCAGGTGCCAACCGGAGATTCTCTTCGCTTCTAACTACTGATATGTATGGTGAACGTCTTGCTCCTTGTTCAATCATAACTGTATCACAGAGGCAGTGCAGCGGAGGGCTCGGTATATAATATGGGTACGTCCATGTCTCCGAAGCTCGCAAAAGCTAGACGAGTTGCTACGAGCATTGACCCCTGCACTCGCCTGAACACAGGCTCCAGCTATTAGCCAACATGCATGCAATGTGTATTCTAGGTCAGCCGTCGAACTCAAGCTCGGTTCAGGATTTGAGGTAGGTCCCACAGGTACTTGTGCATAGGGGCCGCTCTGATCATTGTTCTTCAGCCCCAGTTTGGTGCAGACCTACGTCTTTTTCTTGAGTGACATGACTTGGGCTGCGAACAGTATGTCACTTATTCTCTCTGCGTACATCTGATCTAACTGATCCTGGTTGAGCCGTGTGGTGTTACGACTACATTCTGACTCTTGATAGAGAAATACAGTGTTTCTGGCATTCAAATTTGTCTCTGAACAAACTGCTCTTCTTCGGCTATCGGTACCCTGTACTCCTGAATGTCGCTCTCGATTTTCTACTGAGTCTGAAATGGACCGGATGGCAAACCTACTGGGCAAGACATTGTTCCTGTGTGTCTCTTCGTCTACAATTTCATCCTTGATAACAGAGGTGCGGGCCACAGTCATAGTGCATAAACGTCGAGGTAAAGACATCACTACAGCTGTGGAATTGTTCTGCACTGTCAGATGGCGATGATAATCATCTTTAGCGTCAACGCAGCCGGTGAGTTGACATAGTCATTTACGGACTGTCGTAGCTCCATTGAGAAATAATGCACCTAATATTCGCCGCTCTGTGTGTATTTGCTCTCTTCAACCACAATGGTGCTTTATTCGTTCTTGTTCTCCTGTCCGGTTTGCTCAACCCCGCTATTACAATTATAAGTACATTATTGACTGCTGTTTACACGCCGTGTCACGATATGTGTTTGTTGCAGCACATATTCGCGAGATCAAAACCAGCCGCCGAGTACATTGCCAGCGGCCATCGAAGGGTGCACATTGACCGGCGTAGGCAGTGCCTATACATACGAGAAGTGCACTTTCATCTTCAATTGATTCCTCCTTATAGGCTCACTGGATTCGCTTAGCTGTAAGGTCCTACCTCAAGTTTTCATCATGTACGCTGAAGGTCACTACAGGGGTTATGGCCGCAAGAGCGGCTTCGATCCTTTCAGATGCAATAGTGTTATTCCTAACATCGTTGAAAACCTTCCTCAAGTCTCGAAGTGCAGCGGAACTAACAAGCTCAATCACTACTGTACGAGGAGCTCTTCTCAGAGGCAGTGAGTGACACCATAACTTCTCGGATGTTATATTCCAGTTGACGACATCCGTTCAGCCTCGGTCTGCTTTGTGTACGTCCCTGTCGCTTTATTTCTACTATATTCCGGTGGTTATCTGACAAAATAAACACAGGTTCCTCTCTGTGATCAACGTTATTGCAATTGTGGCAACACGAGCGACAATGGTGAGTCACCGCGATTGTCATGTCACCAAGACGCTGATGGTTGCAAACGTTCATATAAACATAGTCTATTTCGATTGCCCAGGAATGGATCAACATGTGCGTACTCGCTCATTTTGAACCTACCATACTCGTCTGACGGTGTATCTCCCCAACCTCAGCTTGACTTCGATTTTTCTGTCAAGACTTGCAATGGATCTACGCGAAACGGCGCTTTTGGGCCTTAGCAGTACTACGGGGCTTGACGCTTCAACCCTTGACTTCGCTGGCGTTGACAGTTCTGAAGGCAGCTGGTCAGATGTGTCGTTGGAGGATGTCGACGTAGATCGGTCATCCGTATCCAACGAAGGTCATGCCGCTGAGTTGGAATGTTGACTGAGTAATCGATATAAAATCTGACGAGGATGTGACAAGGTGTTGCCCTCAAATCTGCCTCTACAGTATACTCCGTGCGCACGCTTGTTCCCGAATGGAGAATATATTGCTCACTGTCGAGTGTCTAACAGTCGTGTATCCTTGGCATTCGATCTGCACTGGCAGCTGCTGTGCTGTCCACTGTGGAGACCCAACCTTCGAGGATCGGCTGCCTAGTCGAAGAAGTGTCCGCAACGCGCTGACGACATACTGCGCGTGTGTATGCGTTCAACAGTGCTGTGCTCATGCTGCCGGGCAGTGTGGGGTCGGGAGCCACAGCCTCACTGGGGTATAACAGACGCATAACAGCCTGAGGTCAATACCGTTGCGACCGGTGTCCAGACCGACTGATACTACTGCGCACTGGCAGATGGAATCACATGTTCGGACGTCTGAACTCGGCACGGTACTCAAGGAAGCAACAGTACCGGTGGTTTGACAGGGCAGTACGAAATGGTCACTGACCACGCCACCCCTGATGATGCAGATGTTTAAAACTCCGTTGACCGCAGGCTCAGCGCAACGCTCGAACTCAATCCTTGTCACAGAGTGGCTTTTGATGGTAAAGACCCGTCGATGTGTTGCCTATGCCAGTAACGATATGATGCTCGCGACGCGCAGACCGGAGTGTCGAACTCGAGTGCCAACGGCAGGTCGATATCATTAGTAATTACCAACCATTCAGACGACGTAGCAGCGCCGTCTCCTTGATCGCGACTGTTACTGAGTACCCGCCATACCTGTATGGCCGCTGAGGGTCTACTCAAGTGTCGGTACATAGTAGGAGGTACTACATCGCTACGCACAACGCCTGCGAAGCGAACGATTCATGAGACACCGCTACACTTCGGCACAAATGGCGCATGAACAGTACATACACGGCCAGGACGCTTGCGTACTTCTCGTACATGAACCAATGTATCATATTATTAGTACACGGAAATCAGCGATGAACTTCTGAACCGTACCGTGACTGGCCTAGCTCTTGCATGCCCTTCACCACACCGATCACGTACGGGGCGCTGGCATCATAGGGAGGCAAACAGCCTGACATTCCGTCGCCGGGAACGCGGGGTCTTCGTGCTCACAGGGTGACGACAACGCGCGGTCTCTAGCAGGCGACGGTGCATCATGCCAGCTCGTGCATCAAGGCAAGTAAGTATAACGTGTCCGGCGCGTGGTTTGAGAACAGGTGCCCTTTGCCGCTTGGAAGAAATCGACGCACGTTCGGACTTCGAGCTGGACGCGCGTTTACAGGCGTTTACGGGTTCCCAGGCTGCGCGCTGCGCACTGGTGGAATGCGGACAAAATACGGATGTCAGAAATTGAAGTGGCTGAGCATCCTGACTTGAACATTGCCCGCGAACATAGGCATCCAGTGATTCAATCCTGACAATGCTACAATGTATTATGTAACTTCTACAACATGTTGGACTACATCCCATGACATCTCGCGACCGAAGCGCGTGAGTAGCTCTATGCGGATTACACATAATACAGACACTTGTGCTTCTCCTAGCCTCCTGCCGCGCGCTGCAAGCAGCTGCGGAACGAAGGGACGCCCAAGCGCCGAGACATTCTAGACCGACAGATCCGAGCCTGTCACCAAGAAAAGCCATAAAGAGTAGATAATTAACTCGTGTCGCGCGGAGACCGAGATTGCTGAGATGGAGATCTATGGGGCGTTGACGCATGCACCACCGGGGCGCGGTCGTTGCGTGAGGACGTGAGGACGTGTCTACGACCACGTCCAGGTCATGCCGTAGAGACGGCCCACGGACTCCGATGCGAGCTGCTGGAACGCGGACGGGCTGAAGTCGAGGTCCGTGACGGCGCAGGCGACGCAGCGGTCGGTGACAGTGACAGTGACCGAGTTGCCGTTGTCTAGATGCGCAGTATATCGTGAGCCTGTGTTGTGTGCAACCACAAGAATGAGAGGACGTACAGTTGGCCGTGATCTGCTTCTTGCAGACGGGGTTGTTGTTAGGGTTGGTACCGGCGTAGCCACTGTCATACGTCGGGTTAATGGCTGCAATGATACAACGGAACAATGAGAATACTGACGGGTAGTTGTCGAAGAGATGCTCGGACACTGCCACAATGTAGTCGGTGTCGACGTTGTCAATACCACAGGCACCCAGGCCGGTGCTGTAGTAAGTAGCTAGGTGCAATAGTGACAATCAGCCCTCATTGCTCACGACACCTGACGTGTGCAACTTTACCGTCACCAGTCTGAGTACCAGACAACCAGGAGAGGTCTGAGCTGGAGGCATCGGACGTCACGGTGGTGGAAGTAGTCGACGTCTCAGGGCTGGAGCCGCAGGTGGCGTTGGTAGCACGAGGAACGGCCATTGCCAGGGCGGACACGGCGAGGGCGAGAGCAACGACAACCTTAGTGAAGAACATGGTGAATGACAGAGGAGAGTGAACGGAAAGGCGAAGGAGTGGGGTGCGAGAGGTGTCTAGGACAAGAGGACGAGGGAGCCTGAGGACCGGGTAGAGAAGGGCAGGTCTTTTATACTCAGGAGGGGGCCAGACTTGGGCCGGCTAGAGGTGGCTTTGACCGAGACAAGGGAAGACGGCATAAGCAACAGCATGCTAGCTGTGGACGTAACGACCGGAGGGCAGGTGCATGTCAGGCGCGAGAGGCAAATTTTCATTTTTCGGGGTTTCTTTCTCCTCGCAAGTAATTGCCCGACCGGTATGCGCAGTCTCCACCAGCCGAGGTGGCGTTGTCCAATAGTCTTGGACTGCCTTCATGATTCGCTCCTAAGTCGCGAGGCGCCCGATGTTTGAACCACAAGCGCCCAAAAACGCCGAGCACAAAAGCGGGCATAATGCGGGATGCATAATGCGGGATGACAGCACGGGTGACGCCTTTTCCCCAACGACGAGCGACGTCGGACGTTCGGTGAGCACTTCGACGACGGACTGAATGGAGTATTGAGTATACAAAGGCGCAATACTTCCCATATGCGCGGCAGTAGACGTAAACCAACCACCAATCAGGTTGCCAGCGAACGGTGCGAAGGCTGAATAAGCTTTTAGGTTCGACCGAGGAACAAGTCAATTTGCAGAGGCCAGAGCGGTTCGTCTCAATTCCGGTGCAATCGATAGCACCGCAGTCCAGAACAAAACTCGTCCGCGTGTTCTCCACGACATACCGAGACGGCCAGGAGAGTGCCTTGTCCGGTCCTGATGCACGTGGAAACAGTCATAGCCCTGTCAGCGCTGACCGCTTTGCAGATGTCCACAGCTAGGTGTCCGGGGAGGCCGCGCGCGCATGGTTGCTGCCATGTTCGTTGCAGGAATCGAACGTACCGCATGATGTGGCACGATGTCATTGAGAAGAATAAGCGTTCCGTAAAACCCGCCAGTAATGAACGCGAGGTCATCACCATACACTTGGACTGCTACACCGGGTATGAGAAAGTCCCAGCAAATTGACACCGCCCCACGGCTTACCAAAGAATTTCGCCCACCGCTCGTCACGAGCATACATAGAGCCCAGGCCCAGCAACTCAACTCAACTTGAATGAAAATTTCCCCAACGGATCTGAGTCGAGGCCTCTGAGGAACCGAGGTGGAGTGGATGAACTTGACCAGGAATTGACGAACAATTCTGTTCGAGACCCGAGCGCATAGAGCCCGTACCCTAGAATGAAAGATGCAGGCACCAACGAGTCCCACCAGCGAGTCGGTCCCGGGAAGCAACCGTTCATTTCGTAGAGAGCAAGTAGCGAACGTGCGATGTTCGAGCGTTGGAGGCAAGCTGCACTCCTGCACAACCCAGGCAGACGACGCAGGGATGGACGGAGAATGCCGAGGGGGTGCGGAGAATGCCGGGAGCGCTCGCCCAAGCGCCCGCATCTCGGACATAACATTCGCCTGCATCAAACAGCGCTGTGTACCAAACACAAGGCTTGCACGTTTCCTTGGATGAACAGTGTCTCAGATATATGGCCCGAGATGCGGGCACAGAACGAGGGTTGCAAAGGAGATGTTTCATAGTCCGTCCGAACAACTTCTACCTGCACAAATACGTTGACAAGCCGAACAGTAAGATAACGATAAAGAAACGAGAAACAAGAGATTTGAAGGCTACTGGAAGACGAGTGTGAACCAGGATACAAACTCCAATGGTATACGAGAGGATAAGTGGTCTGCAAGGTGCAAGTCGTTCATCGAATCAAGAAACTGTGCGCCACGGCGAGGGCGCACGCTGCTGCACATGCAATGAAGCCCAGCGGGTACCCGGCGGGTCCGTTCTCCACGCTCATAGACCAGAGCTACGGCGAGCGCGGACGATCAGCGAATCGGACAAACACCATAGGAGCGTCCGACGTACCGTACCGCCCAGGATGGGTCCAATGAACCGTGCGAGACTAACAATACTCTGCGCGATGCCATTTGCAAAGCCCACCAGATGTGGCGGAGACACTGGAGAGACGTGAGCATTGGGTGTCGTCGGCTGAGAAGCAGGAGCCTACTGTAGTTCAGCAGTACGGACACTGCGGTGTACGCGAACGTGCCTCCGCAGAAGCGCACGGCCCTAGTGGGGAACAAGATTAAGCTCTCACGCCAATGAAACTGTGCACGTTCAGGTACTAACGTGCTTAAAGCGAGTGCTACAACGCGGATCCGAGTAAATCAGCTCATGATCTGCGTTCCTTAATGCCAGTTTTAAACACGTACCGGCCATGAGAATCGGGTTCCCGTCATCATTCGCACTTGCGAACACACGGTACATGATGACAGACAAATATGCTGGAATGAAAAGGAGCGATCCAATGCGGAACATGGCGAGGTGCGAAAACCGGCCCCTCGGAGGACTGTATATACGTAAACGTACGTTAGAGCTGATGCGTGGTTCATGGGGAAAGCACGCACCCGATGTTTCTATTATGGCGAGACGTGGGTGAGCGTCGAGTATGGATGAGAGAAGGCACGTAACTCACGGGTACAAGTAGAACTGGTAGGCGATCTGCGCCAAACACATTAAGGCGACTGAAAGGGTATACAGTGAGCGTCGCTCTTGCAGATGCCTCATCTACGTACTCAGCTGCGAGAAATGTCCTGCATTGAGGTTGAGTCCACCCAGGGGATACTTGCTGTAAGTGAGAGTTAGTACAACAGCTTGCCGCGCGTAACGCTCAATAGACTTACGACACGAGGTAAAGGTAGAACACCTGATCGTGCGTCGTCGAATGGAGCGCCAATAGCCCATATTGCACAATGATCGTCATAGGCAGCAGAGACATCAGCGAAGGCTCCTTCTCCCACACCTCCGCCTCCTCGGGCTGCACCTGCTGTGCCCTCGGTCCCTCCAAGATGGGTTCGAGCGTATCCGCCGGGCCCTGCTCCTCCAACTGCGCGAGGAGCTGCTGCGCCTCGACGACCGCAGGGGGCGTCCGCACGCCCACATGCGCGAAGATGGGGGGCATGCTCCCAGACGCGCGGCGGTGCAGCGGCGGCGGCGTGCCCGTGTCCTCGCTCGGCAGGCGCGGCGAGAACTGCGACGAGCGCTGGCGGTGCACGGAAAGGCGGCCGGAGTACGACGGGCGCCGCGGCGAGCTCCGTGGCGGGGGCAGGCGTGCTGTTGAGAACGAGGGGCGCTTCGACTGCGAGCGGACGGAGGTGTGCGACTCGCGCCGGAAGAAGCGGTTGTTCCTGGGAGTGGGCGTAGTCCCGGCCCCGCCGAAGACGTCCTCCTCGTCGAGGTCGTCTAGGGCGGATGAGACTACTCTGCCCTCCTCACCTTCGACGTTGCCTTCCTCGTCTTCGAATTCGTCCTCCGATTCGAAGGGATCCTCGTTGTCGACGTTTATGGCGGCAGCGACCCACAGATCGGCGATGTTCGTGACCGCGTTCTCGTTTGCCATGAGGAGTCGTTGAGCGAAATTGAGGTCGCGCTCGGTACCCACAGACGACGGTAAGCCTTCGAAGTTACTTTCGCGCCTGTGCCGTAGTGAAGCCGCCACACTGGTCCTGTTCCCGAGGCTATATCCACTTGCAAGACGGCTCCTGTACGCGCTTCCGTATCCATATGCAGAACCGTCCGCGCGATTGGTAGATGAGAGCGTCCGCATCTTGCTGGCGCTGTTGGAGGGGGTGATTGAGAGTGGCACGGGCTCTGGCGCGGGTCCTGGCGTCGATGGTCCCTCCTCTGCGTCCTGGTTGCGTCCTGAGAAGTACCCAGAGAGCCGTCTCGAGAGCTTGTGCTTCAACGAGCCGTACGCACTTCGGCGCTCCGGGCTCCCGAAAACAGGAGTGCTAGGGACCGATTCCTCCTCCTCAGGGATGGTGTCAATCTTCTCAGCTGGCAAACGAATAGCACCCTCTCGAGGACCACCATCTGGGCCCAGGAACAGGCTCAAGATTGCTCCTGTGAAGGTTTGTAAGACTTCAAATAGCTGCATCTAGTAGCAAGATGTTACCTATGAACGTGACAGAGGCCGCTAACATAGTTGGCAATAGGTAAGGATACTGCACGAAGATTGGGATATTGCCGAAGACAGAGGGCCATTTCTTGGCCGGTGATTCGACTATTAGACGTCAGTAACGTGCAAGATTCTCAGTGATACCCCGCACTCACATGTCCCACCTACGATCGCACCGGCAACGCCACCAAATCCCCAGCAGAACCTACGCCGCCGTCAGCGTCCGGCGGACGGATAGAGGGTAGCTCTATTACTCACCCGAGTATAGCATACGCTCTTCCCTCGTTGCTTTGGTCGGTGATCATGGTGACGCAGCCACGCGCAACACCGATCGCACCGGCAAATATCCCTTGCAGCAGTCGGATGGCCACCGCTTCCTGCATCGTGGTGGCAGTCCCGAATATGCAGCAAGTGATAGCGCTTCCGAGCAAAGATGTGAAGAGGACAATCCGTTGGCCATGCTTCGCGGCAACTGTCGCCTGTGCCGGGCATCAAACAACGATGAGTGGAAGTAGTAGTAGTAGAGCATACCCAGAGCAGTGACGTGAGGAACTGCGTCAAGAAGAACGTCGACACTGATGAATGGACAGTCAGGAGAAGCCACTCAGCGACGCTCGAGGATCTTACCTAGAATGCCAGTCCAGTAGCCAACCTTCGCTTCATCGTCGAATTGATTGAACCCTAATAGATGATCGCCCATGAGACCTCATTGTAAAACGAACGCGAAAGCGAGGGAGAAGGGGAAGGGGTGATGACGCCGCAATGGGGAAACAGGGGGTCGAACGAGTACACGCCCAGAGTATCTCCTGGTCGCGCTGACGTACCTTGCACCATGAACAATATGAATGGCGCCGACACATTAGCCGACAAGAACTCCCCCAGCATGGCCTAAAGAAATCGCGCGTATAGTCACACGATATGGGGATAATGGCTCGGCGAAGGACTCACTATCGACAGGACAATCATGGACAGTGTCGGCAACGGCGTGGTATACGCCTCGCTTGACTGCAGCGCGCTGGGAATCGCAGGCTTGTCCGGAACTTCGCTCCCTTCTCCTGCCTCCTCATCGACCGTACTCCTCCGCAGCAGACTGAAGCTTGGCTTCCGCAAAGCAGAAAATGATACACGTGTAGACTTCCGACGCGTTTGTGGATGCGGTGCCTGCTCATTGTCATCTACCGCGTCCGAGTCTGCTGGTCCGAATGTTCGTCTGGGTGGCATGGTCTGCGACGACCGCGCGGCACGGCGCGCGTACACAAGCTTTTGACGAGGGCTAGATGATACGAGCCACCTTCTGGTCCTCCAACCCAATCGCTGTGTCGATGTGGGTGTACGATGTAAAGCAGGGAGCTGCTACCGCGGCGTAGAGGAGTTGTTGGACGAGTGTGGCTGAGACTCAGAGGCGCAGGTCGGTGACCGCATCTGCTTACGTAACTAGTCCCTTTGCGAAAGATAAGCGATTTACTTACCCGGCCCTTACCGGCCGACCTACAGTACTGTAACTTGGTCGATTACCGGCGCGGGCCTGTTGCCTTGACTTCACTGTTCTCCGTTCCCCTATGCAGCCTTAGTGTGCGACTGGACTCACGCTCGGAAGCTCAGAATCAGATACTACTTCTCAAAGCTGTCGTGGTCGCCCAACTAGCCCTTGTGCTCATTGTCCACACATCGTGCCCACGGCCGTCGAGGGTGGTTGTGGACTCGTGTTCGCCCCGAAGCCTCAGATGACCAGCGGGCAAGCATGAAAGTCGAACAACCTGTGCACCCTGTCGAAGCGGAGAAGTTATCGCACCCATCGCTCAGCTCATCGTCATTACGATCTTCACTTCCATTGACGAGTCACGACGTTGCTCGCTACGCGGAAACACCCTTCTCTTTTGTCTTTGCAATTTACGCGACCCATTCATGCTATCAGCCGTCTTCGCGGCGTTCTAGTAGGCTCAACCTTAACGACTAGCCTCGCCGGTTTCCTGCCGCTGTGAGTAGGCCTTGTGGAGGATCTCGTCGGGCGGGCGCATGGCATAGCTAATCAGAAAGTATGTGCCTACCTAGACTCGTACCGTTCTACGCTACAGTGCCTGATTGACAAGGTCGTCTGTCAAGACAATTGCGTCGCCGCGTAGTCCGTGATAACCTCATTAGCTCCCCGCTTAACTCGCCGGTGAGTTGCGATGACGCCCACGATCCTCTCCCTTGTTCGCCTGAGATGCTATAATCACGGATGGATCTTGTACAGGATGTGCGGCGCGGTCACGTCCAAGGCGCATGGAAAGAGCCCCACAGGCTCGTTCTTCGGCTACCAGAGAACAATCACCGCCTTCGGAGGTCAGTAGACCTGATCGGGCATAAGTCGTCGCGCTCGAATATGGCGATACTGCGCGTTCGGACCTCGCAGAAGGGCGGAGGCAGTATCTTCATGTCCGAGGACGTATGCGATCGATGTCAGTGAGGACACTGCTGCGAAGCCGTCGACAAGGAGGCCAGCCTATGCACTCGCCGATCGATCGCACAGGCGGGTGGCCGATGCTTCTGCGCGGACCACCGGGCACGGTGCATGCACATGTTGACTATCCTGGACGGAAGTGGACCGTCTAGCGTGCGGGGAGATGTTGGTACCGCAGCCCGCTACTCCGTTCTCCGCGTTGATTCACGTCCACTATCTCGACGAAAGTGGTTCATCTGGCGTACGAGGCGATGTTGGGGCCACTAACCATTCCGAGCATGCATGTGCACGCAGAGTCACTTGGGGCTGAACCTCCAGTATCAGGTCCGCATGAATGTCGAGTGGACCGCAGTATGAAGCTGCGCGCGGGTTCATTTCCCAACTCACGCTTGGGACGACGGGATTACCGTATGACACACGTGGGCTCTTCTATCGTTCATTTGGACATGCGTTCATCCGCTGTAACGGAGCACATCCATTATACGGGGCTGTGTGAGTGCGTGTCAGCCGCTATGAGAGAGATGCTACTGAACGCCATCTGTCACCAGGCCGGACCGAAGTCCATTCGCCGGAAACAAGCAGACGTCCATATCATATCTCAAAACACACTCACCCCAATTGGACGTTAGTCCGTCCGCTGTAACGAAGCATACTAGCCTTCGCGCGGCCGTGTGAGTGTGTATCAGTCGTAGTCAGAGATGAGCTACTGAACGCCATCTATCCATCTTGTGGACCGAAGTGCACTCCCAGAAATGGACAAACGTCCATGCGTCACACTATACGAGTTATGGGCATATGTTGCAACCGCCGGGGTCGGGATTGCCAGGGTATGCAGTATGTGCGTCTGGGGCGCAGCCCAGCTATTTGGCTTTCTACAATTAACTAAGGACGGTGCAGGCGGTCCGATTTCTCAAGGAGATGATGAACTGTCGGGATGCTGGAAGGTGATATCCGTGGTAGCGTGGTTCTTAGGGTACCAGGAACGCCGAGGTCCGTTACAGCAGCATGCTCAACCATCTCGCTGAAGTATTCCTTCAGTCCTCTTTGGGCGTGCGAGCCAGCAATTCCAGAGTTGGACTCCTCCGACACAGACCTATATTGGACTGCGGTACGGGCTCTCCCAAAATACGACCGACTGTCAGGGCTGTTAGCAAATATGCGCGCGGTGCGCGGATCCTCCTGCGATCGGACCTGTGGTATGATGATTCTGCCCCCTGCCAATGCCAGCCCTACATATACAGCTGTAGTGGTTGTGGCCTTCACATGGTACGCTAAGCCTTTTCGCCTGAGAGCTGTGTACTGTCTTCTCACAGGTTGTCCTTCCTCCATCTTCGTGTCCTCCTCAGGCAGTTGTTGGGCACTGCAATGATGACGGCCACCCGGTCCCAAGCTACTGGGGAGCCGTAGTCCCGCGTTCTCCGGTGTTTTGGGTACAAGGAACGCTCAAAGGCCGCTCCACTGTCCATATCAAATCCCCAGCGCGTTGATTGTACGCGGCGGCATCAAAAGTCACCGGTTACCGCCGAATGCATGCGTAGTGGTTTGGCAAACGAGCTAGGTCGGGTTTCCCAGAAGACGTGGTTGGCGACGTCACCGTGACCGTAAGCTAGACCGACTTTGACCTTGCCACTCGCCACAAAGAGATTGGCAGGTGCTGTGGGCGTAGATGGCCGAGCGTGCACCCGCCTCTGTGGCTGTCAAATGTCACAGAATGTGGACGTTGACTGCCCTCCGGCTCCGCGGCTCCCGGACTTTCGATGGCACGTTCGAATACGCGTTCACATGCATGGTGACCACTCCGTTCTCGTCCTGTCGCTGGGACGTCTGGCCACTACGCCCGAGCGTTGCTGTGAGGGTTTTTACTCACCCCCTGTACAGATTGTACAGATCTCAGCATACGACGCTGGTCCGCCATCGCACGACGCGTAGGAGCGATGGGCCTCTGGCGTCGTTGATCGCAATGGTAGTTGCGACGTTTTCGCAACTTCCAGTCATATCACACCGTACCTGGACGACCGGCTAAAACATATCTGCGTCCTGTCACTCTTGTGGCAGTGCACGAGTTTGCAACTCGCAGGGACTGCCTTCAAGTTTTCCTGCACCTCGGCATGCGTAGATGGTTTGGACGTTGGACGTGAAGTTTACTGCAAAATGTAACACGCTTCACCTGCTTTATGGCCACAAGAACTGATGGTGCGTGAAACGCCTCCATGTCTGTATGTCATGATTATTACAGTAACGCTTACATCGCCGTGTCTGACATTTCACGTCGGCTCAGGTGCTTCTTGCGCCACATATGGTGTGGTGATTTGTGCGAGCCGCAGAAGCGGACGGCGCCTTCCATGCCTGGACGAGGATACTCATCGGCCCCGGGTGGACGGGAAATCGGTCTGCGCGCATTTCGAATTGCTTAATTCTCCGCGTTCTCATCATGTTTGCTCAGCGTCTGGTGTGGCACGTCTCATATTCGGGAAGAGGTCTGCAGACGTTGGCCCGGGATGGTCAGCAATGCAGGGCGGCGCGACGGCGATGCGATGTGAGTGTGCAGTCCATGGTGAGTTGCGTCACCGATCGGGAAGGAAGACTGGCTTCTCATGGCTTCTGGGGCCGTCGCTGCGAGAGATCGCAGTGCGCGATGGCTTTCTCACGTTCATCAACTAGCCAGCGCCTCGTAAACCGCCAAATGTGTCATGTCGGGACGGTGGCCGCCCCGCTCGGCATTGCCCGGGGGCGTGGTAGGCCACAAGCCTCTTTGAAGCGAGCAAGAGTCTATTGCATCGCGCAGGACACCTGCGAATGCGAGGACACCGTGCATCGCGGAGGAAGGCATGGGTCCGAGACTGGCTCAAGCTCAAAGTGCAGGTCGCGTTGCCCACCGGCACGACTTGTGAGCAAGAGTTGATCCCGCCATCATGCCGTCGCGGAGTTTGAAGTGTGTGGGCGCGGGGACCGCCGGGACGGTAGCATATCCCGCCTCCGTGTCCCGAAAAGGCACTTCTCCGACGGCAGCGAGCCCAAGTTAGGAACGAGGCGCGCAGCGCAGGCTTTGTGCCGTAACCTCGCTTGGCCCTCGCGCGCGTGGCTGGTGGGCGCGTCACGAATCCTGCGCTGCTTCTTTCCGTAGCCATAGTACGCAGCGCAGGGCACCAATGGCGGCGCAGGTGGTGGACAGGAAATGTCCTCGAATTTCGGACCCGTCGCCAGGCAGCTTCCTGAAGTCTGATTGACTATAGAGTAATCGTGCACTGGATCTTTTGGTGATCTGGGCTGACTGCGAGTCTTGACAGGTCCTTTTTGTTCGTACGCGGAAATTAGATTACCGAGATTTGAAACGTATCGATCTGTCCTGCGATGATGTTTTTGTCGTTCCCAAACAGGACAGACCTTCTGCAATTGACTCACGCATTGCTTTCGCCGCCAGGGTCGCCGCAAGCCGCGCACGCGCGCCATAGCTCGCAGCCTATAGGAAAATCCCCGAAATCCGCGTACAATAACCAATACACGTGTCGACAGACTGCACTGCGTCCTCATATAAGAACGCGCCCCTTCTCAGAAGGTTCCTCACCCAGTTGGGCTTGCGCTTCTCTTCACGCCTTTCGTATATATCCTCTTTTCGCCCCGCCAGCGTATCCCTTCCTCGACGATGTCCTCCTCGCTTTCCGTCTCGTCCCCTGCCCCCACCAAGATCGTCATCCCCGACCTCGTCTCCCACTGCACCATCCCCGTCCGGTGCAACCGCCACAACAAGCAAGCCAGTGTCGAGTCGAAGCGATGGCTCTTCCGCGGCGGTGACCTCAGCCAGAAGAAGCGCGACGCGTTCCACGGGCTGAAGGCGGGTTACCTGACTTCGATGTGCTACCCTCTCGCGGGCTACCCTCAGCTGCGAGTATGCTGCGACTTCATGAACTACCTCTTCCACCTCGACAACATCTCCGACGAGATGGACGACCGCGGTACCCTCGGAACCGCTATGAAGGTCATGGATCCTCTCTATCACCCGGAATCTTCGCGTCCGACGTCTCGCGTTGGAAAGATGACCAAAGAGTACGTATCATTAACCTTTCAATGTGTCCTCGAGCGCTCATGTCGTCTGTCAGTTACTGGCGGCGTCTCATCCAGACGGCATCGCCTGGAGCACAGCAGCGCTTCATCGAGACGTTTGACATGTTCTTCCAGGCGATCACAGAGCAAGCCCGGGACCGTGCTAACGGCATTATCCCTGACCTCGAGTCGTATATCGCCATCCGGCGCGACACTAGCGGCTGCAAGCCATGCTGGGCGCTCATCGAGTATGCCAACAACGTAAGTGCTCCGGCGTGGCTCACGGAGCGCGCTGACGTACCTCCTAATAGCTCGACCTACCGTGGGAAGTTATGGATCATCCAATCATACGCGGCCTGGGAGAAGCCGCCAATGATCTGGTCACTGTTAGTCCTTTTTGTCTTTCCTGGGAAACCCGTCGCTGACTTTGCTTCGCCTAGTGGTCAAATGTACGCCTTGGCACAACATTGTCTTCGGCCGTCGGCAGCTGACATTGATCCTTTTTGTTACAGGACATCTTCTCCTTCAACGTGGAACAGTCGAAAGGTGCGTGAGCGCATCGTTAGCAACAGTGGCGGTCGAAGCTCTGGTCACTGACAATAAGGGTTATACATTTTAGGCGACACGCACAACATGATTATTGTCGTGCAGAAGCAGCAAGGCCTTGATCTCCAATCGGCCGTCGACTTTGTCGGCGATCTCTGCAAGCACAGTATCGATCGTTTCCACTTCCTCAGGGAGAACCTGCCCTCTTGGGACCCGGAGACCGACCGCCAGGTCGCTATCTACGTCGACGGCCTCGCCGACTGGATCACTGGCAGCTTGAAGTGGTCGTTCGAGTCAGAGCGCTACTTCGGCAAGCAGGGCCTCGAGGTGAAGCGGACACGTGTTGTCACTTTGCTCCCTCGCCGCGCGTGAAGGCCTCATTGCGCATACAAAACGCTGGCAGCACCTTGTACATAGTACGTGCGGCTTTCTGTCTCCGACATTAACGGTATATTGATTGACTCCGCAGGCGTGTACCCACCCTATGCTACATGGTCCTCTTTTCTCAGGCGCGATGATACTTTATGGCGCGCCGCCCATGCCTTCCCGTCTCGACAACATCTATCACCGGAAAATCTAACTCTCCTTTGTAGCTAATATCGCCTCCGATTCTCCCCCTGTGCATACATCACCACTCCTTGCCCGCAGATTAGATGTGCATAGACTTCGTTCCTTTTGGATCTGCTGGTTGTGGATACGCTACCGCTCACGCATCCTACGTTACAGACTACACCTACTCGCGTTCGCCCTTCTACTTCCTACACTGAGCTGTCCACTCTGCTCTCTTATTGCATATCTACCCGCTTCGTTCTAGTCTTTATACGGTACCACAGTCGCACGTATAATTGTCCACTGTATACCGTATTCCGCATTTGTTTTCCAGGCGCGCCCTGATAGTTTGACACCTATGGGACGTCTGTATAGTTATTTCATTCGCGTATATATTTCGAATACGTGTGTTATGCTGAGAGGAGTTTCGTGTTCAAACGTCGGGACAGAACACTAGAATGAGTGACAGCATGCGTACGCCTTCAGCTAGGTAAGACAGACCCTCAACATGGTCTCAGCTAAGATTCCGAGCTAAGTCCTAGGTTGAGCCTGGCCCACTGTGCTTAGGCTACATCTTCTAAGTAGTGCACCAAACAGTCATCGGCAGCGTACTTAGTTCGCAGAACCCAATCTCACGAGAAGGTGCCCTCTTGCTCCGCCTGGTCCGAAGATGGATCGATATCGGACATAGCATCTCCCTGTACTCAGAGAAGCGGCCAGGACAATAAGCTGCTGTGCCGTTACTGCGGTGATATCTCTGGGTGGCGGCGTCTGCACCCGCACGTACCGCGCGACGCCTCCGAAGGAGGCAGACTTACAGAGGCCGCGGACTCAGCGGGATCAGAGATGGCCGGAAGGAGCTGCCCAACCCAGTGGTAGCTCCTGCCAGCTGTCTGCCAAATAGAAAACACGGGCGACGTAGACCTGGCAGACCGGTCTCTAAGAGATCAGGCACAGCTGTCTTTTAGTAACGTTGTTTGACTCGTTGAGCACGACACCTTGTGGTCGTGCGTGCAAACCGGAAGTGCCGAGGACGAGCACCGGGCCACGCACCATCTCATCACGTCTGCGCGACACGGTGGACACTACACCTGTCAGCACCGCGTGTACTGCATACAACCAGGAGCCACAGAGGAACGAGAAACACCGTGCGCATGCTGATGCTGACAGAACGACAAGCGCGGATCTTGTACACCGCGCGATGGCCGAACATACCGCTGTCAGCATGAACACGAGCTGACAGAGCAATTAGGAGCCGTTTGGGGAAAGAATCCGCCCCTAGTTGATCGTGGATGAAAGGCGCGAGTACGGAGACGAAGACCGATGTTAGCTGTGCGACGTGTATGCGAACTGGGCGCGGATATCGGACATGAAGCGGGTGGACTACCTGTGAACGCACCGGAACTACCTGCGATGGGGACAGGTACAACGTCGACCGGTGGCAATGACCTGATCCTAGGTTCGCGGGAGTGGAATGGACAGACACAATTTGCGTGTATTTTGGGCGAAGCGTGGCTCCATGGCAAGGGTCTGACAGAAGAGGACACCTAGAGACGATTATTCAAAGAGGCTATACTGGTACCCAAACGGAGGATGGCGTCCAAAACACAACACTGCCAATTATGCGTAGCGCTATAACCGGGGCCTAGAAGGCAAGCCTCTGTTAGTGTCAAAGAAACGGTGCAAGAAGCCCAGCGGACCAAGCCGAAGAGAATAACACACCAATTTCAAACACAACTAAACCAGACTCATCTTCCCTCGCCGTCGCAGACATGTTCAGCCTAGTAGCCAAACGTATAGCCCTGGACAGTTTCGGGGTCAAGATCGGGCGTCCGGTACCCCCAACATCCATCCTTGCCCTCGATTCTCTGCAGCCAATCCCGCCGAGCCTCTGGCAGTCCATAGGGCGGGCTCGCCGCGCGATCGGAGCGCAGAAGGACCAGCTTGTCGTTACCTCGCGCCATCTGCTTCAACGCTTGTTCCGTGATGACTCGGTACGTTGCTGTGCGCGACAGTGAGACGGGGCTGACGATGATCTTCTGCAGACTCGTGAGACCGGTTTGGGCTGTGGGAACGACGTTCGTCGTGGCGTCCGGGTCTAACACGCCGCGCACGATGGCGCTGAGATCCGGGAAGAGCTGGGTGACTCCACTCATGCGCAGATGCGTGAGGGACGGTACGGAGCCGAGGAAAGCGAGGAGGTAATTGTAACAGTCCACTAGGTGCAGACACTTGAGCGATGGGAACAACGGGACCCGTTTGTAATTGGGTGCCTGCAACCCGCCGCGGAGCACGAAGGTGTCCATGATGGTGAGCTCTTCCAGATGGGGGAAGTTGGACCTGGCGAGGACAGATGGGAAGTGGGGTCCATATTGCGAGCTTAGCAGTAGGGAGCCGATGTGCAAAGTGAGGATTCGGAGGTGGGGACTCGCGATTTGCATAACCCGATCGAGAGCTTGCATGAACGCGTCATTCCGCTTGGCTGTGAGCTCGGCGCTCGTCCAGCCGCGCACGTCGTCCGGTAGTCTGCTCAGGAGCTCTTGTTCATCAGCGGAATGATACTGGCGATAGATGAGAGCTTCGCGCAGTTGCGAGTCGTTCAGTGACTCGAGCGGTGCGTAGGAGTTCCTGTCGCCCGGTTCCTTGTGATGCGCGATGTACAGATGGAGAATTCTCTGATGCTCCGGGGGCCGGCTCTCCAGGACATCCGCAAAGCATTTCAGCTCGTAAGCACCGTTCAGAGCCACGCTCTGTAACTGCACAGATCTGGACACATCGCGGATGTATCTCGAGACACGGGAGAGCGACCGCCCTGTGTGGCCGTCGTCCGTACACGCCAACGCAAAAATCCGGATCCAGAGTTCCGCAGGACAACGGTCCATCTTTATGTTCGCCTTTCTCTGCTCAGCTGCAGGTCGTAAACAAGTATGTCAAGATTCGGGCGTGCTCAAGACTAGCTGTGCTCACCTTACTTTTACCTAAAGCTCGTCGTCCGGGACAACTTGTAAGGGCAGGCTCTGCTCGGCACCTGGCATTTCGAGTTGCTACTTGCGGAATTTGGACTCACAGCTTCTCATCGGCACCGATAAGTCCTCGCATTGTTGTGCTTACAATTGACCAGCGTATTGTGTCAAGCAGTATTCTCACAGGGCCATAGTAAGCTCTTGTTCGAAACAAGCAGGTCTTTGAGATGGTGGTACAAACAGCAGGTCGTCTGTGACGGATCTGAGGGCCATACACGGATCGGCGATGCGATATCCTGAGCCCGCTACACACGTGTACCGAATCCTTCCGAATCAGGGTAGGGGCGTCTATTCTTTGGCTCTACGGCTACTTACCGTCGTGACCCCCTGGTCCCTACGCTCACCCGAGAGGCTAAATTCACTGTGCTGCATTCCTGCTACAGTACACGGCATATATTCGACGCTAACGTTGCGTTTGAACTCGACATGCACAAATCTTTGGTGGTTCAATGAGGAGGATCGCCGCGTCGCAAGATCCAGATGGCACAAGCTGCCTCACTACGACAAGTTTAGGTACGTTTATTTCTTCATACGAGATATTCGCTGTCTAAGCCTGTCTTGCCATAGTATAAGGCTGCGTTGCATTCAGACTACATCTAACACGAGCAAAGTGAAGGAATGTTCCCTGAAGGTCCACTTCCCTGTCCAAGCCGCCCTCTTCGTCTTCACGCTCACCTCATTCTCCTTCCCCCAACCGTTCTGCTCCTTCACGTCCTCGTGCCACAGCTCATGCGCCTTGACTTCCTTCGGAGCACTGACAAATGCTATCCGGACGGGCACTGTGTAGGCACTATGCTCACTCCTGTTCACCACAGCAATGCGGACACTCTTCTGGCCAGTCTCGGAGGTATGGAGGACTGCCGAGGCGTCCAGGTCCTTGGGCTGGCCCTTAACGGAGGAGACCCACTGCGGGAGAGTTTCTCCGGCGAAGGTCGGGGACAAGAGCGAGACGCGGATGGAGACCCCGCCGCGCATATATCGAGAGAAGAGGTACAAGGGCCAATAGATAGTTTGACGGAACAACCCAGTCGGGCTGCATCTCCGAGGTCAGTCCCACTTCGCCGAGCTTGCCTGTTCAATTGACTTACCTGGTGATCAAAGGCGAGATGACATTAACGCTCTGTGCAATGCACGCCATCTCGACGATATCCGCCTGCCGGACAAACACATTCAACCAGGAGGCCATCGCCAGGGCGTCCGCGAGGTTGTAGAACTGTTCCAGGCCGTTTTCCGGCGTCCCGACCGTCTCATCCCACACGCCATACTCGTCAAATGCGATGGTGATCGGCTTGCTGATGGTCTTTGCAACGCGCTGCAAACGTTGGTGAGTCACGGATTGATGTCCGGAGATTGAGTGCGCTTACGGCCTTGTTGATCAGGCCCTTGCAAATCTCGATCGAATACTCTGCTGCGTCGGGGCCGTACACGGCGCGTCCATACTCTTTGTCGATCTGCGATCGATCTCGCGGTCCGAACCCTGTGTACAGGTGTATACTGAGACGGTATCAGCATGTTGCTTACATGAGACCAGAGTCGTTGCGTCAACTCGCCTATGCAAGTCGACCTTGTCGACGAGTTCGTCCAGGACTACGCCGTCCCAGTGGTTAAGCCCGGTCTCGCCACAACCGACGAGCTTCACAGTAGGGTCAATCAACCGGATAGCATGCGCCCACTGGCGCGCTTTAGTCGCGTATGCAGACGCGGTTTGCTGCCCGACTTGCCATTCACCCCAGACCTCGTTCCCGAGGCCCCAGTATTTGACGTTGTGGGGCTCGTCCTTTCCGGTGTTCTTGCGGCGCAGGTTAGCGTAGTAGCTGGCATGCCACGTTCACCAACTCCCGAGATCGCGGACGCGAGGAGAACAACTCACGTATCGCCGGCCCCGTTGCAGTACTCGATCCAATGCAGCGCTTCCTCGAGGGTTCCCGTCCCCATGTTCAGCACAACGTAGGGCTCAATTCTGGCCACTCGGCACCATGCAATGAACCTTTGCTCTCCAGCGTTATCTCCGCGCCTGGAAGCCTGTCACGTATCACTCACTCATCCGTCCCGAACAGATTGCTCTCTTCCCCGCCCCACGCCAGCTCCGGGCGTCGCTTCCGTTCCTCCAGTGAACCTATCCCGTCCTTCCACTTGTACGAGCTCACGTAATTGCCGCCGGGCCACCGCACCATGGGCGTTCCAAGCTCGTCTCGCAGGACCTCCAAGACGTCTTTACGGAACCCTTCCTCGGTCAAGAGCTCCTTCGGAGTCTCGATGAACTGGTCTTCGGAGCATGGGTTGCGAGGCGTGTAAGGGAAGTTCGTGTGGCCTGCAGGTAAGATTCCGCCGTAGATGCAGCGGCCGAGATGCTCTAGAAAGCCAGAGAAGATGAGCGGTGAGACGGGCGCGATGGTTGCGCTGGGGAAGACATCGAGAGCAGGCTCGGGATGGGCGGACATCGTGGTGCGACTCGGAGAAGTTGGGTGCGTCGTCGTGCGTCTAGATGATATGCTCGTTCCTGCCCCCTTTCTGTGCGCATGCTATTTGCAGGTGCTTCATGGCGAGAACCTGCAGTGCCCACCGCGTCCTGACCACACATCGATCATGATGTGACTAGGAAGGGGCGGGTTTACTCGGTCCGGGCGGCGGCCCGACGACTCGGGCCTCAGAGCGCCTGTTCCGTTGATGCGTCCTCAAAGCCTATTTCCCCGCTTCCCCAGATCACCCCGCATTCGGTGCCGCAGACGAGGTGCGGACTGCGCTACGGCTGAGTTGCTTGCACAACCCTCGGGTTATTGTCCATAGCCACAGACCCCTGCAATCACCAGTAATCGACTTGACCGGTCGGTTCACGAGAGTAGAACTGCAACCGTGTTATCATTCTGTGCGCCAACAGCCCTGATCTATCCTCAGTACGGCAATCCTGGGTGGTCACGGGTGCCCCCGCCCATGCATATTACTCCGGACCCGCTCGTTGGACTGTGGACGTAGCCGGGATCGCTCACCCATGATGCGTATAGTGCGGCGGTCCCGTACCTGATCGAAATGCCAGTGATTGAGGCCGCGGGAGTCGACTTCGTTTTATAGGTCGACCATGAGGAAGCGACCCCGCCTCGTGCAGAAGACCATCGACTTCTCCCAGCCAGCTTCGACCGTTCCCTAAGCTCTTGGACTGCTCGTAGTGATCAACGATGACGGTCTCGCCGAAGGTGCGTATCTGGGACTTTTTGCGAGCACCGGTGCTCTAAACGAACAGCGTCTGCTATAGGTCTATACTTGGCTCTGCGGCCTGTTTGCAGCATTAGGATCCGTAACGTTCGGCTATGACCTCGGTATCATCGCTACCGTAGAGGTGAGTTGCATTCGGCAGATGAATGTACTTCGAAACCTCACATGCCTCTCAACAGTCCAGCGCAGACTTCCTCGCGAAGACGAACAATCCGACTGAGACTCAGCTAGGACTAATCACCGGATGTTTGCTATTGGGTGCATTTGCGTCGTGAGCATCTCATCGTCTCCCTCCCTGGGCCTCATCAGCCTGACCGTTCATCTCTAGCAACATCTACGTTGGATCCCTGGCAGACACCATCGGCCGTCGTCTGACAATCCTCGCAGGATGCATCGTCTTCCTCATCGGCGGTGCGATCCAAACCGCGGCCCAAAACATCGGGTACATGTACGGCGGGCGGTTCCTAGCGGGGATGGGCATCGGCATGTTGGCCATGCTTGCACCGCTGTACCAGGCTGAGATCGCGCACCCGAGCATCCGCGGACGCTTGACGACGCTGCAGCAGTTCATGCTGGGGATTGGTTCGCTGATCGCGTCATTTATTGGGTATGGATGCTACCACGGCTTGACCGGCCAGGCACAGTGGAGAATCCCTCTGGGTGGGTGAATAGTTAGACGTTGGGCGACTATCCGCTGAAATGTGTCCCTCGTCCGAAGGCATTCAACTTCTTCGTATGTATATATTGAACGAATTCTAACTGTCATCCACTGACATCACTTCCAGCTGCCATTCCGCTGGCCTTTTTCATCCTGTGAGTAGAAACAACCAGTTCACATAGCTTGAGATTGACGATTGGACAGGCTTCTTCCCGAGAGCCCGCGATTCCTGGCTATGAAGGGTCGCAACGACGAGGCGTTGCTCGTCCTCGGTCGACTGCACGCACACGGGGACATCACCGACCCCTTCGTCGTGAGCGAGCACAAGGAGATCCTCGAGCAGGTTCGCGTCGAGCGCGAAGAGACACGCGACGTCTGGAGACAGCTCTTCGGCAACCCTAGCAACTTCCGACGCCTTGTCCTCGGCATCGCCATCCAGTTCAGGTGCATACCCCGCTTCCCCTCGCAGTGACACAGATTCACGTTTATCCCCCGTGCAGCGTCCAGATGACGGGCGTGAGCTGCATCCAGTACTACGCGCCGACGATCTACGCGAGCATCGGGATCGACACGTCGACGACGCTCGGGCTGCAGTCAGGCAACTCGGTCGTCGCGCTCATCGGCGAGGCGCTGTGTATCTGGTACATCGACCGCCTCGGGCGGCGCAAGGTGTTCGTGTGGGGGAACGCGCTCTGCGGGCTCACGTTCGTCATCGGCACGATCATCATCGCGCGCTTCCCCGCGGGCTCGGACAACGCGAATGCGGCCAGGGCATTCGTCGCCATGACTTGGTTGGTGAGCGGGCTACTCTCATGTGTCTGGTGAGGATGCGGGATTGATGGATGTGCGATAGTTCAACTTGGTGTTCTCGGCGTGCTGCGGGCCGCTGTCATGGGCGGTAGGTAGTTTCGTGGACTCGTATAGTCTCCAGAGGCTCACTGTCACCCCCAATAGATCCCCGTCGAGATGTTCAACAGCGCAACCCGTGCCAAGGCCACTGCGATCACGTCGTCCGCTGCATGGATCTCAAACTGTCAGTCCCAGAATTCCCCGCTTATCTCCCACCACTGATGTCCAGTGCAGTCATGATCGCGCAAGTTAGCCCTCCCGCATTCACTTCCGTCGGTAAGTAGTATCATACACAACGTTTCAGCTCCTAGTCCAAGCCTGTCTGACTGAACCCCGGTTAGGCTGGAAGTACTACCTCGTTTTCGCCATCTGCGGCTTCACAAACGCAGCCTTCTTCTGGGCCTTCCTCCCCGAGACGAAGGGCATCCCTCTCGAAGGTGCGTGACCCGTCTCCCGCGCGATCCATCTCTCCCGTACTCACCTGTCCCCGATCCACTCGAACAGAGATCGACAGCTACTTCGAGACCGTGCCGGTCTTCGTGCCCGGCTCGCGTGTCGCGCTCAAGGACGCGAGCGAGCGCGAGGCGGAGCTGCGCGAGGGAAAGGTGCACGTCGCGGGCGCGCCCGTTGACGTATCGGAGAAGATGGACCGGGAGGAGATCGAGAAGGTATGAGGGGCTTCAAGTGAGGGGCTCTGTTATGAGATTCATGATGACTTGATGTCCGAAGCCTGTAATGTGAATGACGAATTGTGGATGTACTTTAGGACTGGCTTTACACGAACATATTTTCCATGGACTTGGTGGTCCATCGTTCATCCGGAATTGCGAATACGAATACAGGCCTAGTAACCGGGGGGGGGGGGACGCAATATTAATGATCAAGGGGAGTGCTTGTCATTTGCGAATCCAACACCGCCAGGCTTTTGCAAGCTGGGGTTATGCATAGGCGACCAAGCGCTGAGCGTGAGTGGCAACGCCGGCACCGTCAGCCCGTTGGAACCTCCCACAACCCTATATAATGGGAACATGAGTCTCTCGCATGTGTGACGTTGTTCGTTGCTTCGGAGCTTACATAGCTCCATGAAGCAAGGACAAGCGTACCTTTCAGGCGTCGGCGCCGTCGCGCTCAGCCTATTAGTGCGAGGGAAGCCTCCGAGGCTCAGGGAACGGAGGCAGAATCCAGATGTGACACTGGCAGATCTCATTAGCCGAGAGACGCCTGAGATCATATCTTTACCAATCGCTGGCGCTTGTGAATTTCGCTTCCGCGACGTTGACTCGGAGCACTCACCATCTCTGGGCAGTATAGACACCTGACATGGTGTGACGGCAATGCTGAAGGCGCGGTCTTAGTCGCATGAAATGCTGTGCTTAAGCAGGAAGCCCACTAGGAAGGCGGAAGGGACTCACCGAAGGTACAGTACGCACAGCTGCTGGCACTGTCAGCGCAGCGACACTGGGGCCGTTTGCAAGACATCGGCCTTGAAGGTTGCTGGTGAGTGTCTAGCTCTGCCTCAAAACACGTACTGACTACTCACCAGTGCACGCACATTTATGTGTGCCATACCCTCATCTTCATTCAATCCTACGGAAGCTTTTACCAATGTCGGATAGTGTCGGATGCGGTGTGCACTGACGGCGGGCGCATATGTACGTTTCCTGGCTTGTTCGACTGCAGAAACGACGCTTTCGGGCGAATATTGAACAAATGGCCGAATTCAACGTTCATAGCCCGCTGCACATCCGTAGGGCGGTGGCCGAGAAGAGTGTGAGTTCGCAGCGAGCGTGGGACGTGGGCGGGTGGGTGTGGTATGAAGACAAGGAACGTCTGGGCAGAAATCGAACGAACCCTGTCAGCCGTAAAAGGAAAGCGTCGGTCGCGCCGCGCGCAAACGACGCGTCGCGACGCGGTCACGCACACAGTCCGTTTAATCCGCCAAACAACGCCCAACAGCCTCACCGCAAACATATAAATACGGCTGCCCACACAGCCCTGTCTCCCCATCTCGCCCCCCAGCGTCCCTCTTGGCTCACCCGCCTGTATCTTCACTCGTGACCAATATCAACATGTTCACCTTCGGCGCCCTCCTCGTTGCGGGTGCACTCTCCCTCGCCCCCAAGTCGTACATCTATTGTCGGCTGGGTGGTGGTGGGGGCCTCGCTGCCCACGCCCTCTTTGGCAACAGTCCTCCTTGCCCCCTCATCGTCGACAAGGTCGAGTCGTTCATCGACCATGTCTCCGACTCCTTTAGGTATGCACTCACAGTCTGATGATCACACTATATCTGACCTCATGCACAGCGGCATCGGGGACAAGTTCTCGAACGTTTTCGGAGGATCGGTGATGGGTAACATCGGGTCCGGTATGGCAGGGTTCGTGTACGACGCTACGTGAGTACAACAGTCCGCTGTCCATCATGCACCTACTGACAGTCTCATCGAGCAGCCAACGCCTCATCCCCATCACATCGGACGTGTTCGACAACGCCCCCACCTTTCCCTCCTTCATCTTCTTCAACGACCCAGGCGACCCATACCTCGCGCAGCTAGCGGACATCAAGGAAGACGTACGGAAGTGGAGCAAGACCAAGGATCTCATCGCGGCACCTACCTTCGATCTCGCGCAATGGACTACGGATTTGATCGTGCGGCCTCCAGGAGACATCGTCGTTTGGGTCCCTCCCAACACCTGCCTCCTGGCCGAGCGACCGCGGACGCATTCGCAACCATCGCCCGAGATCGTCATTATACTGCCTGCTTCTGATTGGACGCCTGAGACGCCGTACGTGGTCAAGCCTGCGCGTACGGTTGTCGGAGGCTTCCAGGATCACCATCACTGCCTTGGCTCCCGTCGAGCTATTCATGCCCTCGTCGTGTTCTACACGCTCGTCATCGCCTACGTCGCCGTCGCTACCTTTGAGCCGGTTCGGACGGCATGGCGCACGACGCCCATCGGCCATCTTGGCCTGCAAGCTGTTCTGGGATTCGTGGGACGGACTCTGTACTGGTCTATGGTGCGTGCGATCATCTATACATCACATACAGTTGGCTAACGCGTTTGCTTCAGTTCTTCGTGACCTCGCTCAAGGGCATACCCTCCGACTGGGACGTACAGGGCGCGTCAGGTGCCATCCGCAAGGCTGGTCTTAAGCCTCGCATGCCTCGGTCGTTCCCCAAGAACCACGCGCTCATCGGTGGACCTCGCCCGCTCGTCGCATACGACCTCGCGGCCTACACGCCCACCCGACCCCTGGTTCTTCGACCCCTGCTCGTCATCTTCCAGGACGGCCCGGTTCCCACCCCGCTCGCGCTGCCCCGCTCTGCCACGCGCCCACGTACGTTCAGCGCGATGACCTTCATGGAGGCCCGCCCCGTTCCTTCGAGCGGGCCTCACACGAACGTCTCGCTCATCGAGGACGAGGTGAGCTTCTTTGTGTTATATGCTCGCGATTTTGATGCTCATCTATCGCTCTCAGGGTCCGTGTCCTACGACGATGAGCTTCTGCAAGCGTTTCCTGCGTCGCCAACACCCTGGCCTCAACCTCTTTGGCCTCCGGGAGCGCCGAGTCCGCCGCCACGCCGAGCTGCGCGCTCTCCGGGACGAGATGGGTGAGGACGTCGCCCTCCGCCACGCACAGGAGGGGCGCAAGATTCTGCAGCAGAACCTTCGGTCGATGTGGGCTACCGGTGGACAGAGGTGATTAGCTCCCGGGTTGGCTGATGCGATCCATAGTACTGATGACACTACAGCGTCCACCTGTAGAACCCGCCCAATAGATGCAGGCCGCGCTCTGCCCAACATCGCGTCGATCGACGCACCACACCCTATCATCATTCCTCTCTATTCCTTTTCTGTCTTACCGTACCACCACTCTTTCTTGATGTCCGACATGTCGCGAACTCGTGATGCCCTGCGGGTTCGTGGCATGCCGTTCATCACGCGGGTCAGGACTGTTGGGGGCATACTGCAGTCTTGACTCGCTTTTTTCTTTCCATCCTCATTTCTTGCATATGACCTCGGCATGGACTCAGACATCAGGGACTCAGCGGACAACTCTCCGGGTCTTGATTTGTATGATTCGTGTCTCTTTGTCTCTCTACCTCACTGGCTCGGCTCGCGTTTCTGTACTGTATGTCTCAACTTGCATGTTTCCTGGCTACGGTCTCATCTCATCTCCTTCGCCTTGATCTGTACTCTCTAGCTTGTAGTCTTGTATCATTGGACTTGGATTCACCGGATCTCTACCATGTACTATACGATCAGCTATATTGATGATATGTATCACTTTGTATTCCATCATCTTGTACTTAGCCTTCGACGGTTATTCTCTTCAGTGTAGCGTTGGATGCATCACCGTTATTGACACATGCGCGTACTTTGTTGCAGAGAGCCGGTATGTCGAATACCACCTACGTCACGTCAATGAACCCAATTGCATCAAGAAAGCCGTGACCTAGTACAGGCGGGAGTCGACAATCATGCTGCAACACCAATAAATACCCAAGAACGAGAAGAGATAAAGAACATAAAGTAAACGTAACCATAGACCGTGACCGTTGACCGAAGGATGCCATGCATCCCAATAACCAAGAAAGGATTGAGAGAGTTTGTCGAACGGCACGCACAGCGCACCACTCGGCATGCCCTCTCAACCGTCCTCGTCCTCCCCCTCCATACCCTCTCCGTAGCCGATCTCCTCCTCCAGTCGTGCAAAGCCCGCATCCAGCGCGTCCAGCCTCGCGAGCCGACTGTCCAACGAGTCCATACCCCCGTCAAGCCTCGCGATCCCGCTCCCAAACGCGTCCATTCTAGCGTCGTTTTCGTCCATCGCGCGCATGAGCTCTGCGATCTCGCGCTCGAGGTCTTCGTCCGAGAGCGCGGAGAGGTCCTCCGAGTCCGAGTCCGAGTCCAAATTCGAATTTGAGCTGGGGTTTGTGGTCGTTGATACCGGTGTTTGATGGGATGCGACGTGAATTGAGGGATTACGGGGCTGTGCGTAGACCTGTCAGCCGCAGGGAGCATACATGCATGATATGACAGCTTACCATGAAGAAGTCGAGTCCAATTCGGGTACCCTCTAGCACAGCCAGAGGGACACCACAACCGATGCCGATGTTATACCAAGATGTCGTGAGCGTGCTCCAGAGCATTGCGCCCACGACGAGCAGATAGAGACCGTAGCCGGGGAGGTGCGCGGCGGCACCGACGGTGAGGCTGACCTTAGGAGTCCCGAGAGTGCCAGAACCAGAGAGCCGCAGAACACGCAGAAGCACAGTACCCAGATAGCCGAGACGACGGGAAGCCTTGAGAGAACCAAGAGCAGCCTGAGTGTCGAGAGAAGCGGACAGAGGGCGCAGGTCGCTGAGCCGGCACGTGTTCGGAGGCACGTAGACGACGAGCTCGGGGGCTGGAGCGTCGAGCAGGTTCTTCGTCATGAACTCGCCAGGGCAGATCGTGCACATCGGGGCTTCCCAGAGCATGAGCTCGTACTTGGGTGCGATGATGATGTCCGTCGTCGTTGCGAGTACCTTGGGCCCGGGGGCGCCAGTGTTGTCGGGATCGTCGTTGACGAGGTGCAGGACGAGGTCGGTGAGGCCGTATACCGTGTAACCGTGGACGGAAGAGGTGTCGTTGACGAAGGCGATCTGGTCGGAAGCTTCGAGGACAGACATAGGAGCGATGTTGCCGAAGACGAGCGCCATCATGTCCGAGACCAATTCTTGTCCGATGAAGGGATAGCCGAGTAGGCCAGAGGTCGTGTTGCCGAGCCCGCTGCATGCGCGATGTGGTCAGAGGGCATCCAGCAGTGCAACTGGGAGGGGGACTCACCTGAGCGAGTCCTCAACCTTGAGTACGACCTTGTCGACGACGCTGGTGATCCCAGGGCAGAGACCACCAGTGCCGGGACTGCCAACTGCACTCTGACCATCGCCAGGCGGGCAGTAGGCATGCGCGAGATGGCTGAGGGCCCGGAGGCCCCCGACAATGACGCCGAGGAGAACCATGTTGTTGCAGAGTACTGAAGTTGTGCGTGCGTTGACTTGGAAGTTGACGGTAGCGGGGAAAGAGGCAAACGTCCAGCAGGCGGCCTTTTGTGCTCTGCTGGCCGGTGGTCTGGGATACAACTCACCGTGTCAGCCTCAGCTGGAAGCCTCGCCTGGCCGACGTCAGTGTCATTTCAGTTTCGACTGGCAGTAGTGACTATAGTACTCACCCAGTGTTGCGGCATAAGACCTTGTATCCTAGGATGAGCGTGCACTGCGGCGAGGATATGGCCTGCCGGGCTGGCGTTGTCTGCTTGAAGTTCGCACTGCGCGCACTGGCGAGGGCGGCTCGAACCGACTGTCAGTCGCCGCGCGTGTCGAAGGAAACACGACCACGTGATTTGCCAAGCGATAGTCGCGTTCTCGGGCCGTTCGACTCGGACCACCATGTCGATGTATGTCGTACTCGGGCCTGGGAAACAGAATCCCCATGTATCGGCCTCAAAAAGCAGGGCACATGGGCTTTTGGGACACAGAAACAAAGCAAAAGAGTTGACAAGAGCGGGATTCGAACCCGCGCCCTTTCGGACTGGATACATCGCGGACTGACCCACGGGAGGATGCATCAACCCAAGATGTTGCGAACCACCTGATTCCAGCGCCTTAGACCGCTCGGCCATCTTGCCTTGGATGTTCAGCCACAGGAGCCCTCTATACTCGACCCACGTATCTTGCACGTATCGCATGGGCCGTACGCTCTGAGTCGACGAGACCGGAATGACATGTTGATACGTTTCAAGACCTCGATTTTTGACGCTTTTACTACCCGAAATAAGTACATCGTGTGTATATCCGGTATGTCCGTGTTGGTGGAAACATGAGGAAAGGAGCGAAGAAGCTGACAGTGGTACATGGATTAGCCAAATCACTGAGCAATATGATAGTAGTCAATAAGTATTATAGGGCAGAGTCCCGTAGTGTCCAGTCCATCCAAAGGAGCGTTTATGTCACCGTGAACAGATTTTCGTAGAAAATGCATAGAGGGCGCGAACCGCGTCTCCGTAAGCATCGAAGCAGGGCCGATGCCGTCGACTCCGTGTGTGGTTTAGTCCTGACGGTCGACGATGGTCATTAAGCCGGGGACGCCGCGTGCGCGCTCGACAGCGGGGGGACGTTGCGGGTCTGAGCGGTCCGAGCGTGCTGCCAAGGCAGAGTAGTGGACCTGGGGGGCACGCAGTAAGCAGACGCACAGAAATGAGAAGGGACCGCACGCACATGGACTTTGAACGTCCTGCCGTCATGCCGCGGGCCGCATACATGACATGACCACCTACAACCGCACAACATCAGCCACACGTGCACCCACAACGGCCGGCTGCGGAAGAAATGAAGCACGTACTGCTCGTCCACCAGGACGTTCGCGCCGATCGATTGGGCCTCCTCGAGCAGCGACGCCCGCGCGAGGCGGACGAGCTTCGCAGCGTCGACGCCGTCCCTACACTCAAACGTGTCCTCGCGCTCGAGAGGCACCCGCTTCACGGACAGCGCCCCCTCGCCCCAGAACCGCTCGTCCCTCCAGGGCTCGTCGCCCGAGTCGCTGTGGATGTGGTTCTGGGCGGCGCGCTTGCGGAAGCGGCGGAGGCGGACGATGAGGCTCGCGGTGTCGGCCATGGACTTGAGGGGCATGATGGCGAAGCTGAGCGAGGGCGAGGGCGAGCGGGACGCGAAGCGCGAGCGGAGGGGCGAGGGCGGCGGGGTGGAGACGGAGGTCGGGAGAGGCATTACAGCGCTGGCAAGGCGAAGAGGTGGAAGGGAAGAATGCAAGGAGAGACGGGCGAGTGCGCGCTGCTACTGCGACTGGGTTATCATCTATTTCTGGGAACATCGTACCCGCGGCGGGCTGCGCTAAATTGGGCGCGATCAGACTGTCTAGATCGTTGACGCCACTACTCCCGCCTATCGTTCCAGCACCCGCCAGCGCCCAGGTGCTTCCGCCCCCTGTTGCGACATTGCAGCTCAAATGCACGTCCCACAATGTGAGGATAAAACTAACTGTGTTACATACTGCAAAAGACCGCTGAGCGAATTTTGACGGCCCACTCTAGTGGCACATCCTCCGCCCGACGCGGAACAATCTGCAGGCTGCAAACTGGGCTAGAATGCCCCCTTGGCGAACAACATGCGGTAAACACGCCCTTCCATTGCAAGCATAGGACCCCCGAAAATCCCCCTCAGAGGCTGGGTCGGAGGTTCGCCAGTTCTTGTCCGGATTCTTTTTCTCCAAAATCTGGCTGTTCATGTCCGGAATCCGACCTAGCTTCCGCCTGGTGGTCTCGTACCCATCCGTGTGGACGCACCCCACCACCGCGATGGGTACGAGACCACCGCCTGGCGGCGGTTCATGTCCGGATTTCTAGGACTGGCCTTATTTTTGCCCAGATTTCTTTGGCCTATAGAAGCCTGTTTCGCACTTGAATGGACTCTTACGAGTTGTTCGGGGCTTCTATGATGTCTGAAGAAGCTGTAGAGTGGCACTAGGGTGCCGTATGACGCAAACTGTCCGCCAACAAGCCTGCTTGGGGTTGCCTCAAGGTTGCTTCCATCTCAAATCTTGCTTGGAGAGACCGACCCCAGGCTGTGCGGAGCCTGGGTCGCGGAGACCGATAACCGTTGCATTGCCAGAAGAGAACATTTGTCTCCCCGCGAACCTTGACCTGGGACCCTCGGTCCATGTCCGGACACCCGACCGGCCTACCCGGGGTGTCCATGTCTGTGTCCTACATTTGGGACCGGCAGTTCAGAATTTTTGACCTCATATGTCTGGATTTTGACCTGGCCAAACCGGTCCCCAGGGCCAGCTCATGTCCGGATTCTGACATACCCCTCTATAGGGATTTTCGGGGGTCCTGCAAGCATCCGTGCACGAGCGATCTACTCCGCAATCCCGCCCCATTCCTCAAACTCCTCCTCCTTTTTCACAGCAGCGTTTGGCTTGGTCTTACGCCTCTTCGCGGCGACGAGGTCGCTCCCCGCCTCGACCTTCTTCAGCCCGACCATCGTCTCGTGGACTGCGCGGGAGGTGAGAGGGGGTTGCACATACGAGGATAATGAAGACGTACAATTACCCGCGAGCATGTCATCTGCGATGGACACGGCACCAGACGTGATGTACCGCGTCGACACGCCCCGCGCGACGAGCGGCTGCGCGAGCAGCCCCTGCAGCTCCGCTTTCAGACCGGCCACCTTCGCGTCTGCGGTCTTGCGTTGTGCTTTTGATGGCGCGTATTCCTTTTCATCTCTGATGCACGGTAGTAAGACACCTCGCTTTGCAGTCGAGGAAGAATGACTTACGCTTCGAGCTCAGAGTCCAGCTCGATCTCCATCGCCTCCGCCGCCTCCTTCAACCAGTTCTTCTCGTGCTTCGCCTTCCGGACCCTGTGCTGCGCCGTGTCGATCTGGCGCGCAAGCTGGACCCTCGCTTTCATCTTGTCCAGCATGTACAGCTCCACCGGCATCTCCAGAATCTCGTCCTCTGGGCACACATCATCAGACTACCGGGACGTCGTGAAGAGGGTTAACGATGACATACCCCTCTTGAGGCTGCTCATCATTGCACGAACGACACGCCGCTCGTCCGGCGCGATCATGAGCAGACTGAACCCCTTGCGTGCGGCACGCGCCGTGCGCCCGTTACGGTGCACATACGCATCCGCGGTGCGCGGCACCTGGTAGTGCACGACGTGGTCGACGGCGGGGACGTCCAGCCCGCGCGCAGCGACATCAGTTGCAAGCAGTACACCGCGCGGTGATGACCTGAAGCTATCCCACGGATGAGTTGGTGGCTGAGCGTGCTGAGGGAGGGGAGACGTACCGATCGAGGTTCTTGAGCCGTTGCCGCTGCTCGAGCTGGGAGTGGAGAGGGAAGGCGGGGATGTCCAGGAGGGACATGATGGGAGAAAGACGTCGGATGCCGTCGATGGAGGAGAGGAAGACGAGTGTTCGGCCAGGGTAGCGTAGGAGGAAGTAGTAGAGATATGCGTCCTGCATGTGCCATGAGATTGGATTCCGAAAGACAGTACAAGGACCTGACGGACCTTGTCGGTGACGAGGCACTCAACCTTGCTCTCCTGCAGTGTCGCGACGACGCCGCCCTCCGGCGCGATGTCTATCACCGCGGGTGTCGCATCGCGGAAGTCGAGCCTCATCAAGAGATCATCTGCAGCCCCGGTCAGTCGGACATGCCAGAGTTCATGGTACATGGTAGTACGCACCGAGGGTAGACGCGGGCTTCCCCTTCTTGTTTCGATGCCCCCTCGAGGGTTTCTTGAGATTCTGCTGGAGCTCCTTGCTGAGCGTCGCACTGAACACGAACGTCTGCATCTCGTCCTCCTTCACTCCCGCCTTGCTGTCCTCCGCCTCCTCGGCATCGGCATCGTCGGGCAGCCCCGACGCAGACTCCGGCTCGATCTCGTCACCCCTACGAGCGCACGTAAGTCAGTACACGGGTGGCAGCGCGAAGGATGGAGGACGGACTGTCTCTGCCGGAGCGTTAACCGGAGGATGTTCTCCATCTCGGCGAAGTGCCCCGTCTCGATCATCCGGTCTGCCTCGTCTAGGACGAGGAACCGGAGTTTTTCTAGCTGGCCAGCCAACTCGTCGTCCTACAGCACTTCAGCTGGATGTGGGTGCGGCAAAAGGGATAGGACGCACCTCCTGGATGATGTCCCACAACCGACCGGGCGTCGCGACGAGCACGTCAACGCCGCGCGAGAGTATGCGGCGCTGTTTCTGGGCGGACATCCCCCCGACGATCGCAGCAACGCTTACCGGCGGCGGACCATTCTGCTTCTTCGGCTCCTCACTGGTAGGGTTCGTCTTCTCCTTGCCCTTGCCCTTCTGCTTCACGGCCTTCGCCTTCTTTCCCTTCACGTCTGCAGCAGGAAGTTCTTGTTCATGCTCCTCTTCCTTGACCTCGGCGGACGAGACGTTGACGGGGTTCAGGCACGCGTTGAGGTGGGAGGAGACTTGGAGCGCGAGTTCGCGGGTGGGTGTGAGGACGAGGGCACAGACTGGTCTACGTCCCTTCGTTGGTGCTCCAGGGGCAGCCGCGTGTTTGAGGAGATGGTCGAGGATGGGGAGGCCGTACGCGAGGGTTTTGCCGGAACCCTTGAGCGGCAGACGTCAGTTTGGAGACACGAGTGGGATGGGAAGAGCACGTACTGTCTCTGCAACACCGACTACATCTCTGCCTGATAGTGCGAGAGGAAGCGCGTCTCCTTGGATGGGTGTTGGGCGGATGAAATGTTGCGCATATAGGGCCTTTGCGAGTTGCTGGTGGAGGGAGAAACGAGACCATTCGGGAAGCATGGTCTCGGCTTCATAGTCATAGGATGAGGGGTGATGTGCACATACAGAAGAGGAAAGGCATACCATCGAAAGGCACTTCCTCTTCGATGACTATTGGCTCTTGTGCAATCGAAGCATTTCGCATAGGAGATGTGGAGGACTCTGCAACTGGTTCTTCGGCTGCAGACACGTCTGGATCCACTTCAATGACAGACTTGACTTCATTCGTGACTGATTCTCCTGCCACCTACAACACCCCTTCAAGTCCCACCCTCGACGCAGAGACCGAGGTAACCCACCTTGAACTTCACGATTTTGCCCCCTGCCGTCTCCTCATACACGACCTCCACGTCAGACACCTCCTCGAGTTCAAGCATCCCATCAAAGTCTCCTGCACCGTTCGCTTCTCTCGGCCGCGCGACCGCCTTCCATGGCAGCTGGTCGACGGAAAGATGGGTCGTCTTCGCCTTCTTGCGCGCCGTCAGTTTGGAGGGCTTGACTTTGCGCTTCGTTCCCGCAACTTCTGAAGTCATGTCCGGAGAGAATGACGAGATAGATTTCAAGCGTTAGGTCTCCGCAATCTTGTGGATCAACTATGTAGTACCAGGAGCCAAGTGAGTACTGAGCAAGGAGTACTTGCCCGAGGTCGAGTTGGCGCTTGCCGTGGTCAGAGACTCAGAGTCCAATATTTTGTGATCGCGGATCGAGATCCATATGGTAGCACGATCACGTGCACTGTGCCTCTGGACCGTGGACGGCATCCAGGTACCTCACTCGCTTATTTCGCCCCGCAGCGTTGTTTCCTTCCGGACGACATCCTCCACCTCTCGAAACTCAACACTCGTATTATCAAGACTTACAAATACGCAAAAATGGATGACCTCGCTTCCGCATTCTCCGGGCTGCCTTAGTTCGTACCCTTACTACTTACCTTCTCGCGCACCGCCAGTCACGGTCTAACTACTTAATCGCTTCGACGCGCTTTGTTGCTCCTATGTAGCTTCAACCCGATGATGATGATGAACAAGAGCGAGACTAGCGCGACGCGTCGTCTTCTTCAGTGTACCGGGTTCGGTCTGTACATGAACGACATCTCGTCCAAGTTCGCGCCGCCCGCGACCCGTGCGCCGGATTTGCCGCCAGACGCCTTCGCCGCGCGCAGGACGATCGTGGACCAGGTCGCGCACTGGTGCGAGACAAACAAGAGCGACTCGAGCGTGGAGTGGGTTCCGATCATGTATTTGTACGAGGTGTGTTGGTTACAGTGAGGCTGAAGGGAAGACGGTTGATGCGGGGACATCTGTGTATGTAGCTTGTCAAGGGGTCGGCGAAACGTGCGGTATGTGCTCTCTGGACATGATGCTGCATTTTCCGGCTGACGACATGCTCCTCAGCGAGATTGGGGGCACATGCTCTTTACCGAGCCGACCCTCTCTCAGTTCCTCATCGTTATGATCATGCCGGAGCCTTGCGACTGCGGGAACTACTCGCACCACGACTACGACGCCATGACCAAGTACCAAGCCGATCGCATGATGTCCCTTCTCACATACCTGCACGAAGCGTGGGACTGGGGCAACAAGCCTAATTGGTACTGTCCCGAATCCACGTCTCTCGATTGGGTAGCATTGCTGAGATGGTCGGGTACAGGGTCCGCGCAACCTACACCACGCCCAACCGTAGCTTCAAAATCGACCCCGCTGTCCTCCCCGGAGTCAACAAGTCCGTGACGCCTTCCAAGGGCGCGCCCCCGATTTTCCATGTCACACAGGAGTCTTTCTCGCCGACGCTGCTGGAGGGCGAGATCGAGAAGATCGACAACGTGTGCACGCAGGGGCAGGAGACGCGGGCGGGCCCGGCGGTGGTGGAGGCGGCGCGCAAGCGGGTGCTGGGCTCGAAGGAGGACAGGCCGGACGTGGGCGACGCGTGGATGAACAAGAACCCGAGGGAGTGCGCGAACTGCCAATTGGTCAAGGATAAGGCATTGCTGATGTGTGCGAGGTATTCACGTTCAGCCTTGTCCCGTCGTGCTCTGCTGATACGAAGTGCTGGATAGGTGCAAGCTGGTGCACTACTGCAGCAAAGAATGGTAAGTGAGGCCGTTCACACCCCGCGTATGTTGGTTCTGACTAGACCCTCAGTCAAAAGGCGCACTGGCCGAACCACAAGATATGGTGCAAGACGGCGAGCGTGACCGCCTCTGCGTCCTGAACACTGCTGCAAGTCCACCCGGATATTCTGTTCTGCTCATACATATTCGACACTTTCCCGATCTACAACTCGTGTACTTTCCTTGTAGCATGCCTGTACATGTATTCCTGGCCCCAAAGCGGCGCTGTCTGCATCGACATACCACCGCCATCACAGCCGTCGGCGCTGCTCAGCTTGGTGTGCACGTCGGGTGAAGAGCGCCCGAGATCCGTCCAGTACATATACAGCTGACGTCAGAAGGCACTGCTATATTGTGGCTTGGCATCCGCCGCTCTTACATATGTCTGTGCCCAGCGCGATGTCCCCGATAATTCTCTTTTCTCTCTTCTCGCCACCATGGCGTCCTCCGGCCACGCCCACCTCTTCCTAATATTTCTGTGCATCCTGCTCTTCTGCCTGCCCGGCAGCGGCGTGTACGCGTTTGGCGCGGGCAACATCCCGAGGTGCGTGCCATCTCGATCGCGTGGAAGGTGGCCCTGACCGAGACACGATCGCCGGTTATGAAGCTTCGCGTACTTGGAAGGCAAGGCGTTCCGCCATGGAGACATCGTGCGTGGCGAACCAAGTCTTGTCTCACTGAGAGCAATGCTGACGGCAGGTTTTCGCGACAACAGGAAGATGCGCTCGCGGATATGGCGAAACGCGCCGCATCAGGGGGATTCGCGCTCGGCGCACTACTGGGTGCGGGCGGCGGGAAGAAGTTCAAGGCATTGGATGTGAAGCGGGTGTATTTTGGTAACTGGTTGAGAGACTACAGTCAGGTGCGTGTATGCTCTGCGTCGCAACCCGACATAGGGGGTTGAGCGGTTGCACAGGCTGTCGATACCGCAGGATTGTCGAAGCTCCAACTCCAGACCATCATCAACCTATGCATGGTCCTCGGCTTCCTCGCGCACGGTTACGCCACCGGGGAATTCGAGGTCACCATCGAGCGGCTTGGTGTCTATCTCCCCACGGAACACATCGACAACCCGAAGGGCTACCCCGACAACGCGCGCACCTTCGACTCGCGCCTGCGCGGGCCTGTGAACCCCCAGGAGCTCGAGATTGACCGCAAGACGGGGATGAAGAACTACATTGCGAACGAACATGGCAACTGGGATACGTCGAAGGCGCTCGTGCGGCGCGTGCTGCACCAATGCATTGACATTGGCAGGCGGTATCGTCAGAATAACCAGAAGGATGACTTGTACGAGGCATACAGGCTCCTTGGGCAAGCGGTGCGTGGCGTTTTGCATCGCGTGTATGCGTCGTCGTTGAGTCGTGTGACGACAATTAGCTACACACTTTGGAAGACTTCGCGGCGCATTCGAACTTCTGCGAGCTTGCGCTGGTAGCTATGGGCTTCACGGACGTCTTCGTCCATGTCGGCGACCGTGTCCGTATCCAGGCTCCCGATGGCAAGTACGTAGCCCCTTTGGTAACGGGTGAGTGCGAATCGAGGAGATGGCATGCGCATATACAGACTATCTATGACGCAGGCACTTTCGGCTCGAACGACTTCATCCACAGTCTGCTTGGAGGTGGGTTATACACATCATCTCCATGAGTCTACGTGCTGACCCTAACGCTACTGGTCGGCAGAGGCAAGCGACCACATTGTATGTTCCCCCTTCACCAGCATCCTCAACCACTCACCTTTCCCCAGAGTCAAGCCTCCGTCGTCGACCTGAACGCCCAACTCGAGAAAGCGCGCGCCTCCTCCAACACGTCCTCCGCGAACAACCTCCGCGAGCTCCTCTCGAGCCTGCCCGACGGCAGCGGTGGCGAGCTCACGCGCGAGATGGCGGGCGTCGAGCGCATCCGCGCCGCGGGCCAGCGCAGCCGCGATATGGGTGGCAACACCGGGGGATATGGCCAGCGGGCTGCATACGGCGGTGGCGGGTACGGGGGAGGAGGATATGGAGGAGATGCAGGGTATGGGGGACAAGGAGGCGATGTGAAGTCTCCGGACCAGATGAACCCCCAAGAGTTGCATGCGACGCTCTGGCAGGTGTTGAGCTTTAGGGACACTGGTGAGCCCCGGAATCGTCCCGTGTGGTTCCGTTGAGACGATGCTGACTCTGTTTGGGAAGTCATGAAGAAAGTCTCTATCATCATCGGTGAGTGGTGTAGGATATGTGCCATGTGAGGTTGAGCTGACTGTCGCTCGGCGCTCGCAGATAAGATCCCTGGTTTGAGCTCAGTGCTCGATAAGATCAGCGACTCCCTCTCCGGTATGTCGTGCCGAGGTTCGCACCTATACCTACTCTGACGCCATGGCTCAGTTTTCGTCTTTACTACGCTGGAGGTACGTTATTCATTTCGATGCCTGCACTTGGGGTAGTCTCTAACAAAGTCCATTCAGCCGTTTTTGAAGCCAATCATGAAGCAAGCGACGGCAGGCCTCTCTGCAGCGTCAGGCGAAGTTATCGATAAGCAGGACCAATACGAGGTACCTATTCGCGTCTCGTATAACCTCTCGTGTCTAATCGTAATGCGTGTAGGTCTTCGACAGCCCTAACGCGGTGGGTCTAGCGAGGACTGTGCTGAGAAATGAGTGCTAACGCGACGCTAGTCTGATCCTACCCACTCATTCCTGAGCAAAGACCACTTCGTGAGTGAGAATACCGTGTCTGACTGAGCCCTGTTTCTAAGATCTATGCAGAACCTGATTCTGAACGAGCCTGCTGGGCACTTGGGCAAGCTTATATTGGTATATCCGAACATCGGGAGGCGTGGATATTATGGTTCTAACCTACTCCGCAGCAATACGCCGTGACACGGGTCGTCAAAGCTTGGGACGATGTCGGCATCAACCCCCACGATGTGACTGAAGACATCCTTCACTGCTTGTAGGCTTGCAGACATTCGGTAGTCAGTCGCATGTTAACTGAATGCCCCATGCAGGTTCCATCCCGACTTCCACATCCGCAGCTCTGAGATTCAGCGTCAAATGCTGGACTACATGAAGCGATGGGTAGACGAGCTCGGCTCCGACCGAAACGAAGTTCTGCGACGCCTCACCAAGCAGAACGTGCGGAACCACATGAATGTCCGCATCGGCCATGAGGGCCAGGCGCAAGGCTTCACAGCGGCGCAGCAGGCAGGGATGCAGGCGCAGACCGATCTCCTCGGCTCTGTCGGCCTGCGCGAAAGCAACCCTTATGGAGCCGGTGCTGCACGGAGCATGCAGGTCGGCTACTCATCCTCGGGAAGCGGTATGCCGACTGTGGAGAGAACCGCGTTCCAGGAGACTGTACCGGAGCATCACCGCCCACACCATGGCAACCACGGCCACCACGGCGGTGGCCACGCGCAGACGTACTACGGGGAGAGCCAGACGGTGCGCATGCCCGGCGAGGAGATACGCACGAGCTACGAGTCGAGCTACGCGCCTCCCTCGGGCCCGCCGCCCAGCTTCCCCGGTGCGGAGCCCAGCACAGGATACGCGCCCTCGTACATTGGCGGCGGAGGCGGCCCCGGAGGGTACGGAGGCGGTGGGTACGGCGAGTCCGCTCCCGGGTTCCCTACGGCGCAACCACACCATGGAGGCCACCACGGGCATCATGGACATCATGCGGGCGGTGGGTATCCTCCGCCAGAGGGACCGCCGGGCTTCCCGCAGCCTGGAGGACCGCCTGGGTTCCCGGAGGCTAGGAAGGGGTACCCGCCTAACGATGATCCGTACAGCCGGTGGTGAGGGACGGATATCAAGGATCCCCTGCGCAGAGCACAGGTAGTAGTAGTCGAATTTTTAGTGTAGTAGTAGGGCTGTTGGATGCGTGCGTATGATGACTAAGCTCCAAGTCCTCGGCCGACGAATGAAGTGTAACTTATGTAAATCTGCTCAGTGTTGAATGTATCATTCTAACGATGTTTGAAATACAGCGTACTGTGTACAGGTGCAGGAGGCCCTACAACCCATTGTCCCTCTACGATTGTTATACAGGCGCTACATCAAGTTCCCCAGAGTCCTTCAAATGCCAAACCAACGCTTCTACGACTTCATCGAGAACAAAATGGCGTAGAAGAAGACCGCCCCAGCGTTCGTGCCCGAAGAAACTAGACTAATCAAAGAGAAAGGAACCCGGTCCACGTCGATGACCCCCTCCCTCAGGCTCCAGTCGATGTACCACGGACATGAGATGTTCATCCATATGAACACCCATATGTAGCCGATGAGATGCACGAGTCCGGCGGGCAAGCGGAGTCGCGCCCTGTGGGCTGCGCCGATCGCTGCGTCTTCCACGGTGATAGCGACGGCCTGGGAAATGAAGAAGGGGAACGAGACGCCGACGAGCTTGCGGTTGACCATGAAGTCGCCACCGCAGTGGATCAACCCTGAGACTGCGAAACCGACGTAGAGTTGGGTGTATGAGGATGCCCATGATCCTGACCTGAGGGATAGCACCCGGCAGACCAACTTCCCGGTCGATGCCGTCACCTTTCAAATGAACAATGAGCTCAATCATTCAATGGACAGGGAGTAAATACTCACTCTGCGTAGCATCTGATGATAACTACGACTGTAAGTCGGCCGTTTGAGCAATCATGGGAGCAGGGTAATTGCGCGAGTTGACTTACCCCCAGAAACGCCGCACGGTGTACGCATCAGACCACCGACCGTAAATATCCGGCCAGTCCCTCGGCAGAGAGAGACCAAGTGTCACCATTGCCGCGGCAAAGAGTGCGTGCTGCATTGCCAGCTCGAACGCCACGCTGGCCACCCGCGCGAAAACATCAACGGGGCGAAGGAGATAGCCCTGCGAGGTCACTGATGGCCCACCGGTGCCACGAAGGGAAAATAATGGATGCTGGTGTTCGTAGCATTGAATCAGGTCGAGGAGCATGTAGTAGTAGAATGCACGCCTCAACCGTCGGCGCACGAAATACCACCGAGACTCACTCGGTGGGGGTGGTACGTTCGCAACCTGTGCAGAGAACGCGTGAAAGACATGTCTGATCGGTGACTGCGTTACGTACCTGGTAGTTCCACCCCACACCTCGAGGGTTGTTCATGATACATAGCGCCCAGTGCACTCGACGTAGGAAGGGTAATTCATCCGGTGCCGTATAATCGCGCTCGTGCCGGAAGTCGCGAATCGGGTTCGTCATCCAGAGAAGATAGAGGGCAGTGCATGCCTGTATCGTCAACACACACCCCGTCGGGTAGTCTCCTGAGCCTCCGCAATACGCAGCGAGCCATATTGCGCAGCAGAGGACGGTACCTCCAAGCCGCCATAGAAACGGTAGCGAAGAGACTAGCAGTGACGCTACGACGAGGTTGGATGCGACTAGCAGCGGTACAACGGGGGCTGTTGCATTGTCGTCGGTGGTATTCATGACCATGGCGCCTCCCATGCGTGGACAGAGACGGTGTCTTCGCTGCGCAATGGCCAGAGTACTCGTTTCTTTTTCAGTGTGCGGACATATGCAACTGTCATCTTGTCAGGAACCATTTCGCCGCTGGCATGAGAAAGCATGCCACGTTCCCTAGATATGGCGGCAACTGAGTTCAGCAACGCCGTGTAATAGAATGAGCTAGACCACACCAGACTGCACCTTTCACTCGGCGTTCCTCCGTTGTCCAGCTTGCTAGTCAAATGAGTTGTCGAGAAGCAGACCAGCCTCGCTATACATACCAAATCGCGGGAGGTCAATTCAAAACGGACCCCCGCTCGAACTGTGTCAGACTTCTGCTCTCGGTGAAATGCTGTGATTCAGGATTGCGGACTGGAAGGCATTGCGGAGCAAGGCGAGTACATGTGGATAGGGCTGCGAACCGATCTTCTTCCTTCGTAAGGGGTAGCAGGGGCCTGTGTCACTCGATGATAGCGCGCAGAAAACGTCAAGCCCAATGTCTGTGTTGCTCATCGGACGAGGTACTTCCGAATGGCGTCGTGGAGAAGTTATGTACGACTCGGACTTGGAGTCAACTTGAGGCGCTTGCCAGGAACGGCACGTGCTTAACGCGTCGGTGGCGAAGTTGGGCGCCTCGCGTTCCTGGCACTCCGAGTCAACAAGTACTGTGACGCGACGGACTACCGCTGGACGCGTATAGTGCGTACTGCTGGTATCGCATCTTACTATGTGGACATAGTAATTGACAACCTTGCTGTAGTCTACGCCCTGGGTGAGTCTGATCATCGGACGTGCTTAAAGTTCCTGAATCCTGTGGCAGTCGTTCCTACCAAGCGTCCGCGTTCTCCCGAAGAAGACGAGTCCGATGGCGAGCCCACGCATACTAACAGTGAGTTGGAGCCAAAAGTGACTGATGATCTGCTCGTTCGAGCGCTGACCGCGGTGGACTTTCTAGCAGATGGGTCGCTGCCGCACGCACGTCGACCAGCCAATCTCACGCATCTGATGCCCACGATATTACCCCGTCGACAGCCAGTGGTTCGTTGCACTTACACTCGCCGGGTTATTTTCTCCCCTCAGCTAAGAACGAGAAGGAGGCGTTGACCAAGGGCAAAGGCGCGACGAAGGACGAGGAAGATGTTTGGCCGTCGGCGTGAAGTACTTCTCGCAGGACAAGGCCTCCACGCGGTCCTTCGAAGCGCGTCCCAGACGTCTGCAGAGTGACCCTTCGGAGCGGCCTGCTCTTAGCTATGACGGCCCGTTCACACGGGGAAGTAGTGCTTGCGAAGCGGACCCGTAACCGTGAGGACCGATGTGGACGGCGCCAGGTCGTCCACTCGCCCAAGCATACCAGGACTTTGAGCGACGCTCATAGTATGAAAGGACCTCGCGACCCTATGGACAAGCGTTGAACGTTGATCACTGAAGCTGCGAACTTGAAGCTCTCCCAGTGTGTGTGATCTTCTAGCATTGTCATCGCGTACTAGTCGAATGGAGCACTGTTTCATTGGTGGTTCTCTGCAGTTCATGTACATTGTGGACTTTTGTAATTTTGATCCTCGTCTGCGCGATGGGTACGTTTGTTTATAAATCTAACTCATTGTCTTTTGAGGACGAAACCCCGTGTAGACATAAGCTATCTAGGTACTGAGCTGCGATAGGTGGAGACGTGGGGTCTACGGACTCATTGGCTCAGTGTACCTCAGAGAAGGACACGTCGCCGGCCCGGGTATATCAAGCATTCACGAACCCGGGTTCCAAACGTTAGCGCTTTAGCGGCGAGTGCAGGCGGATATATTATACAACTGTAAGCTCCCACAATCCAGGCACCAACCCGCTGCGATGATCACGTCCTATACAGTAGACGAGCTCCTTGCCCCACCGCGTCCGAGCAGGACCGCATACTGGCAGGGCTGCTGCTACTCAGTAGCGCTCTTCGAGTCATGGCTTATGGCTGTGATCTTCGAGGAAGCTCGAGACTTCAACTCTCAGTGCGAATTCCTTATCGCTCCTGCAATCCTCGGAGATATCAACGCTAGCACATGCTCTGCGCTTCTTGCAGCGACCGCTGAGCTAGAAAATACAAGGGGCTGAACAAGATACATACCATATCGGGCGGACAATGGCTGCCGCATTGATGGGGCGGTGAGACATCAACCGGATATGGCAGGTGGGTCAACACGTGCACAGCGCGTTGGTGGCAGAGTTGGGCGCCTCTTGCTCGTCGCCCCGCTCGTCGACGAGACCGATTGCCTCTGTCCGACGCGTACTACTCGCTGCCACCGTGTATATCGCGCGTTGCTGCCGCAAATACTGCTAGACATAATAGCTGTACTGACTAAGGGCTACATGTAAGTCCGGTTGCCTCAGATTCTTGCAAAATGGGATGCGCCGCTGACTCGCAAGCCACACAGTTATCCGTTGCTATTGCCCGAATAGTTCCATTTTGGGCCTGTTGTTTGTTTCCAGATATCGATATGCCTCGCCGCTCAAAAGCGTCGCTGATGCGGGGTCATCCCCCGCGATTCCTCTCTTCCCACCACGACAGCCTTCGAACCGCTTGCTTCACCGCCGATCCTACCGACATGGACGACAAAACCTCGCCTCACAAGGGTCTTGCGCGTGCAGACCCCGCGAATTCGGCGGACAAACGGCAACAAAGCGAGAGAGACGCGAATACTTGGAAGAACCAGATATACAATCGGGTCGTCCAGCCTGTCGAGGACGATGAGATCAACGTCTTCCTGAGGGAGTTTGTTCATTCGGAGGTGCCCATCCCCCAATGCCCGGCGCGGAGATTTCCGCGGGAGATACCCTCTGGGAAAGGGAAGGAGCACAAAATGTATAAGGCTCTGGTGTGTATTCATTATTCGCGTTCGTCAATCACCTCTTACGCAAATACATAGATCCCTGGTCTTGCTACTTTGGTCGAAGGTTTCGAGGCCGCGAAGCGTCCGAAATTCATCAATCACGCACACAAGGAGATGCGGTTCCCATTCGCTTTGGGCGACGACGATAACCATGTCACGAAACCCGACATCGTAGCGACGATACCTGCACGGCCATACATTCCTCCCGCCGATCGCTGGCGGAACGTTGCGCTAGTATTCGAGATCAAAGCTCGCGATGCAGACGACCCAATGGTGAAGTACACAGCCGCGCACGAGAAGACACTTGTCCAGCTTGCGAAGAGTGCACGCAACATCATGCTCTCGCAGGGTAGACTGTACGCCTTCGTCGTCGGGATCTACGGACATCAGGCACGCATCTTCCGTTTCGATCGGGCGGGGGGTGTATGCTCGCCGCAGTTCAATTACATGAAGAAGCCGTACATCCTCCACGAGTTCATGTGGCGCTTTGTGCACCCCGCAACCCCCGGCTGTGTTGTAGTCGGCGATGATCCAACAATTCGCCTTGGCAGTCGCGCAGACCGCGCACTAGCGCAAAAATGGGTGGCAGACTATGACTCCTCGTGCACGTACACCGCGGAGAATAGGAAGGCTGTCCGCAGGTTCACCATCACCAACGACAAGGGCGTCCCGACCGAGTACCTGGTCTACAAGCTCATCTTCGTGAACCCACGCCTCTTCTCACGTGCGACAACGATTTGGGAAGCTTTCGAGCTCCTTAAGGGTGGCAAAGAAACGACGGGAAAGCGTGTCGTTATCAAGGATGCCTGGCGACAGTTTGCGCGGCCATCCGAAATTGGCATATATATGGAGATGCGGGAGGCAGCGGAGGCGGCGGCAGAGGAAGCGGCGGCAGCGGCGGCGGAGGAAGCGACGGCGGCGGCGGCAGCGGAGGAAGCGACGGAGGCAGCAGCGGAGGAAGCGGCGGAGGCGGCAGCGGAGGATGTAGCGTCAGCCTTGATCAACATCGCCGAGTTTGAGTACGGCGAGGACTTAGGCCTGCGGGAGGCACAGAGCCTGGTCCCTCCGCAGGAGCGGGCCAGGTCCGGCGCTAGCGGCACGCAAGGTGCCTCCGCAGGTCCTGCGGCCGAGAAGTATTTCGAGGATATTCCCCCGTTGGCGGTGCCTTACCGGCGCGTTTTGGGACAACGGACTGTCACCGCACGCTGTCGGGATGTGAAGCACGAGTATAACGAGCGCAGTCATACGCGGTTGGTTATGAAGACGATTGGGGTACCGATCACCCAATTCGAGTCGACGTACGAGTTGGTCACAGCACTCCGAGATGCTATCTTAGGTATTTCGCACTGCAATTCTGACACAAACGCCTCTGACATCGTATCTTCTCATAGGGCATCTTCAAGCTTACATAGCTGGCATTGTCCACAGAGACATCAGTCAGGGCAATGTCATGATAGCACGGAGACTGGATGGTACAGTCATAGGCTTCATCCATGATTTTGATTACGCGTTCAGCTGGAGGCGATTCCTGGAACGCGAGAGGAAGACCGCGAGCATCGAGGAGTGGGAGCAGTACGCCCGAGAGGAGTACAAGCGCGTGGTAAAGACCATGTACCTACGGATGGCAGCAAGAAGAGGCGGTAAAGGCGTGGCCGAACCTGCGCCAGACTCAAGAGACCCGAGGAATGATCACAAGCAGCGAACGGTAAGCGAGTCGCCTGCTTCGCGTTCCTGCAACTAACATCCATCTCAGGGTACACCGCATTTCATGGCCATTCAAGTGCTTGATGAGCACACACGCGTCCCCCACGAGGTTCATTACGATCTCGAATCCTTCTTCTGGCTGCTCGTGTGGATCGTCCTGCGGCATACCAACTACGTGCACTTCGATGGTGACGATGCTTGGCACGTTCTGTTCGACGCCACTCTACGCCAAGGCAGTGCTCTCAAGCAGGTCTGGCTCAACAACCATGACACCGTGTACATTGAGGCAAACGAGCCGCTATCGAACCTTCTAGACGGATTCAGAGTGCTCTGCAAGAGGAGCAACGATAACCCCGACATGCATTTGACTCACGAGGAAGTCCTGGGGCTTTTCGACGAAGCACTGGCAGATCGGGATGCCTGGCCTCGAAACGATCGTGCGCGCCCCTGGGTTCCGCCCAAGTTCGACCCAAATGAGCAACTTCCAGGCATGGAAGTGCCGTCGGGTCAGAAACGCGGCAAGGGGACGCTCACCTACACCTCCGAGCAGCCTGTGATTGATCTTCCGAGCGGAAACGGCGATGAAGAGGATGGAGATGACGACCAGGACGTAGAAAATCACGTCGACGGACAGTCCGCCGAAACGGAGCCGGAGGAGGACGAGGACGACGAGGACGACGACGAGGAGGAGGTGGGGGTGGAGGAGGAGGAGGAGGAGGAGGAGGAGAGGTCGGAGGTACCGCCGCGATCAGCGCGTGCGAAGGGTGTCCGCGGTAGACCGACGCGCCAACGGGTCGCCCCTTTGCGTGCCTCGAGCACCCACTATCGCGCATCTGGCACCCGCGAGGACCCACCATCGACCGACAGCAATGCGTTCCAAACGCACTCGTCCGGCTATGCTCTACGGTCGGCACAAGGCAAGCAGGCTCAGCCATCAGCGGCCAGCACCTCTCGGAAAGCGGCACGTCTACCCGGCCCTTCGAGGACCCGCTCCGGCGGTTCACAGAACCAGTCTGCGAAGCAGCCTACTCGTAGCCAGGACGGTCCGTCGACACGGGGAAGTAGTGCTGGGAAGCGGACTCGCACCCGTGAGGACGACGGAGATGTAGAAGACGACGCCAGGTCGACCCCCTCGCCCAAGCGTCCCCGGACTTTGAGCAACTCTCGCAGTACGAGAGGGCCTCGCAATCTCAGGAGCAAGCGTGTCCGTTGATACGGGGAAGCAGTGCTTGCGGAGCGGACTCTCAACCGTGAGGACGACAACAATATGGAGGTCGGCGCCAGGTCGTCCACTCGCTCAAGCTCAAGCGTCCCAGGTCGTTGACCGATGCTTGCAGTATGAAAGCGTCTCGCGACCCTAGGACAAGCATCGAACGTTGATCGGTGATTAATGAAGCTGGGAACTTGAAGCTCTCCTGGTGTGTATGATCTTCTAGCATTGTCATCACGTACTCGTCGAATGGAGCTATTTCTTTGGTGGTTCTCTGCATTTCATGTACATTGTGGACTTTTGCCTTTTTGACCCTCGTCTGCGTGATGAGTATGTTTGTTCACAAATCCAATCTATTGTCTTCTAAGAGCGAAGCCCTGTATAGACATAAGCTATCTGGATACTGAGCTGCAATAGGTCGAGACGTGGGGTCTACAGAGTCATTGGCTCAGTGTACCTCAGAGCAGGACACTTCGCCGGCCCGGGTACCAGTGGTATCAAGCATTCACTAACCCGGGTTCCAAACGTTAACGCTTTAGCGGCGAGTGCAGACGGATATATTATACAACTGTAAGCTCCCACAGTCCAGGCACCAACCCGCTGCGATGATCACGACCTACTAGTAGTAAGTATGAGGCGACGGTCCTGCTCGGACGCGGTGGATTGAGGAGCTCGTCTAGCTGGTAGGGCTGCTGCCACTTGGCAGTAGCGCTCTTCGAGTCATGGCTTATGATGCAGTGAGAAGACGTTCCTCAGTGTAAGTAGATGACGGTCTGAAACCCAACTTGAAGGTTTTCTTCGTGAGATCCTCTTGAATCTTCGCCCTGCATTCGCTCGAATGGCTCATGTCAGGTGCCAGCAATCATGACAGATCACGATGAGTCGAACGCCCTCATGACCTATTAGTAATAGACTGGGCTGAGGGACCGCGTTTCTGCCACCACAGCGATTCGTTTCCTGGTTCGATCCACACATCCAAAACTAGACGATTGCCCCGCGGATGAGGAAGGCAATATGGCCGCGCACGTAGAACCTTCAGAGGCGCAGTAGCCTTAATTGGGCCATGTATATGCCGACCTATCCCAAAGTAGCGAAAACATTGCTCATTGAGCGCCGGATCAAGCTTAACTTTAAGTCGATCGGTCAACCGGTCACGGCGCAGGTGAGACACATCGTCAATATTTATACGGCTGGATACTCGTGCACATGCCTAACCGCACCGTCCTCTCTCAAGCCCACTTTGCCACCTACGATTCACAGCCTCGGCCAGCTTCATAGCAGACGGGATCAAAATCAGGCTCACTCTGCGTCGACGTCGCCAGTTTTCACTGGGCCATTATTCGCGCGAGCACTCGACGGAAGGAAGAATACAAAGCTTACTGTGTTCGCCACATGAGCTCGACTCACCCTCTTGCTCGCTATCCTCGGTGGATCACGCGGTGGTTGGGATACCGTGCAACACCCCCGCCAAAACGTCCAGAATACCTCGTCTGGTTCTGGTCGTTCATCGGTGCTTTCTCTGGACTCTGCGTCCTGCAAGCCGTGTTCGGACATGCGCGGTACTTCATTGACCGCGGCGTTCCCTCCATGGTCGCATCCTACGTAAGCCTTCCTAGTAGCGTTTCTCCCTTATAACATGTATAACCAAGCCGCATTCATTTTCGCTACAGGGCGCGTCAGCCGTTCTCTGCTACGGCGCAATCGAGGCCCCGCTCGCGCAACCGCGTGCTCTCATCGGCGGGCACTTCATCTCGGCCCTTCTCGGGCTCTGCATCACTAAGCTCTTCTCACTCAGCCCGCATTTCGAGTCCATCAGGTGGCTTGCCGCGTCCCTTTCCACGTCCGTCGCCATCGTCGCCATGCAAATCACCGGCACGACGCACCCACCCGCGGGTGCTACCGCACTATTGCCTGCGCTTGACGACGACGTCTGGCACCTTAGCTGGTACTACCTGCCTGTCGTCCTCCTATCGAGCATGCTCGTGTTGGTCACGGCGTTGCTGGTGAACAATGTACAGAGGCGGTACCCGATATTTTGGTTCACACCGGCGACGCCGCCGGTGGCAAAGACGTCGGCCGGTTTGGGCGCACCGAATGTGCAGTCGGACGATGCGGATGGGATCGCGGGAAGGTCGTCATCTGCTACTGTTTCAACGTCTGCGCCTCAACCTGCTGAGAAACAAACTGCAGGAGACATAGTATAATGAACCTAATGGTGCGTGTACGTGATCTCGAAGTTGTAGTTCGACCCACTTATCAATGTGCAAAGGGAACAATGGGCCGTGAAGGATCAAACCTATGTATTTAGTATCACACCCATTGAATAGTGGATATGAGCACAGATCTCACTCAACCCGAAGAAATCCTTCAAATACCATGGCTAAATACAGGCCAGCCGGAGCCATTTCTTTCATAGAGAGTATTGCGGCGCCCGGATGTCGCTGCGATGTACCCTAGTCATCCGCGTACATTCCGTGTTAATTTTTGTCGGCACTCGAATGCAGTGAGGACTCGGTCGTGGGTCCCGGTCAGAGCCAGCCGTTGGATGTTCCACGCGGACCGAAGGGAATTGCTGTGGCCTGACGAACCACACGCTTATTTTGTAACCGAGCAAAGGTACCTGGCTCGTCAAGGGTGAGTCGGCTGGTCATGACAGGACCTGGTGCGAAATCTCGTACCGTAATTCTTGCTGTTATAAAACTAGATACAGAGGGTGCTGGTGGGGCAACATCAAGCCACTTGAACATATTCCTCTAGTTGCCGATCACTCGCCTCGCCTTGCACGACGATCTTCAACGGCAAGTCCACCATGCTCGCAGCTGCCGTCGTGGCTTGCACCTACAGTGCCCAAGCCGGTGAGTAAACCTATCTTTCAAGCTCACTTACCCGCACTTTCTGACTTTCGCGCGTGCAGCGCCTGCCGGGCCCGTGTCCATCACCCGCACCGGCATGCAGACGATTAAACGCCATACCTCTACGACCGCTACTGCGTGCGCGACATCCACCGGCGATGGACAGCCGCAGGAGCAAAGCGTCAGGACGGCGACGGTGGCGAGGACGGTGATGAAGGCGATAATGATGGTCCCAATGGACTCTTCGGGTTCTTTCCATACACCATCGCCACTACGGTGACAACGACATCGATAGTACGTCGGGTGCGCCGTCAACGACCTCCGCAATCTCCTCACGTTTAGACGAGCCTTCAAGCACAATCGTCACCATAGCAGATTGAACGTGATCAATTTCGGCGTATAGAGGGCAGGAAGGAGCTGGTGTCTTATGGGCGAATGTATAGTAGAAAGATTTCTAACTGTCCGAACTCACTTGGAGGATAATCACAATGAACCCCACTTGCAGAGGTGCTCTGCGCGACTGTCCCCTGGAACGTCTGCCAACGTTTGCCAGGCTACGGACAAGAAATTGCAGATGACGTTGGTTGCGCATTTCAGCACCTGGTGCGGACTTCACCGCGCAGTACCTACGCCCCAGGAAGCGCCAGCAGGCCGGTTATTGAAACAAGTCACTACTCAGGAGTTACGGCGAGACGCACCTTCGAGACACAGCCGCATTGCACTCAAGTTGTGCAGACAGACCCGTAGTCGCGTCGCACTATTAGGCTGTTTGGCTGTTGGCGGAAGGCCACACTCTGCGACCTACCGTCCCTGTATGATCAAAAAATTGGAGAAGGACTCGGCTCTGACTGGTGTCAGCAGATCGAATTCATGCTGAGTGTGAGATGAGGATCCGGAACCCCTGAGTCAGGTAATGATCGTGTTGGGACTCCGTATCACTGCAATTGTATTCGGCCTCACCGTTACAGACTGAAAAATGCGTTGGTTGTATATTTTCATGAGCAGCAGACTGTGCAGAATGAGAAGGTACAGGCCCAAAAACGAGTGGGACGCAAGTGGAACGTCGCCGATTGTCCGAGGGCTGGTGGATTTCGACTGAGATGTGGCGCAATATTGCGGAGCGTCTCGGAGTTTGAAAGAGTGGCACGGTGTCGCGTCGGTGAGCGTCTGGTAATTTGTTGACTTCGACTCTGCCTGCCTCCGTGGCCCACACGCACCTTCACCCCCACCTCATCTCCCATCTTCACGGTGAGCACAGCGCAATCAGAGCTTGTTTGTGATGCTGAATACGCCTCAGTAGCATCATCATGACCACCAACGGCACTTCCACCGTCAATCCTTCCGAAGTCGGCTGGCAATTCGTCCCGCAATACTACACGTTTGTTAACAAACAGCCCAATCGTTTGCACTGCTTCTACACTAAAAACTCTACATTTGTCCATGGCTTGGAGGGCGAGGAGACTAAGGCATATTATGGCCAGCAGGTACGTTCACCGTCCAGGCCGGTGCTGACGCGTCGTGCTTCGTAATACGCGTGGGAGGCCAGGTCGTCCTCAGCGCGTCGGCACTGGCGGACTTCGCGCCTCTAGCGTTTGCATTGCATGCACGGACCTACATCTAGGCAGCAATTGCCGGCCATTCTCGTGTGCAGTGTTTGGGCTGACGGATTGTCAGGAAATCCATAACAAAATCTCTTCCATCGGTTTCCAAGACTGCAAAGTCTTCATCCACTCGGTCGATGCTCAGTCCTCTGCGAACGGCGGTATCATTATCCAGGTCATCGGCGAGATGTCAAATCAGGGCGACCCCTGGCGCAAATTCGTCCAGACGTTTTTCCTCGCCGAGCAGCCTAACGGCTACTTCGTACTCAACGACATCTTCCGTTTCCTCAAGGAAGAGGCCGTTGAGGACGATCAGGCGAGTGACGGTGAGGCTGCTGCCCCTGCCATCCCTCCCCTGCAGGCATCTCCTGCGCCGTCGGTGGTGCCCTCTGCGCCGTCGCCTGCGCCTCCTGCCCCCGTCGAACACCATCCGGAGCCTGCGGCGACGCCTACACCACCTCCTGCACCTGAGGAACCCGAGGAGCCGCCTGCGCCACCCGTTCCGGAGCCTGCACCAGAACCTGTGCAGCAGCAGCAGCCCAACGGCGTGCACCCCGAGCACGAGCCGGAACCTGCTGCTACCCCCGCTAGGTCGCCATCACCAGCCCCGGAGCCGCCTGCAACAGCGTCGCCTCCGCCCGTGTCACCTCCTGCGCCCAAAGAGCAGCCGCTCCCGACGCCAGCTGCGCCGGCACCACAGCAGCCACCGCAACAACCTGCTCCGCCACCCGCGGTCCAGGCTCCTGCTGCGCCTCAGCCTCAACAACCGCCCCAGCGGAAGACTTGGGCGAACCTGGCAGCAAAGGATTCGAGCAAGTGGGGTTCGGCAGTAGCACCCGACGCCCGCGGTGTCAGCGAGGCACCTGCGGCGACGGGTACGCCGGTTCCGGTCAGTGGCCCTCAGTCGCCTGCGCCCCATGTCACGACGCGGCCAACGGCGCCGCACGCACATCCGGCTTTGGTCGCTGCTCAGACGGTCCCGACGCCCCAGTGCTTCATCAAGGTGCGTTCATTCATTAAGACACCATTGTGATACTCACAGCCGTCCGCAGAGCGTTACGGAGAACATCTCCGAGGCCGCATTGAAGAAGACGCTCACCGAACGGTTTGGGCCGGTCAAGGACGTCGACATCCTGCGCAATAAGGCGTGCGCATTCCTCGAGTTCACGCAGCTGGACGCCGCACGGCGCGCGATCATTGCGTCGCTGTCGGTCCCTCAGGGTGGAGAGGGCGGTATCCGCATCGAGGGCGCGGAGGGCAACGCACGGATTTTCGTGGAGACGCGGAAGGAGCGAGGAGAGCGCCCGCCACCGCGCGGTGGGTCAATAGGCGGTGAGCGGGGACGTGGCGGATATCGCGGGGGACGTGGAGGCCCGGGTGGACGTGGACGGGGTGCACCGCCGCAAAAGTAAACTGCTAATCCCTTCGGCGGTGGGCGGATGGCGATGGGGTCTGGTGGGGTTTCGGTAGAGCATGCTGTGCTGTGCTGTGAGCAGGGGGGTGAGTGCCGCGCCGTGGCGGGTGGCGGACGGTTAGTCTTGTCTGGGCTGGTGGGTTGTGTCGTTTTTGCATTCTTTGGGGAGACAGACCAGTATCCAGCGGACGGCCGCCGCGCGTGAAAAGTACGAAACGCCTGTCTGTGTTCTAACGATCTTGATGTCGAGTTGCGTAGCTTAGTGTCACCAGTCGTCGCTTTCTGTTGTTGCAACATTCTCGAAATGGCATGCTTTCACATCTAACGCCGTGTTGGGGTCGCGTCGCTTATGACAAAAGGGAAGCCGCTTGGTCCGGTGGGCTACTGAGTCGTACGGACCCATATGTGCAGGCCGAGGCAGGATGCTCGATCGTAGGAACTCTACCTCAACGGGTCAGCCAGTCAACTTGGGGTCGATGGTTTCGCTGAAGTCTGAAAGACACAGGAAGGCAGTACGGAGAACGTAAAGTATGTACCTGAGCCTCTTGTGCGAGTTGACCGTATGTCTCCGACTTTGTCTGCGCTTGCCGCTCATGTCTGGAACGGTCGGTGGATGTCCAATTAAATACGGCAGCGAGCAAACAAACAAATAAACTCAGAAGTCCAACATGTACACGAATTAGAGAAGGGAAAGACTAAGCTACATTGATCAACGCTTGTTCCTGGGATTGCGAGGCCCTCTCGTACTCCGAGAGTTGCTCAAAGTCCGGGGACGCTTGGGCGAGGGGGTCGACCTGGCGCCGTCCTCTACATCTCCGTCGTCCTCACGGGTGCGAGTCCGCTTCCCAGTACTACTTCCCCGTGTCGACGGGCCGTCCTGGCTACGAGTAGGCCGCTTCGCAGACTGGTTCTGCGAACCGCCGGAGCGGGTCCTCGAAGGGCCGGGTAGACGTGCCGCTTTCCGAGAGGTGCTGGCCGCTGATGGCTGAGCCTGCTTGCCTTGTGCCGACCGTAGAGCATAGCCGGACGAGTGCGTTTGGAACGCATTGCTGTCGGTCGATGGTGGGTCCTCGCGGGTACCAAATGCGCGATAGTGGACGCTCGAGGCGCGCACAGGGGCGACCCGTTGGCGCGTCGGTCTACCGCGGACACCCTTCGCACGCGCTGATCGCGGCGGTACCTCCGACCTCTCCTCCTCCTCCTCCTCCTCCTCCTCCTCCTCCTCCTCCTCCACCACCACCACCTCCTCCTCCACCGCCTCCTCCTCCTCCTCGTCCTCGTCGCCCTCGTCCTCCTCCGACTCCGTTTCGGCAGACTGTCCGTCGACATGATTTTCTACGTCCTGGTCGTCGTCTCCATCCTCTTCATCACCGTTTCCGCGCGGAAGATCAATCACAGGCTGCTCGGAGGTGTAGGTGAGCGTCCCCTTGCCGCGTTTCTGACCCGACGGCACTTCCATGCCTGGAAGTTGCTCATTTGGGTCGAACTTGGGCGGAACCCAGGGGCGCGCACGATCGTTTCGAGGCCAGGCATCCCGATCTGCCAGTGCTTCGTCGAAAAGCCCCAGGACTTCCTCGTGAGTCAAACGCATGTCGGGGTTATCGTTGCTCCTCTTGCAGAGCACTCTGAACCCGTCTAGAAGGTTCGTTAACGGCTCGTTTGACTCTATATACACGGTGTCTTCGTTGCTGAGCCATTCCTTCTTGAGAGCCCTGCCTTGATACAGGGTAGCATCAAACAGACGGTGCCAAGCATCCTCGTCATCGAGGTGCGAGTAGGTGGTATGCCGCAGGATGATCCACACGAGCAGCCAGTAGAAAGACTCGAGATCGTAATGAACCTCGTGGGGGACACGTGTATGCTCATCAAGCACTTGGATGGCCATGAAATGCGGTGTGCCCTGAGACCGGATGTTAGCTGCAAGAACGCGAGGCAGGCGACTCGCTTACCGTTCGCTGCTTGTGATCATTCCTTGGGTCTCTTGGGTCTGGCGCGGGTTCGGCCTTGGGTTCGGCCCTGTCTTTACCACGTCTTCTTGCTGCCAATCGTACTTTCAGATTCTGTATCGCGCGCTTGTACCCCTCCCGAGCGTACTTCTCCCATTCCTCGATGCTCGCGGTCTTCCTCTCGCGCTCCAGGAATCGCCTCCAGCTGAAGGCGTAATCGAAGTCATGGATGAAGCCTATGATTGTACCATCCGGCCTCCGTGCTATCATGACATTGCCCTGACTGATGTCTCTGTGGATAATCCCAGCCAGGTAAGCCTGGAGATGCCCTATGAGAAGATACGATGTCAGAGGCGTTTGTGTCAGAATTGCAGTGCGAAATACCTAAGATAGCATCTCGAAGTGCTGTGACCAACTCGTACGTTGACTCGAATTGGGTGATTGGTACTCCGATCGTCTTCATAACCAGCCGCGTATGACTGCGCTCGTTATACTCGTGCTCCACATCTCGACAGCGTGCGGTGACAGTCCGTTGTCCCAAAACGCGCCGGTAAGGCACCGTCAACGGGGGAATATCCTCGAAATACTTCTCGGCCGCAGGACCTGCGGAGGCACCTTGCGTGCCGCTAGCGCTGGACCTGGCCCGCTCCTGCGGAGGGACCAGGCTCTGTGCCTCCCGCAGGCCCAGGTCCTGGCCGTACTCAAACTCGGCGATGTTGATCAAGGCTGACGCTACATCCTCCGCTGCCGCCTCCGCCGCTTCCTCCGCTGCTGCCTCCGTCGCTTCCTCCGCTGCCGCCGCCGCCGTCGCTTCCTCCGCTGCCGCCGCCGCCGTCGCTTCCTCCGCTGCCGCCGCCGCCGCTTCCTCCGCCGCCGCCTCCGCCGCCTCCCGCATCTCCATATATATGCCAATTTCGGATGGCCGCGCAAACTGTCGCCAGGCATCCTTGATAACGACACGCTTTCCCGTCGTTTCTTTGCCACCCTTAAGGAGCTCGAAAGCTTCCCAAATCGTTGTCGCACGTGAGAAGAGGCGTGGGTTCACGAAGATGAGCTTGTAGACCAGGTACTCGGTCGGGACGCCCTTGTCGTTGGTGATGGTGAACCTGCGGACAGCCTTCCTATTCTCCGCAGTGTACGTGCACGAGGGGTCATAGTCTGCCACCCATTTCTGCGCTAGTGCGCGGTCTGCGCGACTGCCAAGGCGGATTGTTGGATCATCGCCGACTACAACGCAGCCGGGGGTTGCGGGGTGCACAAAGCGCCACATGAACTCGTGGAGGATGTACGGCTTCTTCATATAATTGAACTGCGGCGAGCATACACCCCCCGCCCGATCGAAACGGAAGATGCGTGCCTGATGTCCGTAGATCCCGACGACGAAGGCGTACAGTCTACCCTGCGAGAGCATGATGTTGCGTGCACTCTTCGCAAGCTGGACAAGTGTCTTCTCGTGCGCGGCTGTGTACTTCACCATTGGGTCGTCTGCATCGCGAGCTTTGATCTCGAATACTAGCGCAACGTTCCGCCAGCGATCGGCGGGAGGAATGTATGGCCGTGCAGGTATCGTCGCTACAATGTCGGGTTTCGTGACATGGTTATCGTCGTCGCCCAAAGCGAATGGAAACCGCATGTCCTTGTGTGCGTGGTTAATGAATTTCGGACGCTTCGCGGCCTTGAAACCTTCGACCAAAGTAGCAAGACCAGGGAGCTATGTATTCGCGTAAGGAGTAGTCGGTGAACGCGACTAATGAATACACACCAGAGCCTTATACATTTCGCGCTCCTTCCCTTTCCCAGAGGGTACCTCCTGCGGAAACTTCCGCGCCGGGCATTGGGGCATGGGCACCCCCGAATGAACAAACTCCCTCAGGAAGATGTTGATCTCATCGTCCTCGACAGGCTGGACGACCCGCCCATATATCTGGTTCTTCCAAGTATTCGCGTCTCTCTCGCTTTGTTGCCGTTTGTCCGCCGAATTCGCGGGGTCTGCACGCGCAAGACCCTTGTGAGGCGAGGTTTTGTCGTCCATGTCGGTAGGATCGGCGGTGAAGCAAGCGGTTCGAAGGCTGTCGTGGTGGGAAGAGAGGAATTGCGGGGGATGACCCCGCATCAGCGACGCTTTTGAGCGGCGAGGCATATCGATATCTGGAAACAAACAACAGGCCCAAAATGGAACTATTCGGGGAATAGCAACGGATAACTGTGTGGCTTGCGAGTCAGCGGCGCATCCCATTTTGCAAGAATCTGAGGCAACCGGACTTACTTGTGGCCCTTAGTCAGTACAGCTGTTATGTCTAGCAGTATTTGCGGCAGCAACGCGCGATATACACGGTGGCAGCGAGTAGTACGCGTCGGACAGAGGCAATCGGTCTCGTCGACGAGCGGGGCGACGAGCAAGAGGCGCCCAACTCTGCCACCAACGCGCTGTGCACGTGTTGACCCACCTGCCATATCCGGTTGATGTCTCACCGCCCCATCAATGCGGCAGCCATTGTCCGCCCGATATGGTATGTATCTTGTTCAGCCCCTTGTATTTTCTAGCTCAGCGGTCGCTGCAAGAAGCGCAGAGCATGTGCTAGCGTTGATATCTCCGAGGATTGCAGGAGCGATAAGGAATTCGCACTGAGAGTTGAAGCTGAAGTCTCGAGCTTCGAAGATCTTAGCCATGGCATGTCGGAAACCAACGGGTGTGTCCAGAGGCAAGGTTAACTGCCGTCGTTGACCAGCTGGAGTTGACGTCCCTTCATCACCTTGAGCAAGTAGTTTGAGTGGCCTACGCGCAGCAGCCTTTGAGGAGGTACCATAGCTGCATAGCGCTGCGCATACTTAGCAACAAGCTGAAAATTCGATGTAGTCTGACAAGAGCTAGCAAGTGTCGGGATGATTCTACTAATTATACCATGCTGTAGTCTGTACATGACTCAGTGGACGTCACTTGCCACCAGAGCGTCGACAGCCGCCACAACGGGAAACGTGTCATCGCCTGCCCTTGCTCTTATGTGAACTCCGGCTCGTTCGCGGCTGGCTGAGCGTCCGTAGACGCTTCGACGAACGAGATGCGTCGGCACCGCGCTGAACCTCGTCATCTTCTACGCGTTCACGGCTCCGCTTCGTTGCGCTACTACCTCTCTTTGACGCATCTCCACGCCGGCTTGCGGTCTGGCTTTGCGATTGAACGGAGCGAGTGCTGGGACCGGGTGGAGGGCCCATCTTGCGAGAAGTGCTCCTCGCCGACTGTCGAACGTCCTCGGTGCCCCTGTTCTCGGACGCGTGTGAAGAATAACTGGACGTATGCCGCTGCGGCGAGTCGCCGTCTGTCAACGCCGTGGCTTCATAACCGCCTGGTATGCGCGGCGATTCGGAGGAGGCAGGTGGTGCAGCAGTCCGTGTACGAGTCTGCTTGCCCGAAACAGCACCCGAAGCTGTGCCCAGCTTATATTTGCGGGTGATCGGCTTATCGTCGTCGGACGATGATTCAGAGTCCACTGGCTTTCCATCCGACCGAGATTCTGCGACAGAGGGCGGGGGCGGAGTTTCGGGGCGATTGTTGGACTGGTAGTGCCAAGATACGAGACGTTCGTCTTGCGAGCTATAGGTCATGGTACCCTTCGTGCGAGCCTGACCTGACCGCCGCGACATGGTAGGGTCGTCCAGCACGCTGCGTTTGGGTGGTGTCCATGGCTTCGCGCGGTCATCCTTGGGCCATGCTTTGCGATTCCTCAGAGCACGATCGAAGATGGCCAAGACTTGATCGTGCGTCATGCACGTTGTCGCCAGACCCACGTCGTCGAAGTTCGTCTTGCAAAGCGCCCGAAACCTGCGCAAGAGCTTCTCGAGCGGAGGATTATGCTGCATTCGCAGTGGTTCGTACGACTGGGTCACCCAGTCACTCTTGAGTGCCCGACAAGCTCGCACCGTCTCCGCATCGAAAAGCCCATGCCATGCTCGATCACCATCCTCGTGCTGAAACGTAGTATGTCGAAGAATGATCCAGACCAGCAACCAATAGAAAGATTCCAGGTCATGCCGAGCCTCGTGCGTAACGCCGAATGCTTGATTGAGTATTTCGATGGCCATGAAATGTAACGTTCCCTGTCAACACAGTAAGTACCTATTACACGTACGTAGAGAGCGTCAACTTGCCGTGCGTTGTTTCTGTCCCAGCTTCGAGTCCTTTGAGGGAGAAGGCGCGCGTGCCGGTGTGCCCTCACTATGTACGCCCTCCGATTTGTTTGACGAATGTTGCTCGCTTTCTGCGTCAACGGTGTCTGCAACCGTGGGCAACTCATCACCGGAGTCTTCATCGCTGTCATCCCATACTGGCACCTTGTTCCGCCAATCGCGCCCATACTCCTCTCGAGCGTACTTCTCCCATTCTGACAGGGTAGCAGGCTTGTCCTTGCTGCGACTGCTCAAGAAATGCTTCCAACTAGATGCGTAGTCAAGGTCGTGAATGAAGCCGCGAGTGGTCCCGTCGGCGTTCCTAACAATCATGACGTTGCCTTGACTGATGTCTCGGTGAATGACTCCAGCCAGATACGCCTGTCGATGCCCTACCGTAGATTCTGACATTTATATTGCGACCACACGCCAATACTAAGTACGACGTACCTTCGATGGCGTCTCGGACTGCAGAAACCATCTCGTAGGTTGACATGAAGTCGGTGATCGGCGTCCCGATCGTCTTCAGTACCAGCCGCTGCTGGGCCCGTTCATTCTTCTGATCACCCGCTTTCCGGCAACCAGCGGTAACGGTTCGGTGTCCTAGGACACGCGAGCATGGCACTCTCAGCCTCGAGGGAAACTCAGTCTCCACTCTAGTCGTCGACTCCGAGGAGGCCTTCTCATTGTCGCTGTTCGACGTCTCTTCCGCTTCCGCATCGAGCTCCCATGCCTCGCGGAAGCCCAGATCGTCGCCGCACTCGAACTCGGCGATGCCAGACAGGGTCAACGCCACACCCTCCTCCGCCTTATCCATCGCCTCCTGCATTCCGAGGTAGAAGTCGATTTCAGATGGTCGCACGAACTGTCGCCAGGCGTCCTTAATCACGACACGTCTGCCAGTCGCCATGCCGTCCTGGTCGAGTTCGAAGGCCTCCCAGATCGTCGTCGCGCGCGAGAAGAGGCGCGGATTCACGAAGATGAGCTTGTACGCAAGGTACGCCGCCTTGTTCTTGCCGTCCTTGGTGATAACGAATTTACGGACCGCCTTGCGGTCCTCGGGGGTGTACGTATGTGTGGGGTCGTGGATCTTCACCCACTCCTGTGCGTGAGCACGATCTACGTGATCACCAAGGCTAGTTGTCGGATCGTCACCGACCACCGCGCAACCCTTCGTCCAGGGGTTGACAAACCGCCAAATGAATTCGTGCAGGATGTGAGGCTCCTTGACGTAGTCGAAGAGCGGGGAGCATACAGCGCCTGCTCGATCGAAGCGGAATATGCGCGCTCCATGCCCGTAGACTCCGACGACGAAGGCATACAGTCTCCCTTGCGCCAGCATGATGTTACGGGCGCTCTTCGCTAGCTGCACCAGCGTCTCTTCGTGCTCGTCGGTGTATCGCATCATAGGATCTTGCTGAGCAGTGGACTTCGCTTCGAAGACGAGGGCGATGTTCCGCCAGCGATCGTGAGGAGGGACCTCCGGGAGTGCAGGGATGGTAGCGATGACGTCCGGCTTTGTGGCATGGTGCGCGTCGTCGCACAACGCATACGGGAAGCGCACAGTCTTGTGTGCATTATCGGAGAACTCGGGCCTTCTGTTTTCAGGAAACTGCCTGAACAGACTGGTGAGCCCGTCCACCTGCGAGCTGTCCTCAGTGGTCGCCAGCAACAAACATCAATTTAGCTCACCAGTGGTCCATACATGTTAGGCTCCTCTCCTTTCCCATTCGGAACCTCCGCATTGAACGTCTCGTCCGGACAAGCAGGAATCGGTTCCTCCGAAGGGACGAATTCCGTCAAGAATTCATGGATGCGTGATGTGGGCTCGACGATCCGCTCGAAGATCTCAGTCTTCCAGTTTCTCGCGTCCCTCTCGCTCTTTTGCCGTTTGTTGGCTCCGTCGGTAGCATCTGGCTGTACGGGGCCTTTATGAGGCGTGGCCTTGTCCGCCATGTCCGCCTGATCGACGGTATAGCAGGCAGTTCGACTACTGTCGGGGTAAGCAGAGAGGGGTCGCGGGGGAGGGCGCCGCAGCATCGATGCTTTTGAGCGGCGAGGCATATCGATTTCCGGCAACAAACAACGCGCCCAAAATGGAAATGTTCGTGAACAGCCACGGGGGACTGCGTGGCTTGTGTGTCAGCGGCGCGTCCCATTTTGCAAGAATCCAGCGTAATCGAACTTACTTGTGGCCCGTAGTCAATGCAGTTATTGATTTATGTAGTATCTGCGGCAACAGTCCGCGATATATCCAGTAGCAGCGAGCAGTACGCCTCAGACGGGGCAGTCGGTCGCGTCGACGAGCGGGAGGATGAGCAATAGGCGCGCAAACCCGCCACCAACGCGCCATGCACGTGTTGATGGACTTACCATATCCGGACGATGTCTCACCGCCCCATCAATGCGGCAGCCATTGTCCGCCCGATATGGCATGTTCCTTGTTCAGCCCTTGTATTTTCTAGCTCAGCGGTCGCTGCGAGAAGCGCAGAGCATGTGGTACCTCGATTACAAGCTGTTGAAATTTTTCTGGACCGCCGATAAGACCCAGCTTTCGTGCTTGGCCGGTCCCATGTCAAAGCCAGAGAGGACTGCAAACCTATTAGCTCAGAGCAGATTACTTAGCAGATGCTCAGTCGCGCCATCTCTTCTGTTCATACGATCTCACGTCGACAGGAATTCTTGCTTGTCTGTATCTAAGTGCAATATGTGTGTCAATAACCGTGACTATCATGATCACTACACCTACACTGATTGCTGGCCCTAGGGAATTGGTGAGTAATTGCCCTATAACTCAACACTGAACGTTGATTGCTCCTACCCCGGACCGAGAACAAACCTTTCCTGCAACAACTGTTCTCCTCACCTACGCGAAGGTTCTCAGTGCATCTACGCTCAAGATTTCCGAGTTGACAGTGTCCGAACACGGTTACTCATCGCCAGCTCCGACGCTTATGTATCCAGGCGATTGGAACATTGAGCGGAGGGAACAGGGGCAGCCTGAGACGTCCTGGTAGCCTTCACCAGAAGGGAGAGCAACGGTCTTCATCGAGCGAATGCCCGCTCGATCTCGTCACTTACTACTTCCCTTCTTTGGCAGTACGCTTGCCTTTCCTGTCGCAAGTTCTCTGTCGTTCGTCATTTGCGTTTTCATTCATCATAAGCTTCCAAAAAGACGCTACACCGTTGACCGCGCTCTAGATGCATATAATGGGGGCGTGCCCCGCGCGTTGAGATCAATTCCGACTCCCACTCGATCCTCCCTTCTCCGAGAGCGTCGACGTGGAACTGAGCCACTCGCAGCGAGAGAACTATGCGCGCCGAGCAAACAGATCAATTATCATCGTTCAGATGGGACTTGTGGGCCAAGAGAGAACAAAATCGACCTTGTACCACGGGGTTTGCCGGTCATCTTCGCAGTGTGCAGGTACATCTTCATGCAGCCTTCCCGTTCGCCCGCTCGCGCAGAGTGTACTTGGCATGCCGATGCTCAGTCCGACCCCAGGGACAAAGTTCGACATCGGATGTATCGGCCAACGGAACCAAATACGTCGCAGCGCGTTCTCAGGAATCGTCCAAAGCGCACAGCTGACAGCGGCGTCCGATACTCAAAATCGGGTGATCTACCGCGGCTCAACATAACGTAACGAGCGATGCGCCCGCTCCTCAGGGCCCAGGCTTCACCTGTCGAACAGAGGACTCCATATCGGCGAGGCGAGGCGAAGGCGATGCACATCCGCGCATCACTCATTCTGTCCTCGTCACACCAGAGCAGTCTATGACTGGAGGTAGCGACTACGCGGAAGACAACGACCAACGACATGCAAGTGAATGGTGTAGATGTTTGCCAACATAATCCAGGTATAGAGTACATTGATGGCGTAGAGCACAACCCAAGCACAACCTACACGGAGGCTAACCCGCCCAACCCAAGCACATCAGCCCGCCGCCTGCAGCGTGACACAGCATTGATCCGACGTACGTATACAATTGAGAGATGGACAGCAGCGACGCAGTTGACGAGATGGTGTATATGTCTGTAAGATGAAGACGAATGAAGAGTGAGAAGGGACCAGGGGAGCGGGGCGGGTTGTCCTTTATGCGACGTGCGGTGCGCGTTGTTCCGTGCGCGCTATACGATGGGCGGGGCGCGGAAGGACACGATCTCGTCGTACAGGAGCTCCTTGAGCTGTTCGCGACTGATGTCGTCCTTGTGCACTTGAATGAGGTTAGGGGTCAGGTAAGATGGTGGACACGGATACGGAGGTTACTGACAATCGAACTCGAAGAACTCGGGGTCAAGTGGCGGTGCAACGGGTTCGTCTTCTGGATCATGCTGAGGGCATGAACCATGAGCGAGCGTAACGTGCGAAGAGAACAAGACGTACGTATGCTTCAAGGTATGGGTGAGCCAGCGCCTCCTCGACAGTGATGCGCTTTTTAGGGTCAAAAGTCTGCGCGAAATAAAAGCATGAACACCTGGAAGTCCTGCGACGGATACGGTACGTACCAAGCTTTTCGTCAGGAAGTCTACCGCCAGCGCGTTGGCATTCGGGAAGAGCTGCGCAAACGGCTTGCGCTTGCGGAAGGGCAGCGCGCGGATGTAGTCGCGCGACCTGCGCGTCGTGATTGCGTAGAACTCGTCGAGCGTCGGTGTGCCGAGCACGTCGAGGATGAGTGTCAGCTGGTGGTGGTAGTCGCGCCCCGGGAAGAGCGGCTTGCCGGAGAGCATCTCCGCGAGGATGCACCCGACTGACCAGATGTCGATCGCCTGGAGAGACCCTCGGTGAGTCCCCATTACAAACACACAGCTCGTGCACAGAAGGCAAACGCACCTTGGTATATTGCTTGAATGTAAGCATGATCTCCGGCGCGCGGTACCACCGCGTCGCGACGTATTCGGTCATAAAGCCCGTCTCGGTGCCGGATGGTTCGGCGGTCTTGACTGAGCGCGCGAGACCAAAGTCGCAGACCTTAAGATCACAGTTCGCGTTCAGGAGTAGGTTGGAAGGTTTGAGGTCACGGTGGATGACGTCGGCGGAGTGCAGCGCCTTGAGCGCGCGGAGGGTCTGGTAGATGAAGTATTGGGCGTGGTCGTCAGAAAGATCTTGTGTCCGGATGACACGGTGCATGTCGGTTTCCATGAGTTCTTGGATGACTGCGACGCGCGCAATGAAGGCCTGGAGGCACGAAAGCACTGAGATGGGACATACGGTATACTTCTTTGAATTGCTCTATGGATGGTGGCTTGATTATATCGAGGATGGAGATGATCTGGCGTACAGTTCTAGTGGCGTACGGGACGACGGACTCGGCGACTCACGTTTTCGCTAACCCCTGCCTCACTGAGGAATTTCAAGAGCTTCAACTCGCGCAGGGTACGGAGACAGAACATGGAGTGGTCGAAGGGTGCGATTTTCTTGATGGCGACCTTGCGCCCGCTCGGTCTGTGAACGGCAGAGCATACGATGCCGTAGGCACCTTCTCCGACAACATCTAGGACCTGGTACTGCGAGCCTGCGGAGAACGGATGAGGGAGGAAACCCGGCTTGCGGGCTGATGGGGCTCACCGACGTTGAAGCGCACTTTGCGCGGAGCCGGCTGGGCCTGCGAGGCAGCATGGCCGTGCTTGGACTTGGAGGGTGCGGCTGCAGTTTGGGCCTGCTCGGGCATGATGGGCGTGGAGGACAAGGAGGGAGAGGCGGGAGGAGGCTTGTGGCAGTTGGTGGCTATATAGTGTTTGTTGTCTGGATACCGAGTCTCGGGCAGCGATAGCAACAGACCGCGGCTCTTTGTCTTTCCGCATGGCGCCTCCCCGCATTTTATTATATGTGCCCGCCCGCGGATCTGCACATCTGCTCACGTCCTGCTCCGGCCTGAAACCGTTTCTGCGACAACTCTGCACAGGAAGGACGGCTGCCTCAGCCCAGGTGCGACGGCGTCAATCGCGCGCTGCTTGATCATCAGCCACCCGCGCCATGCGAGCCCCTTTCGCTGCTCTTTGGTGGACCTTCTCGCCAGCGGTCTTCAACGGGAATAAGGACTGTCAGAGCATCTTGAAACAACAGAAGCAGAGAGGAGAACACTGCGAAGACAATTGCGCGTGGGCGTCCTCTCACAAGACGTGCCTGGCTTCCCTCCGACCAAAGGAAGTGCCATTTCCGTCTGGTGGGAAGTCATCGATTCATCACTCATTCTGGACAGCAAGCGACGTGTGGGCTGCCCCCTGTCAGCGTCCGCCTCTATTGTCTGACGAGTTGAGTCTCGTTGAGCACGCAGGCGGCCGCCACACGTAGCAATTACAGGGGCCGTATTCAACGACATCAACATCGTGCGTAGATCATCATCTCCCGCAGACCATTCGCAAGAGGTGGTTGCTATGCAACATGCAGTACTTAGAGCAGGTTTCATGTCAATTGATTACTAGGATGACTAGCTCGAGGATGACGGTCGAATCGTTCGGATTTCGTCAAATTGGGCATCGCGTCACCGGTATGTCTTGATATACTGCCTCCATCCATAGCAACTGACCGACACTCAGATACTGGACGCCTCGTGGGCCGCTTAGTGCGTTTGTAGGCATCCCCTTGAGCTTGAACAGCACTTCATCGCAATACAGGTATCTGCAACTCAGTGGGAACGATATCCCACCCAGCCTTCCGCTCTCCCATCGTCATGTCACCCCTCAACCGTAACGTATGATAACATGGGTCAGAACGGGGCTATGTCATCCCCTTGTTGGCACTAGTTGGTTGGCTGTGAGAGCCAATGGCCAGTCGCCTTTGTGGCGTACGTCCTGCTTGCGACGCGTCATGTACGCATCTCCGTGTAGTAGTAGGACACTGGCTCTTATCTTCCGTTCTCACAATGTCGCCGCTGATCAACGTAGCCGGCCATCTCAGCGGGATTGAGATAGTAACATTGACAAGGATCAGTCTCATGAGCTGTGTCTTGCTGACACAATGGACGTTCGTGGGCGACCGGTGAACGTTTGAACACTCATATGGGCTCCCTGTACGAGTCCCATATGATACCAATATAATGAGCTCGATTGCACAATACGGCTAAGTTATACCACGTCGCCCTGACATGGAAGAGGATCTTTGTGCTAAACAGTAACTCTCGAAAGTACTACGCATAATGGGTATATGATTAACAGTCGCCAATGTCCGCATTGAGGGAAGGAAAGCACAACTCAACGGGGTTTCAATCCCCCATGACCGTCAGCGGGGTATCTGGAGACGGCTTTGCTGGCTGCCAGACCCAGCGTCCTACGGACGCAACGCTCCACCACTAAAGAAAGAAAGGAAGGAAGGAAAGCACACCGGTCTAAATCGACAACAACCCACACCATCATACACCTTGCATCTCTATTCCTCCTGGCACAGCAATATTGCTGGATACCGACGGCACCGAGTGCGAGTCTGAATTCGCAAGCTGCTTCAACTTCTGCGCGAAGCGACGCCTCCAGAGCTGGACGTTGTTGTTTGCCCGCTGGTACAATGCGCCTATTTCCTTTCGCAGTGAGAACCCGCCGCCCTCCCAGATGGTATGCAGACACAGGACCAGCAGGATAGCTGCGAGGGCCCATGACGTCGTCGCCACGGCGATGGTGGGGATGTCCAGGACGCGGAAGTTCTCGAAGGCGAATGCAAGCATGAAAGAGACGACGCTGTTTCGTGTTGATCAGCATATGTCGAGCAAAGACGGTGACCATATATACTGACGCCCACATAAGCAACGCGTACGGCAGGCTGTGCACGAGTGCCAGCACTTCCAACCCAAGCTGTGGATGCTTTCTACTTGTCAGGTATGTCACCTGCCAGCACGGTCAATATTCATCAGTCCCAGAACGCTTCAACGTCACTCACAACGTCGGTCGCCGTTTCCTTGGGCTTAACGCGATGCTGGCGGATGACCAGCATGCCTATGACAATCGCGGCAATGCTAGCGATCGTGGATACATAGCTTGCCAGTTGTGCCGATGACCGCGGCCCAGGGCCAGTATCAACGTCGTTGATCGTCAGAAACGATATATTGGCGTTCAGTAGCACGGTTGCCTGCATGACATGTCAAGTCCATGTCTTGAGTCCGCACACTGGGCTAGGCACGCACCGTAAGTACCGCCTCTTCCCAGTCCTTCTGGAGTCTGGCGATACACTTGGTCCAGAATAGTTCGTTTATGGACTCGTCCGTCCACGCGTGTTCCAGAGTCTCCAGGTGCACATTGGGCGCGTTGAACAGGACTAAAGAGAGGAAGGAAAATAGTTTTGACGGCCCTCCATTCGCATTGTCATCGAAAATGCTCTTGAACCGGTCCAATTTTGCTACGTTTTGTCCGAAGGAGAAGTGGTATCTATTGTGGACTGGAATACTTTAGCATCCGAGCGTCTCACGGCAGACGCTTATAGTCTCCGCACCGAAGAGATACATGAGGCGTCCTTAAGTCATTGTCAATCAATATTTGCCGTCTGCAGCGACTCTGATCTTACCTATGACACAAACCACATGATCATTACTACCGAGTTCTACACCATATGTGAGTTGCCAGATGGCCCTGAATGTCCCATTCACTGACCTTGCAATGTTTTGACCATTTCGGTCAAATTGAGCATGTCATCGGGCTTCATCGAGACAGTCGACGACGCTGATGTGACCTGGTCTAGACGACAAGGAGGTCAACAAAGCTCTGACTTTGAACAGTATAAGATATGTGTTGTTGACTCACCTACGTTAGCATGCACGAGGGTACTCAGAGCCTCTTTCCTGAGGTCTTCGCTAATGGTATGTCCGGCCGGGAAAGATTCGATGTGTTTCCTGTCAGCTGCATGATCAGCCTGAGTACATGGAGGCTGAGCCAACTAGGTCAACTTGAGGATCAGGAGCGGGGACACAGATGGCACGCACAACAGTATGGCTTCGTTCTGTACCAGTAGTACGACTCGATCAGATGTTCTAGATGGTGTCTGAGAGCAATTCGATGAACGAAGTCATAGCAATTGGACCCACTGATATGAGAATCCGATTGGATGTATCTAACACGATCTACATCCTTTTCTTCCAGAATATCGATTGGGTGTAGCCAGAAAAGGATTCTCTCTGCGGGATTGATGAAGTAGTATGTCCAATAGTGTATGCACTGTTCACCCGTGACGAGATCGGTTCGGACTGGCGCATGGTCTGGAATGACCTCCAGGTCGAGGACGAGTTCGGCATCTGATGGCAAGGCGAAACCATTCTTCTGTATTTCTTCACAGAGCCGATGAGCGAAGTCTTCGATCTCCTTTAAGATAAGTGGATCATAGATCCATGCTTCCGTATACATCCTCTGCACAGAACAGTGGGTCAGGGGCACGCTTTCGCAAGGAAAAAACGCACCCGAGCTCGACTGAAGAAGTATCGAGTGCCTTCTGGGTGAGTGTGTACTTCCCACCCGACTGGAAGACCTGGCCTGTAGACGCCATACATTCTATAGGGGTTACATTGCATCTTTCGGGAAACGTTGACGTACATCTCATAGGACATCTTCATCGGTTTCACTTCAAATGCATGCTCCATTTCTTTCCTGGATATGATGTCAGCACTGGAAATAAGAGTACTTTGTATACACCTACGAATACTTAGGCCTATCATATCTGGCTGTTTGGACGACAGGATACATCTTCTGACACCGTCTCGGACGCATCGATTCGCCAGCAGGTAGGGCTACATTATGCTGGTCAACGGACGAGGCATTGCTCTGTAGCGTCAGAGACGCAGTTGAGTGGGAGGGAGATGCCGCCGGAGTCTGCCTCGGTGAGCGGCTCTTCTCTCTAGCTCTCGAAGGCTGCCGACGAGAATCGGAGGGTGTAATATGGCGAGAAAGCCGGTCGTGCCTGGTGCGCATCGACACACGGGACGACGGACGAGACATGGTAATGGATAGATGATCGCCGTCAGCGCTGGTTCGTTGACACGACACGACGCTTTCTTGCGACGCAGTTTCCACCGTGAACGAATAAGGCCCGCTTCCCCTGTCGCTCCCCAACGACTCCGCGTCCGGGTCCCAGTGGGGCGTCCGGGGCAATCTGGATATGGCGTTATGGGAAGGTGGATGGCTCGAGGACAGAGCGTGCTCGTTCCGTAGCGAGGGGTACGTAGCAGGCTCACTGCTAGCATGTACCACCATTGACGGGCTATTGGTGGACATGCATCCACCGTCGCTTGCTAGAGCGCCCTGTTCGCTAGAGCCATCGCCCCTCTTCCTACGAGACTGCAGTACTTCTGCATTATCCCTGGCATAGCTTCGCCATATGAATCGGAGAAAGGCAAGAGGCCGTGCCAGATGTCGAAGAGGCCTGCAGGAGAGGATATACCGCCATACAGCATATAGCCGGCGAAGCAGTGAGTGAGTCGTCGCAGGCATCTAGATCAGTGGGCGTAAGAGTCAAGGAGGTCGTGCACAGCCGCAGGGGGCAGCAATGGCGGTCTACGATGCCGATATAGGGAGTAACCCTATTCCAAGCTCACGAGGCTCGGAACGTTCCATAGAACTCATTATCTGTGGTCTACAGACGCCGGAGACGCAGGACGCTCACGCATATGAATGTAGTCTTCACCACGCTCGATATGCGGGGTCGGTCTTCGACGTTGTTCTAGGGCCACAGTCGCGCAGCAAGGACACACATCATGGAAGAGGTTCAAGGTGTGACATGCGCGTAATGCCTGAATGTAGAAACATTTCATTAGACTGTATAAGCGCTAGGACCACACACGCGCGAAGTGGACCGCGGACCGCAAGGCCACAGCGCTCGAACCGCGGTGTGCAGTATTGGCATAAGTACTTACCATGGTCGCAGGCCTGCTCATCTGGGACGGGCTGTCCTTTCATGTCCGGAGCTTTTACTTTGCGTTACCAGTTGCATGAGGCCACATAGAAAGCAGATCATCGCTGTGCAGTCTGTGTCCGAGTCATGTTGAGGGACCTGAAAACAGAATTCCGTTAGTCTGGCAGGTAGACGCGATTGGGTGTGCTGCGAAAGCGGACCTACAATATGAGGATGCGCATCATCACCATTCGCAAGTGCAAGGTACTATCTTACGAATGAGATTCCATACCCTGTGCCAAGCAAGGCATGGCTACCTGGAGGCGCGCCATGCTTATACAGGGACGAGCGTACGGCAGGGAGGGCAACGCGCGCAACGTCATAAACGGGGTCATCAAGGCCTTAGCTGCTTGCGCAACTTAGCGTCTAGTCATCAGTCATCAATGGTGTGCCGATACAGTCTCATTCATAGGATGTGGATGATGACACGCACCGTACTGTACAGACAGCCAACTTGTGCCCGAGCTCTCCGCAACACCATGATGCGAAAATGGCTTGTATAGAGCGATTACTTGACAATTGCCTCATTAAACATGGTATACGCTAGCTATCCTACAGTCCTGATCAATGATGAGAACACCGCGGAAATACGACGTATGTTCAGTATGTAATAAATGCAGACACGCACCGAGGACATGATTACATCGAACCTCCGTTTGCTATGCGCTGCAGAATGACCAAAGCCTCCTCTTTTGATAGGGTGTTCAGCGCGGCAACGGCGTTTGTACATGTTGCCGAGGCAGCAGTTGCTTCCGCGCCACCCATCGTCGCGTGGACAACAAGTCTTGCGATGACTTCACCCTGCGAGACAAGTCAGCATTCCGAAGGATTGCGACGGGACGCCGTATTTCGCGATGACATCTGGTGGCGCACTTACACTTTCGACGAGACAGGCGACCACAATGAGCCTAAGAAGACGTTATGAATACGTGATCCAGCCATGTACTGCACAGGGACATACCAAATGATGATCCACGTTATACGCTCCATGGCATTGTTGTTCAAGTGGTCATGTATCGCGCCTAGCTGAACGGCAAAGGCAAGACCAGTCAGTCCTGGCGAAACTTCTTTAGGCAAGGAGCACAAACCAAATCCTCTGCTACCGCTAGCTTCTCGTTCAACACCTTGACACGTCCATCGATCTCCATGTACTCCCTCACGGCGTCATACAATGCCTTCAGGCTCGCTTCGCTCCAGAACAGCTCCGGCACGTCCAGTACGTTGCTTACGAGATTCACATCGCGGCGCAGCGTGAATAACCGGCCTGTCAGGCGGAGCGCCTCTTTCCGCGGGAGCGCGAGCACGCCAGTCGATGCGAGCTGTTGGGGGATGGATACGGTACGCGGCGAAGACAAAATGCGTGTTGCATGCGTTTCATAGTGCGCTAGGAGAGTGGACTGTGCAAGCGCGTGGGCGACGGAGAGCTTGAGGAGGTGCGAGTGAGACTTGAAGGCTATATTGATTCGTCATAAGGTCCAGACGGCTTCGTGCAAGGGAACTTACTAAAGAAGTCATTGTATATCCTTGGATACGCGATATTTGGATCATGCTGACGAGTCGATAAGCCCCCTCAGTTTACACAAGACAGGATGACGCATAAACCCACCGCATAGTGACATTCCTCAACCTCCCAATCGTTCTCTACGAGCTTCTTCCGCATGATGGCTGCACCCTCCACGTCTTCCAATATACCCCGTTCTTGCTGCTCCGACAAGCCGAAGAACACCACAACGCCGTATGCGAAGAATATGACCTCGGCGTAATCCTCGTCGTTCATCCCATGTTCAGCCTGATCATCGTTCCTGTTGTCTCTCTTCCGCCTCTGCTTTCTCGGCGGGACTGGGTTCGTTTCTGCGGGTGGCTCTCCAGGAGGGAGTAAAGATGTAGGAGATACCACGCTGCCACCTATAACAGGAGGCGAGGACGACATCCAGCCATCGTGGTGCGAAGGTACGCCATCGGCCTCTGGCGCAGAGTCGAAATACGTGCCTTGATAACCCTCTTCTTCGGCCTCCGATAACCACGAAGAAGGATCGTCCGAGCCCGAAGAGATGGGTGCAGCCGAAGAGCGAATATTTGAGTGCCGGCCGTACCCAGGAAGCAGTGGTAGGTGGTATATCTGGGACGCTGTAGCAGGAGCGCAAGTAGCAATTACACGACATCACTCACCACGTACATCGCCTCGTCGAAAACTCTCGGTTGCACGTTGTGTTCGCGCTTCAGAAAACTCGCGAGCAGCTTCATCTTGAATTCGTCCGCAACACAATACGCAGTGATGCGCTTAAACCCAGCCTTCTCCCGCTGCGCCTTGGTCATGCGTTCACCAGCACTCTTGTAGTCTCGGACCCCTCGATCGGTCTCGTATCCATGTAAGTCGTCTTCCTCTTCTTCCGGTGGAGGCAGTGGCTTTGTCTGTGGCTCAGAGGGAAGTACGACAAGTTTCTGGGTCGTCTTGGAGGATCTCTGGGCTTTCGGCAGGCCAGATACTGGGTTGAGGTTCCCGGTAAGCGCAAGACCTGACACAGATGCTCGACGTCCAATGCTTTTCGGCACACCCCCAGACATTGAGCGCGCCGGAGCGGGACGTCGGGTTATAGGTCTGGTGGCCGCCGTCGCTCGAGGGTCAGGCTTCGACATCGGGCTACCAGTGAGTGGGTAGGAAGTATGATACGTTCTTGGTGAAACCAGCGCTGGGCATGCAGATACGGCGTCAGACAATACTGAGATATGTCAAACAGGTCATGAACCAGAAGCAACGAGGTGAATATCGTGTCGACAATGGCGACAGCGACGACAGCAAGCAGGACGACGACAAGTGCAAGTCTGAGGATAGACTGGGTGACGCCTAGTGACGCGCACCTGCCAATTGCAGAAGTGGTCACACGTCCACGCGTTTTCAACCACGTGACGTGGCCACACGCGAAGTCCGCGACCCTCCGCGACGCGTTTCGGCGCTTCCAAGCAGTTCCAACGTCTTGTTTCTTGCCGCCACTCTTGCATTCAGGTTCTTCGTGGTTTCGTAGTAACCTCAACAATCCCGTATAAGTGGGCGCCTTCTGACATTGAACCAACAAACTACTGCCGTTGTCGCTCAGGCAGCATATATGCGCTGAAGAACACCACAGGCGCGATTTCTGCTAGGTGCGTTAGGTCGTTCATACTGGGAGTGAAACGGCTGACCCCTGGTTATCGCAAGTTATCTGACGTGTCCTTCAAGGCAACAGCGTTAAGCTGTATCTGAGCGCGTCTGTCAGAGCGTAGAGCACATCAGTTGGCCCGCATACTGGTTGAATGGCGGGGGCGTTCAGCGCACATTTACTTGAGGCTCACGGAACAGCTCAGCGATCATTAAAGGGTCCCTTCGGACAACCCCTTCCTATAAATTCCAACATCTCTGTAAACGGTCCGATGTCGTTTGCTCCGCAAATGCACGGTCTCCCCGGGCAATCCTCGTTCTTCCAAGACTCTACATTGGTCGACCTCAGCGACGAGACCGCCAAGCGAATCGCTACGCTTCAAGCCAAACTCAACAAGAAACTCGGTCCGGAATACGTATCACAGAGACCTGGACCAAGCGGGGGTCCGAAACTCACGTATGCTGAGGGTACGCTCGTCGATGCCCGTCTAATGGCAGATTGACTGTAGCTCTGTTTCAGGGTGGAAGATCATCAATCTTGCTAACGAAGTGTAAGAACCCGCTCGATTTTAACGCACGGATGCTCATCTGACGCGTCTGATAGCTTCGGATTCAATGGGTGGAGCTCAAATATAGTTAGCTTAACGACCGACTTCATCGATCTCAACGATCAATCCCAGAGGTATTCGGTAGGAGTCACCGCCGTTGTCAGAGTAACGTTGCGCGATGGCGTCTTCCACGAGGACGTTGGGTACGGGTTGCTCGAGAATTCGAAGAGCAAGGGTGCAGCCCTCGACAAGGCAAGTGTTCACACATCCACTTTCAACTGTGTTGGTTACAAATATTGGTTCGTGTAGTGCAAGAAGGAAGCGGTGACGGATGCCATCAAGCGATCTCTGCGCAACTTCGGTAACCTCCTCGGCAACTGTCTCTACGATAAATCATACACGCAGGAAGTCGTGAAGATGAAAGTCCCGCCAGTGCGTTCGGTCTCTGTCTTACAATGTAACTCTCTGACAAACGGAAACCTGGTCCGTTCATCGCAGCCAAAGTTTAACAAGGATGATCTCCACCGTCGGCCCGAGTTTGAAGATTCGAAAGGCACTGCGGGGCCCAGTTCGACCACCTACATGACTGCGCCGAGCAAGCCAGCCACATCCATCAATAGCCCAGCTTCCCCCGTTGTGAAGAGCGAAACAACATCTCGTATGGAAGCCATTCTCAACGCATGTAACACGGCCGCCCAGCAAGGACAAACTGTGGCTCCCGCTGTGCCTTCACATATGCGCTCTGGATCTGGCCAAACGGACCCTGTCGCGACGTCTACGCCCAACATCAAAGCGAGGTCGTCCGCTGGTCCGAATGCTGGTGGTCCGAATGCATCATCAAGCGCCGCCGCACCTCGAACAGGGCCGACTGTACTCAGCAATCCACCTCAACGCCCGCCAAACGAACCCGTCAGGGGGAACTCGCCCGCGCAGCCTCAAGATCGCCAGTCGAATCAAAGTTATCCGGCGCCGCAGCCACAAGGCGAACGTCGGGTTTCGTTCGCGCCGCAACCCGCCGCGAGTACCTCTGGCTCCGTCATTCCCTCTGCCGTTACTGCTCCCCCGCAAGCTGTCGTGAGCAACGATGTGGACATTCCTGATGACACGTCGGAGTTTCATTTCAACTCGGACGATGACGCTTTCCTGGCGGAGGTTGATCTGGGCGAGGATGGCATAGGTGGACCGCTCGACTTCGATGAAGGGGCTGGTGGCGTCGAAGCGGACGATGACACGAGGAACGAAGCCCACGATCCACGACAACCAGGACGACCTCCACTGCAGGAAAGGCCACTCCCGCCACAACCCCAAGGGCATCCTCAACGCTCTGCGGATCCTCGAGCGGCGAACCCTGCGCAACCGCCGCATGCTATGTCTAGATCTGGCCCCACAAGCTCCAGACACGAGATAGCAAACCAGAACAATTCTACTGTCCATCAGACCTCAAAGGACGCCTCGTCCACATTTATCGCACAGTCACCGCCTACTATGGGCGGGTTTCACTTTTCAACCACAACCTCGGTATGCCTACCCGTCCATCTTTCCTAATACGTGATCGTTCGACTGACGTACCGCAGACGTCAAATTCCCATAACCAACAACGTCCAGGGCACGCCGCCCGACCCAACTACACCTCGTCCACCGGTGGGAGTGAAATCGGTATGAAGCGCAGCGCCGATGTCATGCAGTGCGTTCTCCAGGTATCACGGCGACTATCCGGATGTTAGGCTTATTGTGATTATTCAGGGGAAATGCCAGTGCTGGCGCGGCGTCGCGAAGACCGATGCAGGGGATGGGCCTTGCACCGCCTCCTGGTACAGGTGGCCGACCGGGTCCGCAAGGCGCCGGCGCGCAGGGGCATAGGAGACAACCTTTCTCAGCGTTGGACGTTGGCGAAGGCGGGGACTTCAAACGGATGAAACGTTAGACGGTGGGCTCGTTTTGTGGTTCTGTACAATTCAGGATGCCATGCGCACAGCGCATGTTCTCGGACATGAGGTACGAAGAGAATGCATGGCATGTATATTACGACAATGTTTTCTTGCATGCAACGGGATCTTTGACAAGAGTCCGCGGTTTGATCCACGGCTGGAAGTTCTATTCTGCATTACTTGATGTTTGTTTTCTCTGGCCTCCATCTCGACCGCCACTTGGTCCGTCACGCAACTTATCCTTTCGAACCGCAAGATATGCATACCAGGGGGGGTGATCAGGTACGTGTGGGCGACCAATTGCAAGATCCCGGCCGCGCGACCGGATCAGCGGTACAGTCCCTGCCTTCATGGTGGCAGCAGTGCGTTGAGAGTACGTCACGGTTCCCGTGAACCTAGATCTGTATGGCAAATCCAGCGGCGAGTCGAGCCTTCAGACTGTAAACCTGATATGCCAGCAACCTAATATGCTTGCGATCACCATGCAGACATCCCACACGTTCCGAGAACAATTTGAATGCGTATCCAATTTGCGTCTTCAAGCAGTGGCATAAACGTGGAGTACTGACTGAGGATGACCGCCTACTATATCTGTCACAGTTGTTGCATTGCTTTCGGTACTCCAAGCAACGGGAATGGAATCCGACTCTGCGGATGACGTGAAATACGCTTCTGTGTCGGAGCCTCACCGCAGCTGAAAATTGGTTCCCCGGGGCCAACATGGTATGAGCGCTTGAGCGCTTAGTAGCGGCATCCCCAAGGCATCCCTCAGGCTGCTACTTGCAAATACGCTATACGTGACTTGCCATCGTGGAACACTATGCCCACATGGATCACGGCATTCAGTCGACCACCACCAAACCCTAATAGAGGCTATATACTATGCACTCATATCTCATCCATCTTCGAATCGCCGCCCGGCGTGCCAGCACTGGTCGAACTTGCGTAACAGCGCTGCGACCATAGGTATAGCCTCTCAGCCTCGCGTGCATGATAGATAAAGTCGCTGAATAGTTCACATTCCCCATGCTCACACTGTCGAAGGTGCCGCTCTCTACACTCTACATAAGCGTCTTTTGGAGCTCACATTTTGTCTCTCAATCGCGACTCTATAGATCTAGGGCAACATGATAACTCTTGTGCGGCAACTGTTCGCGTTGCTGCGTCTCCTCTTCTTCCGAGGATATTGTCGACTGTCCCCCAAGGCACTGCTTGTACGGTTCCTGAACGCAGTCGAACGTTGTTGGAAAGACAAGGAGAAGCTGAAACAAATCTTTCTCGGACAAGAGTCGCCATGTCGTCGAGAACTTCGAGTCCAACCTGGACTGAAGTTGGCGACACGCACGGGGACTTCCGATGTCTCTCCTACGTTTATCTACGCAAGCAAGGAGCCCGCATGCTACCCTACGATAGGCTCGGAACAAATTATCGCAGCAGTTGTTGAGGTCCAGCGACAAAGACGCCCAAATCGAGTTACGCCCATCGAGCACCATCCTGCGCCAACAAGCAATAGCCTGTTCCACAAGGACGCGATCGAGATACAGATCACATCCCAAGCTGTGCCTCCGAGGCCTTATGAATGCGCACCTAGCGACCGTGATGCGTCTTCTTTAGGCACCTACAACGGTGGCGGTCTGACTCCTGTTCAAAAACCGCTTTGTCCACCGACCCGTGCCTCTATAAGAACCACAACTTCGCACTTTCCCAGCGTCATCCCTGCAAGTTATTTACCCTCGCTCCCGATGGCGCCACTTGAACAACTGTCACAGACCACCTCGTCGACAGCCTCCATCATGTCTGTAGACTCGGCGAAGGACGCTAGTAGCGTCTCCGATACACTCTTCTCTGATCATGCCACAGTCTTTGCTCTCGTCGACACTTCCGAGTCTTTGATACGGCCGAGGCGGAGGCAGAGAATGTTCCCTGCCCTAAAGACACATCGATACGACAGAGGAACCAAACTGTGAGTAGCGGGCAGCACCTTTGTTCTTCTATGTGGCGGATGTGGCGCTGATAGAAGTTGTCGTTCACAGAGAAGAAAGCAGCTTTGAGTACACGGTACGCCCCGTGCAGACGAAGTATTCACTGTATGTATATGCCTCATCGCTGCGATAGCGCAAACTGATATCACCGTCAGGGAGGGAGTCCCCGATGGTTGGGAAGCCGTCACGCATCCCGAAGGGTGCCTGTACTTCTACAACCGAGCTCGGGTGCGTATGACTACAATGCTAATCTCCATCCGTCTAACCTTATATTCCAAAGAAAATCTACACCGAAGCTTGGCTCTGCGATCCCGAGACATTGGACGAGATCGAGGACTTCGCCGCCCTTCTCGAGGAGGTGGCGCGTGACGACAAGAAAGACATTCCACCGGACTCGGAGCTTGTCCTCGAGCTCGAGGTGAACCCGACAAAGGAGACCAAGCACTATTGGGCGTATTACTACGTCGATCATGCCGAACGAGTCCTCTTCTGGCTCCACGAGTACGTCGTCTCTCAAGAGCTAGAGGCGTTGAGAGGAATGCAGTCCGCGTCACAAATCAGTAAGCTCTCGTCACACTGTATCGAACGAACATCAGTCTGACATGCGCTGCTATACAGAGTACGGGATCGAGACGTACTACTGGTGAGGCATCTTGTGAATGGTGCGTAGCGAGGTTGCTGTGTTTGATTTGTTTCTCACCCCTCTATTTCTAGCAATGCCACTGAGACTCAAAAAACCATTCCAGGGGTCACTGGGAGTTCTTCCCGATCGGCCAGACCGTCACTGAAGAGCTCCGGAACGAGGTTCTTCGTAATCTCATTCACGACGGCGTTGGTGAGCAGCAATTCATGATATACGCTGTAATGAGTAAAACTGATATGACTTGAACGTAGACCAGTTGACGTCAGCATCGTCCACCGCTGGGCTGACCCCAGACGTTACAGAGAAACTGATCTCAATGATCAAGACGTCAAGAGGTCAGTGTATGAGCGCCATGTGTCAGCCCTCTCTCATTGAACTCATGTTTCAGATCTTGGAAGTAACCAGCACACTGCTCGCACCCTAGGTAGGTTGCGATCCATTTACACACCAACAACGTGATATATGTATTGACAAATTGGATAGGACGCTTGATGAGCCTCTTCGGTATGAGAATCGACATCTTTGCCGATGAGAGGGTCTGACGGTTCACCACACCCAGCTCACAGCAAATACCACAACTACTACGGCCAGCAAGCTGCGCGGCTCGATTGTAACACGAGTCTCTTCAACAACGAGCGCAACCGATCGCTCTGGATAATTTCGTTTGCCGCACTCTTGTTCAAGTATCCCCTAGTGCATCTGCACGCTATAGAGAAAGTATGGATCGATGGTGTTATTCACGAAATTACCTGGACTCGATTCGTCACCGACCTTCGGAAGGAATGGCGAGAAGCCATCATTGCCGTGCGTGCTTATGAATCAAACCATTGTATACGTGCTAAATCAACAGACAGTCTGCTGTACTACTCCTCGCGAATTTGTCGTTCCTGCGGATCGCGGTCGATACTGAAGCTTCTCAACATAGGACACCTGCGCAGACTACGAGTTTGGTGTCCATGATAGCTTGCGTCTCGTCTGTCGTCCTGGGCATGCAGCTAATCCGCCAGTACCGCGTGAAGCCCAGGAAGACAGCTTTGGATGCTGTACGTGGCAACCTCGTGGCCCGAAACGTGCGGTTGATAACTCTGACTTGTAGGTCACATACCTGCAAAGCCAGGAGCATCCTCGCCTCGGTATGGAAACCCTCGCCATCGTGTATAGTCTTCCGTATGCCTTGTGCATGTGGGCGTAAGTGCCCAATAGCTCCCTCCTTTCACCTAGAGACGCTGACATCGGCTTCAGAATCGTGACGTTCATGACAGCGTTGGCACTTGAGTGCTTCTATGTGCAGGATGAGGCTACCATCATCACGACTGCGGTTGCATGGTGTCTGGTAGCGATCTGTGCCACGCTGTGTTCCCTCTCATTCTGGCAAGGTGGCGACTCAAACAGTCTTTTCCTGCGTGACTGGGCACACCGGCTATGGAACAAGGCGCACAACGCATCGAGGAGCCTTGGCGGTTCGTCGCAGCGAGAGGACACTGCATTGACGCCGAACTCCTCGAGCGGCTCGACCACTGAGCTGTTCGAAGTGTAGCTTGTTCGTTTGAGAGGGGTGCTCTGACAGGTCGAAACGATATGCGGGACGTGGACTTTTCTTGGACTGGTTCAGTGAGTCACATTTCTGTTGTTGTATCCTTCTTCCAGAACGTCGTAAATAGAGTAATAGGCAGGCTTCCCTAATCACAAATGCAGGTTATGTAAGAAGTTTTCCCTCGTGCGACATGCATATAAAACTTGTCGCAAGTAGCGCGCGAGTGCAATTGCTGGTAAGCACCATGGCCGAAAGGACTCATCACTGCCGTAGTCAAGCGAGGCAAAAGGCTATCCATATGTCACATGTCAAGTCTCAGCGCTCGATTACACAAACGTCCGCGGTTGCCAATATTCACGCTAATAGCTCGCCATGAAGCCATATACGATAGCAGTGTCAGCAGAGTGCCAGCAGCCGCAGATTGCGGGCAGCGTCGAACTTGGATACTTGCCTAAACTGATTGCTGGTCGCATCAGATCTGAGATTCAATCGCAAATGTTGGCCACGGGCCGCTGCGGGCGTCAAGGACGCTGCTACGTACGAGTGTGGCTTTTTTACCTTCTACCATCATGTTACTCCGCCTGCAAGATTGAAACCCGCGAACAGACGATGTCATTCCTACGCCGACTATTTGATAGGCTTAGGAGGCCTGTGAGTACCCACAACATTACTGTCATCTGCGGCTGTGACAGTCAAGGTATCGGACTCGGTCGGGACGGGTTGCTGCAGACATTCCGTTCGTCCATGGTCTGATTACTGTCTGTGTTCCACGCTCAGCTCATTGACACCACGTTGATCGCCATCCAGGCATGATGGACCCCATCATATCGCGTTTGTGTCGCGCTGAACATATCTCATGCTCTGCGTACAGTCGGGTCTGCCCGTAATATGTGTCTGCGTCTTCCCCAATAACCTTGAGAATGTACAACGTTGGTGTTATGTAGAGATTCGCTGACTCAGCTTCGCAGACGTATCTCATAGGCAGAGACCTCGAAGGTAAGAAAAATTCTCTCCACTGCCCTGTCCGTTTCGGCAGCTGAGTCTTCACACAGGGAACAAGTACTACGAGTATCCGAGCGTCTCCGATGGTATATATCCGTTATGTACGCGTGTCTTTGCCCCGAATGGCTTACGCGTATCTAGAAATGAGACGAACGAAACGTGTGGTGAAGTACAGGGAAGGAGCGGACATGCTGACCTACGTGGCCGGGAAGAGACGTCTTCCAGGTAAGGTGTCGCGCATACTTCATGTGTTCTCTGTATCACCCTCATGACCGCTCGCTATTTAGTTCAATGGACAGCGTGGCTCACGCACACGAGGCTCCATCCACCAGCACTCGAGGTGATTCGTCCTGTCATTGTCACAATACGTAACCTTCGTAATACAATGCTTTCATTTCAGGAGCTCCATGCTGACCTGGAGCGGCAGAGACGTGTCCAGTACAACGCGGCTTTGATTGAAGCGCGCGACCGCGAGGAACGCGTCCAGCAGCTCAGAATGGCCTCTGCAAGTCAAGGTGTTATGGATGGGGCTACAAACTCCCCAGCTCTGGAGGCTACAAAGCAGGAGGATGCGGCGAGCCTGGTACAGCCTGCAGGTCATCCGCCCTCCGCCTCCGACGTCTCTGTCACAAAGAAAGCACCCCAGCAAGCTCCGCCCGATTACCCTGCTCCGGTGTCAGACGAGCCTCAGGAGTGGAGTCCTCGTACAGTTCGGAGGGGCTAATACCTGCGCAGTTCTCGTCCTGTAACGAGCCTAGAGTCTACTACTATCACTCATATCACGTTGGCACCATGCCTGTCGAGGCGTGGAGTAAGCAACTCTGTGCCGTTATTCACTTGGCCAATTCGAATGTGATGTGCGCGGCATCGCTGGCGCGCTGGCCTCGGCCCCGTGTCGATGCTTGACGCAAGTACTGCCGTGTCCATGCTACTTCGTTCATGGTAGCCGCCTTGCTGATTCAATCGGGAGGACCAATCGATCAGGGTTGAGAATACGGTCAAGCTTGTGTTAGTGGAGTTCCTCGCCCTGTGCGCAAATCTCATACTGTACCGCAGATTGAGACAGTAATGTCGTATTGGCTAACATCAGTGGCCGTCTGCAGTACCTAGTCTGAGCAGGCTACATGAGTAACTTATAGAGAATGCCAAGCCACGGAATCGGTATCGGAAAGTATGTCGGCGCTTGCCATATTCTGATAACATAACGCATTCGAAGCCCCAAGCATCATGTTCTACTTTACATCTTCTCGAGAATAGCTGCAATAGCTGCTTATGTACCACTACCATGCATTGCCTCTGAGTCGCTGCATCGCTCTACGACGCTTGCTATTGAGTTCTGATCCATCACGAAGTTCACGAAGGGCTATGTCAACTGTACTGCAATGGATCCGTGGCCTCTTGCGGCAACTCTTGTCTTCAAAGCTAGTACGACTTTCTCTGCACGGCCTCATGCGGCTCTGGTTCTTTCTGAAGGGTTGCTATGCACGGGTATATCGTGATATGCCGCCAGGGAGAGACGGAGAGGGAGGAGGAGGGCAGCGGCTGTCGTTCGACACCAGGTCCGGTGAGAGTGTTGTCTATGCAAGCAGGGAGCCTACCACGTACCCTGCTGGCTATCTGGAGCAGGCACGGCACTCGATGTACCTCAGCGCAGACGGTAGTCGCCCCAACAGTCGGCCAGGGAGCCGACCAACGTCCGCCGTATACCCGCACTCGCAGAGAGATAGTGAAGAGGACAACCAATACCCCATCTCTGTTCAAACAGCCTCTCAGCAATCGCTCAATGGGTCTCAGGTATCGTTCACCTCTCAGCCTCATCGCCCACGGGCGAGTATATACGGCGACCATCTTGCAGCACCCACGTCTCGTCCATCTTCTCGCGCCTCTGTGCGCGCCACAGACCATCGTCTCTCCCGGATGGTCACAGCAGCGGACGCGCACCATCGGCGAGGCAGATCCAGGTCACGAGCACCGGAACAGAAACGCACTCCTGCGAGTTCGCGAGCGCGCCCCGACTCTGTGGTCTCCGTGCACGGAGACAGGGCTTCCGTGTACAGCAGGTCAAATCGGGCGTCTCCGGTCAGGCCGCCTCAGCTGCCCGGTACGCGCCTTCGGAGGTCCCAGAAAATGTATCCCGCACTCGCGACACACAGATATGACAAAGGAATCAAACTGTGGGTTTTGACACGTCGTACCTGTTTCCCCTGCTCAAGCCTTTCATGTTTGTAGTCAGGAACGCCCCTTCGAGTATGTTGTGCAGCCTATGCAGACATCCTACCCCTTGTGCGTATAATATCGAGCACGCGCCTGAATGATTGAGTTCACGTCCGAATAGAGAAGATGTACCTGTCGAATGGGTAGCTCATACACACCCTGAAGGCTGTTTATACTTTTATAACAGAGCCCGAGTACGTACAGCCTCCCAGCTTCCGTTCAACTAACCTGAATTGCATCTACCAGAGAACATACACTGAAGCGTGGCTATGCGATCCCGAAATCCTGGAAGAGATCGAGGACTTCGCAGTGAGGCTTGAGGAGCTAGTGCGGAGCTTGGAGTTCACACTGCCCCCGGACGCAGAACTCGTCCTCGAACTGGAACGGATACCAGCCCATGCGCCATCGCACGATGATCTGGAGTCAGGCAAGCCTAGCAAGCATTACTGGACATACTACTACGTCGACCACGCCGAGCGGGTGCTGTTCTGGATCCACCCATATTCAGTCTCGGACGAGCTCGAACAACTCAGAGGGTTCCACTCTCCGTCACATATCAGTGGGTTTTGTTGTTATGTGTCTCCGTACCAAGTTGACCTGACAGCGACCACATAAGAACACGGAATAGAAGAATACTACTGGTAATTTACGAGAGCAGTGTGTGTGGTGACTTCTTCTGCATGGGTAGGCTGATCCTTATGGAACACTTTGTCTAGTATCGCAAGCGCAGCTGACTCGACAGTACACAGGAAACACTGGGAGTACTTCCCCGTCTATCAAACAGTCACCGATACGCTGAGAGAAGAAGTACTAAGTATACTCGTGTACAGGAACGTCGGTAAGGCGGTTATTTCTTATATGACAGCAGCGGTGCTGAAGTCACGCCGTTCCCATTGAGACCAGTTAACGTCGGCGGCATCTACGGTGGGTATGAAACCCGATGATCTTCAAAAGTTGGCATCTGTGATCAAATCGGCCAAAGGTTGGTGGTACCTATATGCTCTGCCCCTTGTTCTTCGGTGGCTCAAAACCTTGTAGGACTCTCCGCAAATCAGTACATTGCGTGTGCTATTGGTGGGCTCCTTCTACACCTCAACACCTACGTGTTCACTGATACGAGCATACCAGGACGTCTCATGTGCCTTTTCGGTGAGAAATCTTGCGTACTTGTATAACTGATCGGGTGACTCAGACACTTGCAGCGCATGACCGATATCATTACTATTACGGACAAAAGGTTGCTCGTCTCGATCGGTACGAGAGTTTATTCGACGACAGCCGGGGAAAGCGAACAGCTCTTGCTGCTTTACTGTCACCGGTCCTGTTCAACGCACCCGAGGTCCACTTGCGGTCGCTGGAGAGAATATGGATCGATCAGATCATCAACGAGATACCTTGGACGCAATTTATCCACAAGCTCCAGACGGACTGGCAGGAAGCCGTACTCACGGTCGGTCCCTTATGGCAAGTCTATGTCAGACGTACTCAATCTGGAAACAGGCGACGGTGTTGCTCAACGCCAACATATCATTCATGACAATCAATGACGTCGACAGTGGCAATGGGCCTAGGACTCCGGCGCAGATTGCAAGTTTCGTGTCCACCATTGCTAGTATCGCTGCCACAGTGATCGGAATGTTGTTGGTCCGCCAGTACCGAGTCAAGCCCAAGGAGACAGCGACGGATGCCGTGAGTTGACGTCTTCGCCGCGAGAGCGTTCCGAGCTAATCGGCGGCGTAGGTGACATATCTGACCAGCCGGAGACATCCTAAGCTCGGATTGGAGACACTGGCCATCATGTATAGCTTGCCTTATGCGCTTCTCATGTGGGCGTAAGTACCGGGATCGACGTACCACACTGTGTCTTGGCGATGCTGATCTATACCCTCATACTAGGGTGGTCACGTTCCTGGTTGCCTTCGCGCTAGAATGTTTCCACGTCCGCGACATACCAACTATCACCGTGACTGCGACGACGTGGGGCCTTGCAGCGATGCTGCTCGTCCTGTGCCTCTACACGATCTGGGAGGGCGGCGACATCTCCATACATCAATGGCTGCGCGACGCCTGGAAGACCGCGTGTGAGCGCGTGCGGAGCGTCTTTCGCGTTACACGGGAAAAGGAGGACGAAGAGGAAAGGGCCAACCCTACATCGGGACCTTCGAGCGATACTGCTGCGCTAGAGATGATGATGGAAGAATGCTGATGCCATGATGCGCGGGCGTACTCGGACACTGCTTGCCTGAGGTCGGGCGGCGATCGTGACCACTGACATCGCCTTCGCCTTCGGAAGCTACGATGCGTCCTATGGCTACGGATTATTTAGAGCACCTTGCTTTATGTTGGTGTTGGAACATGAGGAGTTTGGATCTATGAATGGAATCACGACCATTATCACACACTCGTGTACTGCACCTTGGTTCGCACCAGGTATGTGTCCATGGCGACGTCTACATTGCCCTCCCAGACCTTGTTGAGAGGGTGGTCGTTGACACGACGCAACTCTCTGGGCTGGATGTGTGCCTCCATACCCGTCGGTATAACCCAGATGTCGTGGTTAGAACGAACGACGAAGATGGGCTGAGAGGGAAGACCGTGGTATCTGTGCTCGGCTTCCTCTGCGGAAGGAACGAAGGGGGCATTTGGAAGAGGGTCCGGGACGGTGTAGGTGAACGGGAAGGAGAGGTGAAGAGGGGGCAGACGGTCCTCGTCGGCAGCCATATTGAAAAAAAGTCTTAGTCGACGTGGTTAGTGAAGACACTCAGGCATGTAAGTACACGATGCTATCACATTGATGACGCACAGCTGAGTACGCAAGATCGAATGCCATGCACTATGTCTCGCACAAGGACTGTGCATAACCCTCTGTGGTCATCATGACGCGAAGGAGTCGATTTCATATCCTGAATTGAGTTCGTGAAAGTATGTGCAGAATGCTGATGACCGGTCCACGCTGTGGTGTCTGGTATGCATCGATCGTCATCTGGACATGCATGTCGCGCCCTTAAATATCGTGTACTTGTTGAGTAGCCCCACACGGAGTGGCTCGAGGTGTCGAGGGTGTCGAGGGATCATGATGACTAGCCACCAGGCCCCTAAGCCCAGGACCTACGCGGATGCCCTCGAACCCACTGCAGAGCTCCGGATCGTTCCTGCATGTTACTTTATGTGACAGGCGTAGGTACTTGCAATTTGTACTTAGTATGCGCCGCAGCCTGGTCATTGTCCAAACCTTCACCGCTAATAGGATCATGCTCGGTGGACTCATTTTCGAATAGCTATGCAGAGAATTGGCCATCGAAATGGAGCCCCGCCCAGCAAATCAGTTCGAAATGACATTTGATTCTATGAAATGCGCTCATGACATTCGCATGAACAGTACAGTGCATGTCTCGGTCCACTGTCCTCGGCCCCCTAGAATGTCTTCCCGCGGGCAGAGGTATGGGTCGTCAAATACTCGTCCTTAACGCCTTACATTTGTGCCTTTGGTGCTATTAACATTTTGCTTGACAGGTCCGCGGGGTTTCCACTCATCGTAGTCCTCGGTCGCGGTCGGGCTGCAGCATTGGGGTGTAGTCAGTCAAGCATGAGACACCGGACGAGACAGAACGTCAACATACGCAGTGCTCGGCGGTTCGGTGTTTTCGGTACTATATAACAAATGGCATCTCAGCTGGAATTTTTGGATCCGAGCCAAACGGACCCACGTACCCCCGGGTTACATGCGACGTCGGCGTACTGTCTTCCGGCGGTGTCGGCTCGACGCGCGGAGACGTCGCCTCGCCCACGTCCGACTGGGGCTGAGTAACACTAGGCAGAGCTCTCGAATTACGAGACATGTGTGACTGTGAGAACGCTACCACGCACCTTTGGTGGGCTGCCATCTAGTAGATCGGGATAGCGAAGCTCGTGTGTGGTGTACTGTGCAAGTACTGTGCGCACGAATGGTGCGTAGGCAGGATGACCTTGTCGAGGTCGACGACACAAGATTTCTGATATCTGACCGGAATCTAACCTCGCCTTCGATGGTTATCTGCCTTCGAGCACCTGAGTGGCGCGCTTCATGGCCAGGCGCGCCCAAGTCGCGCCTCAGCATCAGGCCGCCGAGTGGCGCCCCCGAAACAATGTTGCCGACGAAGATGGAAGTGAGAAGAGAACTACAGTAAAGATTCTTAGGACCGCCTCGAAGAGGCCTTGAACCAGTGCTAATATAGGTTCGTGAATGGTACACGCACGACGGGTAGAGGGCGCGGGCAGGGGCAGTGGCACTGCAGGTAGGCAGTGTCACCCTGTGACAGAAGGCTTAACCGCTTGCTCGAAGGCTGGGCCAGTGCCTGCGACACTGCCCAATCGCGGCGCATTTGCCCGTGTGGTGGAAGTTATGTAGAACCGCCGCACGCTCGGGTGTCTGGCGTTGCTGTGACGTTACTAGGAATCTAATTGCAAATAATTGGTGGCCGTCACGTCCCGTGGCACGTTAGACGCCCGTTGCGACTTGGCTGTGTCGTCGGCTTCTGCAGGTTGCACCTTTGTTGCCCCTTGTACCGATTCCGAAACAGTCACGTATATATAGCTGTCGCTGTCTCTACTCCCTAGTTCCATACTTGAAGCTCGAAGCCTCGGCCACTCATCATGCAGACCTCGCAAGTCATCGTCTCGAGTCACTCTCCGAAGAATATCACCCCCACACGTGGCGCTCTCGAGCCAACTACGGTCCTGCGGAGTCGTCGGTACACAAAGAAGGCTAGGTACGACATTCGGCTGGTCGTCGGGAGTGACTCATCTAACAATTCCTGTCCTAGGGTATCCCCAGGGCATACGAACATCCGGGCTGGCTTCTGCTCCTCGGGGAGGGAACCCGAGTGAGTATTGTGCCTCCGCTTTCGACCACTGTGAGCTCAGCGTTTGTTTTCTTCTAGACCGCAGTATCTGCCGCCCGGGTGGTCTGCTTACACGCATCCCGAAGGGCAACGCTACTTCGCCCGAGAATCGAAACCTAGGATCATCACGGAGGCCAATCTCCATTCACTTGCCACCCAAGACCTTGTGGCCGGCTATATCGAGGCGTTCGAACAGCAATGCATCGAGCAGAAGATGCTCGTACCTGATGACGCGGAGCTTTTCTTGGAGCCAGATGTAGCTTCAACTTCGTGTGGTTACTATCTGGTGGATTGCTCGAGTCGGGTCGTCTTCTGGCTTGAGGAGGTGGCTAGCGACATGCTGGACCTACCAGCAACCGTCACCGACTCGCATCTTCGAATTGCTCTGGAGGAGCACTACTGGACACACGTTGAATACTTCGCTATGCACCGTTGCCGCGAAGTGGACTTGTCGCTGGCACAGCTCAAGACCACTCTGCTACACGCACGAGTAGATCAGATGACATCTGCGACTTCCACCTTCCCCTATAACGCCAAGGAATGTTCCGAATTCTTGGAGGTCGTCAAGGCAGCCCAAGGTGTGTACGGCGTCCAGGATGAGCGGCTTTAGCTGAACACCAGCTCAGAATGCGTGCTTGATGGTCACATCGTGGCAACCATCGCTCGTCTGTGGAATGTCATACGTGAGTCGACTGTTCGCAACGTTCATCGTCTAGGATGCTAACAAAAAGGCAACTACAGTGCACCACAGATTTACGATACACTACGGCGAGGAGCACGCCCGTCTCTCACGGGACCAGTCAATATTGGATTGTCCCGCGACAACTCCGTCGCCATTCTTCTGCATCCTCTCGCGGCTCTTCTTCAGAATACCAGAAGCCAATGTACACCAGTTCGACCAGCTGTACGTCGACAACCTGGTCTACGCTGAGCCGTGGCGCGAGGCCATGAAGGCGCACAGAGGCGACTGGCTCCTGCACGCCTCCTGGGCCCTCGCCCTTCTTATGTGCGCATCTATCTCTTGACAGCCAATCACCGCCCGCTGACTCGGCGGCCTCCCCAGCGTTGATGTACTGTCGCTGATCGTTCCGCATGCTTCGCGCCATCTGGCGCTGGCGTCGACGTTGTTCTGCAACATGTCCCTTCTTTCAGCGGTGATCTTGTCCATGAGACATCATTGGGCCACGACCTCCGACGCCTCCGACGCCGTAAGCTTCACTCATTCCATAAGATCCCAGCCGTTCCTGACCAGAGCAATGAACCCGCAGGCGACGTACCTCTCCGAGGCCCGCCGGGAATCGTCTGGCTTCTGCTGGACCGCGTTCGCATTCAGCCTCCCCAAGGCGCTCTTCCTCTGGGCGCTCGTCCTGTCCTCCATGCAGGGCTTCGTGTGGCTCGCGGCTGTCGCCGATCTGTATGCGCTCATTGCAGTACCGTTCCTCCTTGTCGCCATCGCTCTTTGCAGCGGTGCGCTCCCCGGAACGTGGGAGCTGCCCGGTGCACATTTCATCGCCCGTCTTCGCGCCGCCTGCAGGCGACGCCGAGCGAAGGCGGACGAGTGCACGGTGTAGATACACACATAAAATCCCGAAACTTTGGACACACGCCTCCGTTGGAAAATACCCGATTGTGCTTTCTCTGATTCACTCGACCTCGGACCCACCCACACAGACACGCGTGGATACCCTTGCATTTTGTAGTTTACTTTGGCGTGACAAGGTTAGCAGTACTATACACAGATGTATCACTATAGCCCTCCTCCTGTTGCTTCTCCCGGGCGATCGAATAGATGCGGTGGCTTATCCTGTCAGGTGTGCAAGGTCCGGCTCGAAGCGCAGAGGAACTGCGGCAACATTCCCAAGACCCGAGCGGGATCCTCACCTTTTTTGTCGACTCAGGACTCGGCCTCTTCCTGCGAACTTGCTTGCTTCGTGCGCTCATCTGGTGAGTGGTTCGATGCTGTGAACAAGGATTTGGTTGATGACAAGAGGCGGTGATGCATGTTGCGAAATGGCCTAGCACACACTGTCCGGGACCTGACCCTTGTTCCGACTTTAGTCGCGCGCCCGCGAGTGCTAGTGGTTGACAGCCTGGGTTCGAACGTTCATATCCATGCCTCCATTGGGTTTCCTAGGCTCAGTCCCTGCGGGTAGGCATCGTTTGCAATACACATTGGAAATCGCCACTATGATCGGAGTGCTCAATCACCCAAGACAGTGGGCCGCACACTCGCCCCCAGCCACTGGTATGTGCTGTGACTCACCGAAGGCGCGAAGCTCGACCACACTGACAGAAGTCTAACATGTGGCACGTTCTCCTTTCATCTTATCAAGCTAGACATTCATATCCGACTCTCTCACAGTGTTTCACCCCTTGCTTCCCTCCTCATCCGGTAGGTTCCTGCGCGGCGAAGCCCGCGCAGGCTCACGTTCCTCGCAGCATCATCATGGGCACATGGCTCCTGTGGCAGGATCGTTGTGGGAGTCCCGCGGCGCTGTCGTCCTGTACGTCCGTTCGCATCACGTCATGACATTGTAGAGCGATCTCTTCCTGAAACGGGTGGCGATCCGGCGGTGAGTGGCTTCTGAAGGGATGGTGGCTGTTACCTGTGGCGCGGGGCCGACGGGGAGAGGCACATATAACAGAGGGACGACGGCCTGAGTTCCTCGTAGCACCACAATGCCTGGCCTTACCCGCCCACCGATCCGACGAGCTCTCAGCGTTGCGGTGCAGTACACCCACCTCGGGGACCCACATGTCCTTCGCGGTACCCACCACGATCCGGAGGTGCTCACCAAGATATTGACAGGTGGGTTCTCGTACTGCACTGCGGATGTGTCCGGAGGGATGTTGACAGCTCTGAATAGAATTCATGCATTTCAAGCATGAGGATATCGTCATTCTTATGGACGACGAACATGGGAGGTACCAAAAACCGACGCGGGATAATATTGTGAGTGGCGTTTGCGAGGATGTTGCGAGGTCTCTGATCCGCGTGCTACAGCTTGACTCTATGCGCGCCCTCCTGCGAGAAGCCCAGACCGGGGATCATTTCGTGTTCCACTGTGAGTACTCATTCAGTATCCTTTGAGGACATGAGTTCAATTGTATGGATGTGTAGTTTCTGGACACGGGGATCAGATACCTAACGAGAATGGTACTGAAGAGGACGGCCTCGACGAGAGTAAGCGGTGGAGCTTGTGATACTCTCGTCCTAGGTAACTGAATAGCTGGCTGTAGTTATATTGCCGGTCGACGTGGAGCTGTCTCCTGATGGTTCTGCGCTCAAGAACTTCATCATGGACGATGTACGTTATCATGTATTCGTATGCTCAATGCTCGCACTGAATAGATGCGACGCAGACGATCCATGATATTCTCGTAGATCATACTCCGCCGGGGGCCCACTTCATGGTAGGTCTCACCTCGGCTTGTGGATGGTCGGTAACTTAAACCAAGAAAAGATGATTTTTGACTGCTGCCACTCGGGAACAGCTGCGGGTACGTTCATTACCGTTCGCTCGAGAAGTAATTGCCTTCAACGGCGCATTACCTCTAGATCTACCAAATAGCAGCAGCAAGCAGCCACCCCCGAAGAGCGGTGAGTTGGCCTGACCATGGAGAAGTTGGGGAGTTCACTCATGTCCCATTGTGTCTATTAGTCCGAATGCGAGCAACCGCGCACGATGAACCTGGTTCGGAGAAACATGAAAGGCCACACGTCAAGCATAAGATTGATGGGCCTGATGTGGTGAGTCGTGCTAAATGGTCGGTCATCTCGTTGTCTTCATTCTGATCTCGATCATCTCAGACGTCGTGGTCCGCCTGCGCAGATAATGAGAACACTCCAGACAGTCGTACGGGAGGTATCTTCCTGAGGGTCAGTAATGCGCGCGGTCCTATATTTTCAGCTGCTGACATTGTCTGCAATGATCAGAGTTTTTATGAAGCTCTGAGTGAGTGGCTGACCAACCGCGAAATCTGCGCCAATTTTGAAACGAGGATCTGCAGAAATGCACAAGGACGCCACGCGGGGAGAACTCTTGAATGACATTACGTGCGTCGATGTCTTGAGCATTGTGCTTCCGGCCTGGTGGCTCATCCTCAGACACCGTAGTAAACGCATAAAGCGCAAAGTCAACATACATAATCGACATCTGTCAGAGCAGCACAATGCCGACGGAGAGACAAATGGCTTGGTCTCCCGACGTGGTGACGAACAGAATGACGAGCCGGACGAGGTGCCGACCCCGTTGCCGACCCCTGAGGTAAGGCATCCGTAACTACCGTACGTCGACGTCTGTCTGATAGATGTTCGTCTAGCTCGCATCCAGTAATCGTCTGGTATGTTCAATGCTATCAGCCCTCGGGACTGCCAGCTGATGTTGGACATTTCGTAGGAGGACACCTACGAAAGTCACGTCCTCGACGAGGATTATCCGGACTAAACCCTTGCCAAGCGCCATACAAAACGTGCTCGCTTGTAGCACATGCCATTTTCTGGGAGGACAAGGACGGAAAGCTCGCGGCAAAGCATCACGAACTATGGGTTGCTTGTGCGGCCTGGATGAGAGGTCGAGAGCTCAGGGTGTACCACGCGGACATGCAGATACGTGATAGATCTCTCAGTGTTGCATATTGTTATCGCTTTATATTTAGTTCATTCTGGATGATCATGAGTGTCAACTTGGAGAACATGCTTGACTATGCTTCGACTGCCCTCGGCTTCCATTGGATTCCAGCGCGGCGCAATGGCATTCGCCTGGCCATTCGTTGTTCAGTCCACGGCTGATGTCGACCTGCATCATCCACCGCGGTGCATCTGCATATGCAATTCGGCGACAGTGGCATTGCAAGGTCCGCCGGTCAAGCAGTAGAGTTCTAGATATAACATGTATGTGTACGGCATAGAAGTATACCTCAGGTCACCGGGACTTGCAGTGTGGTGGCCCTGCAAGGGTCGGACACTGCCCGTCGTTGAGTGCGTTGAGTAGTCTCAGGCCCAAATTTAACACTGAGCGCTGAGCGCTCGAGCGGTTCTCCGGAGCGCCCATGTAACTGCAAGTGGCATATCGTGCGTGGGTGTCGAGTCTAACGCATCCACTCATCGCTCTTCCATGTTCCATGACCTGCGGGTGCCATGGGCGTATCTTTAGACATCACGGAGAAGCCCGCAGTCAGAGCGCGGCGTGTTTCACCTGGCTGAGTAGCTAGAAAGACGGGGTTAAAGGCTCACAGCCTGAGGTACGTACTACGTACCCCCCACAGCCACTGGCCTACCTCGGAGGCCCTTGTACCATGCCTGTTCCAACGAGACCACCGCTCAGAAAAGCTCTTAGTATCGGGGTTCAATACTCTACTTTGAGGCAGTACGATCTAGAGCTTCCTGGAGCATGCAATGACCCGAAGATACTGTCAGACCTGTTAGTTGGTGAGCTGCACAGGTTGCCCTTGCATATTGTCGTATCTCAATTACACCGCTTCCACAGACATTTACGGATACGAGCGAGAACACATCATCATTTTGATGGATGACCATCCGAGTGTTGATCGAAAACCTACTAAGGAGAACATTGTAAGTCGATTTCGAAGGGAGTACACGGCTGTACACACGCTGACTTGTATTCGTATGATGTGCTCAGGAGCGTGCAATGAATGAGTTGGTCGCCGGTGCACAGCCCGGCGATCACTTCGTCTTTCATTATAGGTCGTGCACGTTACTGGGCTTCCTCAGAGACTAAGCGCCTCTACATCGACCAGTCTCTGGGCATGGCGCTCAAGTACCAAACGAGGACGGGACCGAAATGAGCGGATTCGACGATGGTAGGTCTAGTCGGACGCTCTGTCAGAAATGATGGGTCTTATGTCATTCAAGTCATCTGGCCCGCCGACGTGCAATACGATCCTGACGGCGACTTCGAGAACTACATCAAGGACGATGTGAGGTCGCGGTATCAATGACTTGCGAATAGATTGCTCACCATTCTACGACTGACAGGAAATTCACGATGTCTTGGTAGAGAAAGTCCCAGTCGGCGCACACTTCATGGTCAGTATGCCTGTGATCATTCTACTATGCCAGTGTCTGAGCTGAACCCTGCTGGTGCAGATGGTCTTCGACTGCTGCCACTCGGGCACGATGGCCGGTAAGGTGTAATCATTGCAATACGAACGCAAGCGGACTGACTAGTACTTTTCGCATAGATTTGCCATACGACAGCGAAGACTGTCCTCCACCAACGCCTTTGTCTGCGACGTCCAGCACCAGCACAACGTCGACGTACCCAAACATTCAGAATAGTATGTCAGCGTGACTATACACGTGATTGACTGTCTGATCCTTCATCTCTAGTCCGTCTGCGAGGATCGCAAGACGTCCGTGAGTGCTATGTGTTCTCGCAGATACTAGGACGTCGCCTAATGATCTCGTTCAACTCAGATACCGAGGAGGGTCTCCAACGCACCACAGCGCAGGAGGAATTCCACCCCGCCGTTCCTGTCACTCACAACCTGGACGACGATGCGCCAGCCTTCGCTGATATAGTGAGTGTACACCCTTCTCGCGATGGGTAGTTACCTACTACAAGTCTTTCCAGACCGCCTTGTCTGCTTGTGCAGATTCACAGAGCACACTGGGATCGTCCAAAGGGGGCCTCTTTATCAACGTGAGATTCCGCTAGTAGCGACGTGGTTCTGCGAGTGCTGACTCACCGTCGTCTCAGGCTCTAGCGAATGCTTTGCGTGAGTGCCAGCCGTTACAGATATGGAAAAGTGGTGCTGACGCCCTCCAAGGGCACAACCCGAAGGCGAGTCATGCAGAGCTGCTGAGTAGTGTATCGTACGTCAAACCAAAACTAGGTACACACCGTGTACGTGTGCTGACTCTTTGTGATCACCAGGCATGAGATCGCGAAGATCACTGCCAAGATCAACTCGCATCTCACCAGCGGTGAGCATTTTGAGATTACGCCGGAGGTGTGTTCTCCATATGTCTTCTGACTGGGTGTAACCTGACTCAACTTCCACCCAGATGGAGAGTTTACAGTCCATGGTACGTCCTCTGAGTATGTTCGACCAGACATGTCATTGACCACATGTGCCGTTAGCGGGACGTGATGCAGACGCCGCTCGATATCTGAGGCATTTGTTCTATCCTTTTTTGTACCCTCATAGCTCTCTTCCGGTGCCTCCGCAGTTGTATCTTCAACTTTCGATCATCTCGTACTTTGTGCCTGTCTGCCACGCAGCTTATAATAGACCTCGTTCTGTAAGTGGTTCTCGCTCAGCCTCCGCCGTATGATCGTCGACCTGCGCTGACAAGGCCCATCATCAGAATAATTAGTTGTACTCTATGAGCAGCTGCTCTTTGATTCCTCCTATTAATTGTCAATCCTTTGATGTTCGCGAGGCCCCCCTAGTCAGAGGGATTGAAGACAAGCGACCGTCAAATGGTCGACGTCCGCGCTCGCTCTATAGATTCCTCAAATATACTACAATCAATTGTAAGGCATCGCGGCCTCAATTGACCGTATTGTTTGGCAGGGATGGACCGAAGCCGGGCAGAAGCACCAGGGTCCTCAACCTCGTCTACCCCTCTGCGGTGCACATGTCCGTCGTGAAGGCATGCGTCAACTTCGAAGTATCAAAACGAGTGACCATCTCTTTGCGCAGGTCAGCTCGTTCTACACGTCTCGCCCGCTCGCCAGATCTTGATGCCTTCTGGAACAGTGGACACGCCCTGCACGGAGCGGGACGTCCGAACAACCCACGGACTTTGAAGAGTGGATCGCTTGCTGACCTTTTACTGCGAGCAACGGCCCTCGTGGCCCACACAGTATCTACAGCCTGAGAGCAAGCGCATCTTGTATGTTACCCTTGCCTCACCCGCCGCTACATTCCATGAAGACCTGAATAACCGCAGTCTCGTCCGCCTACCGCGATTGAGTGCCAGTGCCAGTGCCGTATCTCATTCAATGAGTAGCGAGACCGTCGCGGAGAATACTCTCGTCCCGGTCTCACTCAGTTTTTGCGATGACCTCTCGGTCTCAGGCGGTCTCTCTCATCTGCACGCTGCTATGGGGAGTGGCAGTATTCCGGTACGAGGGCTCAGTTCACCGTCTCTGACCCTGAGCGCTCATTCGGCTGATCTTGACGTCCTCAGGCTGGCACCTTTTCCGGAAGTCGTGTGTCATGTAGAGCCCCGCCGTGCGCGTATATAACCAAGGGCCCGGTAGGACGCCGGGCAATAACAGTTCCCCTACCACTTCAAGCTTTCTCTTCCAGTGTGCATCATGAAACTCATCTTCAGGTACGCGACGTTCTGTGAGCCTGAGGCTTGCGTTGCTCATGCTTAGCCCATATAGCTCGCTTTTCGTGCTCCTAGTATCGGCTGCGAACGCCCTGGTACTCGACGCGCCCCCGGCTTCCGGCTGGAAAGCGAAGGAGACCGTCACCGAAGGCTGGCAGTCGAGTGCCGCGGATCCTCCGTCGTTCACCTTGATGCTCTACACGGGCACGGCGGGGGAGACCTTCTTCCTCGGTAACCATCAGACTGCCGACGACACGGCGACCTTCACTCTTCCTGGAGTCTCCCCTGGGTGAGCTCTGCTTCCATTGCATCGGCCGATGTGTTGATTGATAACCGGCATGTCACGGTACGGTAGCTCTTACCATCTCGGCGCGGTTAACACGACGTGAGTATGTTCGATCTGCTCTGATACTCACTGGTTGACAGGCCTTCTACTACAGAAACCTTAACCAGGTCTGGGCTGTTACCGGGCAGTTCAACATTACGGCTGCGTGATGTGCGCGACACCAGCTGGCTAGCTGCAGTGTTGAGAGAGGTGTAACGGACGCGTCGCCGGTGTAAAGTGTCTCCTCGGAGACATGTGGCGCGGTACTTTTGTGCTTTCTCGATAATTGGCATCATTATTGGTGCTTCGTGCTATGATGCTTGCTTCGACATCGGTCTATGGCTCCTACCCGTGCTTCTGAGCATAAGAAATGCAGGTACTAGTACAGTGTGGTGAGCGAGACCTGGTTAGCAAAGTCTGGGCCTCCATCATTGCACGGAATGCTCGAGCGCAGATGCTGTATTTTTTGTTATCCAGGGTGCAGTGACAGCTCGCCAGCAGGCCTTCAACGAACATGAGTTATGTACATGCATCAGTAAGTGGGTTGCTACATCAACGCTATGACGTCACACGGTCCGATGAGCGTTCGCTCAAGATGCGATCTGTATTAGGCGCCCAAACCGGGCTTGGTAACCTTTGGTAACTTAGTCTCGGTTCAAGTTGTGTTTGTCTAGTACAGTCCCCAATACGCGACAATACCTAAACCTCTCGCAAAGCTTGCGCTTGCGCACGGCCTGAAGGTGCACGTACAAATCGCGAAGTAAGCTCGCAGAGCCTTGACAACGTCTATTAGAGATCATTACCAAACAAACATGTCTTCAAACGGGGCGACAACTTCATGAACTGCGTGGTCGCGAAGACTTCTCAGCGATCATGCGTGCAGAGGAGGATGCTCAAGCTCACGTATGATGCTACCTCCCCAGCAAAGGCTGCAAACGGGCACTGTCGTACGTCTCTTTCTCTTCCCTCTTCTACCACCCCTGTGCAGCGACTGTACAACCCGACACGCAAACTCTCTCGTGCAACCGGACGGCGGCTCGCGGTTGTCACTGCCCGGACCGTCGTTCCTACCACCGCCGCACGTCGTCGACCACTCACGGCCCCTACGCCAGGGCCACTTCTCATACAGACTGCGTACCATGTAACAACGTTGGCACACTCGAGTTCGCCGTGGCCTGCAGTCGGGGCTCGACTCGCGTCTTGCAGCAGTTTGCGTGCGAGACACCGCAGACGTCGCGCCGGTGGGATGACGTCATCATGCGAGTCGACAGTGACACTGCAGCCTTCCAAATGCGGGCTATTCGCGTACGGATCCGTACGCGAAACCGCGTCACGTCCTCTCAGTCACTGCAACTGACCTCGCGTCTCCCAGCGCGTCCTACTCCCTTCGCCATGCCCGCTACGGCAGTCCCCCATCCACCGCTCTGTCGAGGCGGGAGAGCTCTTCAACCAGGCAGCCAGTCAGGCTCTGCTACGGTGCTACTCCGCACATCCTCGTCCGTCTGCTCCGTACCGCACCTGCCCTCAGTATCTCGTCACCGGCCTCCTATCTCAGTACGGCCCCCGTGGATGCTGACTTTTGCTACAGGACGCCGCCAGTGACTCAAGGCGCCAGACGCGCAGCAGTGTACATTCGGCGAGGCACAGGTCCAACTTCATCTCATCCAGACTACAGATCCCCTCGCTCTAAGTAGCGTCGTATCACCGTTTGGTCTGTCAGGAAGGCCCCGAAGCTCTGAAGAAGAGCCAATATCAGCCTCCGAGTCCTTTCGATCTCGGTTATATGTCCGCCGTGGAAGTAAGTACGCATTCGTTATGATCTGCGCGTCGTGGAAGCGCTAACAAGAGCTCATTATCACATCTCGTGGTACCAGTGCGTGAGTGTTCACAGGCATCGCTGTGGTCCTTTAAGATCTGTTCGCGATATTCATGGGTGCTGGAGACAGTACGGGCAGGGCAGTCCGTCGGCACGTTCCGCAGTGAGTCGAAAGCGGATCGTTGGCCCTGTACACTCTGATCATGAGCGAGTCGCCGTACAGCGTCTTCAGAGCGTTGTTGTCTTGCAAGTCGTTCTTTCGCTTGGTGAGCGGCCATTAGTACTTACAGGACGTAATGTGCTTGGCGAGGGCACTTTGGCTCATCTATGGGCGCACATGTAGGCTCTTCGCGGTGAACGCACGGAACACCACATCCTAGGCTGCCATTGAACCCCCGTGTATGCAGAGGCGAGAAGCACCGGTAATTGCTGTTTGGCAGGGACGTCACCATGCACGGGGGTATCATACCCCAGCGCAGGCCACTCTCCCCTGGACAGAAGCTCCTTGGCTGAGTGCGGCATTTCGAGGCGAGTCGAGACTGCTACGGTCTCAGGCGGTCTCTCTCACGACCGACAAGCGCTGTCTACAAATGATTGTATTGCGGCATAAGGGCTAAATTCTCCGTCTGAGCGACATACACCGTGTTGCCTCCTGATCTCGGGCGCATATAAGCAGTCAGACCTAAGTGGTACGGATGCTAGACAAGTCTTGCATTCGCACGCGATGAAACTCATTCTGAGGTACGTATCATACCATTCTCGCCGCGAGGGTCGACACACTCATACCCAGTCTCTACAGCTCGCTGTTCTTAGTCCTCTCTGCAGCCAATGCGCTCATACTGGATAACCCCCCGGCTGCCGGTTGGGCATCTGGGGAGACAGTCACGGAGCACTGGCAGACTCGACCCGCAGACCCCGCCCACTTCACTCTGACTCTCGAATCATACGCGTCGAGGGGAAACCACGCCCTCATCGCCATCGTCGAAACCGCGCCGGGCTCCGTGACCTTCACCGTGCCGGATGTCAGTGCGGGGTGAGTCTTCGATCCGAGTCGTGAATGGCGTCGAGCAGGATGTCCGAGTCCGCTGACGATCGTGATATGGAAGGGACTACGTTTTGAACGCAGTGAATATGACGTCGGTACCGCTCAGTCGACTGTCCACGTACGCTGTGCATTGACGTCTCTTCTCCTATAGGGATGACAATGACATCTACGCTCAGACCGCACCATTCGCCATCTCGCAGTAGAATGTACCTTTATCTGGGAGGTCTCTCGGGAAGGGATGGACCTCATGTATGACCACGCAAGGTCACTTGTGTGGACTGGCTACTACGGGAAAATGTGGTGTTCGATGGATGACCTTCGCCGTTCGGATATGATACACGCGACTGGCGTGCTCTCCCCCTGTTTGTCGCAGCATTTTTTTTAATAGAAGATTGAGTTCTCGTTTTTGCGACCCAACTTGATGACTGGCAGCGACTCGAAGTCAGTGCTATGCCCGGTTAGGACCAAGTCGCGTAGATTTCGAACATATGTCAAGATCATACCCCTGGTACATGTCTACAACATCATACGGTTTGCTCAGAATGCTATCTCGATTGGGCGCTGCAAGCGGGTTCGAAGGATCAAGCGCGCTGGTACGTGCTACTAGTAAGCTATTAGTATACAGTCTATATCACAGCAGTGCATCGTCATGGTCCAGGGTCATGTCGCAGAAGGATCATCGCTGAAGAAATTGCCAGACAATGCGGAGGTATGATCGAATTCCTGCATCGCCTCACGGTGGAGTCCGTAATTGCCCAACACTCGCATCACTTCCTCCTCGTCGTACTCTCTCGGCTGAAGCAGGTCCGCATCCGGCGTCGGCGGTAACGTCTGGAAGACCGCCCTCGCCAGACTGACCTGGCTGAGATACGTCGTAAGATCTACCCGCGGCGGGTAGCGCGGCTCGCACTCCAGCATGCGCTCGATGGAGCCGTGCGCGCGTATGAACCGCAGTGCGCGCGCGGGGCCGACGTTCTTGATCCGTTGGGAGAAGTCGGTCCCAAGAAGCAGCGCGAAGTCGATGAAGCCGGCGCGGTCGAGCTGCAGCGTTGCGCGTACATCCGTACCCGATATCACGAGTAAAGGCCCGCTCCGGTTGGCGATATTCCGGATGAGAGGTGCCTCGTAGACGAGGACATCCTACGAAAATTGCGTGTCAGCTCTCACTCGGTAACACAAGAGCGAAGGTGCCATACAGTGTCTTCGCTTGCGACGTAGTCTGCGTACCCGTGCAGGACGAGGGAAGAAGCGAGCGCCTCAGCCTCGAATGGTCCTGTTGATTCGATGCACGGGACACCCATAGCACGCAGAATCTCCTTGCTCTCCACATACGTCTCCGCCGTAGGTGGGTGTGTGCGCCGCTCGTAGGACTGGGAGATGATATTACTCCTCTCCGCTAGCCCCGCAAGCTCGTGCTCAACGGTGTCCGCGCCTAGCTGGCTCGGCTGAGCGTCGGATAGGTGGTCCCAGAACACGCCCTCTTCCATCGTCAGCTCGTGCTGCCGCTTGGACATCGCGTGTTCTGTTTGCGCTTCCTCTTTGAGAGCGGCTTTCTCCTGCTCCGATACAGTCTCGACCGCACTCGTCGCGGGAGCAGTGGCGGGAAGGGCAGCCAGCTTGGGAAGGCTTTGTCGGTACTGGTAGTATAGTGAGGCCAGCGCCGACGGGATCTCCTTCGGGTCCGGAAGGGGCATGCTGTAGTTAGCCTCGAAGCGGAACGCCTTTGGAGCTGCCTCCTGGTGACCCTCGTCTGCCGCATCCTGGGTTTCGTCAGGGATATTTGTTTCCCTCGGGGCCTCGGTACCGAGTGACAGGCTTTCGCTGAGTTGTGCAGAGATCTCCCGCATCCCAGCATCGTCGTCTGTGAGGGTAACTCCGGGGTCCTCGGAGACATCTTCGCTAGGACCTTCCCGGTCGGGCTCCACGGGGAGCGCATCGTGAACATTCTCGTGATCCTCCTCGATGTCAGTCTCGTCCACATCGTGATCCTCCTCAATATCAGTCTCGTCCACATCGTCCTCGAGACCAGTGTCGTCCACAACATTGGCATCTGTATCGGCGCTGGAGACGTGCTGACTTACGAGTGCGGCAGTAGGCTCTAGCTTGAGTAACTCCGAGATGTCAGAGTTATCGAGCTGTCCGAAGGTTTCGTAGGGTGTTATGAAATTTCGGATGATATGCTTCGGTAGCTCCGGTTCATTGACGGTCCTCCACGGTTCAACGGCAGGGAGCCACGATGGTACCGGAGGTGGCTGAGCGTTCGGCTGGCTCGTTAATTCCTGCAAAATGGCCGCGACCTGCTCCTGCGCTGGACTGCCTAGCGTCCGCAACATCCGCAACAGGCCGGCCAACTTTCGCAAACGCTCCAGCCGTTCAAGCTCGAGGGCCCCACGTGCAGCAGTCATCCTGCGGATATGCCGTCTGCGTTCCATCTTTCCAAAAGTCAGGTGGCAGGCCTGTTAACAGGTGCAGGGGGACTCACCTCCAACTCCTTGGCCAGACTGCGCTCCTTCCCATCAAAGACACAAATGGCACGCACATTGCAGTCTATCAGTTCCTTCATGATGCGATACCAGCCCAGGACATGCCGATGCCGATGAGGCATGGGCGCAAAATGCAGGCGCTGAGTGATGAGGGTGCCATCGCTGCAAACAGGTTGGTCCTGACGCCAAGACACAACGAAGGGGCACTCACATAACAACGGTCCTCCCGCTCAAGTCCCGTAACCTGTTATGGAGCGTCCTGATAGCTTCGGGGCTGCAACACGTATGAGTTGACCATGACGTCCCAGTACGAATTTCACAGCTCACCAGGTCTTCTGAATGAACGGCGTCAAGCCCAAAACTCCCATGCGAATTACAGCTCACTAACCAAGGCACGCTATCCAACAGTACTGTCCATGAAATGAAGGGTAACAGGTCTGGTAAAAAGCACAAGTCAAGGTCGATGTCAAGGACTCGCAGGCAGTCGCAGGCCTGAGTTCGCGCCACAACCTGTGCCACATTTGGCAAGTGGGACAAAACTGTAGTTCCGATTCGCAAGGGCCCGGGATCCGAGCGTTACACTGGCATGGTACGCGTTTCTCTCCAAGTGCTCTCCAAGTAGGGTGCACATAATAGTCCACCTGGAAACACCAGCCAAAGGATACTACCTCGGATGAACAAACGCTGGTCACAACATGCTACGTACGCCGTAATCATAGCAGAACCAGCGCGCTCATTGGTAAGATGACTGCTGGCTAACTTCTTGAAGGGCTTGAAGTTGTGTCAACTGTTCAAAACACTCCAAGTTCAATTGGAGTCGCCTGAGAGGAAGGTCTCCAGACTGTGGCAATTGTTGGACGATTTTGCGCGCTTGACTTGGACACATTGGCATGCCAGCCTAGGCTCCTGCCAACTACAAGTACGCCCTATCTTGGTCGACGCTGGACAGGGAGGACCGAAGCGGGACGAGAACGTTGAGTGCGAACAGGACAGAACCCTCGGCTGGAGCGTTTAATCGCATAATGAGCCCGCAGGTTCATACACCCAACGGTGGCATTGTCAGACTGTAACACATCGCAGTGAGGCTGACATCACTTGGATTGCACGAAGAACGTGCATACGAACCCGATGACGGTGTGTGATAGTATGGACTCACGGATGCTCACCGAAGTACAGCTACGGTCGTTCCGATGTCGCCGGCTCCATGACAGCAGCCACTGCAGTCGACGAGCCGGATACAATGATATTAGAGGATGGACCTTCCTGTACATTTTCAGACGTGATAGCGCGGGTTCCCTGCCTGAGTAGAACATAAATTCTTTATCCAGCTGTACACGTCCAAGTATGGCGCAAGTCAACCGACCGCAAGGCGTATGAATGCAGAGGAGTGGGCGGAACTATGGTCGGGGAGGAGGAAGTCCGGAAGACGCGGCACCGATCTCCGTGAGCCCCGCGAGGGGGTCGAGCTTGCCGTTGAACACAGGAAGGTACGCGGCATTGGTATAAGGACACCGCACGGACGATGAGCCCTTGTAGATGGGCGTGTAGCTCGCGGCGCAGATCTCGAATTCAGTGAATTCGTCGTAAGAGATCTCTACGGCATCGCGTGGGTTACGGTCACCAGCGGCGATGCGTTGCCGAGCCTTATAGCCGACAGCGTCAGCCAGTGTCAAGAGAGAAGAGAGCCATACACACCTGCGCGACAATTTTGGGATCCGGGTTGAGCTCCAGGAGCCGTCGAGCGAATCTTGCTGCAGTGACGTGGTTGTTCGCTTTCGCAAACACGCCAATGGCACTACGCAGCGCGATCTGCAGATGCGGTGGCGCAAGCTTGCAGTGGGTGAAATATGCTGCGAGTTCCAAGCTTCGCCGTACGTTGTCAGGCTCGTCCTTGGTGACTCGTCTGCGCTCGATTTCCAAGCTTACGCCGAGAAGGTACTCTTTGGACATGGTCACCATATCCCGCCACTAGTGATGCATGAGCACTAACATAGGATCAGTCTGAGATGCGGTACGCACAAGCTTAGCATCCTCGTCGGACGCGATCGGGACGAGCAGCAACTCGCGCAGTACGGAGCGGAAGGCATCCTGCGATTCTGGGAGCTTTGCGCCGGAAAGCAACCTGCATCCCTCAGTGATCTCTGCGCGCGATGCGGCGAGCGTCTTGACGACAACAGGGAGCACTCTGCTGGAGGACGCTTCTTGAGGGTCACGTCTCAAGTGCAGCTGTAGAGGGGGCAATGACGCGAGAGGCGAGAGGTAGACGTGCGCCGAGCGATAGGTTGAGAGGAAGAGTGGTTTGAGGTGCACGAAGTTGACGACTCCGAACTGCCTGTTCAACAACTGCAACCGGCGTTAGTGCTCCGAGCCAACCGACTCGTCCAGGGGACTCACCTGCATCGCGGTGTCGAAGGATCCAGCAGCCACATGATCACCAGCGAATGGCGAGTTGCGTGTCCAGAGTTCTGTCTCGCTGATGCCGGGTGCAGCACCCGCTCCGAGCTCGACTTCTTCCTCTGGTAACTCTTCCTCCTTCTCTTCTTCGGGCTGAAGCTCGTCGGTATCGGGAGCAAGGTCCCACGCATCCTCCTCCACTTCCACGTCCTCCACTTCCTCCTCCTCCTTAGCCCATTCATCAAGAGCTGAAGATGCAGCTGCACCTGTCGTGTCATAGCCATTCACGTACGGAGCAGCCGCATCATCTTCCAGATGTCCATTGGCAAGAGCACGGTCCCAGAAGCTGTCACCGGTCGAGAGCGAGGGCCAGGTCAAGTTCTCTGTGGGCGTGATTACTGGCGGAGGTCGCAATGTCGACGGACCGAACGACGGGACGTCATCAACGTCTGCTTCCGTGAGGCCAGCAGCCTCGAGGATTTGCAGAGCGATGTCGTCGAGCCCGTTCGTCTTGGCGGTGAGGTAGGCAAGAGGATCTGACAGCATGTTCAGTCGGATATGCACAGGAGGCCACGGAACAAAGAGACGCACGGAGGCCGACATCACGCAACACCGCAATGCGCCCCAGAATATCGCCCGAATACAGCGCATTGTGGAAGCGGGACATGGGGTCACCTCTCGAATCGGCGATCTTCTGCATCTTCAGCAGCTTATCGGCGCTCCCGGAAGCAAGGTACAAGAACGACAAGCGGTCGAAGTTCTTCGTTTGCTGATAGGCCTTCTCGACGATCTAGGGTAGTCGGGTCAGACTCCGGGACAGCATGATCGGTAGCCGAACAGGTACCTTGTGGTTACCCTGCTTGAGGGCTTGTTGTGCCAGTCGCTCCCAACATTCAGGACGATCGAGTGTACGGGCCATTTCCAAGGCAACATCGATATTTCCACATTCGATAGCGAGATCGAATCGCGTGTTCTTGTCTTGTACGAAGTGCAATGCGATCTACAACGTATGGTTGAGGTACAAATGCAATGACGTGGTGACGCGTGCATACCTCCGGGAAACCCTTCTGCTGCAGGTACGCGATGATGCTCTGGCCCAAGAGGGTGGAGGTGCGGATGATATGCAGCATCTCCTCGTGATTGTTGCGGAGCAAGGCCAGCTTGAACCGGTACTCCGTCGGGTCAATGGTGATGGTCCTTGGGCGTGCGGATCGGTCAAGGCAGTGTACAATCTTACCCTTGACGCGGGTCAAGTATACGGGGTTGTCGAGAGTGCAGATGACACCGTGATCACTACGGCAAGTAGAATAAGCATGCCGGGTCGTGAATCGAACTGACGGTACATACCCCTGCGCGAGGCAGTACTTGATGTGATTGAGAGTCGAATAGATGAACACGCCAGAGTCGTCCCAAGCACCAGACTTGATCCGGATCGTCTCATGGATAAGCGTATGTTGCGAGAAATTCTTGTTCGCAATGGTGATCGCTGACAACGAGAATCAGTGTGATCCTGACACACCGCAGGATAATCGCGTACTGTGCTTGCTGAGAAGGGCGACCAGAGTACCGTCCGTGCTCCACACAACATACTTGACGGGCGGGGTAGTGATCTCTGCGAGCTTCTTCTGCTGCTGGATATCGTAGAGCAGCACAGACGTCGCTGAACTGAGAATGAGGCTGGCAGTACCACCGTAGAAGATCTCGCTTGTCTGAACCGGCGGCTTGATGGACTTGACGATCGAGTTTTGCAAATCACGTACTTCGATCAGCTGGGCATATAAGAGCAGGTCATGACGCATGTTCTAGTTTGTCGGAGAGGAACGAACCTGAGCGGTCTTGTTCAGGATCGCGAACCTGTTCCTGGCGACAAAAATGGCGGCGTGCCCAATGCCTCGCTTACCATCGGTCGACGAGTCCTTCACCTCCCCAACAGCATCCTTCGGCAGAGGTGTGAGCTCGAACAGACCGTTGTCCGACGAGATCGTCAATACGACGGCACGCTCAGCAGGGTTGTAGCTCAGTGTCCGCGGGGGCATGTACGGGCTCCCGAACTTGCGGACGCTGAGTAGACCAATATCCGAGCCCGTATTGATGTCGTAGGAGCGCACATACTTGTCCCGAACGTAGAAGACAGAGTCGCCGTGTACTGCGAAGGCAGGCCGTTCACGCTCAAGCTTGAAGACGATCAGACCGTTGTCGTGACCTATACGTCTCTCTATTAGCAAAGGGAGGGGGTCGGTAGTCAAAGACGAGCGCACCAGCCGCAAAGAGGTTCAACTCCGGATGGGCAGCAAGGGTCCAGAAGCGGTCGTTCTCCCGCCGGAACGTCTGCACAGCAGATCGTTTCGTCAGGTCCCACACGCGTACAGTCTTGTCCTCGCCGCACGACACGATGAGCTCATGCTTGGGATGGAACAACGCGGTTGATACGTTGTTGAAGTGCCCCCTGCACGCGTCCACCTCCCAAGCCTTCGTGTCGCTCATGCGCCAGATCTTGATTTGCCGGTCATCCGCAGCAGAGACGATGAGGGGAAGGGTAGGATGGAACGTCGCGTAGTTGACACCGCGGTCATGGCCCTCGAGCACGTACTTGACAGTTGAGAACGTGTCGAAAGTATCGAAAGTGCCTCCTGGTGCGGAGTTGGGGGTGCTCTTCCTCAGCCCGGAGATGTCCCAGACGCGCACTGTCTGGTCTTGCGACGCAGAGACGACGAGGTCTTCTTTCGGATGGAACTGCGCGGACATGACATAGTGCGAATGGCCGGTAAGGATCGCAATGCAGTTTCGCGACGTGCTATTCCAGATGCGGATCGTCTGATCGTCCGAGGCTGAGATCTGAGAGCAGATTCAGAAGAGCATCAACGACAATGGAGCAACTACTTGCAATCCAGGGCATCTCATGATGGAACTGCACAGTTCGAACGTAGTCCAGGTGACCGTGTAGCGTGAAGAGACAGCGGCGGTTCTGAGGCCGGATGTCTGAAGTGCGTCAGGAAGCGCATACACGGCGACACGACCAAAACGCACCCCAAACTTTGATTTTGTAATCATCTCCTCCCGTTACAAGCAGCGCACGACTTGGATGGATGTGTACGCCGCGCACAGGTCCTTCAATTTCCGTCAAGCACGCCGTCAGAGCAATGAGGGGGAGAGCCGCGTACCTTCGTGCTCCTCAAATCTGTCCACCAACACACCCATTCGGTAGTTCCATAGTTGCACGCTCCCGTTATGCAGAGATGCTGCGAGGAGAGGCTGAGTTGGATGGAATGCCAGACCTCGTACTGACTTAGTTTCAGCGTGTTCGCTACCTGCCAGGAGATGGTCGCAAACCTTTCACCCTATTGCTCTTTGACTCAAACTTTGTGAGCATAACAGACATGACGGGCGAACAGAGTAAGAGAGCGATTGATAGAGGTCTAGAATAATGAGGATGCCAGAGCAAGCCGCTGGCGACGGCGGCGACGTGGTGTTTGCTGTGCGCGTAAGTTACAGCAGCGTACGGTGTAATAGCGCCACGTGGCTCGTGTCCAATTGTGGAAATCGTCAGTATCTCAGAATACTTACTCCAGCTGCACAACAACTGCGATTGAGTGAAGAATCATCCGTCCCACCGCACAGGATTCCACACATTCAACACAAAAACCGGCGTGCGCACCGCATGAAATAGACGAAGACGGCAAGTGGTCACGGTAGTGGTGTGCGGTACCAGCGCATACTATATATCATGGGTAGTACTATGACAGCTAGGCTCGCTATCAGTACAGCTACTAGCCTGAGTATCATACATGTTTTCGTTTGGCCAATTCCCCCGTGGCATCCACAGTTCAGCGAACGCCGTGATCGCTAACAAATACCCTCTTCGAGTTCATCGTAAATGTACATTTCTTGAGTCGCCCGATATGGCAATTGCTCTGACCGTCTTTGCTCGTGGCTGTGCTGCACTGTGACTGTGCTATACACCGATTCACCGAACCGCCGCGTCCGCAGACTGACAGTGGCAGACATCCGTGGGGCAATACACAGTGCAGAACTTGTATACATAGTACATCTGCTCTTTCCTCTACCCTCTGTCATGTTCTTCCTGCGGAAGTGACTTACATCTGAGACCGCCGTCTAACTTGTTGAACATGCCCTCCCTCAGGCTCGTCCCTTTGTCAACGGCACAACCTTCGAGTACGCCTCAAACCGGAGGCTATGCAACCTCCCAGGACAACCCCAGCAGGATACTACGATCCATATCCGCCTCCCCTTCCTTCATTCGGCGCGGTTGCGATCATCAATCCTTGGCCGGTGAAATGGATTGGAATGTCTTCCAGACATCCAGCACAGGATCCGCAGTAGAGCACCAGAGCTCCGACCCAGATGAGAACGCCGCCGTACCAGTCGGTGTGATAGCTGAGCCGACCGAAGGCGACAATGCTAATGTACACGAGTATGCGCAAGAGGGAACCTCGGGGTCCAATAAGTTGCAGCCTACCTCGCCCGACTCTGTTTTGATGGCAAGATATAAACATAGACATTGCTTGTAAGCGTCGAACCTATGCCAGGCATCTTCTTCGACTTGTGTACTGATTACCTTCAGGGGGAGAGATCCCCTCAGTTCTGACATAGACAAGATACCTCCGATGACATCATCATGCCAACCCTTTCAACCGTGAGCAGGACGCCTGAAACATCCGTGGTAATGTTATCTGAGCCACGTTCGCGTAGTCCTGTCTCGATTTCCCCATGGGCACCTCAAGGACATCCTGAAGGTCAACGATACTTTACAAAGTTGATAAACGTGCGTGTTTATCGCGGCTTATGATGAACACTGATGACGGCAGCTCCTTCAACAGGATATTCGCTATCACACCGACCACTATTTTGAAGATGAAGCATCTCTGAACGTGATCAATGAACTCGCTGCCGCTCTACACTCTGACTTGCGCAAGCACCCAAACCTACCGGCAGACATCGAGGTAGTCTTGCACGTGTTCAAGAACGAGCAAAATGAGATGGAGTGTTCGTATTACCTCGCTAGCGAGGCAGAGCGCTCCGTCTTCTGGTTAGAAGAGGTGGACACAACTCTCATCACAGAGAACTTCCGGCCAGTACGAAATGCATCCTATCTGAGTGAGTTGTCATGACGCGCACACGCCTACTGTACACTGGTACTAAACGTCAGAGGTGAGTAGGCAATATACTTGAATATCAATATTGGTCGGCTTATCCTAGGTACGTGTCTAACGACGTCCGCGACATGGATGCTCACATATTATTTGAACAGCACTTCCCGCTCGATGCATTGACTGATACTGATAGAATACAGGGAACACGTTGATCTCTACCCGCATGGGCGTATTGTAACGGCAGAGTTGCTCAGTGACGTGAATGAGACACTGAATACATTCGCCTTTGGTGAGCATTGCATTATGGTAGACATCCTGTAATAGAGGTAATCTGACGCCATCTTCACGCTTGCGCTTATAGACACTATAACATCCATCACTTCGACATCCCCTTGGGACTACAGCGAACTTCAAAAGATTCTATCTGTCTCGCGCAACATCGCAGGTGACAAAGCCCTGAGGGTCATCTCGTCGCACATCTGATTTGTGGGTCATTGCAGTTGGAGCTGGAGCTCAGTCAATATGGGTATTAGGTGAATTAGTTCTATGCTACTCGCTCATTCCTTTGAAATCTGATGTATTTCTTTCAGCGAGAATCAAGACTATCATCTGTAGATCCAGCAGTACATTCAATGGTGTTCAATCACTGACCCGATCTACAGTGTGGGAGCGCTTCGTCAATATGCACGGTCTACGGGAGGCACGCTTAGAGCGGCACAGAAGCGTTTTTGACCAGTCCCCTGCCGAGCCCTCTTGTCTCTTACGACTGATATCTCCCATGTTCTTCAACCTGCCGCTCCAGTATCTCCGAGAACTGGAGAAAATATACGTAGATCGAACGGTGAACTACAAATCATGGTCGATGTTCGTCACGAACCTCCAAAGTGATTGGGGGAACTCTATCACACCCGTGAGTGTTATTTACACATACAAGGACACTGTTTCGCTCACATCTTACATCAATGTTGTAGGCAACAGTACTCTTAACAGCCAACGTTGGTCTACTTGCAATACAGAGTGTTGATACCGGTAACCCGGACCGCAGCGTGGCTCAAATCGCGAGCTATGTTTCGACTTTCCTCAGCCTCGGAAATATCATGCTATGCACCATCCTCGCCCAGCGACATCGCTTAAACGCAAACATGACTGCAGATCTTGCGGTATGTCCAAGGACTCTTTGCGGGTTCTGGTGTCTTACAATTTTTGTCACGCTTCCAGGGCACCTATGTAGACGGGAGAGCAAACTTCCCATACGGGCTTGAACTCGTGGCCGTCTCCTTCAGTCTTCCCAGCGTGATGTTCCTCTGGGGGTATGTCTCATAAGACAGCCAATGAGTAGTGCGTCCGCTCACACGTCCCGCAGATTGGCGGCCTTCTATGTCGCGGTCGCTTGGGTCTGCTTAGAGGGGACAAGCCTTTGGACCCGTCTGCTGAGCGGGTTCATTTTCGCGATGATCACTGTCTGCATTGGCCTCATCGTCGTATTCGACTTCTGGGCCACGAAACGCTTGCGCGTTGAACCGGCTCCGCGAAAGCTCGATCGTGTAGCTTATCCTCGCCAGCTCATGAGAGACGCCTGGGCTTCCGTCCTTGGCGCGTCATCCGTCGTTCGGAAAACGCGCTGTAAAGTACTCCCCCACATATCGAAGCGGAAGAAACGAGCGACCGAAGACCAGGTAACCCGGAGATACCCAAACAGCCAAGCGTTGCCTTTGTGAATGCAGCAAATAACGCTGGATCGTAACAGACTTTCAGCGTCGCATCTGGGTAATCAATGTATTCTTTTGATAGTGACTGGATTATTACCAGAAGTGTATTTGCACCGACCGTGTCCCATTGACATATGCTCTTCCGGATCCATGTCAATAACCTCAATCAAGGTATGTCTGGGTTACACCTTGACCCCCCACCAATCTGTACAGCGTCGCATGAATGCGACGGTGTATTGCGGTGAGTTGGAGTCGATTCCACTATGCCGCTAGATGCTGCCGCTCAACTATTATTCTTGTATCTCGACAGGAACCGGTCCCTGATAGCGAAGTCGGAGTTCAACCGAGGTCACTCTGTGGTCCTTTCCAATGGTGCGTACTGTTATGGCTTGTCACTGCCGATGACATCGAACCCTCGTTCGATTGCTGGTCATAATCGTTGAACCAATTCGCACTTTTGTTCCCTGGCTGGACGCTATGTTTGACTGCTGAATGAATCCTCGTGTGAAGACACGCCCATGGCCAGTAGCCTTGTTGTTGCCACAGCGCTCATAGAGCGCCCTCTCGCAGGTCACAAACGTTCAATACCAGCCGCAAGTCTGCTAATCCGAAGGTCAACGGCTACTACTAGGCTTCTAAGCAACCTGCAAGCAACTATCCATCACATGAGCCCGGGAGGGCGTTTCTACAGTTCTTCTCGCATCATCCCGGCGAGACTTACAATCACCTTCGACGGACCTCCGACTTCCGGACATCCAACCTATCGACGGGTACATGGGTCGCCTACCGGGAGCAAGGCTCGTCGGTGTCATGAACGGTGTATCGTTCAGCCCCTACGAAGGTTCCAGTCTGCATGTGCGCCCGTCGGGCGACTCGGGCGTGGGATATGCATGCAATAGCTTGGGACTCGACTCTCGCGCTGTCCCGGAAATATCGGTCCCCATATGTGCATTAACCTTGTTTTGGCGAGCACGTCAATCACCTCCGGAGGGCCCTGAGTACAGCGGCATCGTTATAAACAACCGACGAGCGGTAGCAGTACCACTCTGACTTTCCTTGGACTTTCCTGTCAAACCTTGTCTGAACAATCCGTCGTTGATAGATTCGCTCCTCCACCAAAGGCTGCTCACGGCCCGGGCGCGTGTCCCATGATTACTGAGTTCTTGTTGTTGCGTTCAAGGATATCAAGTAGCCGCCGACATTTTCGCCTCCGCTCCATTAAGCGGCTACTCAGCGGCCCCAGCCTCGGTACCGGGTAAGCACTATCATCATGTACGGCATACCGTTCCGGAGAAAGCTAGCCTCGCTGAGCGGCAGCCACTGCCACCAGTCATATTCAAATTGGGCGCTCAGGACCTAGTAAGGACGACTTCGGTTACGTCCTTCAAGATATCTGATCTCGGGAAAACAACTACGCATGGTGCTAGCCACCGCACTGCTATCCTGTCATTTAACATGTCAGCGGCGGTATTTGCGTCCGCGGGCATGGTTCTGTTCTCTTGTTAGCCACGACGACTCTCTCCCGGGACTCGATGCTTGCCGCCGCGGGCCTTGCTTCACAGTCTTCGTAGTCATTGCGACGAGTGGCCGCCTCCTGCTTATGCGCATATGACCACCGTAGGGTATAACGTGGTAGTGCTTGCTGACCTCGCACAGGATCGGGGACTTCACGCAAGTACGTCGATGACTTCGCTCAGGTCTCTTCCGACGATCATAGACTGACCTCCACTTCAGCTGCGGCATTGGCGTGGCTGGTTTATGACTACATGTTATCATTTGAGAACGAGGTTCGTGCGCTGCCGCGATTGTGCGCGAAGCTGTTCTAAGCGTCGCATTCTCAGGTGGATCTGATCTGGAGGTAGGGGGTGAACTCACTGTGCACAGGGCTTCATTAACTCCGTATTTGAAGTTCTGAGGATACAGTCCCTAAGCTTCTTTACTTTGTTTCGCGATACTTCGGACTTATCGTGCAATGGTGAGGTCGTTCTTTTGACTGCGCGCGCTCGCACTGATAAAAGCACTTCGCAGCATGGCCTGCGCTGACATGCCACGACTTTAGTACGGGTCTCTGGTTAGCCCCTTAACATTCTCGCTGATTCATGAAGAACCTCAGCTGTCGCAATGCGCTGATATGGACTAGCATGTAAGTCATAGATCTGCAGGGTTAACCCCTACGCTCGACTATGCTTATGTCGGAAACCAGATCGTTGTTCACCCTTGTGTTTTGCGTCGAGTTCAGCCTGATGCTCAGGATATACGCGCTGTATGCACGAAGTCGTTTAAGTAAGATGTCATGACTCCGCATCCCGAGGAGCGAAGACACTCATTGCCAATGCCAGTCTTGCTTATTCTCAGCATCGCATTCGTTGGTAAGCGTTGTTGATATCTGAGTAGAGCTTGCATTCATTCCTACCGGTCCAACAGTGGAGACATTGGTTAGTCCTTAACAGACACTGGTCGCTCTCTTTGTTATTTGTTTTCTTTGCTCACATCTCTGCGTCCGTAGTGTGTCATCCTCATAAGTAGCATCGGCTACAATGAGTTTGCCCATGCGATCGTACCCTATCCTTCGGACTGGCCAATCGAGGGATGCTACTACCCACCGACCCCTTCATGGTTCCACGGCACCTGGTGAGTCCCAACCGGAGCTCAGCTGCATACGCTTGACGAACACATGCACTCCAAGGCTACCCTTAGCATCATTTGAGAGTACGTCCGTTACTACTTTGCATTCTGGCCTGATTTTTATGGACGGTGTTGGGCAACGCGCAGCTCTTCTGTTCGTTCTAATGGCCGTCAAGGTGTATTTGTATCGACCATTAGGGGAGCTTCCCATTTTGCAGCGAGTACTTCGGGACGGCACCATATATTACTTTGTGTAAGCCATTCAATTGATGTATGCACGTGTATGAACCACTGAGTTCGCTATATCCTAGCATACTCGGCAAGTATTGTAAAGCAGTCTACTTGGAAGCATTCTAATGGCAAGACCCCGCAGTCGCCTTTCTCCTTTGTACTATTGGATCCTATACGTCCAATACATTCCTCGGAGTTATGATCACGGTGTACGTCTGCCTTTCTCGTCACCAAACCTGAACTGACCGTTGGGTAGTTGGATATCTGCAATATTGTCATTCTCGGTAAAGATAATTGCTACCCACCCTGTATTCATTCACCTCTGACACCGCGTCTCCAGGGTGCCCACCTCCTTCTCAGCATTCGCACTCTTGCCGCGAAGCGTCAACGACAGGAGGTCGCGACGCCAGACATCTCGGCAGACGTGCCGGTCATCAGCCAAGGCCTGAGCAGACCTGACACGGACGCTCAGCGGTCTCCATTGGAGTTCCATGAGCTCGTACCCCGTTCGCCTCAACGCGCGCCTTCCCTCCCGAGGCCTGTGATAGATCGTCAAGCCCCAGACTCCGAATGCCTACCATGTGGTAGAAACCCGACCTGGCTACAACGTTGGGAATGTACGTGAATAAATGTATGAGTACTTGACGCATTTTCTTGGACATTAGGACTATAGTACACGTATCATCGACGTCGTAATGCTATCTTGACGCAACTGCTTTCTCTGTCGCTCGACCGCTTTCGCGTGTACACCTTACCATCGTTGTTCTCGTATCTCAGACTACTTGCCTACCATGCCGTCGAACGGCTGCTAGACGAGACATGCTAGAGGGGCCACTACATGGGCAATTGAAATGGGTTGCCCAGCATCCAGAGAAGGTAATAAAATTTACTGACAATTTATGAGAGCGTATGTACACACGTATATACTATAGACAGTGGCAGGGACGAAAGCATATTTACGACATGACAGACACAACGGAAGCGAATGAGCCCATCAACTAAGCTGGGCAACGTTCCCTCCGGGGACAGGGCCGGAGCTACCATCCATAGGCGTAGTAGCAGGCACCTCGTTGACTCGGGTGCCCTGGCCGCTCGAGGCCAACGCCGCCTGTGCCTGCTGGGCGGCTCCGACGACGCCAGCGGGAGAGCCACCGTTTGCGTTCTTGGCGAGCTCAGAGCGCACGTTCTCGAGCATCTTCCGGAGGCCGACGCGTTCACCGACGAGCGCCATCCGCGCGCTCTCGAGGCTCCGGCGCTCGTCTTCGAGGAGCTCCTCGAGCTCCTCGAACTGCGCCATCTTGAGCTCGAGCTTCGTCAGCGTGAGCTTGATGAGAGTCGCGATCGTGGACTTGATCTGGTTGTCCTCGGCGTCTGCGAGTGCGTTCGCGGCCTTCGCAGAGGACTTCAGCGCCAAAGCTGCTGCGCGCTGTACCTTCGAGTGCGGGAAGGTGGCCGTGGGGTTTGCCGAGACGGACTCAGAATCAACAATCATCGAGTCTCCCGACGCGTCTTGGGCTGCTGAGCTCTCGCCAATGGCGGACTCAGCAGGCGGCACGGCGGCACTGTCTTTTGGCGCGTCCTCGTCCATCCGGTCCTCCCCGAATTTCTCGGCACTCGCCTCCTTAGCCTCGCCCTCGCCACCTTCCGTAGGCTTCTCTTCATCTTTGCCCTCCGTCTCCTCCTTCTTGTCTACGTCGGTGAGTGCGTGCAGAGCGGTTTTAGCGGCCTCCGCAGCAACACCAGGGTTGATCACACCCGCCAAGAACGCGACAACGCTCATGACTGGATTGTCAGCTTGCTCGAAGGGAAGCCGTGCGTATCGGAGCGGGCCCATGTTGCCCTCCGTCTGGACGTACGGGTCCTCAATCGGAAGCTGCAAGAACTTGCGGATGCACTGCTGAGCGGATCTCGAGCCAACATGCTCCTCAATCGCCGACCAGTCGTCATCGTACATCTCCACGCCCTCTAGCAGGAGTAGGATTTCCTGGTCCGTCCAGTCATCATCCGCGCCGCTAGCGCTCCCGTGGTGGAGGCCGCTCGCTGTCGAGACCGCTGTGAGTTTCACGAAGTCGCCGCTGAACATCGTCGAGGGGAAGCGCCCATCTAGGTAGCACGGCGGGCAGAGCTCGAAGTTCTTCTGCTTGAGCGAGTGGTACCGTTCTGCAGTGCAGTCGACTCCGCATGTGTCACACTGGTACTTGACCGCCGCCTGCCGCTCCGTGCCGTTGGGGCCGTTGGCGGCACTGGCGAGGGCGCTCGCTTCGCCTGCACTGACTTCGCGTGAGGATTTCGAGGTTGTTTGGTAGATAGAGGAGCGAAGTTCGAGGGAGGCGGGAGTGGGAGTGGATCCTGGCTTGGCCGCACCGTTAACGGTGGGCGCACCGGCTTGGGGCTGAGCTGGTGGCTTAGTCCCCGGATGCAGGGATTGGAGGCCTCGGGGGGTGTCGAGAATGACGCGGAAGTGGCCCGTGAACGGGGGTGCCAGAGCAGCCGGCCGTTGGTCGGGGTCAATCTAGTAACAGCTGTTTGCCTGAAGCACACTGAGATGGCCACGGAGACGTACCTGATAATTGATGAGACCCCATTGCTCGAGGAACGCATGCACTCGCATAATGGCGCATACATCGCCGGCGAGGTTTCTGCGGCATGCAGTGACCGTTAGATATTCTGAGGGCCGCAAGCGGTACGTGTTGACCATGAAGTCGCGGTAGTCTTTGTAAATCGAGGGTGTCTTCGAGCGGTGCCGTGAGTTGAAGAATTCAGGGAGGGCGCGCCGCTCGATTGGGTGTATCTTGGACATGTCAAACCAAGCGGAGTAGGACGGTATAATGACTTCGTGCGTCTGAGCAGCGAGATACTTTCGTGCTTGGTCCTCCAGTCGTAGCCTGGTCGCTTCGATCTGCGCGGGGTCTTCCTCGTCGTTCTCGTCCGCAGACTCCCCATCATCGTCGCCTGCGTCGCCAACCTCTGCCATTGACACGTCTCCGCCATCCTCTTCTCCCTCTCCCTTGAGCAGGCGCGTAGGCACCGCTGAAGCTGGCTCGCTTGTGCTTGCAGGTGTGTCTGCCGGGGGCAAGTTTGCGACGTCACCACCCTGGATAGGCTCGAGTTCGCTTCTTTTTCCAGCAGCATTGTCCGGGTCAACTGGTGTTGCCCCTTGGTTTACAGTCAACCGGATCCGCTTCGCGTCGGAATTGCCTGGTTGTGGCGACGCCGTACGTTTCGGTGAAGACATCTCGAGTAATGGTACGAGGGTTGGCTATATCAGCACACTCGCAGGCCCAGAGAACAGCACGAATGAACCAGCTAGACCGCGGAGGAAAGGGAGCTAAGCTAAGGATTGAACGAAATTCAACGAATGAGCTCGAGCGCTGAGCGAACGCGACGGCTCGTGACAAGCGCGTCGTGACCTTGTGACGCGTGACGTACGTACCCAAGTGAGTCGAAGAATAAACGACCTCCTCATCTGCTCTGTTGTAGTCGACCTCATCCTCCAGCTGCCCGGCCTCATTCCCCTTGGTAGCGGCCTATCCCGCCGCAATTCACCGAATGTTACGGCGGCATAGCATCGATTAGGTCAAATTCCGAGTCGATACTCAATTTTGTGAGGGGTCAGCGACGTGGTAAGTAGGCATACTTCACATACATTTCGGAGTTCGTTGCCTCACTTGCCACGGCAGCGTATGGCCACATATGTGCTTAGAAGCGCATCATGGCGTTCACTCTACAGCGCACGAACGACCTTGGAGACCTTGGCCGCGTCGTTGCACCCCGCTACCTGGTCACTCGCCGCATCGTCGAAGCAATACTTCAGTCTTTCCGGAGAACCACCGACGATGCAGGCCATGAAGCAGATGCAGTATCCAGACGTTCACGCGGACTCGTCTATCTTTGAGGAGGACGAGGAAGACTACCAGGCTGTGCTGGGCGCAACTCGCGGAAAGGTCACACTGGCCAGAACGGCCGACATGCCAGCTCGGCTACTTGCTCGAGGAAAATATGAGGAAGCGGAGCGCCTCCTTGACGAAATGCGAGACATGCGACTACAACCCGCTTCCTCGCCGGTGTTCGTGGATGCAGCGATACACGTACTCCGTACCCGGTGGACAACCCTGCATGCGCGGCGCGCTGCCTTTCAGAGGTTCTACTCGTACATACCTTTCGCCACGTCCAATCACCCGTCATTTGACCAGGCCGCGCGTGTCTTGGAACTCTTGCTTCAGAACATCATCGACCTTCCCCTCATGAAGCTATGTATCTTGACAAACGTCGCCAGGGGCTATTTCCTGATGCGACACGTCGCCATTGTACGCGACTACGTTCGGCTCTCGGACCCGCACTCCAGCGTCCGCTTACTCGACGCGTTGTATGACAAATCCGTTGAAGGCTTAAAGACCATGGCTCGCTTTGGGAACCTGCGCGTCTCGTCCAATCGACCTATCCATCCGCTCATACAAGACGCCGAGCCGAGGGTCAACGTAATGCTGCAGGCGACCTACAGCACCGCAATCCTTGAATTTTGCAAACAAAATCGGGCCGATCTGGCGGTCGCCGTGCTGCAGAAGGCATGGCAGAGGGACATTCCGGTGCATGCACTAGTCTACTCCCGGGTTATCAACAAGCTGGAGAGCGCCTTGGACACAGAGAACCTGTCCCTTGTGAAGCAACTCATCGGGGATCGCCCAGCTGATAGCACATTCACGCCTTATCTTCCGTCAGCCGACTTTCTCAAGCCCCCGCCTCCCGCTCATTTGCCCGACGATCGCCCGCTCAACACACGGTCACGCCTAGCGGACGCCCTACGCATCCTTCGTCGGCACATATCTGCATACACTTGCCCGGAGCCGAGCGTTCTCGCGAACGTCTTCGCGGCCTGCGCCCATTTCCAGTGCCCCCGTATCTTAACGATTTTGCGCGAACGGGCGTACCGGAAGACGGATACTGCCATGGTGTGGGCGCTCGCCGAGATGCTCTACCATCACAAGCGGCGCGACGTGCACGCGATCAGCCTCGTCTTCCGCAACAATTTCCGAATGATTGGTGTCCCCCCCCAGGCGTACTTCTACGCGTCGTTCTATCGCCGTGGCCCGCGCTGGGACGATTCTTCGCTGTCGACATCCAAACTCTACACGCATGCTACTCTCCCCTCTGACGGGTACAAGATGTGGCCGTCGACTCATCATACAGTTCTCGTGTGGCGTGCCTGCGCTGAAAAGGTTGTGCATGCGGCGTCGTTGACAAAGCTGTATAAGGAGTTGTTGGCTCAGGTGAAGGCCTCGCGACAGGTGCATAGTTTGGTGCATAGTCCGTCTCCGCCCAATATCGCGCAGGAACGACACGACACAGCTCAGGATGTCCGTCTCGGTAGCGTCGAGTCTGCAGGCGCGGAGTCGCCCTATCCAACGCCGACGCCCCCGCCATACATGTACGACGACGCCCACTTCAACGTCTTCGTACGCGAGTTCGGGAAGACGGACACCGCTGCTGCGGCGCGGGTCATTTCCGACATGTATCAGCTGGGCGTTCAACCTGGCGTGGAGACCTTGTCGCTGCTCCTCTGTTGTTTCTCCGAGCAGGAGGAAGAAAGCAAGATGATCCAGCTCTTGGAGCGGATGGAGGCGACTCTCGATGCGGAAGCCGCACATGGCGACAGCGCCACCTCGGCGTCGAACGACCTGGTCCTCCCGCCCCCCAATGTCGCCGCGTACGTCACCGTCATCGAGCATCTCATGGTGCATCAGCAACCCGTAGTCGCGTCGGGCATCGCCTTACGTATGTTCAACAAGCTGCAGTACCAGTTCGGTACGAAAACCCAGATGGATCGCCTCCTCCTCACACTCGTACATGCCCTCGCTGCTCTCAAGCGCGAGCGGAAGATGCAGAACACGCAGATGGAGCAGAGCGAGCATGACACAGTGACTGCGTTCGTGGCTGCTCTCCGTCAAGCCCAGAAGCGCCAGCACCAGCGCCCGCGGATCAATGTCTCGGAACCTTCCACGCAACCATAGCGAGCTGCCATGTATGGGAGGCGTCGTTGATGCTCGCTGGATGCTCAGGACCACAGCAACATCGGGGCATCAGACGCTCATGGTCTCGCTTACCGGACGACGGCTATATGGGAGGCCCTTCGCAATATGTGCCGCTGTGGCCTGATCGTCGCTCACGTACGTGCGCCCGGCGGCGGTGACCACGCAAGGGTGACGGGGAGATTGGGGACAACGGGTCGAACGTGTACACCGGTTTGCGCATCAGAGTTAACCCGCGTGTCCCCGCTATGGGTACGTAGAGGTGCTCGTTGATGCCAATAAGCCTACTGCGGTACATGTCAACTGGCAACAAGTGCCAGTACGAGGCGATGGCGTTCTGATGGTACTTCCTGCTTGATGTAGTTGTGTGTATGGGCGAGGATCTCTCGGGGAACACTCCGGTGAGCGGCCCGTGCCAGTGCTCTGACTGCCTTTCTTACCAGTTGTGAGCGTGCTATCAACATGTACGTATGGTCTCGTACGCGTCTATTCGACTCCGAGAGGAAGTCCAAGGGCACTCCTTGTATCAGAAGCCAAATTCTCGTCCTCCTCGGTGTTCCTCGAGGAATGTCCAGTCTCCCGAAGTATCGTATCCATAATCTCCGATGTCGGTTCATGCACCCCGGATCATAAAAGAATGGGAGGTCGGGGTCAATGTGGCGCGAAAAAGCCACGAGAAAGCCACATGGAGCGCACGTTGGCCGCGTGGCAAACCATGTGCGCCCAATCCTTACCACTCTAACGGGCCCGGCGCCTTCCGCTTCCCCGGCGCTTGCGCCATCCCTGCCCGACGCGTCCCCGACGCGCGCGAAAGGAGTGGCGGGACCTTGAACGGGAAACCCCTTCGGCAAGTCAGGACATTTCAGTGGGTTTCCCGAGGCGTCGCGGTGTGTGTGATGGGCAACGGGCATGATAACGGGAGGTAATATTGACAGGAAAGCTGCTCTCGGGCACCCTCCGCTCACCAGTGTATCCTCGCCCGAGGTGTCCCCGGGAAATTTGAGAAACCCATTGGGAAATTTCTTGAGGTGTTCCCGAGGCGTCGTGGCGGGTGCGAGGAACAGCGGGTGTGGTCAGTACATAACGGGAACCAATATACACACCGGGATATGCCCTCGGGCGCCCTCCGCACTGCAGTTCAAAGGAGTAACATGTAGCATTGAATATTGAGTACCGGGTACGCCGCCAGAGCATCTATTCCAGCAGGTACACAAAGCATTGAGTAACGGGTATGCTGCCAGCCTGTGGCGAAGCCACAGGCTGGCATGCTAAAGCATTTATTATGGTAGGTACATGAAGCATTGAATTTCAAAATTGCCTGCAAGACCCGTGGCTTCGCCACGGGTCAGCAATGCCCAAGAATATAACCTTCATAGTGACACAAAGCACAGAATGAAAGAACTGCCGCCAGACCTGAGGCGAAGCCCAGGTCTGGCATTGCATAAGTATGAAATCTTAAAAGTTACATGAAGCATAGAATGAAAAAAATCGCCCCGTAAACCCGTGGCGAAGCCACGGGTTTGCGATGCTCGTATAACTGGCTTGTATCGCTGGAGCCACATGGGCCATGGGTACCATCGAGAGGGATCTTTTGAGTCAGGTGGGTGTTGGGTGGGTGTATGACAATCTCGTCTGCTTGGTTTGCATGGTCGGAGGAGTGGGGGTGTTTACTCGGAGAAATGGTGGTCACGAGAGCGTAGATGAGTCTACCCACGCTGCTCTATTTCTCAAGGAGACGCGGTCATCCCAGGGGTGGCATCATGACTTCCCCCGACGCTACTCAGGCTCCGGCATATGGGAGTAGACCCGTTCATGACTGGTCACGAACTTGCGCATTTCCCACATTCCCGATCAGCAGGAATAGGTCAACATGGCGAAATTCCTGGTCGACGTATATAATACTGCAGTCTACGGGGGAATTGGTGGTTGTCTGTCCTTCTGGGAAGAGCTGTGCCCTTGGACACAGGAGCAAGACAAAATGGTATTCCTCGCACTGACGCTCGGATGCCTAGCTGCCGTCCCAGTAGCAACTTCGTTCTCAATTCCTACTCCAACGTCCGTCGGAAGCGACATAACTCTGTTATATTACAACGATGTAGATGGTATGTGGTGCCAGAAGCTGTCGGCAATCCGTGGCTGACAGAACGGCGTGATTTGTAGTTCATACTGCGTCAGAGCACCAAAGTGTCCTGCTTTTGTCCCCGCTCCCGAACCCGGAGGCAGCATCAGCGTGTGATGGCCTTGGAGAGACACTTCTACCAGTCAATGACACCTTCTTCCACACGGAACTTGTACCGTCGCTCCAATACCAGGTATATCAGGGTCACTACTCCGAGGCTCAGCTCTACTGGGTCCAGTCTACCAGCGGTTCCTGCCAAGCAGTCGACGCTCTCGGCTTCGTCGTACCTGCTTCATGTGCGCTCGAACTCCCGGTACTTTGCAGCCAAAGTGCGCAATACGGCGCTCTTCCGGAATCAACGAACTCTCTCACCGTCCACGCGAATGACTTGACTATAATTGGGTACGCACGACTCTCCGGGCAATCTTCGTCGTTCTGTGGTCTCACACATTAATGCTCTAGTTATCGTGATCAGCTCTCATTCCGCTTCGAAGGCATTCCGTACGCCGATCCTCCTGAGCGATTCACATACCCCACAGCGTGGACAGGGAGTAGGACCCTGAACGCGACTGAATTCGGGTCAGAATGCATCCAGTCCGGTGTTCCCAACGGGAGCGAAGACTGTCTCTTCCTCAACATCTGGACGCCGTACATCCCAGAGGACCCGTCCGCCGTTTCGTCTTCGAAGCTCAAGCCCGTCTTCTTCTGGATCCATGGCGGTGCCTTCACGGGCGGCACGGGGTCCGACCCGACATTCGCCGGCGGCAACATGGCGTCGCGCGGGGACGTTGTTGTCGTCACAATCAACTACCGCCTGTCCACGCTTGGCTTCCTCGCCCTCGAAGACGGGAAGACCAACGGCAACTTCGGCCTCGCGGACCAGGTTGCGGCGCTGGATTGGGTCAGGGAATACATCTCTGCGTTCGGTGGCGACCTGGAACGCATCACGATATTCGGGCAGTCAGCTGGTGCAGGCTCTGTGCGCGCCCTGCTGGGCTCGCCCCAGGCGATCGGCAAATTTGCTGCGGCGGTTCCTATGAGCAACCTGGCGGGATCCGACTACGCGACGACATACTCGCTGTACTATACTATCCCCGAAGAGGTGACTACAGTGGTAGAGCCGATCCTAGAAGAGATCCAATGCAATGCCACGGATGCGGCTGGCGCCCTTGCATGTCTCAAAGCCTACGATGCCTACGAGCTTGTCACTTTGACGAACGTTGCCAGGTTCGTCGAATGTACCTCCGCTAGCCTTTTCGGTCGTAACGCTCGTCGGCATGTAGATTCGTTGTTGTCGATGGAACGTACGTGACAAGGACAAGTCTCATCGTCAACGGCACGGCGAGTCCAATAGCGAACGTACACACCATCATGGGATACATGCGGGACGATGGTGCAGCGTTCATCGGCTATCCAGTGAGGTCATTCCGTTCACTAAGCGACATCCTCTCACCATCGCGTAAGAACACGACAAATTTGACTGCAGCACTCATAGATCAGTCGCTTCCCACCAGCGTAGTCAACAACACATTGTTCTCCATGCAGACGGGACCAAACAAGACCTACGACGTCTTCAACGTCACAGCCAGAGTGGCCACGGACGTGGAGTTCCGTTGCCTTGACCAGGCGACGGCATACTACGCAGTTGAGCATGACCTCTTCCAGAGTGTCTGGTTCTATGAGTTCAATAGGAGCTACCAAACGGCGGGATGGGACCCGAATTCCCCAGTCTGCGACGCGCCCGTCAGCGACGAGTACCCGTACGGTGACCCCTCTCAGGAATACTTCAAGTGAGTTTGGTCTCAGGTTGCACAGGTTAGACCACTAAGGCTACATTTTCATCCAGGTGTCACTCCGGAGAACTCTACTATGTCTTCGGGAGCTTGCCCAGCACGTCTCCATACCGTGACGACCTCGATCTGCCCTTCATGCAACGCATGATCGACGTGTGGACGTCCTTCGCACGCACATACAATCCGAACCCGGATCCAACATACTTAGCCGTCCGATGGTACAACAACACGCTTGCTGCCATATACGAACAGGAGCCCTGGAAGCAGGTCACCCCAGCGAATGTGAAGGCGGCGCCACTACGGACGCTGCAGTGGACAAGCTTCATGGGACCGTTCGCAGAGCAAGCGCAGTGTGATTACCTAGGTTATCCTCTGACGTATTACGGGTGATCTGTAGTCCTCAGCATTCTGCGTTCGGGTATATGGAAACATGCATGCCATGGGCGAAAGCAAATGCGTTGACTGATCTTCATGTGTCGCGATGCGAAGGATGTCATGGTGTATATGCTTGCGTCGTGACTACTACAACAAAGACCGACGGAGAATCGTACCAATAGCTATCGTCATACATCATTGGGTCGTTTACCTCGTCAAGGGACAAGACGTTCTATATACATGCACAAGAAAGCAAATCAGCTGGAGCAAGTGCACAGCATTAGCAATAAATAACTGAGTAGCGGTCATGAACGGCATAAATAGCAAAGTTGACAGTCCGGGGTCGTCACATCTCGTTCTTGATTATTATACTGAAACAGCGTTCACAGAACGGCTTGCCGTCCCTTTGGAAGAAAGATGGGTTCTCAAATGGCTGGTCACAGCCCTGGAGATAGCACAACCGAGCGTTCAGTATACATGAGATCAGTACGGACAGGGGACAACGCACCGCACACGTGAAGCACTCCCAGCAGTACTTCCCACCCAGCGCCTCCACCGCCCTCATCCCATCCCGGATGGGCTTCTTGCACTTCTTGCATTTAGGGTAGCGCAGGCGCACATGGCAATTCTCGCAGTACGGATGTCCGCCGTACACGGTGAACCTCACATCGCCATCTCCGCCACTGAATTCACCGTCTCCGGAGAATGTTTGCCCGCCTAGCCAGAATGAGGTAGGGAGCGGACAAGACTACAGTAAATCGCACATACCTCCGGACGATCGGAACGAAGCCCCTTTGGGGTCCATGAACGGGTCGCCGCACTCCGCACAGAAGAAGTGCTGCTCGTGGTACGTGCGCTTGCCAAGCTCGGGATCGTCCAGCGTGATGAAACGCTCGTCGATGATCGACGTCTTGCAATGGTAACACTTGGGCGCGAACAGCTACACAGCGCGTCAGAAATAAATACGCACACGGACAGGCCGCGGACTCAGCGCGCAGCTCCGCGGCCGCACGCACCTCGTGGTAGTCCAGGTTGCAGTACGCGCGCCCCTCGTGTTCGTAGCTGCTCAGGTTCTCCAACAGCTCGTTGCACACGCAGCACCGGAAGCACCCCGGGTGCCACTTTGCCCCCATCGCATATACTGTCCTCCCAACGATCGCACCGCCACACCCTCCGCACGTCAGCCCGGGGCCCTTTCTGATAACTCGTTCGAGCGGGCTCCTCGTGTTCGCCTTCTTGTGCCCACCAGACGACCCACCTACGCTGATCTGCGGCACCGACGAGTCCTCGTCCGCACCCGCGATCGAGATGCTCGGAACACTGGGAGTGTCATCGTCCGCGCCCAAGATGTTGATCACAGGTCCACCCACATCGTCGTCACTCGAGCCCGACACGCTGATCGAGATCGCAGGCACGCCGGGGGCCGCGCCCTCGCTGTCCGAGCCCGAATCTGAGTCCGCATTCGCAGGGAAAGACACCTTCGGGATCGGCTGTCGTGCTCCCGTCCTACTTGTGTCCCGCCCGAAGGTCCCGTTCACAGCCGGCACGGGCGTCCTGTTGTTCTGCGTGCGGCTGAGTGAGTCCTTACGTGGCGGGGGCTGGACCACGACCGGGGGCGGCTGCGGAAACGCCGAAAGCGTGAAGACTGAACGGGAGGAGTCCGCCGAGCGCGGCCGTGCAGGAGACGATGAGGCGGCCGCGGGTGTAGGCGAGACGATGGGCGGATGTGGCGGCGCGAACGACGGTGGGCGCGGGAAGGACGAGAGCGTGAAGACGGAGCTGTCTGACATACCTGACAGCGGAGGTGTCGCAGAAGCAGGCGATTCGTACGGCGTGCGTGGGGCAGAAGGAGAGGGTGCCGGCCGGGGCCGTGTCAGTTCGTTGGTGCGAATTGATGGCCGTCTCGCGCCACGTAGGGGGCTTGTGGGTGGCCGCGAGGGTGACGGGGAACGTCTCAAAGACGGTGGCGGCGCATCGTCGAGGCTCTCTAGTGCAGCTGGTGCACGCGGCAGGGGTGGCAAGCCTGCAGGCCAGCGTCTCGCGATAGGTGGTGCAGCCTGCTGGGTCGGGACGATCGGTACGGACTGAGAATGCCCGTGGCGCGAGGGTGAGCGGGAACCCGCGTCGCTGTCGTCTCTCGAGTCATACAGAGACAGTTCTGCCAGCCGCGAGGTTGCGCTCCGTTGCGATGCGGCCGAGTCCCTGCTTGTGCTCGATCGAATCTGGCCGGGTAGGTCCCGAGTGCCGTACTGCGGACTCGAGTGACCCGGCCAGTCCTGTGGACGCGAAAGCAGTGCGCTCCCAGCGATGTCATCATCGTCGGAGCTTTCTGGAGAGCCTTGCCGTCCAGCGGGTGTTGGACTCGGCGAGCGCACTAGCGGCCGTCCGTTCGGCTGGGGTAGCTTCCGAGGCGGCGAGTTCGTCTGGCCCGCAAACGATTGTGGCAGGGGATACCCAGACTGACTCCGGGCATGATTACCTGGCGACTGGGGCAGCGGGCGCACTGTTGGTGGAGGGGTCGGGCCGGGACCGGACACGGTGCTTCGCCTCTCGACCTGCCCCTGCTGGCCTGGGGTAGGCAGCGCACGCTTCCAGTGTGGTACGAACTTCTGACCAGGCGGAATGGCGTGTGGAGGCACGGATTCGACGATACCTCGTCTCGGCGCGGGTGCAGGGATCGATTGAGAAGCCTGGACATCTGGCTGAGGAAGGGCAATCTGCGCCTCGGCGAACGCGCGCTTCGTCGGGCTGGGACTGCGCGCGAGATTGGATTGCCCGATGGACCGCGGCAGAGCGGGCTGAGGAAGGGGGCGAGGAGGACTTACTGCGGTGGTCGTCTTCGGTTGGGGTACCCGAGGGGAGGTGGGTCGTGCAGGGGGCGTAGGAATCGAGGAGACCGAGAGGGCTGACCGGTGGCTAGGGGCGCGTGGCCCCGGCGACGGCGGAGGTTGAGGCGAAGGGTGGGCAGATACAGAGTTGCTCCGTGCAGTGTGTCCCGGGTCGGGCAGCGGTCGTCGTGTGGGCCCGGGAGAGGGCGTGGTACGTTGCGGAAGCGTAGCGCGTTGATCAAAGGATGATGGAGCATAGGTACTCTGCGGAGAATAAGCAGGTCGCGCGGTGTACTGAGGTTGTGGAGGATGGCCGTAGGCGATGGGCTGTGGTGGCGCAGGCAGAGGCGATCGTGTAGCAGGTGCCGCCATCCCAGCGTGAACATGCGCCTGGTACGTTGACGGAGCATAGGGGTATGCAGTAGCAGCGTTCGCTTGGTTGTAGACCTGCTGCTGAGGCTGCTGCTGCCTGGGGTAAGCCTGGTACGGGTAGGGCTGAGTTCTAGGATCATACTGGGCCGCCATGCCAGGCTGGGGGTAGGTGTATACGTTCTGCGCCATGGCTATAGCACACGGCAGGGTATTGCGCTCCCCGTAGACATCGAGTACAAGTTCTAAGAGCGACCGCAACGACGACGAGAGCGAGGACGCACGCTTGGTAAGGGATTCGGATTGGATTCAGACTACATAACGGAACTTAACTAGTGAAGTAAGTAACTACTTATGAATGGTATCAAATATAGACGCCGCACTAGTAACCCAACTACCCGCCGCAGCGCCCGCGCCACCCTGCGCCACCTTCAAACCTCTTCAAACCAAGTACCATAGTGCCTGGGATGCCGCCGGTACCGGTCTCGTCTCCTTCTGCAGAGTCGGCCGCGGCACCGTAGGTAGCGCTTGGACTGCAGAGAGTTGGAAGTTAGAAGGCAGACGAGACGGGCCAGGTGACGAAGCCGGAGGCGTCCACCGCTTGGCAGGTGGTCCGGGCTGGTCCCTGCCAGCCGATTGAACCTGGCAGTTGAATTCATGAACTGGTTCTCCAGGTAAGTTATACGCGTTCCTAGCTTCCTGGTAACTTAGTATTGGAGCAGAAGCACGAGGTCTGTATGTCAGAAATAGCGTCTCGTTGAGGGGCAGCAATGTCTCCGCTAACGCAGCACACGTTGTCTCTGCATCTGCCTGCGCTCGTCAATATACGACTAGCCTCTAGTACGACGTACAAGGCAACTCAGGACTGAATGTTTGAATCTGCTCACGGCTCGCCCTGAGGTGTTATATACGGCAACATACGCCTCGCCTAGCAACCCCTCCTGACGGTAGGGCCAGCCAGTCTGGGGAACGCGAGGACAACAATGGAATCATCATGAGCCTAGCGTATGCTCGGAGCCCCAGAGTCAGGAGAACAAGCAGTTTCGTGAAGGCGGCATTGCGACAATCTTGGGTGTGTAAGCCAAAATCCCAACGCGAGCGTCCCAGAAAAACTTGATAATGGTAGTTGCGCATGATTCTATGTACATTCCCAGTCTTGTAACCAGGCTGTGTTTCCGCTGAGTCGTTGGTACACGGATTCTTGCGTCTGGCGGCCTACTACAGGCCGTGGCAGAGAAGACACGTGTTGTAATGAGCGAGAGCTGTGTTCGTTCAGTCCCAGTGGGGATTGCAAAGGTTCAGCGGCGGGTATGCCCAGGCCTCGGCTGATGGCTGGCACATTTTCTGAGATGTCCGGCGTTGCGACTTCCTGTCGTCTGCGCTCTGCTGCGAGAGCGCGGATGCTGAGAAGGAGGTGCGCACCCTGGATGTATCATGTCGTTAGTCAATGTCTATAGTGTGCTTGAGCATGAACTCTACCGAGAACGACAATATTGCGGTTATCCAACTGCTCGACGCTCAGTCAATATTCAGTGATGAGGAAAGCACACGCACACTGTGGTCGTGACACCCAGGAATGGATTGGACATGTTGGCCGCGACAGTGCAAAGAAGGAAGGCCACTAGGATGATGTTATAACATTGAGAGCGGCTCGATCACGAAGAGTGACCGGCGACTTGCCAAGTATGCTAAGTGATATCTCCGTTAGGAATTTTCATACGACATTTCAACAGGTGGGTGGCTCACACAAGATAGTATATGGTACCATCACGAAGCACGCGCAGAAGAATCGGGACCTCCCCGAATGGTCGATACGAATAGACCTTGATGGCCATGAGGGCGAATAGGAAAGCTACCCATTCCGAGCCAAAATCCTGACGTGAGTGCATATCACGGCATGGGATAACAGACTCACTCTCGAATCCTGCCAAGGGTAGCCTCACGATGCATACATTGAGTCAAAGGTGTTTATACTGAGCCCAAGCGTGTAACTCACCAGGTATCGCGGAACCATACAGGGGTCGATGAGTAGAAACACCCCTTCATCTGCCAGCCCGCAGGATAGGGCGTGACTACCCGGAGCATATCGGCATAGCCGATGCTGCTTAAGACCACGACCCACTGTGAACGTTTGCGCTTGAGAAATGGAACGTGTAGCATGGCTCTTGATTTCCTCACCACTGTCTCTGCTGTTATAAGACTGAGATTAGGCTTTATCGAAACGGTACCGATGAAGCTTACCGGCGAATGCAGTGCTAAGTATAACGAAGACTATAGCGCAGATAATGAGCGTTTGAATGCCTGGCATGACGGATGACTTACTTGATCGACTTCGCGCGTATAGCGCGTATACCCTGAGCATCAAGCTAAACTCGACGCAAAATGCAAGTATGTACAAAGATCTAATTTTGTTAATGAGGAATCAACACGCGCTGTGCTACTTCCTGTCTCACATGAAGGTCCAGATCAGTCCAGCACGACAACTACGTTCTTATGTCAGTGAATGGTCAATGGGAAAAAGAAGAGATCAGTACAATAGCCCTGGTAGGTTAGCGCAGGTGGTACTGCGAGTACATCCGTCAGCGTCGACACACAAGTCGTCCAGGAGACCAAGCTCACCACTGCACGACGAGGCCAAAATACCGTGAAATAAAATATAGAAGCTTCGGTACCGTGTCTTCCGAACTTCCAAACCATATTGAGCCGAGTTCTGTGCACGTTTAGGTTCGCACCCTACCTCCAGATCAGATCCACCTGCGGACGTGATTGTCAGAAGAGATCCGCGCACAATCGCTGCAGCGAACGAACCTCCTCTTCGAACGATAACGCATAGTCGTAGACTAGCCATGCCAATGCCGCAGCTACAAGAGGTGTCGGTCTTTTCGTCGGAACTAATGTGAGCGAGTCAATAAGTTCGACCTACCCGAGTGTATACCCCGAGCTTGTGAGATTCCAGCAAACACCGACACGATGGAATCCATGACAGTCACAGGCGCATGTGCAAAGGAAGTGCAGGCTAGTAGAGGTCGATCGCTATGAAGGCCCTTAAGCCAAGTCAGCAACGGTGAGCATGGAGTTCTGAGAGAGGGTCGTGGTCCTTGACAAGAGACAGGAACATGAGCTGCGGGCCAAATTAGATACTAATACAATGGCTAGCAGCATGCGTACCCGTTTTCCCGAGATTTGGTATGTGAGACGTAACCGAAGTCGTCCCTAGGTTTCAATCCCCTGAGCGTCTGAATTTGACTGGCTGGGAGCAACTCGGCGAAAAGTTGATAGCTTCCCTAGATGGCCATGCCGTACACCGCGACGGTATTCAGACAGGTGAGAATGCCGGCGGCTGCAATCGGACATCAGCGTTATACGATTCCGTAGCAGTGGTAGAGGCTACCGGCGCGGCGCACCCCTGACCGTCGGAGCTCCCAAAGCCCATCCAAAGCAACCGCAGGCTATGTCTACGAATAATTCACCATTCCAGGTCCTTCCTGAATCGATCGACGACGCATCGCCTAGACGAGGCTTGATAGAGCAGTAACGGCGGCGGTTTCACCGCTTATCGGATGTCCAGAATGGCGGAGCCGTGCTCAGAACTCCTGGAGCTGGTATATGAGTTCGCCATATTTGGACAGATGAGCGTATAGGAACCGTTACATTTGGGACAGACGCGAGAAATGAAGCGAGGCTCATGTGCGCGGATGCCACGCCCTTGCCCGACGGAGGCGCATGGAATGTCCGGCGATTTCAGAATCTATATTGCGACTGTGAACGCTGAGTGAGCAATACATTGTTATCGACAATGACGAACCTTTGACGTTACCCCGCGTGACCATTTAGATCGTCCTGATATTCGACTCGGACGGGCAGACTGTGTCGGCATGCTAGCTAGCAGGCCAACAAACTTCAAGTCTCGTGCGTCCGCAGTTGACTACTACAGTCGGCCATCCGAGCTCCAATATATTGGACAGCTGCACCGAAGCCCAATAGCCGCGGGACCCTGGTCTAGTGAACGTGCATCTGTAAATGAACGGCTATGCATGACACTGTATGCTGGCGCCCGCCGCCGATTATCAAGTCAGTAACGGCCACTGTCATGTAAGCTATAGTGGCATATTCCAAGCCTATTGTATCAGGTACCGGCAAGGAATCCGAGACGGAGGAAGAGGACTAAAAGAGGACCAACCTGGTTCATAGTGCGAGGATCAAGCAGCTTTGCCGTCGGCATTGATTGCCAGTGTGCGTCACTCCCATTAATGCACCCGTGCACCGGCGTCGACTACTCGCCTGAGCGACTCAATGCAACCATCGACGGCGAGATCCCGGCCCATGGCCAGAGGTTGCTATGAGAATGTAGACGTTGAACGTTTGAACAAGCAAGTAAACCGCATTCAATGATTGAAACTTACCAGTATTAGCGCACGGGTAACGCCGAACCCCCATCTACCAGTTTCCTTAGTGGGAAGGCCTCGAAGTTCGTAGTCAGGGATTCGTAGTCAAAAGAAAGAACCTAGCTTGGTCAGAGCTGGTCAGTTCTGGAGCCATTCGACGCCCACGAGGGACACCATTGCATAGGGTGTTCACCTTCGTTGCATAACTACAAAGTTCAATCCCCAACAGTATGCGTCGCACGCTTCGCAGAGCCTCCAAGATCCCATGGACGTGCAGAATGCTTGCTACATATTCGTGCAGTAGTAACTACATATAATATATAATACAACGCGCAGTGTGTATGTGACGCGCACGCCGCAGTCATGTACGGTGTGTAGTAGGGTGAGAGAGTATCGTATGAAGTGAGCGTGTTTGGTAGGATGTAGGCTAAAGTTCTGTGTGAAACCATATCCGCGAACCAGTACTCCATCTTGAATTGCAGACGCGCCACGACTCCACCTCACGCAGAGAACCGCTGCTCGATACTAGGGGTGTAGCCAATCGCGCTACCCGTGCCCCTGGGAGACTGCATCGCGTCCAGCCTCCACTCCGCCCGGACACGCTGGCAGATCGACTTGAACGTCGAGACGGAGCCCTTCTCCAGTACCAAAGCGACGCCAGTCTCGTAGCCAAAGAACTTGTCCATCCGCAGCCTCGAGCCTGCGAACGAGCTCGACGGCGCAGGCAGAGCGCCCTGAGAAAGGCGTGGGGTAGCGCCAATGGGCGAAGCGTACTGGTTGACGGCAGAAGCAGAGGCGAAGTCGACGCGGAAGCGAACCTGCTTGTAGGCACCACTCGGACCGTCTTGGGTGTCAGCCGTGCTGCACTTGAGCGTGTACCAGCTGTGGTGGTCCTCGATCATCGAGAGCACGCCGCTCTGTTCGAGCAGGCGCGCAATCTCGGCGCGCGTGGCGAAGAGGTCCGCGGTCGAATAGAGCGTGTAGGACTGCACCTTCCAATGGAACAGATTAGAAAACCAGCCCTTGAACTCGCCTGCCGGGGAGCCGACCATGGACGACTGAGGAGACATGAGGCCAGGAGACCCGATCATGGAGAACGTTGATCGCTTGTGCAGGACAGGCGTACCCTGCAGATCCAAAGCGGGCGCTGCGAATATGATACATTTTATCAGTAGTTAGCCAACATGACGCAGAAGATATGACTTACGCCGGCTCCTCCTGTCCTTCTTCGGAACTTTGGCGGCCTGGGGCTCGTTGAAGAACACGATGTTCCCCATCTCCCTCGCCATGGGCACCGACTGTCCGAACCCAAGACCGCCGGCGTTCGCATGCGAGTGGGAGCGTGCATGAGGCGCACCGCCGTCCCAGTTCTCCTTGTCGTCGACGACCATCCCGCACTGCGTCTCGTTGCTCTCGTTGCGCTGCTGCGTGTCACCCAGGGGCTGCTCGGTGTCCATCGAGACGTCGGTCACGTCCTTGGGCTCCGGGGTGTTCACCTCCGTGGGTGGCGGCGCTGACGGGCGTGCCGCATTCCAGGAAACAGCCTTCGTATTCACTATGTCTGCGTATTGATCCAGGTTCCTCTGCAGATCCGCATTTTGAACTCGAGGCGCACTGATCATTGGCAGAATGGGCGTGGCAGCGGCGCGCACAGGAACGGGCGAGTGGATTACACCATGAGACGGCGCCGCCACGGATGCGCGGTAGCTAAGAGTAGGATCGTTGATGCTAAGAGACCTAGGTGGTGCCCTGGGGATCGGGATGGGCGCAGAGCCACGCCGCATCGGCGCCGAGGTGCCACGGGGCTGGTGCGGAAGGAACAGACTCTGCGTGTGCGCTTGCGTTGACGAGTTCGGCCCGCCCATGTCTGCTTGAAACGACTGGCGAGGAGGAGCAACGAAGCTAGACTGAGGCCGTGCAATAGGCGGTGAGAACGCAGAGGCAGGACGAGCCTTCTGAGGGCGAGGACCAACAGGAGATGGCGGGTGGGCTCTGGAAGGAGACCGCTCCATGGGCACATCGGTCGAGACAGCCAGCGCAGCAGGCTTCGGCGACGGAGTACGAGGGGGCGGCGCAGGCGCAGCACGAGTAGACCGCAAGTACTGATGCTGAGGTATGACTTGCCGGTTGAGGTCTTGAGGCTCCAAGTGAGTCGACCGTCGCGAGCCAGGTGTTGAGTACTGCTTCGTGACCACCTTGCAAGTCCCAGTCAAGACTTCGTCGATGTCCATGAGGATGCCGTGCTCTTCCATAGTCCTCTCGCGGTGCTTCTGGAGCAGGAAGTAGAAAGCTTTTGCCAGAGTGCCTTGTCCAGGAGGACTCAGCAGATCAGCGCGAATTCCGTCTACGTCGGCGTGACGTCCCCAGATGACACAAAGAGACTCAAACAAATCACGGTCGATATGCAGAGCAGAGGGCAGCGGTTTAGCGAGCTCCGAGACAGGCGGAGCAGGAACATAGGTAATGCCAGGCGTCGGGCCTTCGAGCCAGGGATGAGCAAGAATCTCAGCCATCTAGCATATACCCCGTTAATATAGATCAAGGAGTATAATGAAGACATACAGTGATCCGCTTGTTGACGTCGACCACAAGCATGCGTGACAGAAGATCCTTGGCCATTGAATCGACGTAGCTGGGCATCTCGTACTTGCCCACCTTGACCTTGCTCAAGAGTGTCCTGACGTTCTTGTCGTCGAAAGGCAGACGGCCAGTCAAAAGCGCATAGAGGATGACACCACAGCTCCAGATATCGGTTGCCGTTCCAGTGTATTTGTGCCCGTTGACGATCTCAGGACTCGCGTAGTGCGGGCTCCCACAGCTAGTCTCGAGTTGCAGAGAGGGAGGGGCGAAGGCAGCCATGCCCCAGTCAGCGATTTTGATGAGCGGAGGATTGAGCGAGTGAATGAGAATGTTCTCCGGCTTCAGGTCGCGGTGTATGATAGAGAACGTGTGCGCGTAGTTGAGACCGTAGACGATTTGTTTGAAGTAGGCAAGAGCCTCCAGAGGCGGGAGCTTGCCGCGGTTGACGAGGAAGTCGAACAGCTCACCGCCTTCCACGTATTCAAGAATGAGATAGAGCTCCTTGTCGCCCTCGTAGACATCGTATATGCGCATGATGTTCGGGTGGTTCATGAGCTTCATCATGGTGATCTCCCTGTCGATACCGAGGCGCTGCTTGTCTAGCTTCGCCTGCGCCGCAGCGTCCGCGCGGTTCTTGACAAACGGCTGCAGCGGGAGGATCTTCACCGCGGCAAGCTGGCCAGTCCGGCGATGCTTGGCAATCTTGACATGTCCGCTCGCGCCTTTGCCGACACACTCGCCAATGACCCAGGGTCCAACGTACTTCGCGTCGTCCGGGAAGTCAAAAGCACCGCTTCCCGCCGCCGCTTTCTCCTTCTGCCATCGAGTTCCCAGAGGGGTGTGGTATTTGACCGGAGGCGCGCGAGGAGGGCTGTCCGGAGCCGTTGTGGTCGTGGTCGCCATAAGGTAACTAGAAGCGGTTCGTAGAGTGGAAAATTATAGAGATGGTATGGTAGATTGTGCGTCAGGCTGCTGCCGTCGTCGTCTTCGCGGTACCCAGACGGCGAACAGACCTAGAGGAAGATGAGTGAGGCTGGCAGTGGCACGTCCGCCCGGCGCGAACCTCAACGGGAAGTAGGCGCCGGAGGCGAACGGCCAAACAACGCGCAAACAACTCTGCACGTGCTCGCGCGCGGTACTCACTGAACACCAGCAAAGCGAAAGCCAGGCGAAAGCCTCAGTGGCGCTGATTTCGAGTATGGAGAGGGAGTCCATGACAGGGAACATCGAAGGCGACCACTCTCCTTCGAGCTTCATTGGTCACACTTTGTTCTCGATTAAGTGAATAATACAACATCCCTCCATCATAAGCAAGTATAATGTACTCCAGTCCGTGAGACACAAATGAAAGACGAGGGCGCCAACCAGAACTACAAAAGGATCACCAACAGGAGGAGAATCATAAGTACGATGATCAGAATAATGATGCACCAGCCGGACTTCGTCTCTGTCAAACGTTGACGGCGTCAGCGTATTCCACAAATCTCATAGAATCGTTGCGCAGCCCACCTTCCGTCTGCCGTATGAATCGCTTCATTCGCGTCATGGCGGAGTCCAATTTAGAACCTGAGCGGTCGACGCCCTGCTCCAGGTCGTCGAGCATCCTTCACGTAAGGTGCATTCTATCAGTCGGTGGCGTGAGCAGAAGGCGGATGTACGTACTCATTGTGTTCCAGGATCTCACGGCCCATGAGGCCCGCTTGTTCTGCCAGGGTCGACAGCGTGCCGCCAATGGAGTCCAGTGTCTGGTCTTGTTGGTGCATAATCATCTGACATGAGCCGTCATACAGTCAATCCCGAATTTGAAGATCTGGCATGATGATAACACACGGACCTCCTGCTCTTGCCTCGCCCATTCCGCCTGGTCGTCGCCAGGGGCAGGCGACGTTGCGCGGCTACTGACGCGAGATGAGGGCGCAGGCAGGCCAATCTGAGAATGCGGTCTTGAGCGCTTTCCCGAAGCATCCGACTCGACTTCTGCTCTCATGGTCTATCACGGTGCTGCGTGTCAGCAGCCAGTCAATGGAGCGCAAGGGCGGTGATAGTCATGGCTGTGGCATACCTCAATCTCGCGTCGAATATGAGCGACGTATCTCTGCCTCTCCATGAGTTCCGACTCATCCAGACCGAACATCCGCGCGCCGGTCTGTTCTACCACTCTGGACTGACATCAACGGAAAGCTTCGCACGACGTCGAGATACTCACCTCACGCTCTCTTCCAAGTCTTCGAGGTCAGCTTCCAGGGCCGCGAGAGTGGCCTTCAGCTGAAGCACCGTTCGTTCAGTGAAGCATCACTAAATATGCCCCGGAAATGACCACGCACCTCATTCCTCGCCCAGACAAGCTCTTCACTGTCTTCCCTCGCGGTACTCCGTATACGCAGGTACGAAGCGCGAAGGGTAGATGCAGCTTGCATGGACGTCTGTATCTCCTGCTGCACAGCATGATATGGGTCCGTAGACATCTCGCCGTGGTGTAAGGGCGGGCCTTGTGCGCGTGCGCACGGCAAAGTATAGTCGAAATGAGTGTGGGCTTGGGTATAGACAACTTGCTATGCAAAGAAAAAGAGTGCGCGCTTCTTAGGCTTTCGTCGGGACGAAACAGACACGGAGGACGCGGGGTGCAGTCGGTATAAGATAAGTAGTAGTCTTGAGCATAGGTGGCGGCGGCAAGCCGGTGACAGTGACACTGGTGTCGCGCGTCGCACGTGCCGGCGCTCCTTGTACTAAGCGCTTGTGCCACCGCCGCTCCTCCCGACTGTCCACCACACAATTGAATCGTCCTCAAATCCATCCTCCTCATTATCATCCCTTTCACCGCCGCCGTTCCATCTTTCCCTCCTCTCCCCACCTTGCACTTGATATGCAAGCACATCCAGCGCATGCGCGCCTACACACCTACCACAGCTCGAAGAAGCAGCTGCTCGGCAACCAAACACACGCCCCGCCCGCATGGCGCACCGCGCCCGGCGCGACGCCCAACGGCAAGAAGGCGGGGCATATGGCGGCGGCGGCGAAGGGAAGCAAGATTCTACTAAGCCAGCTCCCAGTAGACGTGGCGGAGAACGAGGTCGAGGTGCGCTCTCAGTCTTGCTCCGAGTCGCGCGTGCCACTGGGGATGGTAGCGAGATGGTGGTGAGGATGTTAGCTGACGGGCGGCGGACTGAACGCAGGCGCTTTTTGCGAAGACAGTCGGTCCAGTGAAGGACTCGTTCATCGTGTACAACTCGCAAGGGAAGAGCAAGGGCATGGCGGTCGTCGCCTTTGCGCGACCAGGGGACGCGGCGATGGCTAGGAAAAAGTATAACGGGAAGATCGTCGATGGCAGTGAGTGTCGTTACTCTGGGTCCTTCGCCTCATTTCAAAACTGCTCGTGCATTCCTCAATTTCGTCTTTATCTAAGTATATACCCCATGCGGCATCATGCACGCGAGGCTTCACTCCTTTCGCCTGTTTCACTGACACAGATACTCGTTCAGGGCGACCAATCAAGATCGAGATCATCAAAGACGATGATGAGACAACCACAGCGGCGCCCGAGCCGAAGTCGCTCTCGCTGCTCGACCGCTTAGGTCAAACATTCAAATCCGCACCCACACCGCCCGCAGCCCAACGCGCCGCAGCAATGGCACCAACGTGAGTGTCGTGCCTGACCTTCCTCCACTACCACTTTCTCGAAAGCGTCGACTCACGTCATGCCCGTAGACAACCCAAGGCAGCGAAGGCTGGTCAGAAAGCCCCGAAACCCGCAGCAACACAACGGCCAATACTCGTGGGGAACCCCAAAGCCAAACTGCGTACAAAGAAGGGTCCGAAGCGGATTCAGAAGCAGCAGCAGCGGAAGGTGGTCACGGCCGAGGAGCTGGATCAGGAGATGGAGGACTATCGCGCGAGCGCGGACGCCGCATGACCCTCGATGATGGTGTTCTCAGTTCCGATTGTCCGTTGTATGATTACCCCTACTATACCACACCTGCGCTCTTTCTGCTCGGTCTACATTTTCACGCTGAAGTCTGCGTATGCTGTGCTTTTTTCTGGTTCGTCATTGGAAGTCATCTGTGACAGTGTACGGTACCCGTGTGATATGCAAACAACCTGGTTCTTCACCCATCGCTTTAAATACACACAACATTGTGTTCGACAGGGGGTCAATGCAACATATAGCGTCACTGCGTCTTCGGCCGGGCGGCAGCCGCCATACCGACGGTAGCTTGCCACCAAATGGCAAGCGTGAGGCCGACAACACCGTGTAGAGTCCCCCAGACGACTTCTGGCGTTGCGCGACGGCTGGACAATTTAATACGTGGAGAGCGGACGGAAAACGAGAATACGCCGGTGAGAGGGAGGCGAAGTAACAAAAGAGCGGACGACGTACGACTCAGCAAAAGCACCGAACGTATGGGGAATGAAGCGCGGAGCGTTGAAGAGGATGGTCGAGCAGGTGACATGGTAGAAGCACAATCCCATGCCGAGGGCACGCTTCCCGGGAAGGAACTCTGTGAAGCTGGTTCAAGAGAAGTAGATCCAATGAAAGGAGGAGTAACGCACCAGGAAGAGAGAACACGAGCAGCGCTGCCAGACAAAATCCAGCCACCATTGCCGAGTACATCTACGACGCCACGGTCGGATACCCGGTGAACGTCAGGAGCAGCGGAGAAGCCCACCTTCAGGAGCACCAACGCCGTGTTGGTCAACTGGATGAACGGCAAGCTGATCGGGCTCCAGAGGCCCATGACAGCGATGGGTGCCTCCAGCGCGATGTGCAGGAGGAACACCACCGACCTGGTCGCCCGACTCAGCACTTTGTCCAGTATCCCTACACGAAGTGAGACTCACAGAGGGTGGTTCATCTGTACTGCTTGCGGCTGCGACATATTCGTGCAAATCGGTCGTGGACGAGATGAAGCAAGGAACACAGACACAGAGGAGGCCAAGTGCGCGCACGAAGACGCTCGCGCCTTATCTCGGTCCGTACACGTCGGGCGGTGGGGAGCCGCGTGGCAGCGGCGGTTATGGGCGTCTGGATCACGTTCCTGCCAGGCACGCCGCCGGTATGTCAGATTCGAGATCGCGATCACTTTCCGCAATCGAGATCCCTGTGCGATCCTCCCGCCGCGCTGTATGTCATTTTCCGGTGAGCGTAGTTCGTCGTCGCCACAGGGGCAACCCGTTCGTGTGGTTTACCAGGCGTCCATGCGATAAAATATATTAAAATGTATCTGCATGACATTGAGTAAGACGCCGCTTGTGCCCTTCTAGAGGTTCCGCCACAAGTTTGTCCAAAATGTATTCATCTCACGTCATCCGGGCGCGCCATGCTACAACCGATACCATAATTGATCCAGCGGCAGTCACGGAGGTGGAGAAATATCAATTTTGCGGTGAATGCATGTACATGTATGCAGGCGATAGTAACGACGTAGCGCTGAAAAGGAAAACACCCGTTCCGCTCCAAATGGCTGGCGTCGTTTGATCGAGTGAGTGTTGTTGGTGCGTAAATACAAGCCAAGTCGTAGGATATCGAGTGACAAATGAGACGGGCCGCTTCCTTGCTGTCTCTAGCGACGTCGCAATGAGTCACAATGATACTCGCAGTAAATTCAGAGATTCAGGAAGCGCCAGGCTTTCTCCGACGATGGGATGTTCATTGTTCTTCGGTTGGGATGGGCGGGGCTGTCGCACCTATTTCACCGGACCGTACATTCGGCAGGCGTCGTGTCACTTGTGGGCCGCCACCATGTCAGCTGAAAGACTCAAATACCCATCTAATGTTATACTTTACAACATACATGCCTTATTTCTACGTCTGTATCTGGTATATCTACCAACATCCTGCCAACCGAAGCCCGAGAATAAATTGTAACAACAAATTGCATATCGTCATGACTCCCCCTCCTCATCCGCCTCTTCGACCTCCCCCAGAGAACCCTCGCGGCCACCAGGAAACGAGCGGCCAATGAGGAGAGCTCCAACCCCACCGCCCGCCGTCTCCTCCGCGTCCAAATCTCTCTCCAGATCAATTTCCTCTCCCCCGTCATCTGCCGCCGGGCCCGCAACGAGCCTGAGGCGCGCCACCTCCTGGCGGAGCCGGTCGATCTCCTGGTCGCGCCGGTCCGTGCGGGCCTTGAGGACCTTGATGTACTCGTTGCCGCAGCGGAGCAGCTGTAGCTTGCTCACCGCGCGATTCGGGCCCTCCGCGTTGCCCTTCGGCGGGCCGCGTGGGGGCATCGCGCCGGGGAGGATGGGTTCGTCCTCGGAGGGCAGCGGGATGGGCGGGAGCAAGACCCGGAGGTCGTCGAAGGTCGTCTTGAGCGAGTCGCGCCGCTTCTGCTCAGCGGCCTTGTGCGAAGACTTGCGAAATTGGACGATCGGCTGGGTCGTGGACGGCGCAGGGCTCGTAGGCGCGACGGGCCCATTGCCCGCTGGCAGTAGAATTTCAGTGCCTGTGGATGGATTCTCAGCGCGAGGATACTGACCTGGGCGTATAGGCTTAAGGCTTGGGCTGATGAGCGGGACGCTTGCAGCCTTGTCGGCCGACCTGGTCGCCCGTGCTGGCTCTGCGAAGGCGGAGGACTTGCTAGCCGCCTTGGTGCGGCCAGTGCTGTCCTTCCTCTTTGAAGTCCCTTGTTCTTGCGCCCCACCCGGCGGGCCAAAACCGGAGTTGATGCCCAGTCTGCCTAGGTTCATGATACTTGCCGGGGTCACCGGCGTCATTGCCGGGTTCGACGCAGCAGCATTGGACGGTACGCTCATGACAGAGGCATTCACGGAGGTGAACTCGCGCTCGAGTGGCGACGTCGGCTGAGGCGGGTGAGCCGGAGGCGGCATCGGCGGCAGCTCGATGGGCGATGGCGAGTCGCCGGGGAGGTCATTCATGTCGGAGACGTCCAAGCTCATACCAGGTCGCGCCATCCCGTTGAACAAGGGCGTCGAGTTCGCTGAGCGGGACCCCCGCATGGACGTGCGCTTCTGCTGAGCGCCGGCGTTGGGTCGGATGGCTGCCCTGATAGAGGACTGCCGCTTGCGCGAAGGCTTCGGCATGGACGTATCCTCGTCCCCGCTAGATGTCGCCCCGCGCCGCTTGATGCCAGCCGCACTTCCGCTCGCGCTCGGCATGGCTTGTGTGTTGTTGTTGAAGGGCCCGAGCCAGGGGCTGGTCAGCGGTGAGATGTCGCTGAAGTCGTGGTCTGCGCCGGAGGAGCCGGAAGGCATCGAGAGCGGCGGGCCGATCTCGAAGGCGATGTTCGCGGGTGCGGAGTGCGGCGCAGACGGGATCATCTGGTGCGATTGAGAGAGGAAGCCAGGCAGGTTGCAGACGTCCGGTGGGAGGGAAGGCTGGTGCTGCGGCATGGTTGACATGCCGGCGCCGGAGTGTAAGAGCAGAGGAGAGACATAGTCGGGGCTGGGTTGCGCACGCAGTTCACCGGACTGCACTGAAGGATAGATGGTTCGCGCTGAGACTAGATGATATAGCAAGTGACGCACTTGGGGTAGGAAGACCATAATGCTGCTGCTCCCGCTGCCTGTCTCCCATGCCTTGACCCGCTAGCGACTGTCCTCCGAACGCATTTTGACCACTCAAAAGTTCCAGCTAATAAGGGCCAGTATTAGCTGTATAGGCGAGAAAATTCCGAAATGAAAGGCAATGCGGCACGAAGCCAAGGTAATTGTGGAGAGCAAAGACTATGCGGCTCACCTGCTGCTGGAAGATCTGATTTTGGAGCTGCTGGAGTTGCTGCAACTGGTTGAGGCGGAACTGGTGTTCAAGGAGAGCCTGAGGTGTCGACTGAGATGGCTGTGAGATCCCCTGCTGTTGCGACGGATCCATCGAGGGTATCATATGCTGGAGGGCATCCGAGCCGAAGTGCATGTTTGGCATCGGAGCCAGAGGCGGCTGAGATGAGAAGTTCCCAGGCGTTTGAGGGCCGGACGAGCGATTGTAGAAGCGCTCTGCGGCATCCCGGGATGCGTCGAACTGGAAAAAGGACTGGACGATGTCCTTCTGCTGCTGGTGCGGGATCCCAGAGTCCGCACTCATGGTGGCCAGGAGCGCACCATCAAACCTGCCAGGCTCTAGGGGCATCACCCAGGGCGCTTAACAACAACGGTACATATTGCAAATACCACTTGCCCCCCTGAACTCCCACATAGCTCAGTTGGTAGAGCGCGTCACTAGTATTGATAGGGCATTCGAACCGTCAAACCGAATGACGAGGTCAGTCGTTCAAATCGGCTTGTGGGAAGATCTTTTTGGTTTTTTTTCTACCCAGTCGACCGAGGAAGTTGAGGCTGAGGTTAGATCCTCTCAAGAGAATTTTTTGCGGCTGCAGAATGGCGTTCTATGTTCCTGCGGTGCCGGTGTTCGGGCGTGAGAAAGTTGGGTTTGTTGTGGTTTGTTTGGCGCCTTCCGAAAACATAAGCCTTCATGCGCACGATTGAGGGAACTTGCGCACAAGATCAAAAACTTACCGGAAGTTGCAAGTTTGCTCGGTGTCGTCAGTCGCAAAGTTCGCAGCTGGCGCCTGGCAATTGATCCTTTAGTTTCACCGTGACTCTGCATACTTGACCGTTCACCCATATTCAGGAATCACTGCCAGTGGGTAGTTGACTTTAGCCTGAGATATACATTCTCGGGACACTCAGTACTCAATTCCACCTAGACCCGTCATCCGACGAGAGTGGCGGCAATGGGCAAAGGCGAAGCGAACGCTGACAGAGTTTGATAGCTTCAGCGGTAACTAATTTAATGTTCCGTCTCCAAATGACTACTTCTGATCTGACACGATCCAGTTAACAATGGATTAGCTACCGTGTCGATGGTGCTGGACGGTAGCCATGATCGCAAGACAGTACGTCGATGTTCAAAATCCTAGCTCGAGTCGGAAGTTTGTCCACTTGAGGCCGGAGCAGGCCGCATATTGGCGTCATAAACGAACGGCAACTATCTTCACGGTTGAGCGCGAGCGTTGCGTCTGTGATTGGTGCCCCGTGGGGGAACGCCACGCGAACTATGATCGTGCTGGTGGTGTCGACTGAAGGCGGGGACGTTTTTCGCGGAGAAGTATGACCGAATACTGTCAAATTGGCATCTTTCGCAGCCGTACGATGGCAGTACGTGAGACAATACTCAGAACAGAGCAGTGCGCTGCTGTGCGCATGATACGATGTCTGGAGTCTAGGACATCCGCGACGTGTCTATCGTCATTTCGCGGCCTATCGTACGGCGTGCGAGCGCAGAGCGCAGAGTATAAACATCGCGCACGGCGGTAGCATTGATGCTGAGATGACTTACCGTGGAACAGCTCTTCGTCCCCCTTTTCAAATCCAGTATCCGGGACCGTCCGAGAGCCGAGGCCTTCCGAGTCGGCGCAACGAGATGGGCGAGGACCATCAGGACGAGGTAACAAGAGGCATAGCTTTGTGTGCGCCGGGAGTAAGCTTCGAGAACACGTCGTTGGCATGGGAACAAGGCGGTATATCTTTTGCCTGCGATATACCAACGGGATTGATCTGGCATGCTCACAGACATTATATGCGGTGATAGAATGTAAGCTTATGATTTCCCTATCTGCGTATATGGCTGTTCCTGACCTGTGAGGCAATGTACCAATAGCGGACTGGATAACGAACTCGTGGAGTGCGATACAGCAACAACATACTCTATTTCCCATGCCAAATGGTAGGGTTCTGTACGCTGATTGTGGCGACATGGGCCACCAGAGTCGTCAGACAGCCGTGGTGGCTATCCACTGCCAGTGTTGCTTTACACCTGAATAAAGACCCGGACCAGTCTATAGGGCCCCCCTGCGTAGCCTCGGTTGCCGACGATTTATGACAACCAGTGTCTTCACGCAGCCACCGGCTTGTCAGGCCGATTAGAGCGCCGGGCGGCCGCCGTTTCCAACAAATCGAGATAGGAGAACAGAGCGGAAGGGATCGAAGCGCCAACATCCAGCTCCTGTATGCGATATCCTGTCAGCCCACAGCGCCACCACAACTCCATAACCTTTTGACAACCGCGGGTACAGTTAGCGGAGGGCCTGCTACCTTTCCGTAACGGCGACCACCTGCGGATATTTGGGCCTCTACCCTGTGAAGGCCGCTGGTCATTGGGTTGACTGCAGGGACATAGACATGAATGTCATACATGACAGCGCGCGGTGTCCAGCCGCGAATCTACTGATGCGGGCGCGAGGTGTGTGGCCGCGTGCCCATAGAGCGCCCATAACCCCGTGTGGCGGATAGCCGACGCGGTATGGCTTCATGTCCGTCGGGTGGAGAGTAGCTCGCAGGCTGCTGCCTTGCCCTCGTATCAAATACACGAGTTGTGGGCGAGGAGCCAGCCTGAAGACCACGTTTCAGTGTAGCATGCGTACGCTGCGGTATCACATTGGTAGGCACTTGCCTGTTTCTGTGGGCAGGGCGCCGGCTGAACAGCGTCGCACATGTGCTTGCCGTCGCAGTGGTGTCGTGGTGGGAGCTGGGAGTCTGCAGCTGCTAGCTAGGTATGATTGTGCAGAGTACAGATGGACTGCTGCCTTGAGTGAAGGCCGAAGCGACACACTGCTTTCCGCCACAATAACAAATTGAACGGGATTAACACGTGGGTCCGTGACAAAAGTCGATAATACATACCTATTGCAATTATCTATGTTCGAGAAGGTGGACGATTAGCCTGTGGTGGTCGGCCTACCCACCTAGGATATATGAAGTGTGGACACGAGCGAGGATAACAACGCCGCGTGACGAGCCCGGAGGCGGCTCGTGGAAAAAGAACGGTCGTAGAAGGAGCGGATACCTCTGCTCTGTAGACGTGCTCCGTAAGCTTGCGGCGAAAACAGGTTCACGGTAGCATGCGGCTGGCCGCTGTGGGAACAATACTCTTGTTTGTCTTGCTAGATAGAGTCCGTGGCACATAGCCGGTACTATCCACGTAGGGTGGTAGACCGATTCCACCGTCCGCATAGACGGCAGGGAGGGGAGGACCTGCCGTTGAGCGATGTGGTAGGCCCCGACCGAGATAGGCCGGAGCTACAGGCTTTCTCTCGCTCTTCTGAGCTTCGGCGATTTTAGTTCTGCGCCTATCCATTTCAGCCTTCTGGAGGTAACGTTGCCAAGAATTATATACATAGCGCGCCGTCCGCACAAGCTGACGTTCGATCAAGCGTCAATCTATTCGCCTTGTGACCTCGCTGTGAACCAGTGGGTACACGCACATGTCGCTGGCCACATATACTCGAGAGCCGCTCGAACTGGGAGGATGGTGGCCCAGTTCAAGCTCCGCTATCTGGGCACGAGCGCCGGGCCGCAACCCAAAAAGTTCTGCTGATTCTGGACGAGGACGCTGCTGCCAGAATGCAGAATAGTGGTGATGGTTGCGGGCGGTCGACCATCCAGCACGCTGGACTGACAGGCGTTGATATCACATCTCTCTGGGCGCGTAGATGTGGCGAGCGGCAGTCGAGCGTGACGTTAGGGTGGCAAGACGCCTCGTAGGCTCGTGTATTTCTTCCTCCTAGCTTCGTCATCGGTACGGCTACGCTGCGCACTGTCCAACCACCCAACCGCAGCACAGATCGAACAGGATGATAGCTCACCGAAGATTGCGGAGGACCGCGCGGCCGAACGCTGCGCGTGTGGGAGCACACGAATGCTTGCGGGACCGACGGGCTGGCCTCTCGCGGTAGGCTGGGAAATCCGAATGCCTCGAGCTGGCTATAATTTTTGTATCATTGCAGGGTCCAGGTTCTGGGCAGGGCGTTTAGTGGAGCCGTCTGGTCCAATACCTGCCCGGCACGGTTACTATCTGAGGGTCAGGTTGGTATATCAGCGACTAGTCGAAAATCCTCTGGATGGGGTTGCGACGCTACACACTAACCTGAAAGCCACAATTGGCCGGTGTAGGAGGAGGATTGGGGGTGTCGCAGATCGGTACGAAAGCGGCGCTTGCAATTACTCCATTTAGCAATCTGAACGGTTGTGCCGCGTTCCCCGAGCCAACGCAGCCCAATAGTCTCTTGCATTGTCCTGGAGGTGGGCTCGCGTCGATTGGACGAGGCGGTTCGCTTCAGGCATGCATGCGGCGCGTACCCACCTCGCGGGCCAATGGCCTGGCTGGCCTAAGCGTCCATTGTGTTCCTGTCGATCGCCGCCATCAGCTAAGCGGAGCGCATTGTTCTCGCGCACCACAATGGCGGACGGGCAGGAGGGAGAGATACTCGATAGCACGATCTGGGAGGCGGTACACGCCATGGGTATGGGATGAGCCAGATAGAAGGTCTGCAGGCCAGCAGGGCGGAGAAGAATGAGGATGCCGTACACGCACCGCCTTGACTTACCGGATCCGGCCGAGCGCAGGGCACGGGCAGGGGTTCCATAGTGTCCTGGGAGGGCTTCGGTGGACCTGCGGCCGCGAGAGCGTGCTGTACACGAGGGATAGACTTCGTGATGAAGACGTATAGTAGGACTACGCAGCCCTGAGTCAGACTGGAGCACTAAAGCCACCAGGGCCTACTGATTGATGGGATCGCTCCTGTGCAGGGACAGCGGTGGGATGCAGAATAATTGGGTGGCCGCGAAGGACCGTCATGTGCTGTCAAAAGCGGGGCGCGCCATAGGACCGCTGATATTGGGGATGCTCGTCGCTTGACAGGGACATGTCAAACCGCTGGGACCGCGGAATACAGTTTGATTCTGTTGTTGCGATGCCTTTTTGTGATTATCGCGAACGGATCCTGCATTCCCAGTGGGAATGGAGGAGTGGTTCCATGATTACATCTCAGGGGCGAGAAGACGGAGTCGCGAGGGGTGACGAAGGTGGCATTGTCTGCGGGGACGGGTGTCGCAAGCGGCCGATGGAGGGACCGAAGGAAGGATGTGCAGCTTCGCCGGGTGGAGGCGGCGAGGGCACCAAAATAAGGAGCATAAGGTTGGGACGCCGTCGGATTCTCAGGCGTGTTCCGACGCGCCGTTCCGAGGCCATCGCCGCGACGGGGGGCAGCTGCTCGATGCGGGCGGCGACGATCGCGCACACATGCCCCGTCAGCACAGAAGCACGCACAGGGCGACCGAAAGGGCATGTGCGACATGAAATGCGCGGGACGGGGACGTGTCGGTGCCACTGCGATGGCCACGAAAGGCAGGTGCGAGTTCCGGGGCCCCTGCGAGTTGCCGCGTGCGGAAAGGCGTGAAACTCAAGAAGCACGCTAGGATCAGATGTCGGGGAAACCTGCCATTGGCTGGTGCAGGGGTTTGAAATGAACTGAATATAATGGTGGCGCTCACGCCCAGAAGGAGGCTAGGCGGAGGACACGCCACGGCGACGGAGGGGGCCGTTTGGGGGCCCGCCCGGTTGGGCCCCAGCCGGGGGGCGGGACGGCGGGGCGCGGTGTCCCTGTACCCCGCCGCCCACAACTGGCCGGGGCCGCCGGCGGAGACCAGGGCGACCACGGCGGCGGGTGGCCCCAGCGCAGAGGGCCAGCTGGAGAGTGCTGAGATTGGAATCAGATTGTGGTCGGGCAGCTTCTGGCAAGCGATAGAACGGCGGGCGGAACGTTCTTATATTACGTAAACTGTTTATCCAATTGGGGCCGCAAGCTGCCGTAACAGAATACAACAACCTATAAGTGCTTCTTACCACGCTCCACCGCGCGACCTGCCCTCTCCCCTCATCTCGCCACTCGCGCATGGCCGTGCTCATGTCCTACCACTCTATGCTGCCCCCCACCAAAAGACGTCGTACCGCCACCGGTGTCCTTGCCGGTGACTTTGACCCGCGTCCGCATCGCGACGTCCTCACCAGCGTCCTGAACGGCGTGCCTATCAATAAAGAGGTCGAGAGGAACGAGGAGCTCCGGCGCGAGCGGCGAAGGAAGGAGAAGGAGCGAGAGCGAGAGAAGGATAAGGAACGCGAGAAGGACAAGGAGAAGGAGCGCGAGAGGGAGAGGAAACGCGCCAAGTCGGACGCGAGGCCATCGGTGACGGTGTCCGTGCCCCCCGTCGCGTCGACATCGGTCGCTGGCGCGTCAGGCTCCACCGCGCCCAAGATATCCGCCCCCGTGGCGCGTCCCACCGTGTCCTCCTTCTGGCAGGCGCGTCCAGCCATCCATATCACGAACATGCAACGTTCCGTTTCTGTTACCCCTCCCCCCATGGCTTCGTCGCCGCCAACCACCCCGGGCCCATCCATATCATCGACCACTTCCGCCACATCGTCCAAGCGGCCGCACACACCGTACGATGACGACGACGATATGCATAGCCAGAACGGCAGTGAGGCTTCGCAGACACCGCCTCTCATGCACTCGCGGCCACGCAAGAAGCGCACCGCCGTTCGCAAGGGCTGGAAGGGCTGGGTGGAGGGCTCGCCGCCACCGTCACAGAAGCTCATTAACCTGGACGCGGTCGCGATCCTTCCGCAGAGGAAGACGAGGAGTGGAAAGAGCTTCGATGCTATCGGGGTCGGCGAGGACAGTTGGATTTGAACTAGGTGAGTTTTATCGCGCGATGCAACGGTTCGATTGTGCTGATCACACTACAGACGTCGCACGTATGGCCATGGAACGTCCAGGCGTATAGAATAGGTACTCTCACTGTCGGGTTGGTGCTCTGGCTTCTACTGTCCTCATGCTCTCCCATCTCTGGTGGCCCTGGTTGAAAACTGTCATTTACTGTTTGTCGCGCTGTGATTTCCTTTCATATCCTACCGGTTCACGGAGTCTCGCTGGTGTTACCTCTTTTCTTTCCGTCGTCGTTATCGGGCATCCACTCATTATCGTTAGGGTTCTGTTGTGCATATGTCCATCTTGTACGCATATCTAGTTGACACAAAGGCAATGCAAATATGTAGTTATGCGAAAGACACCATCTGCAACTATCAGACGATATCGCACGCGCGTAGACGCGTCCGTCGGCTCGCTGCGTCGCGACGGTCCACGGTTGCCAGCGGGGCGAACAAGGGAAAGCGTCAGCGCGGGCGCTGCGCCGGCGAAGCCTCCCAGCGCCAGGCCAGCGTGGGAATCCCGACGCGCGCCTTTCCCCGTCCTGAGCGTGATCGCTGGCCGCTGCGCCGAGCGCCCTGCAGCCGCCTCGATCTTGCTTTCTGATCTCACCACCCCGGCCAACACGGATTTGTTTCCGCGAACGTTTTGCGCCTCGCCTCGCTGCTGGCCACGACAACGACGAGCTCGCCATCCCATTCAGACGCAAGCATAGGCGGCACGGCGCATCCAGGGTCAGCACAGCTCCGACGGACGCCGTTTCCTCCCCGCTTTAGCTCAGTCGCTACCGTCAGGCCGATAGACGAGTGTCACCGACAACGCCGAGACTAGGAGGGCACAGGGAAGAGACACCGACGAGGGCGGGTCAGACGACGGAGACCGGAGCTTGAAGGAGCCTAGCAGACACTGCTCGGCCGCGCGCCACTATCGCCATGTTAACCCACATCCCATTCCCCATTCTGCCGGCGCCGCCGTCATGGTTCCCGGGTCATATGCTGCAGTTCCAGCGCAACCTGCCGCAGCTGCTCACGCGTACGGACGTCGTGCTCGAGCTGCGCGACGCGCGCTTACCGCTCACGAGCATCAACCGCAAGTTTGAAGGTACGTCCGAGTTTTCTTTGGTGCGGTGTATGCGCAGTCGTGTGGGATAAGAGCCTGCGGTGTAAGGGGCAGAGTCTGGGACATGATGGTGCATTGGTCGTCATTATCTGCCACCCTGCCTATGTGACGTGCGCGTGGGGCTCAGTCGCTGCTGCGCGCTCGTTTGCTGTGCTCGGTGTGGCTGTATGTCCGCTGTGTGACTCGCATGTAAAGCGAGCAACAAGACATGCCGACGAAAGCGTGTGTATGCACTCATACGCAATTTTCAGGGCTAATAATAGCCCTTACATTGCGTATCTCGTCATATGCACTTTCCACGCTTCTCTCGGATGGTGTTCCGAATACATCCATACTCACGAACACACCGACAGGAGTTTTGCAGACCTGGCGGCGTGAACGTGGTGCAATCCCCACGCCACCGCCCACGGGCGAAGCCGGACCTTCCGCTCTACCAGCGACTCCCCGCCCTACCGGCAGCGGTCTCCTATGCGAGCGCATAGTCGTCTTCAATAAACGCGACTTGGTTCCCGAATGGGGCATCGAGGTTAGTCCCTGGTGACATCCGCGCCACATGGACTCAGACAGAAAAAATCTAGTAGCCATTCAAAAGGGCCATGGCCGCGAAATATCCTGACCAGAGGGTCTTCTTCGCATCATGGAATAAGACGCGCGACATCAAGGCGCTGAATGAGCTGCTCGTCGGTGCGGCGATTTTCTGCGCGTGCTTGGCGCCCATATCTGATAAGTGATCGCCGTCTCTGCCCAGGTATCGCGAAACACACTCCGCATGCGCCCGAAATGAATGTCCTCGTCGTTGGCATGCCTAACGTCGGGAAGTCAACGCTGCTGAATGCCCTTCGGAATATCGGGATCGCGGGTCGTGAGTAATTTTTTCTGTCCACAGAGGCCTGTCCCCTCGGCCGCTAACTCCGTCAATGGGTTGTGGTAGCTACGCCGAAGGCACTGCGCACTGGGGCACATCCTGGAATCACTCGCTCGCTTTCTACACGCTTGAAGCTCTCGATTGACCCTCTCGTCTATGCATGGGACAGCCCCGGCGTGATGCTGCCGTTCCTTGGTAAGGGCGAGAGTGGTGCGGAACGCGGGGTCAAGCTTGCGCTCATAGGTCCGTATGACAGTTCATTCCGACGCTTCACGGTCGACCGATGCGCTGACGCCCTCATTTTTGTTTCACGCATCGCCACAGCTGGCATCAAGGAGGGCTTATATGACATTGATGCGCTAGCTTCCTACCTACTCTACCGACTCAATGTCCTCGACCCTATCTGTGAGTTTGCCCGTCTTAATAGCTGAACTCGCGCTGACGCGCGACCCCCTTGCGCCTGTCGACTTGTCCCTTCGCTACCGCAGCCCCTGCCTACTTGAAGATCCTTCCGCCAGGAACCCAGCCGCTAACCGACGTGTACGAATTCCTCGATATTCTCGCAAAACGACTGGGCATGCTCCGGAGGGGTGGCATCCGCGACACCGCCCGCGCCGCCGTCTGGTTCGTACAATGGTGGCGCAACGAGGGCGGGTTTGTTGCCGCAGCCACGGAGCATGCAGCCGTGAGAGGCTGGGGCTTTGATTTTCAGTGGGACCTCGCCAATCCATCCGACTCCGACAAGTCCGCCGGTGCGGTGGCGCCCTCCGACGCGACTGCGGTCGGGTCGGACAAGAGCCAGGAACGGCCCGACGAGGCGGTGATCCAGGCGCGAATGGAGGCCTGTATAGAGCGGTTTGAGCGGGGGGTAGACGGGGAGGAGGATGACGGGTCCAACGTCAGCAAGACGCAGGAAAAGAAGCAGGCCCGCACGGAGTTACTCGCAAAAAGGAAGGCGAAGGCGGAGAGAAGGTGGGCGAAAAAGGTGGGCGGTGTATAGGTATGCACCGACTGGTGATACATTACTACGTTGGTTATTTCGATATGCTGCTGATCAAGTGCTCTATCATCTGGATATTCGGAAAACTGTCTGCGGATGTATCCGCAAAAATCTCGAGTCGAACGGCCTTCGATTAAAGGACCCTTCTTACCTCGTCATTGTGCGCGCAGAACCTTCGTTACCACAACGGAGAAAATGCCAACGGATTTTGTAGCTCACTTGAATGGCCCGACCTACCTCGTTCACTAGCATGGCTACCTAGCAGCCCGAGCAATCGCGGCACCCGTGCTGATTTGTTTTGCGGCGACACTATAGTTTGCACATCCTCAACAAATTTTTAATCGGAAGCACCGCAAGCAAAACTCAGTGTTCAGTTCGATTGCAATCTGTCGAATTATGCATAGCGCTCGGTCGCGCTGACTCACTGCTAGGCCGAATTTGTCTCCTGATATCTCAGACCATAAAGGCATAACATCCACCGTTCCCGCCCGTCCCCTGGTCGCGCCCAGCAATAAGGCATATTTTTCAGACTGCGCGCGCCCATCAACAATGGCACAAGGCCAACTCCATAACTAGCAATGCGAGATCTCGCTCCCCTCGCGCCACAGGCATGTTCGAACCGTCACAGCGGCGTGTGTGACAGGCTATAGATATATCCAACATTCGTCGATTAATGTCTGCGGTCAGCAGCTCGAGCGGAGTCCTCAAACGTGTCCAATGTGCCCACCGGCTTTCATTAGCGCGGGACCTGAACAGCGCGTTCACCTCACTGCACGTATCTCAGGCTGTTGGATCCTACTGAGGTATCACATCTCTGATGCCCTAAGCAGCTCTAGGCAGAGCCTGAGGAAGGGACTGTCATTGCGGTAACCGCTGTGGCCAGAGATACTTCCGGGGGACACGGCGGATGAGTCAGGCGGTATGGATGGCTTCTGGCTTCCCCTGCGGACGTGTCGACGGCGACTCCATCCTGGGAGACATGCGGCTTCCCAGCGGCTAAATGTCAGCATTCTTCCACTTCTACTTCCACCCCCTTCTGCCTCCATCTCCTGAGATGCATGCGGCGAGGGCCCGCCGCCCGTATCATGTTCTAGCTTGATCACTGCGTCCGTCGACACCAGCCATTGGCCATTGCCATAAGGCCGTGCAGTCATGAGATATTTGCGCCGCGAAGCTGATTGGCTACCTCTTGCACGAAGGAATACAAAGCGTCCTCTGCCACAGACGCCGTAGAAATACACCCGGATCATCCGCTATAGTACACTACGAAAGAACGTCCAATGGTCCACTCAAAAGTCCAGGTAATCTCTGTCGCCCCCTCCGGGCCAGCGACTCGAGGGAGGGACGGCTGTACCGTACGCGTCTTCTTGTACGCCACTCTCCGCGTCCTTGAAGGAGAACTCGCGTTTGAATTTACTCTCGAGGCCGGTGACCAAGACGATGAGCTTGTTGCAAGCCGCCTCGAGTGCGGCGGTTGGCGTCATCGAGCCGTCAGTTTGGATCTTGATCAGGAAATACGGCTGTAGAGGATGTGGGACTTTGTAACCCGCGAAGAGCACCTGAGGCATGTTCAGCAGCTCCCTGTCATGCGATGTGAGTGTCTCATATGTTCGTCTGTCAACGACCGAGATACTGACGCGCGGATCAGGTTTCCCAGCGTGTGGTCCTGCTTAACCACTTTGATGGTGGCGGCATTAGGGATTTTTGTGTCCTCTATGACTTCGACTCTAGCAAGGAGAATACGTACGTGAGTTCACGACAGCGCTCAAGTGGGAGTTCACGCACGGCTTCTCGCCCTCGTCCAAGACGAATGCTTCGAACCGATTAGGCGCATTCATTGTAAACTAGAACTAAGGACAAGTGCAAGCCGAGACTGTTCCTCGGAGATAGAGAAAAGTCGTCAAGCAGGTCGACGGATGGCACGCGTAGTGTAGATGATGACGAAGACTAGCACTATTGACCGCTTTTAACGAGACGACCTGGGGAAGAACGAGTCAGCATATGTTCTTGCACGAGTCGAAGGTGCAAGCGAAGCTCAGGACACATTTTGTGATCACTACGCACGATCCGTGCGGTCATTGACAATAAATAAAGCCATATGGCTGACATCATCGGCCAATAATCCGAGAATGCGAGACTTACCTGCAGAGCAAGGTTGACGTGAAGCAACAAGGTGAAGATTGCGCGACAAGAGACGCCCAGATAGACGGTGGCCACAAGACAAGCAATACACAACATCCCGCCACAGCCTGTTTTGGGATCCTGTAAGGGCCCTGGTCTGTGTACCGACACTCAACGCCTCCTCAAGGTACGTATGCTGCCCAAACTCATGCCCAACGGAGTACTGGCGGACTGCAGACGACGAGGGCTTCCGATTGAATATGCTCTCTTGTCGGAAATCCGCCGTTACGACGTTGGATGCATGGCGCTACGTTTGGATGATGCTCACGCTGCGCCCTGCGACAGAAAATGCCTACACGGTTCACGAAGACTCGCAAGCACCGCGGCCACGTCTCTGCCGGCCATGGACGTGTAGGCAAGCACCGCAAGCATCCCGGAGGTCGTGGTCTCGCTGGTGGTCAGCACCACCACCGGTACGTCTGTTCCTCCTGAGGCCCGTACGATCAGCAAACCAACCCTCCGTCCTGCTGTCAGAACCAACTTCGATAAGTACCATCCTGGTTACTTTGGTAAGGTTGGTATGCGCCGATTCCACCTTACGCGCAACCTTCAATGGTGCCCGATTATCAACGTCGACAAACTCTGGGCACTTGTGCCCGCGGAGGAGAAGGAGGGTCTGACGGAGAGCTCGGATGTCGTCCCTGTGATCGACGTTCTCCACCACGGCTACGGCAAGGTGTTGGGCAACGGACAGTGCGTCAAACATTCTTCGGATTCAGGCCGGGTACACTGACATTGCATGCAGGCTGCCCAAGCTCCCGTTCATCGTGAAGGCACGCTACGTCTCGAAGAAGGCCGAGGCAAAAATCAAGGAGGCCGGTGGTGTTGTTACATTGGTTGCATGATTTCTCATTCCCTCCGTCGCGCTTTCTCCTCTTCTGGCACTGTACCGCTCCCACGACATGCATATGCTCAATACTGCGAGGCCTCCTATGCAACCATGCTGTACTATCTGCCCCCGCGAGCATCCACCGATATATGCGTCACAAACGCCGCTCTACAAGATGATAATGAAGCTTGAGATCGTTCACTCCTGAGTGCTGCCGAAGGCCGCTACTGTTCATACGGGGTGTGATATCGACGGCAAATACTCTTGGGTGGGTGACCCTCGTACGCTATAGGACAAGAACGATTGCACGGCTTTTTGTAAGTACGGTGGATCTGAACTTCGCGTATCACTGCACCAAACCAACAAAGTCATAACGGCGTGGTCGCGCAACTTACAAGACTGCACTTGACGAATGTATGGAGCACTAATCCACATCTATACACGATATCATACAACAGAACGTACAGCAAAGCAGTACCATAGATAGTCCACGCTCCGTCCGTGTTATGTGCGAAGATATGGAGCACTGAGGATACATTTGGGCTGAGCCAGAACTTGAGCGGGAACTAATGGTGACAACAAACCAAGAGATACAGCATTACTTCTCGTGTGGCGAGGCGAAAGCGAGATACGCAGGGTTAGATCGTGTCCGAGCGTCGAGGGTCATGAAATCACGGGAGGCAACAGGCGACGACAGAGGCCTTCAGACTGCTTGCACCTGACCTCTTTCGACGTCGGGCTGCGGGGCACCAGAGCGGAAGGCTCGCAGGAAGCCAGGTCGAGCGAGGGAGGCGAGACTGCCGCGTACGGTCGGCGCAGCGACGGCAGCCGGGAGGGCGGGAAGCACGTCCACCTGCGCCTCCGTAGACATCGAGTCGCGGTTCTTCTCGTCATCGTCCTTCGAAGGAGGCGTCGTGGTGATCCGCAGCAGTGAGGTGTAAGCTGCATATCCAGTCGTGAGCGAGGGCCGGAATCGCACAGCAGAGAATGAACTCACGTTGACGGCAGACAGGGCAGAACCAGCCCTTCGCCTTGCGCTTGCGCCTGGGGGTGGGCTGCGGCGCGTTTGCCTCAGAACCGGGCACCGCGCCATCCGCTGTGGGCTGCGGGGCGGCCGCAGTCTCACCCGCAGTCGCTTCGGTGGCCGTGGTACCGTTTGTCTCGCTCTCTTGGTGCACAATCGTCCCGCCTGCGCCGAACTCGATCATGTTCACCGCGCACTCCCTGCACGCCACCAGGTGGCGGCAGGGAAGCAGGACGACTTCGCGCGGGGACGACAAGCAGAGCAGACACTCGGAGGACGGCTCTTCCTCGTGGGTGTTCGCGGGGGCAGAGACCGGCGGGTAGACGTGCTGGTCCACGCTCGCCGTCGGCGCCGCAGGCTCCGCGTGGGTAGCCGTCGTCGAGTTTGCAGACAGCCCGTAGATCTCGTGCAGGTGGAACGTGTGCGGGCCAATCTGGCATGGACGTCAGTATGCGATGCGCGTGTGGGAGACAGGGGCAGGGCCGGCAGCCGGCGCACTCACGATAGCCTCGCGCTTGACGACCTTGACGACCCATGGCCGCTTGTCCTCCACGGACTGGCCGTCCACCTCGGGCGGCGCCGCGCCGAAGCGCACGACGTGCAGGTACGTGACCTGCTCGTTCGCGGTCGGCAGCTCCTTGCCCTCCTCGTCGAGCGCCGCGAGGCGGATCACGACCTTCACGCCGACGTCGGGCTCCTCGTCCTTCGCGCCCTCGCCCTCGTCGCCCTCCGCCGCGGGCGCAGGCGCCTCCGCGTCGACGACCGCGAGCGCAGGCCCCGCGGCAGCCCGGCCGTGGTTGCGCTTGCGGAAATTGAAGTGTGTGAAGCGCTTCCGGCCCTTGGCGTGGGCGTCCTCGCCGGCGTGCTGCTCAGCGTCAGCGGGGGCCTCGCCGGGGCTGTCCTTGTCGACGGCGTCCGTGCGCGGCTCGAAGCGGTCGAGCTCGAGCGCGACGCCGTCCTCGAGCCTGAGCACCTTGCCGAAGCCGCCGTCGACGACGGACTCGAAGATGCGGAACTTGGAGAGCCCGCTGGAGTCGGGCTTGCCTGCGAGGGGGTGCTTGGTGTTCAGGAGGACGTGGACGCTGATCCCGCACTTGGGTGCGTCGCAGTCGTACTCGAATTCGAGGCCGTGGTGGTGCTGGGAGTCGGCGTGGTCTGGATCGTCAGCGGGAGCGACCTCGAGCGGGGTGAGGCGGAGAGTGGGTCGCTTGAGGTTCACGAGTGCTTGCAGGGTCGTGGTGGTTGCATAGGTCTAGTGCGGAATGAGACGAGCGGGGGCGGCGAATAGCGGGCGACGCACCTCCTTGCTCCTCGAAACCCAGCTCTTGATAACCTCCGGGGTGAGCTCGTCCGCACTCTTCTCATGCCTCTCCGTCCATGCAGGTCCTCCGCTCACGATCCCGATGTTGGGGCCAAAGAGGGTGTCGGACTTCTTGTCCTTGCTGGCTTCGGGGTTGCTAGGCTCGCCCATGTTGACGACGACTGCTTGGTGAGCCATCTCCGTCGCCCTGCGAGAGGTGTTGGTGTCCGTGCGAGCGATGTAGGGCTGTGCGTGGAGGCGGCGGGTCCTGTTCCAAGTCGAGTACTGGCTGTTATCTGTATGTGGTTACAGACCGCAGGTCAGAGGCGCAACCGCTGCTGCAGATGGTTGCTTACACCACGTCGCAAGCCCTGCCATAAGTCAGCGAGCACGAGGTGGGCAGAACAGAAGCGAGATGCACATCCCTCGGGGCGGAGTATACTCACGCTAAATGTAGCCCCTAGACGCCCACGAATGACTAGACAACACCGACAGTCCCGCAGGGCAGCGGGCACGCAACCGCAGCTGCTTGGCAACAAATTCTGGCCCTGCGCTGACTCGTCTCGTACAGGAGCGGATGGCGAAGTGTCAGCGCATGTCAGCGTGCAGAGCAGTTGCTGGGCCAGCACACCCGAGATAGCACTTCGGCCCCGGCAAGCGCTCGCTTCAGCCAGATGCGCTCCCATTGCGGTTCTGCGGTGGTCTGCCCAGGCCCCAGACTTATACAGGCAACATCGCTCGGTTCTTGTATTGTTGTCCTATTTGTGAGCATTGACCGCTGAGCTCCAGAACGACCCCACCAGGATCATTGTGAGCGAGCGAAAGTTGCAAAACCGCGGTCAGTTGGTACAAGCGCCCTCACTGCGTCCACTCGTCAAGCAACCGTCGAGTCAGCAGTGCGTCAAGGTGAGTACTGTGGTAAATAGCTGATGCATCATTGGCTGCTTTGCTGAATCAAGATAATTAGTGCACCTCAATTATTGGCCTGCAAAGCCGGAGTGCACTTGTATATGTGTGAGCGGTGGTCGCATCGGCTCCCATATCCAGAGTTACTAAGATATCACGCAGCTTGAAGGACGGTGATCATAGCATTTACTAGACGGAACCAGTGGTAGTATTAAGGCGTCTACATAGTTTCCGGTAAAAATTGCCCTACCACGGCGATTAAACGCATTCCTCAGCTAGGGCGCGTACCGTCCGCTATGAGGATTATGCGGCCGTCTGGACACCAGCAGAAGGTGAGTACTTGTTTCATGACTATAAGACATAGTAATTGAACCTGTGGCCGGACTGGTTGGCCCAAGCAACCGTTGGAAATACAGGGACGCTATCGCTTCTACTCTTCGACCCCGACTCGCCAGGGCCGGCTTGTTGACTTGTGCTTCACACATTGAAGTATTGAGTAGCGCCGTCAATTCAATCACCGGATGCTACTTACTCCTAGCAAATTGACAATGAAAGGGGTATGGGCCTCCATGATGCAGAACAAACTGTTATAATATCCCACACATGCGCATACACAGCTACATCGGGTCGTCCTTGTGAGCAGTCGGTGCTTCGCCGAGGTCCAAGGCATGAGAACCTAAAGGCTGAAGCCTCTGAGTCATGGAGACGGTGAGGGAAAGATTTCAGCACGCGTCAAGCTAGATTCCTCTTCTGGTGTCCTGGTGCTTCGGTTTCTTTGTAATAGACTCAAAAGACATATTCAATGAATTTGTAAGACTGCTCGAGTGCTCGCCCTGAGACTCGTTGGTATGTACGTAGACGTGCACACTGCTAGTGCAGGTCGCGTCAGACTCGCAAAAACACGATCACGTGGTCGCGTCAAGACTCAATGCGCCGTGCGGCCTACATGAGACGGGGACTCGGGACATGCGGATCTAGACTCTACATACATGCCAGTGGTCGTAACACGGGTTTTACAAAGCGGTCTATCTACAACAGTACAAGTATGCTGCCAAACACAACACGGCGACGACGACGCACGAGAATGGGAACAAAATGGCGCACGAAACAGGTATCAACATGTACAGCAGAGGGGGAAACACGTTTTGAGGGTATATTACACACCGGTCGCAGAGACATCTACTCGATACGCCTCGCCTTGGGCACGATTGCCCAGATGATAATCATCGTCGACATCATCGACACAATGCTACCGAGCGATTATCAACATCCATCACTACACATTCAGCGGAAACGACGTACAAAGGCTGCAAGCTCGCGATGCCGAACTTGCTTGAGATGAGGCCAGTGATGAACGGCAGGACCGCACTGCCGGCCTGGCCAATGCCGCCGATGTAGCCCAGGCAACCGGTGAGCAGCCACTTGGGCAGGATGCCGGTGGACTGGTTCATGAGGACGGGATAGATGGGGCCCATGAGAAGGCCGACCACGGATACGGCGATAGCGTTCTCGATGAGCGAGGGAACCACCCAGATGGTCACCTCAAGGCTGTGGAACGATCAGAGTGGGTAGACAAAGAGAGTCGGGGAGCATACATTATGATCACGATGGAGTAGTAAACGATCACCCAACGTTCGCCGAGCTGATTGCATTTCGTGAATGACAACATACGCACGAATGATCCAACATACCTTGCGATTGAGCTGCATGAGAGTAATGCGTCCGAGCATAAGCCCTGTGACCAACAATCAACGAGTCAGTCGCCCGATCGTACTCGGAGGCTGAGAAACATACCGCCGAAGAAGCCGGAGGAGATGTACCCAGCACTGGCACTCCCGCCACGCCTATCTTCAATGAAGGTGACGATCCAGCCTAACAGACACCGTGAGTACCTGCCCCATGAAGCCCACTGAAGATCAACCAGCGTACCTCCGATGGACACCTCCACGCCAACATAGATGAGTGAGAACATTGCCAAGTAATGGACCTCTCTCAGTCGCATAATCTGGCCGTACAGATTCTCATTGGCTCCAGGTTCTGAGACAGCCTGTCCTGCCTCGGTCATAACCTCTGCACACGCACTGAGGACTACTATAACGCTGTAATTCACGGATATGCTCACCATCTAGGTTTTTGGTCCTGAAGACAAATGCGAGCAGCAGGACGTTGCTGACGGCAATTCCAGTGGACACGAGGTAGTGGTATGACCAGTGGTCAGCAGTCGAGAACTGCGTTGCCACGAGAGGCGATATGAGCGCCCCGAGACCTATTCGGCAGAGGTTACTCTTGGCTGCTACCCGCACTGACGCGCGAAAGTTACCGTAAGAGGCGTGCAGGAACCCAAAGCCATTGCGTGCGCCGTCCTTGAGATTGCCCACGTAGCCGTTCCCCTGCGCGTTCTGCAGCGAGATGCCAAAGCCGGCGAATACAAACGCGATACACATGACCCAGAAGGGCCCGCCGGGCGCCATCATGGCGTACCCTATGAGCTGGATTACGGCGCCTGCGGGACAAATGAGTCCAGGTTGTCTCCGCCGATCAGAAATGCTGCGGTACCTAGTATGAGAACCTGCGCGCACGACCGATCGTTATTACGTGCGCGCTCGCCATGCGCAATCGCGTACGCACCTTGCCCATCCCGAGCTTCTGGTTCAACCACACATTCATCACTGCACCGCTCAAGAACCCCTTCAGAGTCATGTGAGCGTGCAGAACCAGCCCGCGCAATAGCTTTCAGCGTACCACGCAGTTCGTGACGAACAGCATTGATACGATCGCAAAGCCGATCTGCCACGCACAATTCATTTCAGCTACTCCACCCTAGCAATCGGAAGTTGAACTCACCTGGTAGTTGCGCTCTATCCTCGGCAAGAGTGGTCCGGTCGATCCATCATTCCAGCCCTCCAAGAAGAACGAATAGCAGAGCGCGAGAAACTGGATCCTGGCATTCCGCCGGAACGCAGCGCGTTGTGCAGGCGTGACGGTCGGGGTCTCCGCAGTGTAGCTGAGCGAGGCGGCGTACGGCGTAGGGGCGATCTCGACGTCCGTAATCTTGCTGAGAGTGTGCTGGCTGGGGCCACTAGCGATGGCACTGGACTGGGCATTGCTGCGTTCTTCAATGGGAGACAGGACAGGCAACTCGATCGCCTCGCCCAACTGGGGCGTCCGGACCCGGGGGAGCTCAGAACGTCTGCGGATCCTATCAATAGCAGGGGGAACAATCGTCGAAAGATCGAGCGAAGAAGCTGATGCAGTCGCCTCAACCTCGAGAGCGGAGTCAAGGCCATGGCCGTACGGCGAGGGGTTGAAAGTCGTGTTATCAGCCCGCAGAGCCCGGAGAATCTCCGCACGCTTGTCGGCGGCACTGCTCGTCGATCCCGTGGAGACTCTGCGGGCTGCAGCGGCTGCGGACGACGACTCCATGACAGGGAGGGACATGGTTGGGAGAGAGAGAGCTAGGGGTGGGGAGCACTAATATCACTGCAGCGTTGCGGGTCTTTTATCCGGTGCAAATTGTGTAGCGTCGCACCGAATTCCAGACTCAGGCCTCTGGTCCGTGCGGTCCCGCCGGCAGGTTCGAATACATAATGATGACGATGGATCTCGGGCGGGGAGAATCAGCCAGGGGCTGCCAGGGGTCGTGTAGGGTCGTGTATGTATGACTTGGATGGTGCCAGTGACCGGTGACTACGGTTATCGGTCCGCCGGCTAAGGGATAGCATACGAATTAGCCCGTCCATGTACTCAATCCAGCCTGGAGACTATTTGCTCACCATTCATGTCCATCCTATACAAGTCCGGGTTTCTTCATAAACATCCCCATCCACATCCTTCATTTCCAATGCCATTTGCGTACTGTACCTTGCCACAGTATGATCACGCGAGTACGGGGAGCCTGGTCAACGAATTTGCATAGCTCGCAACGGCGTAGCTTTCGGTAGGAGACCCCGAAGGCACTACTAGTTCGAAGGCGACAATATACTTCGCGTCTTTGACCTGGGAAGAGCTATGAAGATCTGAGGAGCTGTGGAGGAGCGTGAGCTCTTCAACCACGATGCCCGGCGTCACCCGTGGGAAATCACTGTATTGGGTCTCCTTCCTGATTAGATCAACAAGTTCCTCCCTTGTTTCCGATACGCCACCATGGTTGCCCCGCTATACACGACAGCCTCTGGGCTGTTGTTCCATGCTGGTAAGATCCTGGTGCTGACTGTTGGTCTCCCCGCAAGAGGAAAGACCCATATATCGCGTGCTCTCGAGCGTTACCTACGCTGGACGGGTATCAAGACCCAGGTCATCTCGTTGGGCGATTACCGTCGCAAAGTAATCGGCGGAACGCAGAAGTTGCCTCCGGATTACTTCAAGTTAGGTAAATACGACATACCGCGTGCCCACTCTCTCTGAATTCTCGTGATAGGCGAGAAGAGTCCTGAGACCATCGCGCTCCGTCAACGGATCTCCGACGGATGCGAGCAGCTCATCTGGGACTTCTTCAACGCCCAAGGACAAGTTGTAATATACGATGCTAACAATGGGACCCGGGAACGTCGTCAGAAGATAGCAGAGAAGTTTGTCTCTGCTGGAATTCATGTCATCATGCTAGGTTTGGCGATAGCAGAGTGTCCTACATGAATGTCGCTGATAGACATATAGAATCGCTCTGCGACGACGAGCAAATGATCCTAGCAAACATCCGCAGTGTCAAGATTTCGTCCCCAGACGTGCGTGCTGCAGGCATTGCATGTCACTGTGACTGAGGCGCTCCAGTATCGAGGATGGGACCCAGATAAAGCGGTCCGGGATTATTTCAAGCGGATCAGCGATCATGAAGTTCACTACGAACCAGTTGAAGAGACGACGTATCCTTCGATCCGTATCAAGAATGCGAGTAATCCCTGCGCTCATCGGTGCGTGTTTACTAATCCTGACGCAGGTTGGCGACAATATCATGGTCAACGTGCGTGAATAAATCGAGAGGCTTGCCTTCTTGTTCTCACTGATTGGCCCATAGGACATTCGTGGTTACCTTCAGGTGATCCGGACCTTGCGATGAACATCCGACTCTATTGCTGACTAGGAGCTCTAGTCTAGGATTGTCTTCTTCTTGATGAACATCCACAACCGATTCCGTACAATTTACTTCGCCAGGGTACGTCACTTCATGGGTTATACCAAACCGATCATTCAGGCAGGACCTCCCACAGTCTGGTCAATCGCTCATTGAGCATTCCTACAAAGCGGACTCCGACCTCTCACCGGCGGGTTGGGAGTACGCTGAAAAGTTGAAAGAGTTCGTCTACGAGCGACGCACTAAAATGTTGGAATCGCGAGGCGTGGACCCCGCAGAAAGGCGTTTGGTGGTATGTCCCCAATGCTTCTCTGGATGAGGCATCTCACCGTGATTACAGATCTGGACGTCCGCTCGCCGACGGTCACACCACACCGCCTGGCCCTTCTTGACCACGAGCCCGAACGACTCCTCACCGCCTCCGTCCGTGAAGATTATGGAACGGCCGCAGATGGCGGAAATCAACCCTGGCGTCTGGGACGGCCTAACCCCCGACGAAGTCAGGCAATACTACCCCGACGAGTGGGAGCGCTTCGTCAAGGATCCCTACGCGTACCGTGCGCCCAGGGCGGAGAGCTATCACGATCTTTGCGGTACGGTACTCTCTGTCACTCCGTACATGGTGCTTATACTCCGTGGTAGTCCGCCTGGAGCCGACCCTCATCGAGCTAGAGCGACAGAAGGAAGACCTCCTCATCATCGGGCACGCCTCTGTCATCCGGTGCATCCTCGCCTACCTCATCGGCCTGCCCGCGTCCGAGATTCCCGCCATCGAGGTCGCACGCGGGGACCTCATCGAGGTCATCCCGACTTCATATGGCGTCTACAGCCAGGCGTACCACTTCTGGGACGGCCCTGGACGGAGCAACACCAATAGCGGCAGTCCCGACGAAAAGAATTTTTACGAGAACTATGCGGAGGATACTAAGGGAAAGCGCAGGCCGGAGATCGAGAATGTAGAGGCATGATACTCTGCGAGCTATCGGCGTGTCACTCAGGGAAGGGGAAGCTAGAATTGGTGCAATTGTATTCGTATCGATTCCCGTTGTCATCACCATACAAGACATTCCATTCCTACACTACTACTGATCGCACACTTGCGGTGCCGTCTGCTTTTTCGTCGCTCTTGCGATCGAGATCATCCTCCTTTGCAAATTCCTCGTCGGATGGGGTCGCGTCGGTCATACCAGAGTGGTCGATCTCCTGGAACGTCTTCGACGCACCCACAGCCGGGAAAACTTGGTTGAGACTCCAGTAGATGACTGCAGACACGCCGAAGCCTGTGAAGAAGGACATGTCGTAGATGTGGGTGGCTGCCTCGGGAACAGGGCGGCCAGCTGAGAGAACTTTAGCACCTTTCTTAACGGTTGTTACGAGCCCACTTACTGGCACCAGCAAAGCCGACGACATTGATGAGGATACCTGCGATGTACGCCGCATACGCTCTGTGACCATGAGCACACGGTTCGTTCGCGCCAGGCAGAATTCAATGTTACCTGAAGTTGATGCCTAGCGTGTACGCGTACCACCCGTCCTTCCTTGCGTGGTAGAGGTCGCTTACCCGGTAGTGGCCCTTGCGGATTATATAGTAATCAGTGATCTGAGGAAGACTTAGTATGAAGCGGGCACAACAAATCGACGGTCATTGAGCGCACCATTACGCCGGCGATAGAGCTCAAGAAGACGGAGTAAGCCGAAAGGTACGTCGTGAAGTTGTTGCTACTCTTGAGCAGATTCCAGGGGAGCATGCACAGTCCGACGATGGCAGCTATGTATCCGCCGCGTCTGATGTTCTGCACAAGAATCCGTAGGCTCAGTGTTTCGAGGTCAAAGTCATCGTGACCTACAATGAATCGCGGGCATAGAGCCGTGAGGTCACATCCTGCACTGATGGAGTTGGCCGAGATGTTGGTTCTACGATGGGTGGTGAGTGATGACATTCAGGGTTCAGGACATTGGCCAACGTACCCGAGCTAGATCATTATCCAAATGAGTACAAATCGTCCACGTCATACTTGAAACCGAGGTCATGCACTGTCTTACCTGTGCGATAATAAACGCGGCCGCGATGAACCAAACCTGAGGTATCCGCTGGTCAGTAACCACTACTCCTCGAAAGCAATTAAATGACCTCACCCCGAATCTAGTTGCATGGGACGGGCTGTCGTCCAGGAACATGCCCAATAGGGTGATGGGCGACCAAACAGGCTGGCCGTAGATCGCCTGCGAGGAGGAGCTAACTATGATGCCCAGGAAACTGACGATACTGAAGCCAAGCGGGACAGAAATCAGCTGTGGCCAGAGTGCAACTCTTGGTTTCTGAGCGCGTGACGCAAAGTCTGGCGCATTCCTATACGTCGGAGTGATAGTTGAGCTGCGCAGCTCATTGAACGCTCAAAGACATCGCGCTTACGTTACGAGCGTCGCCATGTTGCTCACGCATGACATGAGGTTGGCTACCATAGCCCAGCCCAAGGACGAGCCATGGATTGTCGACGGCTGCCGTACAACCGGACCGACACCGTGCGCCTTGACGATGCACCAGATGAAGAACGTGATGCCGGCGATGGGCACAACAACTGCCTTGACGGTGAAGAGGTGTCGTACTTTGTGGATAGGCAACCAGATAGCTGGAAGCGAGATAAGCCAAAAGAGGAAGAAGGACATGAAATCTCGTGTAGTCGTCCCGGATGAGGCGGGCATGGAGTTGGCTAGACAAGCTGTAAGCGCGTTGTACACTCAAGCATCTGATGAGGCAACGCACGGATATTCTCCACGCTTGGCCACATGGCTCTGAGCAAGACGAGGACACATGTTCCTCCTATACTGGCTTGCACGCCGTACCACACGCTATTGTGGTGAAATAAATCAGCATATCAGAAGGCATCGTCAATGAGATCGCTCCTACCATGCCATAGCCGCCCTGTTGAACACGCACCAAAGGCTGCCCCAGATACCGAAGCTCGCCCGTGCGACAACAGGGAACGTGATGTGGAACTTTGCGCCTGGCCGGGCATTGAGCACGATGAAGGGGGCGACCACTCCATACCCTATCCAGACGCATATCCATGCCTGCCACCACGAGAGACCAGCGTCAACCATGGAAGAGGCAATCTCCCATCTGAGTAAGTGAAGTCAATATGCATTGCGGCCATGAGGTGGATGCCCCAATACTTACGTGTTAATATTGAAGCTGTCCGCTACCCAGCTGTGAAGGTAATAATATTGCTGCTTAACTTTGTCTGGACTCCGGACAGAAGGAATTGCTCACGCACAAGGCAATGAAGTTCCACATTCCCCATGTCCGCTTCTCAGAGGGTACGGGGTAGAGATCTTCATTCTGTGACGAACGGCTTTAGCATTGAAATCTCAGCGCCAATCAGACTGAGGAGGATCCTACCGTTAGAAAACCTTCAGCATACGACAGGTCCCTTCGCGAATCGTCTTGATCGACTTCCAGGCTACGAACAAGCCGCTTCAAGGAGTCCTTTGCGCGCACGCCCATGGTCGTAGATCAGGTCAAAGTCCACGAATCCCCCCTGCACCCGCCTCCCCGCCGAAGATATATAGTCCACTCCTCCGCTGATCCCCTCCAATTGCAATTGATAACTCCGCCCGGGGAAAACTTGGACGACAGATAGAAGCATGCTGTTGAGGCGTCGAGCCTGCGTGCTCAGAGATAAGTGGGCGCTACATCGTTGACGCCCGTGTTAGCGACGTTGTCCAGCGTGAGGTCTGTGGTCAAGCTCGCTAGATTGAGATACCGGTCCCTGCTGGGTCCCTGAACCGCTTGGCATTGTATACACAATTCGTGTACAGCAGACCAATTCATGGGTAACCAAGGGGTGGACAACGGAGCATTCCTGCAAACTAGCTGAGAAAGGCCTGCTGCCAGAGGACAACGTTACAGATGCATTGATGAATGTAACTTACGTGAGTCGGACACAGTGTTTGATTAGCTTGATCCATCGAACATCGATATCGGCCACATGAGTAGGGCGCTCAGAGAAGTGTTCACGAACCAGTGGTACGAGCTAACTCTGAATAATTGTCATCCACGAGCCGCCTCGACCTGGACGGTCCCTCAAAATGAGGGACACGTTAATAGCTGGTCACGTTTGAGAGTTGAGACTATTGTACACAATCCGTACTGTACATGATCCTATCAAAGCACACACCTATCATGGGAGGAAAAATATAAAAACACATACTGGCAAAATCTACGAGATGAAAAGTCTGCGTAGCGCCGAAAATTCGCAGGTCTCCCCTGTCTGGGGATCCTTCACGATACCGTCGTTCCTGGTGGCCATATCCTCTAATGCCTGCAACATTCTCGTCGTCAGCCGAAGTCCTACGTAATGCATGGAGGACGTACCTCTCTCGAGTAGACCTGGCCGCTGTTGGGGAACGCCATCGGCTTGTTATCCTCATCCATGATCCTACCCGTCAATCGACAGACAATAGTCGAGTTCACGTGGTGACTGAAGGGCACTTCTTCCGCGAGCTTCCCGAGGCTGGGATCGCATACGGGACAGTCGACGTTCTTCGTCTGTGGATCGTAGCATGCTGGGAGCTTGAGCGACGCTAGACCGGCGTACATAGCAAGATGAAGCAGCGGCTCGCTGGGGAGAGTGCTGAGATTGTAGAAGGCCAGTCGGAAGGACTGAATGAGGCTGTGCCAGCGCGATAGATCATATAACCGCTGAGGAGTGCATCAGGTCCTGGTTTCATGGCAGCCTCGGAGTTGAGAGTGGCGCACCTTGTAAGGACTACAAGTCGTAGTCGATGGGAAGCACAAGAGAGCAGAGGCCTGACGAATCTGAGGTAGATGGGTTTCTTGCCAGGGTAACAGATGTCTCTTCGAATACGCAATGGCTTCGATGTTCTTCCCGGCTCTCGCCAACTCGATGTATTCTTGGAGTCGAAGATCAAATTCTAGTGTATTCTGATCATATGAGACTATGAGACTCATGTTCGGCAACTTCGTAGGATGCCTACCTTGACTTTACGGAGAGCACTCTTGTTCTCGCTACACCACACCAAGGCTTCGGCACAACTCCGCTGTTTGAGAGCGTCTTCTATCCGCCGAATGTCAGAGAAAAGGTCGATATCTACCAGGCGCTGTTACGGGGCTCGAATGTGGCAGTGAGGCGAGCAATGCAGATGTGCTTACCTCGACTCCGCGATCATCCGCTATCATCTTAGCAGTCTTCTCCTTCCCGTTTCGCAAAGACCAATCGACTAACCACCGGTCCAGACGTGTGTCTGCCCAGCGCGGGAATTCCGGATCGTTGGTAGTCTGCATAGTTTCTACGCTCATCAGATGCTGGAATCGTTCACGCATGACGCCCAGGGTGGGTGCGCCGGAAGAACTCTGCAAGTCTGCGAGCTGCGTTGTAGTCAGAGCAAGTAAAACATGGTCGAGTGTTACAATGCCAACCTTGCGCTTGAGGTTCTCCACTCGTGTGATCATGCCGTCCACAGCCTTGATGGCATCTTCTGCGTCACTACTCTCCGGCTTTGCGCGCTTGGCAATGTCACTTGCAGCCGTCTGTACCGCACCCAGTTCTTTCTCAATATTCTTCTGAGAAGTGCGGAAAACTTTGCGGTAGTTCTCATACGGTACCTGAAGAGATGCACGGTCATGATCGCGATGTCCTCGGGAATTTCTGAGTCGCGCTCACTCTCGCGAATGGCTGTTCGAAGAGCATGATGCCCTCGGTGTTCAGCTTGTTTGCGCTCATGCTCGTCGAGATCGAGGCTACTGCCGAGGGAGGTACCTATTGCGACCAACACAGTACAGGACAGCAGACAGTTGTCGAATGCCTGCCGCTTTCTTCAGATCGTCTTAGACGAGAACGAACCGGTGGCCACTCACACCGCGAAACAGGTGGTATGACCGGATCCCGACACCAAACTTCGGGCTTCGTCGGTGTGGTCACGACGAGGTGTTTCGTTTGTTCTTGTTCTGTATATGGCGTTCTTCAGAGCCTGGTGATGTTTACCGTAAGAGGGCGGTTGAAGCTACCTGGATGCAGCGAGCCCCTCAAAGGCTTGGGCCACGCGCAGTCCGTGCCGGTGGCGGTTACAGCTGAAGAGCACGCGCGCTAATAGTAACACACACCGGTGGCAACTGTGGCACGAAATACACGTGACTGGGGACGCGTCCCAGAAAGGCGTTAACGTTGTCCCTAGTCCAGATTCTGAGAGCTCGCGCCGTGTCCATCGTCACAGTCACCTCAAAATGAGCTACCCACCATCCTTCTAGTGTACTTCACGCAGCCCAGCGGGTACAGCCGCCGGCTGCGACACATCACCCAAGTTGTCTGACGCACTGGCACCTCTGTGCCCAGTGACAGCATGGTGCAGACTTCGTGACGATCGTCAAGATCGTCGTGGCCGTGGTGGGTGTGGTTGCTCGCAATGCGGCGCCAGTGCCAGTGGTTTTCGAGGGTTGTAGACCTTCGATCACTCATCGATGTCTGTGTTGTCTCTCCAGTCGTTCTGCGCGCCCTGCGCACCGCCGCTCACTACCCTGTCCTCCCAACACTACGCTTTGGCTTACTGTCGCTCGCATTGTACTACATCCACCATTCTGTGTCTCGCATATGCCTGTCTTCCTGTCTTGTTTCACTCTCGTCGCGTTGTGTCAAGCTGTGCGGACCTGTCGCTGTGCTATCTCTATCGTTGCATACGCTTCAAGCTACCTTTGCCCATTGCTAAATATACATTGCCACTTTTGAATGAGGACTTTTCCGCGATCTCGGCCGCCCTGGGGGTTTTTCGATATCCCCGATCCCAAAACGACGCAAAAGCTCTGTCCAAAGTGCCAGCCCATGCTAGAACATCTCAGACATACAGCCATCAAGTCAGGATGTTAGGTACATATATGTGATCGTGAAGGGTACAAAAAGACCCTCCACACCGCGCCAGCATGTGGAGGTTCTGGTCGCAAGGTCCAAGGTTCCGAAGGTGTCTGCAGGGTGGCGGATCGATATACTTAGTACAAGTCTACACATCGCCGCGCGACTCGGACATGGTTACCTGCATGCCGCAAGATCCTCAACTCCAAACCCGTCAACAGGATCCGCGTGATCTTTCAGGCCATAATGGACAACAGCTGGCACCCTTGTAATGAGTTCCGGGGACCGGCTCGCATGTTACACAAGGACGGACGAAGAGATTGCGAAATAAGCCGGCGGGAGCACATCGCTCGCACCGACGGGAAGTCCACGAGCAATGCAGCGATGCTGACCTCCACTCCGGAATCATCTGTATTAATCTTGGCGGTCTTCTCCTTTCTATTCCGCGAAGACTAAATCGACTTACCAGCGGTCTAGATGTGTCTGCCCAGAGCGCGAACTCCGGGTCGTTGGCTTAGGCTACCTGCGTGCTCTCAACGATCTCAATGCTCGTCAGATGTTGCAACCGCTCGCGCATGCCGGCCAGGGTCGATGTATGGAAGTCTGTGAGCCACTTTGTAGTCAGGGCCAACGAACGTCACGGAACGCTATATCGCCAACCTTGCGCTTCGAGTTCTCCGCTCGAGTAATACACTGTCCGCAGCCTTGATGGCATCCTCCGCTACTCTCCGGCTTTTCACGCTTGGCTGTGTCACTTGCAGCGATCTGTACCGCACCCAATTCCTTCACGATGTCCCTCTGAGAAGTACGAGAGACCTTGCGGTAGTACATGTACGGCACCTGTAAGGATGTATAGTCATGGTCGCGATGACTCCTCTCGAAAGGCCAGGAGGACATCGAAATGGATGTTCAAAGAGCATGATACCCCCGGTAAGTATCCCAGCTTGTTTGCGCTCATGATCATACGGGTCGAAGCTATTGCACGTGGTCGGGCTAGTACTGCTTAGTGAGTATCGGAAGAATTGCCGCGACCAGCGGAATCTAGCGCAATAGGCAGCTGTTGAGTAGCACTATCGTCGGAACATTTAGGCAGGGGGTTCACCGGAGCGCAAGCCTGAATTGATGCGCTACTACACACGATGCGAAACAGGTGGTATGACCGATTCCCAACACCAAACTTCGGGCTTCGTCGGTGTGGTCAACGTTACGATGGGGTGTTTCGTTTATTCCCGTCCTATGGACAAGGCGTCCTTCAGCACCTGACGCTACCAACCATACTTGGACAGCTAAATTGAAGCAAGGTTCTGAGTACGTGAGGACACGCGCAGCCCCGACGCCCGTACGTAGCGGTGGCGGTTACTGGGAAAGACGCGCGCGCTACTGTACAACTCCGGTGGCAACTGTGGCAAAGATTAGGCGCTGGATGGTTGGCAGTGACCGTGACTTGGCACTCATAGTACTTACGTACTACAGTCCGAGTCTACATACCGTCGAGTCTATGCCTGGGCGGGCGCGCTGCAAGTCTTGTGTACGATCGTGGGATGATTCAAGTGCGCATTCACATACATTCATGCATACACGAAGCAAACTGACTACCATGTGATGCGAGTCACGCGGTGACGACATGGACACTGCCAGTGGCTCTAAGCTCTCCCCAGCCTGAGGGACATTGACCATCCTTTTCGGACTGTCTCAGGCCATTCTGTCATATACGTTTCTTGATTCTACAAGTGGCTGGAGGCTCATGACGCATTCTTTCTGTGCAGGTGGACCGTGATTATGCGTAGCGACACCGTGAAGGGATGACCAGTTTACGGGTGCCTGCCAGTTGAGGCCTGAAACCTCGTACGGTACGATATCATCCTCCGTGAGTAGAGTTTACAGTACGGTCTATACCTGGTTGCGCATCGAGGCATGTTGCATGTTCGTTTGTCCTCAATCGACCCTTGTCATCATGCCTTCAAGGTGAGTACATCGTTGATTGGACAGTGTATATGTAATCATCCTTCTGATGATGAGGCTACAAAGAAGCGTCATGCATTCACCATTCCCGAATGCCTTATCCATTTCCTGCGCATCATGCTGTTAAGATGCAGAAGATGCAAGCATTACAGCATCCCAAACTCGTGCGTGCGGAGTTTATCTCTAGCATTGCCAACTACCTACCATTCACATTACATGAGGCACATTACTGACAACCATAATCAAGCGTTGAGTGCTGTGAACCTGCACAGGACCTGCATCCAGAATCGGTGTTTACATTTTGATAGCAACTGCACCGCCCGTAGTGACGCCAACCACCGATTTCCGACCCGCCGCCTTCTCGGGTTCGGGGATGGCGGTGGCGTCACCAATAGTCTTGCAAGAGCTGGCCGCCGGGCTCGATGCGCCTTGTGAGTCAGTACACTTTCGGCCGGACGAGACCTGACGGGCCCCGGACAGATACATCGTCTGCGCCGTGGACTTCGTCGTCTAAGCAAGCGCGGCGCGGCGCAGGATCAGATGGTGACCAGGGCTTGCGTTCAGCCCTGAAGTCCTGTGTAGTGTCGACAGCCGGAGGAGTGTTCAATCACAATCAAGCAGGGCCCACTGGCACCCACGCCTGACCCGCCGCGCCTGAACCGCCGTTGGGGGCGGAGGCTCCGCGGACATGCATGCCGTTCGAGGAATTCAATGAGCTGCCATCGTAGCGACCCCGTCACTCCAGAAGTTGCGTAGACCAAGCGGGCATGTACGAGGGCCCCTTGAGATCTCGCTTGCGACTACGTAAGTTGCATTCAAACGAATTTCCGTTGTAAGACCGTAGGGTCATGTCATCTGAGCTCGAGTGCTAAGCCCTTTTGACTGTTAGATTGGCCACATCTGGCTCGTATTTGCGGTAGCCGGACGTCGCAATGTCATTCTTTGAGGTGCGTCGCTGACATCTGTGAAATATCTCCTGTGCTCCTTCGTCATCGTGGTTCACTACAGATCGATGGCTGTGCACCCGGTCAGCTTACGATCTGGTCGGTCGGGAAACCTCTGCTTGTGCCTCGGGCTACATCGCTGCAGCCGTCATCTCTCCTTCCATTTCATCGGTGTCGGCGTCGATCCTGGATCTAAGTAGCTGATGTGCGTGACTTTGCGGAAACCTATTTCCGTAGACTACTCACTTGCGGCAAGTTGTAGATATTTACAACGTCTCCTGTATCACATCTACCCAACGACGCTGGAGTTCGTGACGCATCCTGTCATTGTCAACCCCACTTCCATAACAGTCATCTTCGTAAAGAAACGCCGCATGATACCGCGGAAGTTTGGTACGCCGGCGACCTTTCAAGCCATCTTACCTCACGCTCCTCAGTGCCACCAGAGCCAGAGTCTCCAGCGGTTGCCGAATAAATTGTCTCGGTGAGCTCGGTCGATGGTGTCTCCAAGACCGCAGGCCAGTCGGTCATGCTCGTCAACGGAGCCGAGATTAGTTCACGCTTGTAGAGAGAGGCATTCCATAATTGAAACACCAGTACCACTTGTCATTGCGCAGCCATGGTGCCTAACGTTCGCACCATAGAAGCGACCAAGGGTATGAAATGTTCCACCCACGCGACAGTCATCCACAATGCGTACATGCTGACACCCACTGAACTTTTGGGCAACTCCTAGGACCGATCTCTCTCTTCCGGGCAAGCTTGATACACTGCGCACCTTCCCTGAGCCGGAACGTTGCCATCTTACGAGCAAATGCAGTCGTCGGCATCTCGAATGCTTCGTTCGTCAAAATTTGTGGTACGCAGCATCAAAGGGCAGACTGAGAGAGTATCTTTCCATGCATGGTCAGTGGTACCCTGTCGCATCCGAGCTTAGGTTATTATTCAATAGAAAGCCCATGCAGATGATCATGAGAAGCTTTCGTGCCCGGGATACTCGTGCTAAATATGCATAAACCTCCGGTTCCATACAGCAATGCGGCCGCGACACTAATTGATGGTTACACATCGAGATCAACCACATACTTAGCGGACTTATAAATGTTCCAGCCTCGTGACGATCGGCCGGCGCGGAAAGGTGATCTGGCAATAATCTTCTTTACGTGATTAACCGCCGTCATACGTTGCGTCGCGGGTAGTCACACTTCTGTTGTACTAAGTACAAGAACCGGTGCGTGCGGTGCATTAGGTGTTGCCTCCTTAGCTTCCGGAGCGCTGATTTGTGTTCCGTTTCGTCTATTGGACTCGGCGCTCTGCTCCAGGGTTAGTATACGGTCGACAAGGTACCGCGGCCTACAGTGCTATATGTTGCTCCTATCCCTTCGCGCTCGATCAAATTTTATGTCCGCCATTGAGGTCGAGCATGTGTATGTCGGAGCAGTGTGCGCCCAACCCAATGGAAGCATTGGCCGGTATAAGTGACGGCGGCTCCGCATGTGCACAGCTCTGTTTCACTCGCTGTTTCCGGGGAAGGGAATGCGGGATTTCAGCGTTGTCTACACTGTGACATCATTTTGAATAGCAACCTTATGTCCGTGAGGTCTCGGAGCCGCAAGTTCAGCCACTCGCCGGGGTGCAGAACAAGTAACAATCGACATAGGTTCAAAGAGCGACACCATATCTTCAACTCTTGCGCGACCGGACTCTTTGCCGACATACATCGTACACCGTGCACAAATGATGGGCTGTATGTACTGCAGTCGGCCAGACAGAAGACATGAAGACCTGCTTTTGACCCCGACTTCTCCGTCAGAGCTATCCTGAGCTGAAGCCTAAAGTTGTAACGGTCTCGTCTCAGGAATCGTCCGCATGAAGTGGATTCTGTTTCACGAGTTACCCAGGTAGTTCGAGTTCTGAAATGCGGCAGCAATACCGAAATTTTGCTGTCTATTCCCTCGTTATACTATTTGTGTGAGTAGTGAACTGTCGCAACCGAGACGGCCTCTCAGAAGCCCGGAGTGTCGAGACCATTTCAGATCGCCGGTTGTCCCTTGCACGTGAAGCGGAGCGTCTGCACACTGATCTGAGATCCAGATTTATGTGGAAACACTCTTCCTCGGCGATCCTGGGGAAGCTAATTGTGCCCTTTCTCGCCTCAGTTTTGGGCATCATCAGTTGGCTTGCTATGTTTGTCGTCGACCTCGGCGTGCGGCAAGGCTTCAGCGCCCTGGCATTTTCTACTTTCAACCACCATGACCGCGACCAAACTCTTGCTCACCGCCTTAGATACTCCAACATGGAGGCATATAATAGACCACCCTCCGGTCAAGCAGGAGCCCATCGATACAGACACCTGCAAGAGGTGTAGCAGCAGCTCAAGAAGTCCAAGCTCGTTTCCAAACTCCGGGATGAACCCATTCGCAGCTGGTGGTTGGGGCTATGGCTCCGGCATGGCACCCTCCATCTTCGGTGCTCTCCCTACGGTCACGATCTCGAACGCGAAGACTGTGCAGCCAGACAGCACACTTTACAAGTTCACCGAATGTAACACCACCATATTGAACTGTAGCATCGCCGGGCCGCAGGGGCGCGTCGTATATCGCGTTGCCACCGACTCCGGAGCTCTGTCGTCCACGATGTTGAAAGACAACGACAATCGCAACGTAGCCATGGTCAACTGGCAGCCCAACGCCAATGTGGAGATACGTGGAGTTGCGTCCAGACAGCGAGTGCGCGATTGGCTTCATCTCTCAGCTGACCAAAGGTTAGATCAGTTTGTTTACGTCTGCTAGTGTTTGTGCTTGGCATGCTTACCGTGGACGTACTTTTCCAGCAAGCGGGTGATGAATGTCGCCGGTGTTCCATACGCATGGTCCCCTGCTGAAGGCTACATATGTGTATGTTATCTCTCAGTGCTAAGTCGAGGCAATCCGCTCACCGTCTATGCAGCTGTATAAACTCCAGTCGACCGCTCCACGAGTCCTGGCGAGAATCGGGAGAGCTCAAGATGTCACGCTTGAGATGACTCAAGAAGGGATGCAGCTGGGTCTCCTGGAAGCATGCCTTGTTGCTACCGTCCTCCTGACCTGCGGTCACAACATTGACTGACGGATCATAGGATCTCCGAGTCAGCAAACGAGAGGACATATTTATTTATACCCAACTGGATATTTGTAATGCACTTCACTAGTCCTCCAACCTATTGCAGCATGGTGGTTCGCGCACTGTACTAGATAGCGGACAAGAGGAAGCTTGTAATGGATGGTGTTTGCTGAGTAGTGCTGCACAACGTAGCGTCACATCCTCATAACAGAGTACAGTGTTATCATGAGCAGCGCCTGGTGCGGAGAACCACGGACGTACTGACGAAGCTATACAAATAGCTGACTTGGTTAAGGTTCAGTACTTCAGTCCTAAGTTAGACCTCAGCGACGCCTGTCACAATCGCTGAGTGTGACTTAGATACTTGCAAGTGAAGCACTTACTCTTTCGCCACATGGTTGATTGACGTGACTACTGAATGAGAATATATATCCTTAGACCGAGATGCCTGTGTAGGGCGGCAAGGGAAATGACGAGGAATGTATCCATATGTCCCATAATACAGATCAATATCGTTATGCAGCTTCGATAGTCCTCAAAAAGCGTTCATATGCAGCCGTACGGATATTGTGTAGCCGCAGACCGTCGTTCAACGCGGTATTGCGCACGGGAGACTGGTGCTGCGTAGGAGATGAAGGTCACCGTTTGCCACACTGTCGCGAAGCAATGAAACCACGTACTATAGCAAGAGGCCTTACTCGATCAAGACGCGTGGTGAGCTGTGTGGTCATCTCTGCCACGGCTGCTTTATGCCGGACGTCTGATTGATCGTGTAGTACGTCGGGGAGGATGCTTATGAGTTTTGGAACAAATCGCGCAAGGTGGTCGAGTTCTGCTGCCTCTGCTGCATCGGGAACAGCGGTGTTCAATTCTTCGAGGTAGTCTCGGAGTTCTTCTAAGCGTGTCATGGCTTGGACATAGTCCAGGAAGACCTGGACGTGATCGTGGTGCGTAAGAAACCAGCTGAGAATCCTAGTGCATCATCTTGACTGACCTTGCCTCTGACGTGCCAGTCATCTACAGGATGATCGAGGAATTTTCCGAACAAGCTCCTCAACAGCTCGAGATCATCACGGATCACAGCGTCGGGCGCTAGTTGAAGCACAGCCAGATCGTGGGCGGCGTTGTACAAGCTGGCGGAAAGATAAAGCTCGTATGCGCCGTAAACATCGCCGCAGTCCAACGCGTACATAGCCTGAATTGACGACACCGTGAGCGCGGAATGGAGACAGAGGCTTAGTGTGTTACCTTGGCTTCGTTGATCCAGGCCAGCGGTAACTTCAGACTGCCTACAAGCCCGCGAGTCATCCAATCATCCAGTAGAGCGGCGGAGCGACCCAGAAGCTCCTTGATAGCCTTGACGCGTCTAGCCATGATCCGCGAATGTGAGCCTGCGACTCAGGACATCATCGATCATGAAACATACCCCGCGGAGCCCTCGATATGTAACAACACAAAGGCCGCCTCTTGAATCAGGCCTTGTTGTTCTAGTTGCAACGCATAGCTATTCGCCAAGAGGTCTGCGCTCGGGCTATGGCCCTCCACCGATGGCTCATCGTCCTCACTTGCGTCAACTGCATCTTCGCCCATTGCGATGCCAGTATTCCCCCGATCGGCGAAGTCGCGGACGCGCAGACATCGCGACATTATGACGTATAGATGCCATGGAAGGCGATAGTCCGCGGGGGAGGCGTTGAACGACAGCGGCGTCAGAACCGTAGACAGCGAACACGCAGGGTCGGCGTATAGTCTGATGAGAGAGTACAGCGCGTCCGGAGGGTTGGCGGACGAAGCTTGTTTCCACGGGACGAGTCCTGTGTCGCGGTCGGGCTGCTCCACGTACCAAGGAACAGGTGAGGCAACTTCTCCGTGCGTGTTCCTCCAGTGTTGTTCGTACGCCTGGAAAACGTCTGCCACGGTAGACTCCAATGGCTCGCCGTACCACAAGTGAAGACCAAATGCTCGCTTCCAGTTCAGGCCTTTCGGGACGGAAAGGTCGGGGCACTGTTCAAGTCCAACGCCCTTGGATCCTTCTAGATTATCCACAATACCTCCGAGCAGCGCGTATATCCTGCGCGTGCTTTCACTGATATGGGCGTCGATGTTCCAGTCGCGCCACACATTTAGCTGTGTCCGCACATCGTCTCGGAATACGTCATCGCCAGGGTACTGCGAGATGAGAGTAGCGAGTTTGACATTTCCGCTATCCATGGCGATCTCGCACGCCTTCTCAGCTTGATTCCCGGAGAGCAGCGTAAAGGCAGTAAACGCCCAGTCTGCGCCAGGGTTTTCGCGCAGGTCCGCGTCCACCGACGCCGCCACTGCGGTTTGTAACCAACTCGAGAGCGCGGCCTTGCGGCGTAATGCGTACACCCGGTTGCGGATGTCGACCCCAATAGGCTCCGCCAGGCGCAGATCTATCGGGTCGAACAGCGCTCGACCTAAGCGGAACAAGCATGCCTCGAATGAGCGGTCGGTGATAGGGAACAGGGCGGCGAACGAGGAGAAAGTGAGCCCTCGAGACGGGTTTGCAAAAGGCACACCATCTTCGTCCGCCTCGATCGGTGAGGAGCTTAAGTGATGTGAGAGCAGCTTTGATGCATGTTCGCCCGCTTGCGCCGGAAGTCCTGCCACAAGAGGGACGACAGTCTTGCGCAGGATTGAGGAATTTGCCGAGTTTCCCCTGGAAGTACGTTATGCTGAGTGACATGGACAGATATAAGAACACTCACGGTGTGCTGTGCGGACTACAAAGGGTACCCAGGTGAACAAGAGTGCCTCCAGGGCCCCAACCAACGCGGAACGAACGCCCAAAGGCGAGTCCTGCGTCTACGAATGCGCCCTCGGTGCCAGTCACTGCAGACGCAGAACTTTCTACGCGTGCGTACTTTCGAGTTGGTCGGTAGGGCGTTGGTTCAAGGTCTTGTGCAAATGAGGCGCGCTATGGAGCGAAGGTCAGGCAATGAACAAAAGCACGAGACAACTTTTCAAGTAAATTAGTCGTCGACACAGTGGGTACTTTTGGCACGACTGTGGCGTGATGCCGCTCTTAACCGTGTGCGATAGGCTGTGGGCTCGTGTCACATGTATATGATGCTGGTTGCCGGGTTGTGCGCCCGATTGGCATTCCCAGTACATGGTAAAGTGGTACACTGGCCCGCACCCTGGTTATCGCATGCGCGAACGAAGGCAACATAATATGGCCCCCTTTCGAGGACTCCAATACATTACCAGAGCTGTCCTGTGCTACTGTCTGCGCGGTGTATAGATTCGATCGATGTTCTCTGTAGGTTTCGTGGGTGTATACCGCGTCCACTTTGTTTACGCCTTTGTGCCACCCTAGCGTTTCGGACAAGCGCTTAGGTGTTGTTGCAGCCCTGCCAGCCCAGGCCGTGGCGGACGTGGCGCAGGCCGCCCCAGACGCTCGCGGCGTTGCAAATACGAATACGACAACCAAGGCAGACACGAGCTCAACGAACGGGTTGAGTGACCCGCCATATGAGACACCACATACGAAGGATAGGATCGCGCCGCCTAGCATCGTATAGGCCCACTTGTGGACGAAGACAACAGACAAGATGTGCGAGCATGTTGACTCACCTGACGTAGCTCCGTCCGCAATCCCTCTCCTTCCGAATCCCTGCTATGCTTTCGGCTCAAGCCCGCGAACACGGAGGCCTTTCGACGCGGCTGTGGCGCCTGCGACGCGGCCTTCATCGCAGCCTCCTCCTCCGGTTGCCGAAACAACGCGGCCTGCATGACGTGCATCTTCTGCGGCTCGATCCCTCGGTCCCTCGCCCATGATGTGATCGTCAGGTTCACGGGAGCGCGCTGGGTAAGCGGCGGAGACTTGACTGCTGGGTCGAACTGCACCACGGGCCGTCTTCGAGGTACCGGTTCCTCTTCAGACTCCTCTGGCTCTGGCTCTGTTGGCTCAGAGATGGGCGAGTCGTCGCGCCTTCGTGGTCGAGTTGCAGGGCGATGTTCGTCCTCCGACGCGTCGGACGCGGTCCCCACCTCGTCGTCTACGCGCTTCGCATCGTCGTCAGAGGAGAGCTCCCCCTCGCTGTCTGTAGAGTACGCCCTGAAGCGCATTGTAGCGATGAGTGGTGGCGGTTCGAAGAGAAGTGGCGTCGACCACACAATGGACAATGCGCATAAACCCGCCAGCACGTGATCACAGCGTCTGTATACCCGCGAGCGTGACGGAGCCGCGTCGACCTTGTTCTCAGCTTTCCGCCAACTGAGAGACAGAATTTTGAACAGCATGCAATCATGATACAGTATTCTGAGTCGGGACACTCCTCTTTTTCCGGCTCCCTCACTTTGGACGAATGTATGCGCGAAGAAACTCGCGCCCAACTCAAGAGCAACTATTTTGTGGCTGCATGTCTTCGTTTGGACAAGTAACCGCAACTCGCTCACCGATGGACTCACGAGAATATTGTACGTGATCCTACGCTACCACGAAGGTGAATTCTGATTTCATATCACGCAAGCCCTCCCCGAGAAACGGAGTGTCCCCTAGGCAGGCCCTTAGGAAGACCTCTTGTGTCTTGACGAGGGAGGGCTGCGGTCTTCAAGAGACCAAATCCAACGTGTATGTACTGGCGGAGGGTGTCGGAGGGCCTTTCTTTGAGGCCATCTGCGCACTCCGCTTGTCAATCTTGGTCATGAACCTCGGTCTGGTTCATCGTTGGCATTCTCATCATGCCAAGTCGTCGATGTTACGCGAAGCGTGACACCTAGAGCACTAGCTCTCAACCTAACCCTAAACGTAGGGACCTTAGGTTCTAATCGTCCTTGGATGGGGAGGATGGTCTGAGACGCTGCTAAGTCCGTCTAGCAGGTCGAGCGGGGAGTTTCTGATATCCAAGGAGCTGGTGAAGCTTCAATAGATAACCAGGTCGAACTGAGGTTCGACCGCTACTGTACACAGGTCTTATATACATGGGGAGTTCAGGGCAGGTCCTGAACGAGTCACAACTACCTAGCCAATAGGAGCGCAGGGGAGTGAGTCACGACGAGTCAGGGATCGAGTCATAAATGATGAGTCAGGTATGAGTAAGGGACGAGTCATACTGAGTCAGAGATCACGTGAACTGCTCCGGGTTGGACCGGAGCAAACAGCGAAGGAGTCCGAAGACTGGAACCGTAGCGTCATGGGGTTGGGCCCATACTAGGATAGTACAATGCTCAAGTGAAAATAAGGGAAAACAAACGTTGACGTAACATAAGCCCCTTCCTAGGGTCGACGACCTCGTCGATCTTCTAAGAATAAGGCGGCGGCGGCGGAGCATTCTGAATGGTGGTGGACCCGTCACGATGACGGTGGATGACGGCGTCGACTTCTCCAGTATCGGTATGCTGGAGCTCAAACGTGCCCGATACCGGTGAGGCGATCGTGGGTGAGGGTTGGAAGGATGACGTAGGAGTGGTAGCGAGTTGGCGGAGAGGGACCTGTTCCAGGTCCTGAGTGAAGTCCGCCAGGGGTTGACGTACCGGCTCGGGGCGAATTAGGTGAGGGGGGCGAGGCGGGGCTTCGCGCGTCGGGATCGACCGGACAGGCACATTCTCGTCGTTTTCCTCCAAAAGGCCAAAGGAGGGCTCCAACGTCTGGATGACGAGGTTTCTTCTGCCGTCATCGTCGACCGGGGAATCCAGGTCCACGTCCGTGAGTCCAGGCGAGGTAAGGATTCCGCCGAGGTATGGTCGAGGATGAGGGGTCGGGGGTCGGACTCCGGTATTTGCACGTCGTTCGCTACGAGGAGGACGGGCGCCGATCAGGTAGGTTTCGTCGAGGAAAGGATGGTCCTCGTCGTGCATAGAGTCGCCGGCTCGACGGGCTTCTTCGCGGGATTCGTATACAGAGATCATTGCTGCCTCAACGTGCATGGCCAGGACCGTGGCACGGGTAAGGCTGACAAAGATGCCGTCGATGCGACCATTCCGGACCACATACCACCTATTGGCCTGCTCGAATCCGATCCGTTTGCCGCGTAGGGTAGGAGGAAGGAATTCGGTTGGTCGGGAGGTGATGAGACCACTGAGCGCGGAGTAGATATGGTTGGCCTCCATCAGCCAGCGGTGGGCGACGGACTGCGTGAAGATACCTCCACGCATCAGGTCGTTCAGGGATCGCAGGTCCGGCGGGAATGTGGGTGCTTCAGCTTCGGAAGCTGAACAGAGGGCCTCGGTATGTCCCGGCTGGCGACGATTGCATTGGGGGCAGCGGTAGTGAGAGCAGTCGATGGTTCGGTGGTAATCAGCATCGGTGCCCTGGCAGACGATGCACGGGGAGTAGTTGGTGATCATGCGAGCAAGGTCGCGTGCGTCGACATTCGGGAAAGTGGGGGCTACGATGAAGTCGCGAGAGTAGGTGATATCGTTGATGGGGATCAGGTGGCGAGCGGCTTGTTTGACCGCGGAGTAGTCTTCGAGCTCCTTGAAACGTCGGAGGAGTCGTCGTGCGGAGGCATCTCGTCGGGATATGAAGAGATGGATGGCGTCCTCGAGGAGGTCCTGCTGGACCCAAACGTCCGCCGCTGCCTCATAGAGGTCAGTCAGTGTGTCCATTGCATCGAGAACGACGTTGGGGTCGTCGTTGATGAAACCATCACGCTCAAGTTGCGTGAGGAGGGCCCCGGGTGCGCAGAGGACCTGGGAGGCGAGGGGCCAGTTGAGTGTCCCTGGTGGAAGTGGTTTCGTACGAAGGATGGTTTCGAAGAGGGAGGTCGAGTCGCGGGTCGGAAGGAGGGGGTTGCCTTGCGTGGAGGCCGAGGAGTGGGGCGGCATCGTAGTTCGTGTCCTTCGGTGCGCACTCGGAATCGGCATTTGTCACAGAGGTGGTAACGGGGGTCAAGTGGGAGACGTTGCTTGCGGTTCAGGCCGAGATAGGAGAGCTGGGTGATGACCCACGCGTCGTAGTAAGCCTTGAGAGAAAGGTCGTCGTAGGCAGCGGTGGAGGGCATAGAGCTCGACTCAGAAGTCGCAAGCGTTGTCGTCTTGGGGTCCGAGTCTCACCACTCCAAGACGGCTCTTCTCTTTATACTCGTAGAGGAGTCGGAGATGGTGCGCGCGCTTGTACTCATCAAGGGTCTCTTCCCCTGTGCCCAGGAAGACGTCTTCGGGTTCCCACGAGTTCTCACTGGGAGAGTACCCTTTCCACTTCACGAGGTACCGGCGTCGGCTTGCCGTTCCCTTGTGACCAAGGATAGCTTCGAATTCCCAGGAGTTTTCTCCGTCTACTTCGTCCGGGGGAGGTTCTGTATAGGTCGGGCCGTGTTCCTTGGTTTCATTGTACGGGGATAGGAGACCGGCGTGGAATACAGGGTGGATTCGCCATTGCGGAGGCAGTTGGAGGCGATACGTTGCTCTTCCCATGACCTCGGTGATCTTGAAAGGACCTTCCTTCTTAGGAGCTAGTTTCCTCGTGGCGTAGGGGAGGCGGAGGTGCCGCGTGTCGAGCCATACCTGCTGATCTTTCTTGAAGGCAGGCGTGCGGTCCTTGATTCTCTTCTCGATGACTCGTTGCGCAGCTTCTAGTGCAAAAGCGGCTTCTTCTCGGGCTTTCTGCAGCCGCTTGAGTCGTTCTTCCGTGGTTGGGGAGTCAGCAACTTCGGTGATGTGGGGGATTCCTCGGGGTTCATATCCCATCATTGCGTAGAATGGCGACATCTTGATGGCGGAATGAGGTCGGGAGTTGTGCGCAAACTCGGCGTCAGGGAGCATCTCGTCCCATGTTTCAGGATTGTTCGCACAGAAGATTCGGAGGAATATCTCGAGTTCCTGGTTGGCTCGTTCCGTCTGGCCATCAGTCTGGGGGTGGTACGCCGTGGAGAGTGCGCGTTCAATTCCGGTCAGGCGGCAGAGTTCTCCCATGACCTTGGATGCAAACTGAGGGCCGCGATCGGAGATGAACTTGCGTGCGAGTCCGAAGCGTCGGTACACGTGGTCGTGGTTCATCTTGGCGGTTGTTTCGGCGTCCACCTGGTCCGTGCATGGGATGAAAATTACCCCCTTCGTAGAGTCGTGGTCCACCACGACATAAATAGCATTATGTCCGCGGGGAGTCTCGGGGAGTGCAGTGATGAAGTCCATTGTTTGGCATGAGAACGGTGTGGCGGGGTGTTGTGGCGGGATTGGGATGAGAGGAGTCACTGTGGGATGCGTGTTCGGTTTCATCTGCTGACAGATTCCACATCCCTTGACGTATCGTGCGATGAATTGTCCCATTCCAGGCCACCAGAAGTCGCGTTGCACGAGGGTGGTCGTCTTGTGGATGCCCGGATGTCCTGCGGAGGGGAGCTCGTGGTACAAGCGTACCACGTTCCGTCGGAGTCCCGCATCCGGAGGAACATACACTCGTGATTGATACCATACCAGGTCTCCGTCCGTCTGCCAATCCGTAAGCGAGGTCTTCGCAGGTGCAGGTCCTTTGCCAAGGAGAGCATCGAAGGCCTCCTTTACCATGGGTTCCTTTTCATGGCAGTCTCGTAGGCGATCGAGGAGGTCCGCGTTGATGGCTCGCACGAAGAGCTGGGGGGCTAACATCACGATGTCGTCGCTGTCATCAGCCCCGGTATCATGGTCACTGCGTCGGGATAGAAGGTCGGCGATGGTCATTTGCGTTCCAGGGACGTGTGCCAGTTCATAGTCGAATTCGCTGAGGAACAGCGACCATCGTGCTTGTCGTCGATTGAGCTTCTGCGCGGTGCGCCAGTAGGTCAAGTTACGGTGGTCCGAGCGGATTTGGAGCTTGTGCGGGCTACCTAGGAAATAGTGTTTCCAGGTCTCCAGACCGCGTATGATGCTGAGGAGTTCGCGGTCGTAGATCTCGTAGTTCCGTTCGGCGGGGTTCAAGGACTGGGAGATGAAGCCACAGGGGTGCAAGTCTCCGTTTGCATCACTCTGTAGCAGGACACCGCCGGTAGCAAACTTCGAGGCGTCGCATTCGAGAGCAAATGGCCTGGTTTCATCTGGCATGACCAAGGTGGGAGCACGCGTAAACTCGTGCTTCAGATCCTCAAAGGCGAGTTGTTGCTCCTCGTCCCAATGCCATCGTACGTCCTTCTTTGTGAGGTCCACTAGGGGTC